TTTCCTTATTCTCCCCCTGTTTTTGTTGTCTCTTGTCTCCACACGACCCATGCGCCGTCTCGGTATTGATTCATTCCCGTTTTGGAAGAAGATCTGTCGAGAGCCGGGCAGCACTAGATGATATGTGTTGAGTGTGTGTGATTGTGGTCATGGATAAAAAGGCACCCCTCATCGATCGAGGCGGGAGCTCGAGGGAGTTGTTGGATCTGTTTATCATCTTACACCTTTGTCTCTTTGTTACTTTTTCTCTCTATCCTCCACTTCTCTTTTCTTTTCCTTTCAGTTTCTTTATCTCACGCCTTACCTCCGCTACGTACCTTACCAACTTGGCCACGGGTCCCGCTCTTGCGTTCGGAGTGGTTGAACTATTCTTGTTTTGGGTATCGGGCAACGAGTACAATGAATGGGACCGCGGGGAGTTCTGTGCTATTTTCAGTCGATCCGACCCGTGGTTATGAATCGATTTAAGACCTGATGGGTTCTTTGTCACTGTCTTTGCTTTTCTTTTTGAGTTTCATGCAACCAGAGCTGTAGAGGTGGGCCATGCAAAAGTAGATGTAGAATATGCCTTGGGGGAGTCTTGGGATCTGGGGTATCAGCTGGGCACTTCCCTGACAGGTACCGACTACCAGGGTATCACACTAGTCAGTACTTCTACATCCTTCGTACTTCGTACCTGCTGAGGTCCAAGTACCTCGGGCCTATCTGCATGCACTCGCCCCGTGTCTTGGTCCTCGTATGTCCACAATGTCCATGTCCACCACATCCCCGACCAGTCAGCGAGTTGACACCAGGACACGCCCCAATGGTGACTGGCCGAGCAATCGACTAATGCAGGCTCCAGACACTAGCCGTCCATGCGGGATTTTCTAGAATGCCGCTAGAAGGGGCTGTGCGTTGTCTACCAGTGTTCTTCTATGATCCCCAGGTTCGTGCTGATTCGTTTTACTTGGTTTATCTGGTTCACTTTGTTCTCTTTCGTTCCTTTCGTTCCCTCTCGTTCCTCTAGTGGCTTGGCACCAGAGATCGCCGGATCGCAAATGACGTTCTTCCCGGCACAGTCTTGCCGATTCAACGACTCAGCCTTGCAAGTGGGTTCGTCGGGCCTGTGACTGGACTTGAAGTTGACAGAATCACTCATTCAAGTTGGCAATACTGTGTATACAGCACACGCCGCAGGGTGAACCGTCCATGCCTATACACCACAGGGTGCATCATCACACATCCCAGCTGAACGTATGGTGCTGCATGCTGCATCACAGTGCAGCTCGTGAAACCCGCCTCAAAAAACGGACAGACTCCTGGCCCCTCCCGCTAGAAGCCTTCCAGAAGGGACCGACCACGCTAACCACCCGGATCCGATGATCCTTTTCCATGAGGGGGAAGCGAATATGCAGGACTGACGCCAGCCCCCCTCCCTCCTCAACCCAACCCAAACCCACTTGTTGCGGTCTGACCACAAAAGGCCACCTTGCTAGCGTATAATTTGGACCAATCCTTGAGGTTTGATCTCCCCTCAACCTGGGTTAACTCGGACACCCTCGAGCCGCCCCCTCTTTGACTTGGCAACCCTTGCATCAGGCTTTCCCCCCCAATGACACCCCGCCAGATACCACCGATTCCACTAGAGTGGATCTTCGGCCGTGTACGCTAGAAGGTTTCCAGAATTTCGAGAAGCCCCTCTGGAAGCCCTCCACCCGCCCTAATGCACGAGAATCCCGGCGTGAATGCAGTAAATTCCCGCAATGATCCTCGAATGACGATGCTGAAGGCGGGGGCTGAGTCGACTGGTTGACCACTCGGGGGCCTTCAATTCCTCTCGATGAGGCTGTCCCCGATCAACTAGACCAGTCAGAGACTTGTTTCCCTCCCCCATCAACAGCAGATGACTTCGTATTGGAGCCGGGGGGTTGTTGTGGTCCAGTTAGTTGGTCCAACTAGGTGGAGTTGAGGGAAGAGAGCCGCTATCGTACTTCCAGCTGGACAACAGCTGGGACTAAAATAATACATAAGAAAGGACGCTTGCGCAAGGGGAAAACACCACATGTGTTGATTTTTCTCACTTTTACTTTTCACTTTTCACTTCTGACATACCTTACCACCTACTATCGACTCAACTTGGCCCCCAAATTCCCCAGTTCTGCATAGCTGTACTCTGTACATCACTCTCGAAGGATCACACACCGGCGTCTCAAATCCCACCATGGTAGGCTACGCTAGTTGCTTTCTAGAATCCTTCGCCCAATCTGTTCTCTTCATGGCCCTAACTCGTTCTTCTTAAAACCCCCATAGTCCATCCCAGTCCCACTTCCCCTCTCCAAACAGTCGTTGTCATCGACCTCCTCACCACAGCCCCATTCTCACTCGTACTCTTCCTTCTCGTCGCCCGACATGCAATCCCCCTTCAGCTATCCAGACTCGTATGCCTCGTCCTACTCCTCCTCCCCCCGGTGGTATGGACTTCTTTTACGGCATGGGTGCTCCCCAAGCCCCAGTCTACGACTCCTCCTCATCCTTTGACATGGACCCTGCCTCTCCCTTTGTGCAAGAGGTCCACCCAGAGATCTACTCCTTCACCAGCTCTCCATACATGTACTCTCCTGCAATGCCAATCAAAGAACTCCCCATCAAGGATTTCCAAATGTATGAGGCGGCGCCGCCCATGGCAACCAGCGTCCCTAGCTCCGCCAGCAGCACATGCGATAGTGTCGGTGGGTGGAATGGACACGAGGAGCTGGCGATCACCAGCTACCCCCTCAGCATGGTCGAGGACTCTGGCCCTGAATCTCCGTCCGCTGCGAAGTAAGTGAATTTCAATCGCCCTGTCGTTCTCCATTTCTTACCTCCGCGACCATGTTTACTAACAAGTGACCGCATAGACCGACCAAACCCTTTGCCTGCGACGCCAGCGGCTGTAACAAGTCTTTCACTCGTTTCGCCGATCTAAAGCGCCACCAGTCCAGCGTGCATTACCCGGTCTTCCGCAACTGCCCCGTGGATCACTGCTCGCGCAAGGGTAGCAATGGCTTCCCGCGCCAGGATCACCTTGTCGAGCACCTGCGTTCATATCACCACCTTGATGTGCCTAAGCGTCGAGCTTTCAAGCGCTCCGCTAAGGAGATCTCATAAGCGGATCGTACGATAGTCGACGCATTCTGCTCAGCATTTTGTCTTTTTTTCGACAGTTTGTGACGGCACAGCCAGCTGTTATTCTTCACCACAGTGTATGATTTACGACCATCTTATGTCTTTTCTTTCTCTTCTTCCCGCGCGGATGGCGAATTTGCTTCTTCTTCTTTTCTTCACTTTGCGATTGTTCTGCTTGTTTTTATAGACTGCTTTTGGTCATGTATAGACTGCGCCGCGAGCTTTTTTTCTCATTCCCATTTACTACCACTTGCTATTTTGCTTTTTATCTCTTATTTTCTACTGTTGATTTTCTTTTCTTCTCTTTTTTCTGGACGCTATGCGATAGACGGTACATGATTCGATGGATTTAGAATTACGGATTCCCCTGGACACGAATTGGACGGATCATGACTTTGCTATTTTCGAACCTCGGACCTACATACCATACCTACCACCAATCCAAAGGATTGTTACATCTGAAACCCCGCTCTGTGCAACCTCCCGTAGCTCCTAGCTATTGATTCCACTCGAAGGATTGCAGTACCGTTGTAGAGTGGAGTGGAGAGCTGGTTCCTGGGAGCTCACTAGCTAAGAGAGGTAGCTAGCTGGGACTACCGTATCCCTCTTTTGGCTCATCATCAAAACTCTGTCAGGAGAAGAATGATTAGCTTCGGCAGTCGCAATGCAACAAAGACCGAAAATAACGCATGCGCAGATCACTCTCCCAAAAGTAAACATCCTCTAGTGTCCCTAGTTCTTACACGCACCCACATAACCCAACCCAATCAACCCATTTCCATTCCATAATCATCCTTACCCGTCCTCCGTATTGTAGAACATCAAGCCCGTCAAACTCAAACAGCCGTACCGGACGGGTCTAGAGCGAAGAAGATTCAATCCTTCGCTCCTCAATTCCCCGCTATCATTACAACGCTACAATCCGCCCATCCAAAGATCATCATCACATCTGCAATACGTTCAAATCCACTCTCAAAGTGCAACTTACGTAGGTACACCGTACTCGTACTCCGTACCTCGAAATAATAACGCGGCAAGCAAAGCCAAGCCCTAACCCCCAACCCAGTCCCACAAAAGGATTGATCATCCCAACCTCCTCCCCTTTCGGCAGCCAGACCCCTGCAAAGAATCCTTTCATCGCGTCAGACAAACTTTGCCCCATCTCATAGTGCGACAGGTCGAGGTGCGTGTGTATTCCACACGGGGTACCGAGTCATGTAGATCAGACAGATCGCCCATTTCCCCGCCTCGTCATGGATATTAACTTACTCTATTATCCGGCTTTCGGCTTCACCGAAGTACTGATTCGTTATTTGCTGCACACTCCGTAGGGTATGTACTCGTGGACGCGTGCCGACTCAGCGATGTGGATGGAGGGGGGATGGGGGCCGATCGGTATACCAGAACGGGTGCATCCGACTCCTCATCTGCATGATCCCGTACAGGATGTATTCCGTACATCAGTCGGGAGTCGCTAGTTTAACGTGATCGGGATTGGGGTTCTGCGTCGCGACTTGATTTTTTGATTTCCGTTGATTCAAAATCTTGGGTTTGGTGTGGAATCATGATGTGATATCATTAGGACAATGAGGTCGACGGATTATCACATTTGGTACGGAGCAGCTTTGACTATTTGTTTACGTGAACGAGGTACTATTCTCCCAGGTGGCAAATATTCTTCATCATTTCTTGTCAAGGACATTCCTAGTTGTACATAGATGCCACTGAAATGAGCTCTAAATATTCAAGTTATATGCGGATGACATGAAACACCTTCCCCAGAATAATTATTACATTCTCGGCTCTCTTTCATGCTGCTTCAAGTTAATCTTATACATCAGGGCTAGTATTAATTACACACCCGATCCATTTTCATCTCCATACTTTCCCCAGTATTCCTCCCACCGCCCACACCTTTCCTCCATCGACTCTCCCAATTCCCTCCACTGCCCTTCAAATAGCCTTCGCACTTCATCCTCACGCTCAACAAACTGTACCCCAAACCCCTGCTCAAGATGCCACCCAATATGACAATGCAACAGCCACGCACCAGGATTATCCGTCTTAAACGCAATAACCAAATGACCCGACGCAGGAAGAAGTGCCGTATCGCGTTTTGGAAAAGATCCCGACAAAAACGTAATAGCCCCACTACCACCAACACCAACACCCACATTCGGCGTTTGGGTTGGGGTTTGGGTTTGGATCTTTGTTTTGGTCGAGGCCGGATCCAGGTCCAAGGCCCGGGCTGGGGTCGAGCTGAAGCCTGCATCTGCAGGGGACCGATGGTGATCCCGATACGGTCCCTGGCCCTGCGCAATGATGAGAAAGTCGTGCCCGTGCAGATGCACAGGGTGCGGCGCGGCTAGGGTTGTTTCTATTATTATTAGTGTCCAGGAGTCGGTGTCGGGTAGGTCGATCACTGCGTCTGTGCGTGAGTGTGAGTGTGGGTGTGAGTGTGAGCTGTTTGCGGAGTCGTGGTCTGGGGTTGAGGCGATCGTTTGTAGTGTGGGGTTTGCCCGGTCTAGTTGCATGGAAGTGCCGTTTAATGTCCAGCGGTAGTGGTTCTTTGCATCGAGAGTTATTCCCACCGGGAGGGATTTGTTGTAGGTTATTTTTTCGGACGGGGTGAAGTCGGGCGTGATGATTGGTATTAGATTTGTGGGATCTTCGTCGATACAACTGTCTGTGTAGTTGTGTGGTGATGTTGTTGGGAGTGTGAGAGGTTCATGATCCTTTTCTCCTGGGTTTCTGTAGGTTATTACACCCCGGATGTTGGCCGCGTTGCTGTTTTTTGAGCAGCTTGTTTGGGGGATTGCGCGGAGCCAGAAAGTTGAGGATTTCTCAGTGGTAGGTTTTTGGTTTGCGTGGACGATGACATCGTAGCGTTGACCTGTCAGTGTTGCATGCTTATGTTAATACTGCGGATTGGTGATTCATACGATCTGTTGGGAATTTTCAGGAATTCTGAGGAGCTTCTGGCATACCTATCGCGATGTCCAGAACCGTTGTGTTATATGGTCTGATTGGAACTAGGTCTGCAGCAATCACTGTGAGGGAATGGTGATCGATACTGAACTTGAAATGGGTATCGCAAGCCGCATTTCCAAGTCGCAATCGATAGCACCGCCCTGGAATAAAGGTCATATTAAAGCGCTTTCCGGTTTGAGCTGGATTGCCGTCTTCTCCAAAGACATTCATCCCATCGATTAAACCATTGTCAACTGTCGGAGGTCCAGAGTTCTGCGCAAACTCCCATAGCTCATCGACAGTTCTTGTATCCCAGTCATTCAAGAAAATTACACCCTTATCATCGTCGTAGTTTGCACTCGCGGGTCCATGGATAATGATACCACCAAAGGCCCCTTCCCATGTCTGCAGTCCGATGTGTGAATGATACCAGGTTGTTCCATATTGGGTCGCATGCCAGCGGTATGTCATTCTCTCCCCGGGTCTGATTGGACACTGAGTAATTGAGACAACACCATCGCTCGGATTTGTATAGTGTTGGCGGATGCCATGGAAGTGCATGCTGGTCCCATTGCGGACAGTACTGGGTATTTTATTCAAAAGGTGAACGACAACTGTGTCGCCCCAGTTGACCTCAATAGTCGGGCCCGGTATCGTACCATTTATTGCCAGAGTCCATCTTGTCCTGCCATCCGGTGCTAGGTATAATTGGTCGAGTTCGAGCCAGAATTCGCGGATGACGCCGGTGTCTGGTGAAATGGTTGTATAATCTGTGTTTATACCGAAGCCGCACCAATCTTGTCGGTTGTTGAAATCGTTCCCTTCACAAGTCTTGTCAAATCTGTTAACTTGGCCGGAGGTTTCTTTCCTGCTAGGTGAGGGCAAAGGAGTATGAAATTCTTGGAGACAGCTGCAAGGGCTTCCGGCTGTCAACAAGCAGAGTAGAAGAGGAATAAGGGGCTTCATATTGCCTGAAATAGAGTCTTATCAACTTGAGCAAAATCACCACACGGCCACTACCGCATTTAAATACAGTCCTTGGTTGAATACCGACGCATGGCCCAACTCAACCTTGGAAATAGCAGGACCAACTCCGATAATCCTCGAAAGATCCAGGTACAGTTCAGCTCATTGTTGCACAGAACTCGATGAGAATCAAATTCGATGCTTGTTATGGTGAGCTAGCGATTCCGAGAACGTGGCTGGGGTGCAAGTTCCCGCAGGGTGATTGACTCAATACATGTGCCCAGATGTGATAGCCTTGGAAACATGCAGCCCCAGGCAGACCATTCCATACTATTTTATTTAATCCAATTTCCAACTGGGCCAATATGCGCATGTTTCTTTATTTCTGCCTTGCTTGTGGAACTTGGGGAAACGACCAGTTGCTAGTGCGAATCGAGCGTTTGTTCCCGACATGAATTTAGATGTTGAAAGCCATGGCCAGGTCAGAAGTTCCCGGTCATATTCACATGCATGCATGCAGACGAAAACGTGACGTGTTGCCAATGAATGACTATTTACTTTTCAGAGTTTCAACCATTTAAATATTGCGAACCGGCTCTCATAACCTCACAAACGCCACCACCTAACAAAGAGCAGACGTGAAAACAAAAGCTATCCCATGCGAAGTAGCAAGAACCTGGGCATTTATCTACTTCGCCCCTAAATCTCGGAAATCCTTGAAACAAGACCCTCCTGCCTTCCCATCCCCGTCAAAAGTAACCCCCCTCGTCTAGGAGTCTTAACCTCTTCTCGTCGCGAAAAGAACCACTACCTATATGCTTGCTAACCTTCCACTCCCCCTTATACCCACCAAGTGAGCGGTCTGCCGCGAGTACTCGGTGACAGGGTACTTCGGGCGCGAAGGGATTCGTGCGCATCGCATTGCCTACCGCCCGCGCGCTGGAGTTGAGGTATGTTGCCATCGCGGAGTATGTTGTCCATCGTCCTTCGGGGACGGAGAGGAGAGCGCGGTAGACGCGTCGGCGAAATGGGGTCAGTGTTGGGTGGAGAGAGATGCGCCGGAGGTACTTTTGATGGATTTCAGTTGGCGTGTTGGTTGTGGTGATTGTGGTGGTTGATTTGGAGGTTGGCTGGGAGTGGGGAGATGGTATGGCCGAGACCACTTGCGATGGTTCTGGGGTTGTTTCTGTTGCCATCGTAGATAGATAGATAGATTTCTCGGTCTCAAGGTAAGCTATTCGTAATTTGTATAACCAGCGTTGGTTTGGGTTGTAGGCGGACAGTGCTGGTTCGACTGCGGACGCGATGAGACGCGTCAAACGCGAACTTGGTTTAGGAAAGATGTACTTTTGCGCAGCTCCTTTGATTTTGGGACAATCCTAGGGATGATGTGTTATGAAAGTAGGACAGTTTATAGGACTCGGAGAAATCTGACTCAAAGCTTTGAAATATAAAATGTGGTGGCGGCATCCGGAGTTGTTGTGGATGTGACCAATCAGAGCCCTGGAGAGCATCTCAACACCAGAGCATCGAATGTCCCAAAAATTGATCACGCGCTTAACAAGTCCCAAGGTTGAAGTTTCAATATATTTTGGATAATTTGATTTGATAATTCCATCCATGCCTACGACAAGGCACATGGTATCTATTCGTTTCCATTTCTAACATTACTCATTATACGCAACCTAGTATCAATATACCGCAAAGTACGTATAGTACTTCTCTGCAAGTTATACCTCGACAGAAGTGAGAATCCCTGGATTCATCTCAAGCGTGATCAACGTGCTCCGCAGCACTAGTAGCATTCTCCTCCGCCTTCGCAATCTCGAATGACTTGCCCGCCTCTGGGTCCAGAACACTGTTCTTGCGGCTGATAGCTTGGACCATACCAGGGTTCTCAGCCTTGAGGCGAGCAAAGGTCTTTTCAGCCTCCCAGGCCCATGGGCTTGGAGAAGCAAACAGAAGATCCATATCTTCCAGAGTACGCTGGCTACTCTCCGGATATAAAGCCCACACCATGGGGATCGTGATGACGTTGCTGGCGGCAAATACATAAAGAGTCTTTTCACCGATGGCTCCGAACATGACGGGACACAGAAGGGTCTATATGAGTTTCAAATGTCAGTATCATATTGAATAGTTTTCTCAAAATGCATCCAAAACTTACCAGCCATCCGTTTCCAATGCTCCAACCAACAACACCCCAGGCATTTCCACGAGCACGAACAGCCAGAGGGAAGATCTCAGCCGGGTACACCCAGGGCACGGTCAACCAGGTAGCTCCGAAAGTCGAGGTGAAAATGAAGATCATGGAGGCTGCTGCTGCACCATATGATGACGCTTGGCCCATGTCACCATCGTCTTTGGCATTTATGGCGAGGCGTGAGAATCCACCGGCGAGGAACATGGCGATACCCTGTACTATCGAGCCCCAGTATAGCGTCCAGCGGCGACCAATGCGATCCAAAGTGAAAACACAGACGAGAGTAGCAAACTAAAACACGAAAAGAAGTATCAGCAGGAAGATAAAAAAAGATAGATGTGCCACCTATAAACATACCATGTAGAACACATTGTTCAATCCACTAATCCACTGACTCTTCCTTGAGTCGAACCCAGCAATGCTGAAGATAGTCGGCGCGTAAACGGTGACACCAGCGATACCGACCCATTCTTGCATGATTTGCAACCAGACAACCAGTTGCACGCGACGACCAATGTGAAGATCTCCAGACTTGTAGCCAAAGAGCATGGAAAGATAAGAGTGTCCGCCACCGTGAACTACGGTCTTCTCCATCTCAGCGATGGCCTGAATATCCAGGAACTCGGCCTCGGCACGGACGCGATCCTCGGGGCTGCTACCACGAAGTCGTTGAAGAATATACCGGGCTTCCTCCTCGCGGCCGACACTGACCAACCAACGTGGGGACTCGGGGAAAAACCAGACGACTCCAAAAAGAACAAGGAGGAAGAGGATTTGGAAAGCGATAGGGAATCTCCACTGGAAGGCCGACTTGCCGCCATCAATGAATGACAGACCACTGCGCAGCTGTTAGTGGCATAGTCAACAAAATAGAGCAGTTATTTACTCACAATTCTAGCCAGTAAGCCATGACAACACCAAAAATGTTCAGAGTAAATTCAATGGCAATGAATTGACCACGCGAAGTGTGCTCAGCGGTCTCCGTGGCCCAGACAGGAACGATGGCGTTTAAAATACCCGTGCCAATGCCGTTGATAAACCGCGCTGTTGGCTTCGTCAATCACAGACTCTCGGAGCTGTCAGACCATAAGTAGGGTGATCACTTACAGCAAATCATCCAATTGTGGTTTTGGGCCGAGCACTGCAGACTCGCACCTAGGATCGCCCAAATTGCCCCAGCAGCGATGGTCTTGATTCTGCCCATGCGATCACCCAGCCAGCCGCCGAAAAGACCGCCGAATAGAGTTCCCAGATAATAAACCGCCACAATACCACCCTGCAGCAAAGAATTGGTGACCACCGGTGTTGGTTCTCCTTCCACCATCTCGGTGTAGCCGAACCCCATTAGATCGATATAGTTCTTGGAGTTGTTGACCCCAGACATCATTCCCTGGTCATAACCAAAGAATAGAATTGATAGCGCTGCAACACAGTTGATGGCTACGAGAAGCCCTCGCTTCTCCAGCTTGTGGACAACATTCCAAGAGGAGATCTTGTCGCTCATGATGAACGAAAGGGGACGCAACGATCTAAAATTGATGATTTCCCAGATGCATTACCCGTGCGGGGACGGGGGAGGAGGGGTATCTATAGAATTGAGAAAAGGCGGAAGGAAAAGAAAGAAGAAGGTGATCGACCGGTCACTGGGTGACTCAATGCAAGATCACTCAAAGCAACCGACCAGTCGAGCCCCGTGGGGAATCGTGCCAGATGCAGGACAGCGACGGAACTCGAAGTTTGCGGTCCGACATCATGTCCAACGGGGCCTTTTAACCAGTTTCGCCCGAGAAGTCGACTTGAATCCGCAACTGGAGGGACAGTCGAAGATGCGATTGGATCCCCCACCTGCAGAAGACCGACAAGGAAACTTCCCCACGAGGATCGGCCGACTGTCGCCCCAGGAAGAGCAGGTAGCGGGAGCCTCCGATCTGGTTACATCGAGTTCACGAGCACAAACAAGAGAGGGGGACGTGAGTCTTAGACCCTCGTCGTCTCCACTGTGAAATTCAAATCCGGGTTGATTTGGTCATAGTGGAGGACAAGTGCTTTCGGGTTCCCCTCAAGCGGAAGAAGAACTGGGGAGACGCGGGGATGTTCCTTTTAACCGACACCCGCTGGAATCGGCAATCCGACAGGCACGGCATTTGGTTAAGGTTTTTCGCCCCTGATTTTCTGCCTCGAACAAACTGCTAAAAGTCAGAATGAAGGCTCCCATCCTCAAGATTGTCAATTGGAGCCATGGGACTAAAAGCCCCAGCCATCGTTCTAAGGATGATACATGTTCAGTATCGGTTAATTTCTTGCATTTCCTCGTAGCATTCTGTCATTCCCCAGCCTCGGCGACATCGGGGCAAAGTCTACTCCGGTGAGCCCACACTCCGAAGGGGCCAGGCCAATAGGCGGGTTTGTTCGGGGTGGTCCCACCAGAAGCAAGGTTAACCCCGGAGACTCGCGATACGCAGTCTCCAGACTTTGTCTAAACTCGGCAAGCCGGGGGAAACAATGCAGTCAATGATCCACCGAACCGGAACAAAGATGTCTTGGTATACTAGTATCGCCCTAATCTGCTTGGCCTTTTTACTTCTCTTGCTTTACCTAGTGGCGTCGAACGATCACCGGAAGTTCGCCGACTCCAAGCCATGTCCCATCAAATAATTCTATATCCGGCCCAGTTCCAGAGTACGGAGTATTCTCGTATGTATGCCGAGAATCTGATAAAGGCTTTTAAGGTTATCATATTGTCACGCGATGCATATTTTCTATTTTCCGAATGACGTCTTTAGTACGCCCTATGGTCCGGGCTAAAGCCGAGATCCCCACTCTTGCGGGAAGGTCGAGATAGAATTAACCGCGGAGGGCGGTAGTTGATCATGGCATATTTGACGCCGAGGATTATCATTGTGCTTTCCGGTACGGAGTAAGTATCTCATTATAGACATTATATTGACTCATTGCGAAATAATCGAGGGCGATCGAGCTTTATCTAAGATTTATCCTTAGACAGGTCAGAAGAACGGGGATGAGCACTGTGTCTTCTCGTAACAACTTGAAATACCACTCATCTGTTAGCTATAAGCCAACTGGAACCTTGGAACTTGAACCGAGCAAACAAAATATCCCCTTTTTGCCCCAGACTAAGCAAACGACCAGCCACCAGTCTTGTCAGCAAAGAAGTTATCCGGGTCATACTTCTTTTTGATCTCCTGAAGTTTCGAAAAGGCCGAGAATGTCTGTAGAGGATTTTGGTCGTGGTTCGCATCATTAATGAAAAGAGGGAGATCATCTGCATTGTCGACCGACGCAACCATATCACGGTAGCTAGCCTGAACAGCGTTGTAATCTGGCTCACTCATTCCGGGTGGCGTAGTGATCAAATAATTCAACCAAAACCACGGACCATCCGGCATCTGCATTGCATTGCCACCCTGGGCCTTGCTGGCATCTGTCAGACTCTTCGGAACGGGCTGGAAGTCCAGCGACAGGAGGACATATTTTCCCTTGTTGGATTCAGCCCAGTTACGCCACACATCCAGAGCATTTTCATAACTTCCATTGTCCGCACGATGAACGCCCACGCGGAACATGTTGGAGCCACGGGAAAGCTCTGTCGACATTGGGATAGGCATATCCACAACTTCGGGGTATGTTTTAAGGCTCATTGTGTTGAGAAGGGAAGGGATGCTGGTGAAGTTTTTAAATGCATCGCCTGGGTTTTCACCGTCATAGACGAGGAACATAATGATAGCCTCATCGATATTCAGGTTCAGATCCGGTGTAGGCAGCTTCTCGTAGGTGCCGATGATAGCCGCCTTAGGGTCAGTGTTGTATTTTATGAAGTCGCCGATCGCTGAGATGACATCGTCCTTCTGGGAAAAGAGATAGATGATATTTCCAGCATAGAGTTGACCGATCGGACGGCTCTGGACTGTATACTTGGTGACAACTCCGTACGCGTTGCCACCGCCACCTCGCGACGCGAAGAATAGATCGGGGTTCGACTTCTCCGAGGCAGTGACAATTTCACCGCTAGGAAGGACAATTTCCAACTCTCGGAATGAATCGCAGGCCATGCCATATTGGGGCGAAAGGTAGCTCATACCGCCACCCAGAGCAAGACCGGTTCCCACCCCGGCAAGTCGTGCTCCAACCACTGTGCGATTATATTGCACATAATAGTCATAGATATCGCCAAATACTCCGCCTGGTTGGTAAGTAGCGAGAGTTGTGTCTGGGTCGTAAGATCTTTCCGTCATGCTGCTCAAATCGAGAAGCACGCCCTTGTCAACAGATGAATAGTATGTGTTCGGATTGTGACCGCCAGCTTTGATTGCAAAGCGGCTGTCGGCGGCTCGAATCGCCTGGAGGGCGGTTGAAACATCCTGGGCATTCTTGGGATAGACGATGCACGAAGGCTTATAATCATCTTGTATAGTGTTCCAATATTCGGTGCTGCCCACGTAATCCAAGCTGTACTTATTGCTGGTGACTTTCGACGAGCCCAGCTGACTGGTTATATTTGAGCATGCTGAGGTACCTGCCGCAGAAGCTGCAGCAGAGACGCCTGTCAACAAGGAAAGAAGGAATGCAATCATGGCGCACAGCAACGCGGGTTGTGGATGAGAATCAGAAAGGGACGAAAGCCTTCAAATATCTCCCCACTATCCTCCTTCACGTGGAATGAACAGACGTGATGCGCGAGCTTCCTCGGTCGTAATAATTTATACGACAGGAATACGACAACGGCGAGGGGTGAGCGTTAAAAAAGGGTGAAGAACGGCCAATCTACTAACCAGTTCAGGGGAGGTTAAATGTGGGTCAACATTCCGAATTTGCTGATGCTCGAACTACGACTAGCATACCACAGCCCGAATGTTAGGAAGATAGGGTTCCTCGGCAATTGTATACGATGGAATACGATAACGTTGAAATCATTTCCTAGCATAGTTAGTGACCTGTCGATCACTATCTCGAATGGGCGACGGGAGCGAAGGATCTCCTTTCTCCCTCTCTCCTCCTCGGAGAACACCCTCAAAAAGGCGTGGTCTCTTGTCGTTCAGGCATAAAAATCAGGAGCGTGTGTCGAATATCATGGGTTCAAAGAGTACCCCAAAATTTCAACTCCGAGGCATTTCTTAGCGATGCAATTATTGTATAAAACCTCCCCGCCTTGTTTGGCAATAAAACACTTAATTGTTTCGGATTTTGAATCCCTTCAGAAAAATAAGACACAACAAGACTGGATAGAGAGAGGTTTGCGAAAAAAGGAAGTATAATCGTCTGAACATTGACAATCTCGCGACAATCGCCAATCATATCCCGGTCAGGTACCAAGCCAATCAATGCGCAGAAGCAGATGAATCAGATGGGCAATGTTAACTATGAGTTAATTTCTACAATAATCCCCACGGCTTGCTCGGGGTATAGAGAAAATGAAGCTTTGCAAAAGTTTCCGGCTTATAGACCAACCTTCAGCTACTAAACATGCTCCGCCATGGCAATCACAGAGCTACTCAAGGCTGCCACGAGATCCCAACCCAGGAAATTGAAGGTCTCATTTGAGAAAGCGTAAGGTTTTATTGGCAGCCAGATATACCCGAAGCAAAGAAAGCAGATTTGAGGCCAGCACAAACGCCTCTTCTCAACATCATGTTGATGTCACCACGCCCACAGAATTAGCTACTGTCCAGCATAACTTCTTTTTACCACTCAGCCAAAAGTCAGGCTTTTAGAAGAAACACAAACGCTGCCCTCTTTATTTTATATTCTTATTCCTTGGTTTCTTCTCAAATGTGCCTCACGCCGGCCTAATAGAGCAGCAACAAAACCTTTCTTGATATAATCTTGCTATTCAGCACCAATGTGGCCATCACTCTCAGACACCTCCATCATCGGCTTTCTGTTCCTTTTGGCCCTCTATCTACAACCTCGACGTCGCCAAGATCCAAATTGGACATACAGACAAGCGTTCACATGTGCTCTTATGAAGGTAGGGCTGCAAAAATTTGTCACCTTCCGAATCAAGCCATCACTATCCTTGAAACCGGGACGGGAAAAGGATCGGTTCGTTCTAGTCGATCCGGCGTTACCAGAAGCGTATTATGGGGTGGCAGAGGACAATGATGTTTGGCCGGAGACTATCGGAGGCACCTGGTATCCAAACCGTTTCTCTTCAGACACTATCGTTCCTGAAGGCCAGCATGTCATTCTCCATTTCCATGGCGGCTCCTATATAATGGGAGATGGTCGCACGAAATTTACTCGCTTTCTAGCCGACAACCTTCTGGACAACTCTTCCGCCCTTTATGTTTTCTGTCCGCAGTACAGATTATCCGGTCTACCACAAGGGCATTTCCCTGCACAGCTTCAAGATGCTATTTCCTCATACTCCTATCTGGTTTATACGCTCCATATACCAGCGTCGCAAATCGTTTTGAGTGGTGATAGCGCAGGGGCACACCTTGTTCTCGGGCTTCTCAGATATATCGTTCAAATGGATAATCCATTTATTCTTCCTGCGCCTTTATGCAATTGGGTCTTTTCGCCATGGTGCGATGTTCCGGCTGCCATCGATACCTCGGACTGGCACAGGGACCCAAATTACAAAACTGAATACATTCCCGCGACTCTTCCAGCTTGGGGGGGCAAAGAACTATCTCAGAGACCTGGACATTACCGGCCCTATCGAGGAGCAAGTTATCCCACTCAGACATCCGTTCATATTGCCCTCGCCACTGCTTATAGTTACTGGAGGGAGAGAGATCCTATTACAGCAACACTTGCAACTTGCCCAGGCCTTCTTGAAGATACCGGAGAATATGGACTGTGTTGATCTATATAAGGAAGATGGGGTTCCCCATGATGTTTTGGCTATTGGTGGTGTTGCGAATTTCCGCCATGGGGCACTTAAATGCGCAAGGAAAGCGGGGGATTTCCTTCAAAATCTACAAACGGAAAGACGGGGGTTTAAAGCGGAATTTTTCACAAGATCGGAAGATAACTTTGAAAATCTAGATAACGAGAAGCCTGGAACACCGGTCTAGAAGGAATCGAATTCGCTATTTTCCATACACAAAAAGCCGGCTGCTTAGAGGCTCGGAGGTCTTTTCTCTCGGGGGTCCGGTAGGCTTGCCAAAGACCAGCTGTGATTTAGATTTCCATTCTTTTGGTACCTTCCATTGTTCGGATATGCGAGCATCGATCATAGGATTGTAGTGTTGCAAATTGCAACCAAGTCCTTCGGCTTCTAGTAGTGTCCAAACTACCAGTGCTGTTAGTACTAATTTTCATCGGCGTTGAGTAGGGATTTCACTCACCAGCAAGCTGGCTCATTCCACTTGCATGATCCAACCATTCAGGAAATTTGTCTTTAATTATAGGCATTTTCACTTCCAGGGGTTTGAACACAGCAGGGTCCTCGTAGAATAGAACCTATCGATGCATTAGTATAAGAAATAAATCCTTCTCTGTATTAGAATCAAACTTACCGTTCCATATGCGGCACGAAAGCCAGCAATACGGGCTCGGTAAAGATTTTCAAATTGCTCGATAGGCACACTAGCACTGGCGATTTCATGGGCGATATCCCATAGTTTTTGGTGTTCTTCCTTCAACAAAACAACCATGCGGGTTCCTTGGGTGTTGAATCCACTGGGCATGTTTTTCATCACTTCGGAGAGGATCTCTTCAATACGCTCGTCGGAAATTGTAGACTCATTTGCCAGAGAGTAAACGGATCGACGGCCCTTGAAGCCCGCGAGGATTGAGGGAGCCAGGTTAGACATGACTGGGTATTTTTCACTGAATGGGATAATCTGAATAGAGTAATCTGAATAGAGTAATCTGAATGGGATAATCTGTGATGATGGACCTCAGGATGCTTATGGACTGTTTATTGTCGATTGGGAATATACCTTATATACCTTCTGTCAAGCTGTTTTTTGTCGGGGACGGAGCGCCGACATACCGATCTCACGGTTTAGCCTTTGGGGGCTAAGCGGAGATAAAGCGAGCCTTGCGGGAGCTTAAGCGGAGTAAGCAGAGTTAATCCGCCGCATCCAATCCTGAAATATTAATACTAACCCGATACAGTATGTGGCTCACCTCTATAAATGTCTACACAAGGCTAGTAGTATATTTATAAGCTCTGCTGACTGTATCAAGATGCTCAGGATTTAACCCCTGACCTAGGATCCACCAGGATGGTTTTGTTTTGACGGAGAATGATATGGAAAAGATCACACAGTACTCCGTACTACATAGGGTTGATATTTCCAGGAGACGGATACCGTAATTCGTATCTACAAAACAAAAGTAAATACTAGATGCCAAAACTGCCAAAATTCGTACTAAAGCGATACTTGAGAATATGGATTAGCGTGACGAACCTCGCATATCAGTTCAAATACATGTCCATCGGGTAAAAGAGGGGAGGTTTCGCTTTGAGAATACTTCTAGCGTGTGAAATCTGTTAAGGATCAATCCCCCCTCCGATAAAAAGCTTTCTACTACAACTTATTGCAAAGAGCCCTATAGTTCAAATTCAGGGCCCAGAACAAATTTATTGTCGGTCTCTGGAAATCGAGATTTAAGTGGAATTTCTTTTTGGAATACATCAATAAAAAAATAAGATAAAAAAAGTGCTGTTTCAACATCAAAGTTTCAGTATATTGTTCCCGCCGCCCATAAAGCATAACTTGGAGCCAGGCACAGGAACGGGCGACGCGACCGATCTTCGGGCACATTCCGCCTGCCATCGAGCTGCTTTCTGCCACCCAACAAATCGCTCATAGCAATCGCCTTAGAACTGGATTTTCGCAGTGCTTCACTTTTGTACTGTCGAATGAACTATGGGAATATTACAATCATGACGAGGAAACTATCTTTTAACCAATTCTCCTTTTCTTTTCTTTTTTGGCTGTCACAACGAGGTAAATTAGGTAAGTTTTGTTGCTCCTTTTTTTTACTTTCTCAACAAGTCACCACAACCGCCGATAGGCGGAGATTCTCCGATACAAATCCTGGGCTTGCCCCAACAAAGCTCCAGCTCAACTCATCGGGGTCACAAAGATAACTACGAGTGCTCGCACGTCTTGAGAAATGCTTTGATCTTCCGCCGTAACAGCAAAGATAGAATGAAGCGGTGACCAATGGCCACTTACGATTTATAAGCTCAACCCTTCCGCGGGCTTGCCACATCTATGAATCCGGGGATCGCCGCCCTGGAGACATACGCATACAATCCTTCTCCTTCCAAGGCTCACTTCTGATGATCGAGGTATACTAGTTACTGGGCAACATTTGGGCAATTACTTGTAACTAGTACTCCCCTTTCCAAGTAGGTCGATAACAAATTAAGTGTACGACGAGTCACGGTTCGTACATAAGGATATAGGTAGGCAGTAACTAGTAGTAGGTATGATCGCAGTTCACATCCATTCATTTTCAAGCTGTACTATGATATTCTCCGCAGCCCGGACTAGTCCGATGTTGACTTGTTCCCACACGGGCCGGTCTCCGGCGTTAAACCATAGACAAAGGAGGTGTGAAAAAGGACTTAGATTCTCTCAAGTATTACAGACAAAGGTAGGAGTAATGCCAACGCATTTCCCTAAAGACCTCGAGGACTCTCAAGCACTTACTAGTAGTAGTCAACGGTGAATATGTCATGCCGAGAGTAGCCGTGGTAAGAGAGGGGATCGGAGGATCCGGTAAACCTGATCGCCCTTTCAAGCCCCGCGGACATCAAGGACGACTAGGGGCGTCATTTGGGCAGGCTAACTTTAAAGGCACTAGGAATAGAGAGGTCTTCCCGGGGTAGATCTGGCCGGCCAGGTGGAGAGCGGAAAAGGTCTTCATGGTTCCCGGAGGCTTCACACCCGTATAGCCGTACGGTACTAGTATACAAGATTCTCATGTTGCCCTGGCGATATACCTTTCACACAGAGAGTGCTATAACTATACAAGTAGTGAGATACTCCGTAGTTGATACCGTCAATCACCACTGTCGAGTCATCTTTGCAGTTGAATCGGCATCCCCGGCAAACACGTCAACTTGCCGAGTCGACCCAAATGGGGCTTACCTAATATCTCCAAACCGCGAAAGCTCAGTCCTTTCCCGCCAGATTGGACCTTCAAGACAACTCATCTCCTCCCCCCAATTCTCACCCTCCCCTACCTCCAGGCTAATTTCCAGGAGGACTTTTTTTCCCTCCCCCCTTCTCTCTGTTATCTGTCTCCGTATCTGTCTCTCGTCATGTTCCGCACCGTTCTCCCCCGTGCTGCGCCGCGGGCTGCGCTCCGCGCCGGCTCCAAGGCTGTGCCTTCCACCTTCATTGCTCCCTCTATGCTCTTCATTGGCCGCTCAAGTCGCGGCTATGCCTCTGAAGCCGGTAAGTTTATGCTTGAACAACTTCTCGGGGACGATTCCGACTGCTCTCCGTGCTCCCCGGTGGACGATTGCTGATTTCCGGTGTGCCCAACAACAGGAGACCACGACCTCGTCATCATCGGTGGTGGTGTCGCCGGTTACGTTGCCGCCATCAAGGCTGGTCAGGAGGGTCTGAAGGTATGTTTGAATTCCATTTTGACACCGCATCCAACAGGTGGAGCTGTGTTGATCGCAACCTTGAAATTTTGCTAACCAGAAGAAACCTGTCTAGACTGCCTGTATCGAGAAGCGCGGAACCCTCGGTGGTACTTGCCTGAACGTCGGCTGCATTCCCTCAAAGTCCCTGCTCAACAACTCCCACCTCTACCACCAGATCCTCCACGACTCCAAGAAGCGCGGTATCGAAGTTGGTGATGTCCAGCTCAACCTTGGACAGATGATGAAGGCCAAGGACCAGTCCGTTGAGGGTCTGACCAAGGGTGTGGAGTTCCTGCTCAAGAAGAACGGTGTCGACTACATCAAGGGTGCCGGTTCCTTCGTCGATGGCAACACTATCAAGGTTGCCCTCAACGAGGGTGGCGAGCAGACCGTCCGCGGCAAGAACATCCTGATTGCCACCGGTTCCGAAGCCACCCCCTTCCCCGGCCTGAACATCGACGAGAAGCGCATCATCACCAGCACTGGTGCTCTTACCCTCACTGAGGTCCCCAAGAAGATGGTTGTCATTGGTGGTGGTATTATCGGTCTCGAGATGGTGCGTTTATTATCTGCCACTCTGATTATACCTAGTAAACTAACACTCCTTGTCATTATAGGCCTCCGTTTGGTCCCGTCTCGGTGCTCAGGTCACCGTTGTTGAGTTCCTCGGCCAGATCGGTGGTCCCGGTATGGATGCCGAGATCGCCAAGCAGGCCCAAAAGATCCTGGGCAAGCAGGGCATCAAGTTCAAGACTGGCACCAAGGTCGTCAACGGTGATGACAGCGGAGCTACCGTCGCCCTGAACGTTGAGTCGGCTAAGGGCGGTAAGGAGGAGACTCTGGACGCTGATGTTGTCCTGGTCGCCATTGGCCGTCGTCCCTACACCGAGGGCCTGAACCTCGAGAACGTCGGTATCGACAAGGACGACCGTGGCCGTCTCGTCATCGACCAGGAGTACCGCACCAAGCTGCCCCACGTCCGCGTTGTTGGTGATGTTACCTTCGGCCCCATGCTGGCCCACAAAGCCGAGGAGGAGGCCGTTGCTGTCATCGAGTACATCAAGAAGGGCCACGGTCACGTTAACTACGCCGCCATTCCTCCCGTCATGTACACCCACCCCGAGGTCGCCTGGGTCGGCCAAAACAAGGCCGAGGTCAAGGCCTCCGGTGTCAAGTACAACGTCGGATCTTTCCCCTTCAGCGCCAACTCCCGTGCCAAGACCAACCTCGACACTGAGGGTCTCGTCAAGATCATCGCTGATGCCGAGACTGACCGCATCCTGGGTGCCCACATCATCGGCCCCGGTGCCGGTGAGATGATCGCCGAGGCTACCCTCGCCATTGAGTACGGTGCTTCAAGTGAGGATGTTGCCCGCACTTGCCACGCCCACCCTACCCTCTCCGAGGCTTTCAAGGAGGCCGCCATGGCCACCCACTCCAAGGCCATCCACTTCTAGACGTTGACGCAGTTGCGATTTCGATATCCTCTCACCCCCGTGTACTACTTTTGTTGGAGTTTTAGTCTAGCTTCGCTAGCAAACTACATGTAGCATTTCATGTAATCATTTCTTTCTGTTATTATCTCTAAAACACACACTACCAATCCTAGTGCCTTTGCATCTCGTTAGCCAATTGCTTCATGTTAACCGCCCAAGATATCTTTCCAGGACGTGTAGACTTACTTACTATACCAGTACTAGTACGTTAAACTTACAATTCAACTTGAAGTTTGAAAAAAAAAAGTATGGCGTGGTGGACCTGCAAATATCATAGTTCGCCCGTGTTCTACTAGGTAAAACCTGGAGGTATGACTACCATCATATCTTCAATTGCTCGCAACCCTTTATTTCCAAATTCCAGCAAATCGCTGCTTGGTATGGCAGGGATGAGTTGGATTTATCATTATCAAACCCTTCGAATGTGTTCGCCGTGCCCCGATAAAGAAGACGGCCTGGCCAATTGGGCGGCTATAACCCCCATCATTAAACTGCGCATCATTCCATGGGAGCCAAGAAGAATTTCAGCTATTCAAGCTCTCCATTCAAAGTCGTGTCAAGCTCGTCAAAGTAGACTTTAGCGATCCGACCTGACAAAACCTTGTCTCGTATTTTCTGGAAAACAACCGGCAGGCTGGAGTGGTCAAGGAACTGTGAAACATTGCAATTCACCTCGGGGTATTGTGGTTTCAGTTTGACTGACTGTTGATGGAGCCGTTCCTTGGAATTACTGGCAGACTTTCCTTGTATGACCTTCTGCATGATCTGTTTGGTGCCAAAGGATTTTCCAGAGCCTGGTGACACTCCGATAGAAAGTGGTTTTTGGGAGGCTTTGCAAGATATTCCTGCACCTTATTTGAGATGTAATGGAATTTATCCATTACCTCCCTGTCGGCTACGGACATCTTGGCAAACTTGGCTGTGGGGATAGATGCTAGTGATCCATCCTCTTCCCGGGCGTTCACAATACCTTCAGCTAGGTCAAAGATTTTCTTTTCCAAACTGCGTCGAGGATGAGGTCTTCGCTCCACGTATTGTTCGAATATGGACCATGTCTCGCGTTTTTCAGGTGTTGATGGTATTTCAGAACATTCAATGTTCTGAATTAGCTCCATTTCGAAGTCCAAGTCCGGGTATTGTGGGCACCAATTTTCGGGTCTCTCGGATGCAGGGAATCTTTTTTCTGCGAGGGATTGAACATTGCTTAACCCTTTTGTGATCGGTTCTCGAAGATCAATGTCTGCTAGAGCTCGACGTGGGTGATTATTTATCTCGCTTCTCACGCTGTATATCAATCCACTTGTAAACGCAGCTTGGAGGGACGGGCGAGGTACAGAGTATGGTGGTGTCACAACAGCTGCACCATTCTCTAGATCGAAGTAGAGCTGATTTAGTGACGGATTCTGCCGCAAGACGACCGCGCCGGAGGAACCAATTCGAATGATCCATTGGACTGTCGCCGTAAATTCACCTGGAGAGTCTGGTATTTCAGCGGGCTTGAAGAGATCTACTATATCCGCAGCTATTTTCTCCCATGATGACTTCGGCGTGATTGATATTCCGTTGTCCCTTAGATCATCGGCATCGATAATAATAAGCAGATGTCTCAAGTCAGGATTCCTGAGGATTTTGAAGATCCCTGAAGTTTGGTTCGCAGTCTGCGATATCTGCTTTGGGTTTCTGGTACTATAGAAGACATAAGATGATCTGCAGTCTCCCAGACAAGATCGCCACTTTTCCGTGGAAATTATTTCGCCTTCTGGATCGTCGATCACGAGGAACTGACTTGATATGCTTTTCCAGGCTAGAGGGGGATTCTGTGGGCTTTCGTCATTTGATAATCGGATATCGATAGGCAGAAGCGGAGAGGTTGCATCAAATGACCGTTGAGAGTTAACTTCGGATTTTCTATCGACCAAAGACAACTCGTTCATGGAGAACAGAGAGTTCGCACATCTGATCTCCTTGGTCTCGGACTGATGGTTATCAATGTCTTGAAAAATCGAGGTGGTACTGTTTTCGCTTTCTTCAAACATAAATTTGCGCAAGAGCCTTGGTCCGGCCTCCAGACCTTGGAGGGATTGGATATCCCCTTTTTGGAAAGAAAAAAGATCAACTCGATCTCTTCCTAGCACCGTAATATCGGGCTCTCCATTCATACTGGGTAGTAGGGGTGACATGGCCATGATAACTGAATAGAGTACGCGATGATTAGGAAACGAGGTCCTGAGTAATAAGCGTGCGGGAAATAGTTGGAAATGATTTCTGCCTGGGAGTGGGGGGCTATTAATTTAAGCCGGATACTATATAATAGTAGGCTGATAAGTTCCAATAGCCCAGATATCGCCCGGCCATTTTACATTCACTCCCGGGATAGATCCTACCAATCGCAACAAAAAGAAAACCGAACGAACTATATGGTAGCATCATATATCTGAAAATAGTCAAAATTACCGCGGTATACGTTGGGTTTCTCTTTGAGTCATGGGCTCCCGCCATAATGTTTTTGAATGCTCTGGTTCTCATCTAGCTTGACCCATGACATCAAGTCTTTCCTTATAAGACAATCTAGACTGAGGCATTATTATCACCTACGCCTTATGCAAATCGTTACGGAGCAGGCGCACCGTGAAAGGAACTAAATTTCAGGTCTTGAATATAGCCTGGAGGAGTACTCGTTTAAATTCAAAAACTATTTCATTCCTCATACCAGGGGTTGGTCAGTATGATGACGCGTATTAACATCGAATCCCATCAGCTCATGATCAGATGCGCGAAAAAAAAGTACGAGTACGAGCGTATTCTCTTGAAAGGTCTCGCCGCAGCGAATCTAATCATGTTCTTAGGTACGAAGTTCTATAGGTGGTTCGAACTGCCGTGCAAAACTTTAAGAGAATCTAGACCCGTCAACCCATATGTTAAGGCCTGCCGGGCCGGATCCGACAGAACTCAACTCTTACTGCGCCGCACAAATATTCTCCCATCCATGGCTCAAGTCTTAAGAACAGGTCGTTATCGCCCAAACTATCCGTGACATTCCCCGCGTCCTGGCATTCCGTCACGGTCCCGACCACTGTGAGCGTACCCCGGCCGGATTCAGACTTCGAGATCACGGGATAAGACAGAGAACAACAACCAAAACCAACTAGCAAGGTGGCTTTTCATTGTGAAATTTTAGTCCACTACCTGCCGAGAAGGGCTGTGCGAGGTAGGTGATTAGGGGTCGGTATGCTTGTGGCGGCCTGGCAATTTACCATAACAACCGCGGGCGCGACACACATACATAGAAGATGAAAAAACAACAGACAAAAATGAAACTCCGATAGGGGGAATCGAACCCCCGGCTGCCGTGTGAGAGACGGCGATGTTAGCCACTACACCATATCGGAGAATTGTTGAATATCGGTACAGGGCTTGGCATCAAGAGCTTGGGTTAGCGTGGTCGGGTTCTGCGCTCCGGTGCGTGGTAGTATATAATGATCAGCTTTCCCCCTCCTATCCAAATTTCCACATTTTCCTTTTTCGGCCCTCAGCTGAGGTGTTTTTGCTATTGATCTGGATCACTGAGCTCCAGAGTTCCGCCTCCCCCTTTCGCCTGTGTGTAACTCGTCAGCCCCGCAGTTTTGTGCCGGTAATCCTGCGCTGCCCTCTCTCGTCTGGCTGTCTTCTGTTGCTTAGCTCTGACCATAGGCGCTCAATGTGAGATAGCCCCTTCTCCCAACCAGCGACATCGGCCTGCTAGTTGACCTCTACGCATACAGGCATATCCACCCTATATTTGACTTAGATAATCATCACTAAGGTATTGGAGATGGGAGAAACCCCCATCTCGGGATTTTGATTTTGGTTGCCCCTTTTGTTTTGATAGAACTTGAGAGAGACCTAGATGGAGTGGCTTGACCTTCCAAGTCGCTCCTATTCCCCTCTATTCCTCCTGGGTCCCTCCCTTCAAATAATCAGACCTTTGTCTTTTCTTATGTGCTTTTGTCTCCTATACAACCCTAGTCTACGTGCAAGTACGATTGCATTACTCGATATAACAAGCTCAACAAATCTCCTTAGCGCGGCTGACTCGGAAGGCTCGCTGCTATTGATGGTACCAGACACAGTCTCGTCACAAAATGGCACTCCCCTGTTATAACTATATGATATAAGCCTATTTTAAACCTTTTCACTGTCTATCAAAGCGATCCCAGCCAATACCATGACCAAAGGCCGTATGAATTAGTTCTCGTCCATTATAGCTTATATTACTTGCATAATTCCTTGCTAATCCATCCCAGGCATCAACTAAGACGACTGCTATTATAAATTATAAAACCTATCCAGTCAACTACTAATGTCGTATTAAACTAAGAGAATACACCCAGTAGATATCGGTTCTTCATTTTATTTAGATCCGGTCACCAGGATTTCCCTCACAGTATTCAGGGGCAATTGACTATACTTTGATTCCTCAACAAATTTCTGTTAATCCAAACTGGAATTCAATAGAAATATTCGGCCGAACAACTCCCATCCTCCTCATCTATCCAAAGAATCTTCCGAAGATCTTCCACGCCCATGAACTCCGTGGCTCTCGCTGTGCACAAAACTCATTCCATTCCCAGATCCGAAGTTTACCCAATGGATCCCCCGAGGTATCTTCTTTCCACATATTTTGTGGGGGATACGGGGACGAATCGAAGACAAGCCTGTATGCGAAGTTCGCCGCAGCCGAAGTGGACAATCCTAGTTTCTTATCTTCACCTGTGATAAACTCGCCTTTCTCGATGCGGATGGCAAATTTCCGGGAGGTGAAGGCGTCGTCAGAGAGACGTAAGGAATTGACCGCAGCGTTGCCTTGTTTCTTGTCAACTACGACCGGTTTGTTCTTTTTGAACGGCGAAAAAAAAGGACTGTAGCGATTGGTCAGAGATATTTCTATCTCACATTGACACACTGGAGAGCTTCGTGTATCGATTTCGGAGTCAAGTATCTCGGGATTCTGGGCTTTCCAGTCGAACTCTGCGGCGATGAACATGCAAAACTCGCGGCGGGCAAAGAGCTGAATAATATCAGCGTGAATATTCATGATATCGTCTCGGCTCGAGCTGAGAGCCTTTTGCATGCTCTGCTGACATGAGTTAACTTACATTCCCCGTGCCGTTTGTCTTGAATTCGATCCAGGATTCGTCATTCGAGTCCCAGTACCAGAACTTGTCGCAAAGAAGCGACTTCAACGTTGATTTCATCTTGGAGATGGTGGAAGAGAAGCTCTATTCAGATCTTGCAAGTTTTAAGAAGTGGGATATGAGGACTCCTTTGGATCCTGCTTATCCGGCATCTTGAGTGATCTAATACAAATCACCAGGCTGCCCGCAGGAAGCCAAAATTCATGGGGCCAAAAGACAAGGGGCCAAAGGCAACTATTTTTGACCCCCTTATGACGTCATCCGTGACTAGAGAGCGCTGGGTTGTTTACCTGACGATAAACAAACCTGTGCAATACCTCACAGGAAATACAGCACTTGTAATAAAACTCGAACGGTCGAACTCCCTGCCGTACCCTTCTGCTCTCGCAGAGTGCTCTATCAATTTTCATTTACAATGGTTATATATTTCCCCTAGACACATCGATTCCAAACACATCACAGTGTCCAATGAAGGGAATAGAAATAGAATGAAATATGGAGCTATGCTTATAGATGTTGGCCACATTAAATTGAGAACATCAACGACGGACTTAGTAGCTAATACAGAGACACATAACTCTTTGAACCAAGCAGAATAGGCAATGGCCCACCATTCAAAGGCGTCAATCAATATTTAGACCGGGCCAATTTCATCTAGCCTTGGCCTTGTGTTTCTTTATGGACTAACATCTTCAATGAGCATTCATGAGTAAAACGGACAGCGCATATTCTCAGCTAATTCCGAAATTAGACATAGGTCTCCCGATAGCCCAAAATCCACACCCGCCCTTTTAGCCTCCGCTGCCAGGTTGGCACACTGTGCTTTGTATAATTCATCCGCATCATAAGGACACGTCAACAAGATTTTCTTCAAGTTCGGGGTGTAGAACTGCTTCTGACTGGCAAAGTTACGAAAGAGGAGCTCAAGAGCCTTATCGTGGGGGCTCTTTCCGGGCGATAATAAGGAAAGAACAGAGACGGACGCGGGTACTATGTCACCAATTAAGGAATTGGAGTCCATTGACTCATGATCGGCTGGATGATCTGCTGGATGTGCGGCTTCAAAATTACAAAGAACGATATCAAGCGGCAGCTCAAGGCTTTCGAGGCGCTGAAAGCCGCGTAGGCATGGCTTCCCTGGGGTTATCAAGCAGCGTAGTTCTAAAGTGACTGCACAGAGGTGCTCGAGATGACTCCCCACCTCATGCTGCACTCCCGCGATGAATCTACAGAGATCCCAGTCTCGGTATCCCCCGTTGGCTTCAGTTGAATGCCAGTACGTCAATGTTTTGAGACTGGGAGTGTGTTTGAGAAAACCTGCAATGGCCTCGGCATCAACGGACGCATCGTTAAACCCTGCCACCTCAAGCTTCGAATCCAAATCGGTGCCTAGATAACTGGACTCAATACAGTTGTCACCCTCGGCTTTGCCCATGTATCCGTAGCCCCAAAACTTTTTGATGCGCGGTAGAGCTAGGAGCAACGGAACCCATGGTATATCACAACTCCCACTATATGTCGTGACCTGTGCAAGGCTGGCATTACTATGAGGATTTTTCCTGGCAGTTTGGAGAACGGTAGTGATGAGATTTTGAGGTGCAGAAGACCGAAGCCGAGAAAATGCTGGCGTGAGTACCCGCAGATTCGGTAGAAGGGTCAGAGCAAAGGCAGCAGCATGTTCTGATTGGCGCCAGCTGTTGACATCCTCCATCATAGCGCTATAGAATTCCTTCCAGTCGAGTCCTGCTTCCCTCAAATACAATGAGTCCGCGAATAGTTGACGCGTAGCTTCATTACGATCTCTCCATATTTCGGACCCGGCATTCTCTCGGACGGTTGTGGGAAGTCGAGTGTAGGCACGACTATCGAGCGAAAAGGTAGCCTCAAGAATATAGCGTCGCACAGTTGGTTCGATAGCAATTCGCGAAATCAGACTATACGCCGAGGTCGCTGTATCAGGAAACCGGAGCAAGTCGTGATAATATCTAAACTCTCTAAAGTCCTTATTTGTTTTGTTGTATTCGAACTTCTGAAAATGAAAGCGTAGGTTGTTATAGTGCTCGAGAAAGGGGATGCATAGTGTGTAGAGATATTTGCATGTTAATGCTAGGCACTCAAATCCCTCTGGCAGGGTGTGTGGGATGATTCGTTGCAACAACTCCGTTAATAATTGCATGAGGGCCATGATCATGTTCGAAATTGTAACACCAAGACGCTTCTCATAGCTGTAATCGGCGAGGTGTGTTGAAGGGCAATGATGCTTTGGTCAGAAAGAGCCGAAAGGCTCGCTGCCGGTTGGTTCCGCTGTAAAATCCCGTGTCGATTTGCTGCGGCAGTGCGAAAGAGTTAGGTCAACCACTCGCGAACGGTAAACTGTGTGTGGGCTTCGCGAGAGCTCGAGATGCTGCGCCAGGGGACCTGGGCTCGCCCCATACGTTGTCCCATGCGCAGGGCGATCCACCAATTTGGGGTCGGGGTCGGGGGCTGGGGCTGGGGCTTGTTAATGGGGCGGCGAGCATGAAGTACATACATATAGTAAAAAACGAGGTGATATTTGGTGATATTTGGTGATAACCCGCTGATCGATGACGTCAATTGGGTTGCAGATACTAGTACTAGTCACATTCCCGCCCCCGGACTTTGGACCCTCCCCTGTCAACACGCAAGGGGCCAGATAAACCAGATTCAAAACAGAGTCCTCAATCACATTTCAACGGGATTGCGAGATCTTACTCTCTCAGATCATTACCTTTCAAATTCTTGATATAGCTTCTTTCAAACCGTCTCCGAAATGAAATCGACTCTGCTGTCGCTTCTTTGCGACAAGCGCTGGGGGTGGGACTCGGGTCCCGAAAGTCACATCCAGTTCAAAGCAAATGGCACTGGCAACGTAAGTAATACCAGTACTCTCAGGGCTCTTAGCTCTAGGTTATAAGCTATCATGTGCATCAACACTAATATCTTTCAGCTCTTGGCCTGCCGCGAGTTCTGCATCTACATCTGCTCAGAATTCGATTGGACTGTCCAGAATCCAGATATACTTGCCTCTGAAGTCGATACAGAAACTTCACCGGTTTTTCAATTCGAGATAGAAATATCTCTGACAAATCGCTTTAGTGATGTGTACAACCCGTCCAAATATAGCGGAAAGCTCGATGCTCACGGAAATAGAGGGAACGCTGCAATCAACGCTCTACATCTCTCCGACGAAGTATTCACCTGCCGGAAATTCAAAATTTGCATCGAGAAAGGTCGCTTCATCACAGGCGAAGATAAAAAGAAGGGATTGTCGACTTGGAGTGCGACGAACTTCGCATACCGGCTTGTCTTCGATTCATCCCCTTATCCTCCAGAACAGATGTGGAAAATACTTAACTATAGTGAGCCATCTTTCTGGGAATGGAATGAGTTTTGTAGCCAGGAAGTGCCACCAAGTTCATGTGGGAAGATCTACCGAGCATTATTTGGATAGACGCAAAGAATGGAGGCCATTCAACCGAATAAGCAGATAGCTTTTCAGCATTGATGATTCCAAAGTTTCGAGTATGGAAGACAGCCCTGTAGCTTAATGCAAGAAGCCTGTTTACTTATTGCGAATACCCCACAGGCTCAATTTCTGAGCAGGATGAGAGACAGGATCCGCTAAGTATAGATCTAGCAGGCGTCCTCAGGCAGCCCCGGAGATTTAAATAAAATAAGCATTGTCGATTTTCACGGAAAAGCTCGTTCTAGAAGTAAGGCAAGGCTCAGGAGCCTAGCTAAAAACTTAAGATACGTTCAAGGTGTTTTGCTTGGAATATTTGAGCATGTGGTTACCATGTATGACATTGGCCTCGAAGAATTTATTTTGAATTCTTTGCGAGTCATTTTCATAGCCTCACAAAGGCTAGTAGTCCCCAGTTAGGCTGGATTATTGGAAACTTGTTGCAAGTGTCTCCTTGACTTGTGTAGAGAGTGAGGGGAAAGAATGCAGGGAAGGAAATCAAAGTAAAAGAACAAGCCTTTCCATCTAGGCCTGACTATTTTATGGTGCTCTATACCCGGAAATGACTCAATAGGCCTGCTACCGCAATATATGGCAATAGCCCTGGAGGCCGTCGTAACACAAGATCCGAAATTACCTGTATTCCCTATCCAAATTGAGAGATGGCTGGTGTATATGGACTAGCAACAAGTTGGAGGTTACTCTGTGTCTAGAGAGAAGATTCCTAGTACTTAAATCAATTTCTAACTCAATCAAAAAGAGAATCTACCTGAGTAACTAATGAGCTTCTTAACCAGTAATAAATGTACTTGGGCTCTAATGATGTCAAGATAGGCCTCCGAACTTATTGTAAAGTCCTGTATACCTCCTGGCATAAATTCCCTGGCAAACCTACTGACCCAGTTGCGACTAAAAAGCGCCGTACTATTGGAACAACAGGACAGGCGGAGACAGAAATCCTGGGATGGGGATATCCCTCATATCTAACAAGCTGTTGCAACATAGAACAACAGAACACTCTCAATCGAATGATCACGAACTGCTCTTCTGCTCAGAGATCTTCGGGACGACCCTCAATGACCCAACTCCGCCAGTCGGCAGGTACAGTCACATCCAGGTGGAGATTTTCAGTTTCTCCGTCTGGTGAGACTGTTTTCTTCGCACAGGTGGCTCCAATTCCCATGTCATTTGCCTTCCCCTTCAACATGTTTGGCTTTACCAGAACCTGGTATACTGGATCGTGGTGGTCATAGACAGGTGATATAAAGACTGTCTTCTCTGGATCAAGCCCCAAACTCTCGACATATTTGTTACGCGCAAATTCGCTCTTTGGTTGAAGAAGGGAATTGCCGCATTCGTCTTCCTCCGGGATCCATGCTTTGGGCGCCGCCTCCCACTTGTCAAGATCGGCCCAGATAGCGCAGTTCCTTTAGGATATCAATATTAGTCCATTCATTTTAATATAAAATGAGTTGAGTATAAATATCAAGTCATACCATTCATAGCCCTTCCACTCTCCCGGGCCTGTGGATAGATAAACCCCCCAGCCAATTTGCTGCCCATTGGGGTTGTCCCAGACCATCGTTTTTGCTTTATTATATGCTTCTGCAAGTTCCTAGTAAGATAGTAAAGCTAAGTATCCCCTGTGAAAGTTTAAATATATGAACAGAGATTAAAACGCTTTTCAGATACCTACCGGCTTAAGATTTTTGTATCCAATAATTACCTTGCCACTTCCAGGACCTTGTCTTGGCACAAGGGGGATACCTGTGATCAAAGTGACCAGGCACAGGAGCTGGAAGATGATTGGTACCAGCATATTGGTTATTTTGAATTTGATAAGAGATAGGCAATGGCAAAGTGCGCGCAAATTTTGGAAGAGTTGTAGAGCTATCATTCATGTCAGAACAGGGGAATCCAGCGTATTTATTAGGGGTCTCCCCCTTTGATTTTTGACTTTTCCGGGAGATGTTTGGCCCCAGGGATTGTGTCAGGATCAGAACTAACATTAGAAATACAACTCGATCAAGGAATCTAGAACCAAATTTAGCCGATGAGAAGGAACCATAGCTGTCCAAATTCCTGACGCGGGGCTGTCTGAAAAAAAAGGGAAAACGACCACTCCCTGATTTCTAGGTATCTTTATTCACGGCACCTTGCCATACCGCAAGTCGGGACTCGGAAGTTATCGCTATTTCTTTTCGAAATTTTCCTAGTTCTCATAGCGATTTCAAGCATGACAAATATCTCGCCGCAGCTAGCATTGTGCATTTACCATTCCAAAAGTGGTTGGCTAACACAGAAGTGCAAATAGTTGATTGGGGCCAGTGACATAACTGTCTACTTGATGTTGCTTTGTGGCTTGTTTCAAGAAACATAAAATCATTGTTTCTGGTTATAGAGATTTGATATTAATGGAAAATGATCATCATACTTCTGGCCCCCGGATAATCCTTGAAGTCGACAATACTAGTATGGAAACTGCAATATAACCTTCGAGAAAATATTTCTCAGCGATACTTAGCCCCAGGTCTGGCCCGGCTCCCGGGCAACGATAACAATAATAGTCAAACTATCGGGCTATTTCCCATATGCTATTATCTTGTGTTACGGAAACATAAATACTGATGTAGTCTCATACAGACGTTTTGGAGGATCCCAAAAGGCTATCATAGGGGCCATTTTCTAACCCAACCTTCATCCCATTATATTCTTATACTAATAAGATCATATTAAGTGAATTGAGCATTCCCTGATCAGATTATATAATATTTTGGTCTAGCTAGGAATCTAGGTAATAGTCTGGCCCCCTCAGTAATTCTAGGTCTGAAATCCAGGCTGCTATTAGCCCCTAGAACCCCTGGGGCCTAGACCTGGGCATGACCCATGAGCCGGCCCATGGGCATTAAATGGGTCGAAAAACCGATTTTCTGCCCCTTATATAACAATTAGTGGACGATTCGCAACCGCGCTCACTGGTTGTCGATAGAGAATTGGAGTATTAGGTCGCTGAGATTATAGCTACGCGTGCAAAGAGGGTCGGACGGGGTTCGAGAAGGGAGATTCTAGTTCGTTGGACTAGGTATACAGAGTGTATATGGGAACAGTTATGAGAATAATATCGAGTTCAGGGAATCTTTTGCACGAAGAAACTAAATCGGCATCTCGCTGGAGGTGGCCAAGACGCTGCTGGCGAGACTCGTTCTCTGTGTTTTACAAGGTAAAAAGGAAGGATCAAGACGGAATGACCAGCAGGCTTACAGATAGTGTCAACATAACAGCTGAATAATACATTTAATTCTTGTTTCACCGCGTGGGTGCGCTTACATAGCTGTTTTCTACCTGATAAAATATGCGGAAGATTATTGTGTTCAGCAATTTACATAACAAGCGAGAATTAAACCGACTAAGAGAAGATTTACATAGGGATCTATTTTCATCATATCAGTGGAAAATTTTTAGAGCCGCAGTATCGACACAACATGATCAAAGCAATATGATAAAAGTGATCTTACGAAGGCGGCCCTGACACACAGAATTGCTGAAGCTCTCTAATGTCACAGTATATTATTTCTTAGCTTATGTTTCTGCCAGGATACGCTAGGGATAACCACAAAAACTTACAAGTACAAGGGACAAAAGTTTCCGCCAAGCGGCGGCCACGCCCCACTTCTAAGCACCAATAAAAATATCACAAATTCAACACGCAAAAGTAATATAGCAATAACAGCACCAAAAACAATAATAAAAATATTTCAAAAATTGCACGTAACGGCAAATTGATCAAGATAATCCCTCATACACTCAATAGAGTACGTGGAACATGGTAGAACTTTAAAAAATAGTTGTTATGAGGCAACGCAGTCGCGATCGCGACTTTTTAACGTCAAAATACATTGAAAACGCGCTAGTGCCCACTAGCTTGGACGGAAACTTTTGTCCTAGAACTGTAAGAAGCCTCGCCTGCGTCCAGATGCTGCCGAAATGCTTGAGTTGTAAAGAGCGGCGATATCGCGGTTGATACTGAAGCGAATGATATCTTCTAATACTGTCTCCAATTTCCATTTAAGGTCGAAGAAAATAAACGCTGTGAAAATGATAAACGTGATTGCTGGGTCCACAGCGAGGCAGAATGCACTCTCCGTGTGACCGGCCACCCTCAAGGCTAGTTACGCGATCTATTGATAGACACGGCTGAATTGATAAGAGATATAGTAATTTTAGATTCATCGTCCCTGGTCTATTTACAGTACCTGCTGTGCGCTATAATCATCCAAATCCAGAGAAGCATGTTGAACATGGCTTAGAGCGACGCCCGGCATTTTGTAGATTGAGCTTCTCTGCTGATCCATAGGCAGCGGCAATCGATTCTCGCAATCGGTGTTGACAAATATTGTTGTACCATCGAGTGCACCGCCAGGTATTTTCCGTAAATCTTCAACACAATAAGTATCTCTACCGCGCATATCGCCCAAGCAGTGACCCTGATCATGCTGCTTCCAGTTGATTCTTCCACTGCAAGAGCCAATTGTTAGTTTTTTTTTCATACTGTTAGGCTCGTTCTGATCCAGAAAAGGGCAAAGACAAAACTTACCACACAGTTCTCTTAATAGGTACCCAAGACCAATATCCACACTGGCCCTCATCTGAAGGACTTGAGAGAGATAGGCCTTGGGGTCCCACATTAGCTGTGATAGTAGACTGCCAGCCTCCACTGATACCTGCATTCATTGCTTCCTCAAAACTAAGCCAGTAATCGATATCATTAAAAGACCAAGTCATTTTCCTTGCGAAGTTAGAAATATCACAAGGGCCTTCACACCAAGGGCCCAAAGGAAACTCCTGTCCATAAACAAAACGAGTTGACAATTGACAGTACGCAGCGCAGAAGTTTTCTGCAACTATATGGTCGCAGACTCCCTCTGAGTTTAGTTCGTACTTTGGCGGGCAAAAATCATTTAGGTAATCATGGTAGAGAATCGGCATAGCGTCAGTACCGTCGCATGCGTCTCTTTTAGAGAGATTGCCATTGTCCTGGGATGCAAAGGTAGACCGAACGGAGAGGAGAAGAGCTATCGGAGTAATAGATATGAGCATATTGACAATTTTGATTGGAGTTAATATGCAAGGAATGAGGAATCGCTAGAGTTGGAGAGCGTGTTGAGTTTGTTTTGGCCCTGAAATAGCGTGTCACGAGAATGTTGGGGCTAGACTCGTTGTAGGAGGGCTGCCAAGCCACGGCTCGGCTAGGCCAGAGAGCCCCATGGAAGGAGCCGGGGGTTTGACGCATCTAAGATGGAGCGAATGGGGCCAAGAAACTGGGGGGTTCCATGTCGATTGAGTGTTTCATCACGGGACACCATTCTAGATTTGCGAGCGAACTGGGGTGATGTTCCAGGTCAAGCAAAAGGATGAGAAAAGTGCGACCCCATGTTTGCCCATTTTTATTTCCTGCTGATATGTGGTTGCAAGAAAACTGTATCAATTACGCGGTAAATGTGCGTCGGAGACTCTGCAGCAGTAGCAGAAGTGGGCACTGCCATTGCAAAAGGAATGAGAGGGCAGAACGAGAATTTTGCTGGATTATAGGCCTTTCAAACCTCGAAAATTGCTGAACAGACCAGTAGCTCCATGTGTGAATGTTTTCATTTTCTGGGGAAAGAAAGCGAGGAGAAACGAAAAAAGGGATGGACTTAAAACAAGGAAATTGAAAATTGACCCACCAGCGCGCACTTTGATTTCCACTGATCTCGTTGCTCAGACCGATGTTGTTATTATAAGTTTGCAATACTATAATATTTAGAACTTGTTTCAGTTTGTAATTAGTAACCCGCGGATCTCAGTCCGCGACTGCGACCAAAGTAATTGCGTACGCACCTGACCGTGCTTCAGCTGCCTTACGCAAACATCGGTAAGCCAACCCCTTGAAAAAAGCGCGTGTCGATTGTCGAGTCGTGGTATGTAGCAACTACAAGCGACGCCACGATGAGACGAAGCCACACCGGGATTGGCTGTATAGCTTAGCCCGTAAAACAGCGGTCGATAAACCCTTATCGCCTCACCCCGGGAGGTTTCGGAAACTTTGGAATTCTACTCTGAATGTAGGATTGTTTGTGATGAAAAAAAATATGTCAGATCAGATTTGCTATCTCAGGCTTGGAAGGCGCTGAATAAAAAAAAAGAATTAAAGATATTGGCACGCAGAATTCATGAATGTGTTCAAAATTGGGTGGTTGCTTCGACCAAGAATATACTGGAAAAGTAAATGGCTCGATTAGAAACTTGAAGCATCTGGGAAACGTAATTACACAATAAACATAGGCTCCGAATGATGACGGTGTGGATAAAGCGCTCCCCAAGGCATGGATCCTAAGAGACACTTGACAGGAAACACTGCTTAACCCTCAGTCGACGGAGCAATCATGCCATATTGCAGAGAAATTGGAATCAAATAAAATTCAGAATCAGCAGAGCAGCTCCGACAGCAAGGGCGTTGTTGGTAAATGACTTGGAACCAGCGTTGGAATGGGAGGTGTCTCGGTGGGAGACGAAACTGCCGTTGTAGTAACGTCAGAGGTTTCGCATGCGCAAGGAATGACAGTCGTAATAGTTTTGAACGATGAGCAGCTGGTTTTGGCAGAAGAGCTATAGCCAGTCGGCGTGACAGTCGCAGCGACCAAGCACACCGATGTGGTGGATCCCATGGGGATTGTTGTAAATTCAACTCGAGGAACAGTGACCGTTTGAGTGGACCAAGTGACCGTTGTACAGGGAGTGGTATGAGAGTCAGTTACTGCCGGAGTAATTGACTGCATCGAGGTCATCACTTGAGAAGTCTGGCTGGCTGAAGAAGTGCTGGTAGGGACGATATCAATCAGGCCAGGGTTCTGCGGCACGTAAGGGGCGCAGATTCCTGCAAAATACGAAAGGGCGGAGTCCCGCTCCTGGTCCGACTTCGCCCAAGCGTGAATGCAGCTGTCCACATTTCCGGTGAATTCAGATGATGGGCAGAAGCAAGCGGCATCACTGTTAGAGTCGCACTTTGGGATGGAGAGCCAGGTATTGATGCACTTAGGAACAACCTCAGGGCAGGGTGCAGGAACGACAGACGAATCTGGAGTAGCAGTGGCCGTGCTGATAGAGCTTGAAACTAAGCTGGGTGTCGCAATCTCCCATGAAGTGGGATAGAATGTTGTCGACCTGGTGTAAGTGGAAGTAACAGTAGAATGTCCAGGACAGTAAGTGGCCGTAGCAGGGCAGTGAGTCTCAGTGACTTCCGCAGTTGTCCACACAGTCGAAACTTCATGTGTGACCACTGACTTGGTGATGGTGGAGGTGAAAGTGACAGGAGCTGACAGGATAACCGTCTTGGTAGAAACATGAGGTGGATGGGGCTTCGAGCTAGGTGGGGGAAGATCCCCGGGAGGCTTCGAGCCGTCCGAGCAATCAAAGCTAATCTCGTGGATGTTCAAATCACATTCACCAAACTTGCTGTCTTCAGGAAGTGTGAACTCGACAGCAACAGCGCCACCACACTGCTGGTTGACAACATCGACCCCGTCTGGTGAACTAGACGCGAGCTCGTGGCAGGTGGAGCCATCTGCCATTTCGTAGTTCAACCTGAGCAGAGTCTCACGGGATGTAGAAAGGTGAAACTTTTCAACAGAGAACGGGGCTTCGGTTGCCTCGATCCTGACAGCATAGCCGTCGTCCCGAGAAAGCTTTGCCTCGATACACTTGCCCTGTCACAAATTTTTAGTAAGAATAACATATTATCGGATTTGATAGTCTTACATTGGAAGCATTACAAACGTCCCTTGGCGAAAATCCGACGAAGTTGAAGCCTTCGTAGCTCCAATTATCCCCATCAGCAAGATCGGACCATTTAAACCCATCTCTCTGGGGCTCCAGGCACGAGTTGTCGGTATTCTCGGGGCTTGGGTAGCAGGTGTCTGTACCCCACCACTAAGATGAATTAGCTCTGGATGACTTGCTATCATAGGAAACTGCACTCACAAGCCCAGAAGGATGAGCAAGCACACTGGCGCTCAACATCGACAATACAGCAACTGTCTTCATCGTGGCAAATCTTCAAATGAATGTATTGAATATGAATTGCGAGAGTTAAGGAGAGACAGCAATTGAGTCTGAACCTAGAGGGTTAGTAAAAAAGGCGGAAAGGTGAAAGGCGAAGTTTGTCGACTGGAGGCGCGTTGTCGAACATCAGAGAATAGTGGGAAGCAAAGCTTTCTTATGTGTTTCCTGAGTAGTAGCGATCAAGCAAAACATCTCATTGTTGCTCCTACTCTACAACAGCAACAAACCAAGGAATGTAGTTTTTTGAAAACCAACACAAGTTCTGACCCTTCAAAACACCGTCACCATGGGAACTAACTGACAGTCGAAGGTTCGCAGAATCATTTGTTTCGGAATTCACAGTGTGAGATAGTCCAGAACAGTCCTATCAACGCAACATTCTGCAAGGTTGAAATGTGAACTCCTAGTGGACGGATAAAATCACCGACGGTGGTTCCTGGCAAGTGTGAAGTTGATAGAAGCCACGTGAGCGAATCGGGAAGCCCCCCCTCCCCCCTTTCTAGATCGGAAGGAGCCGATCGGGCCCATAAAAATCACCTTTGATCGCCTCAGGCACCAGGATCTTGTTTGAAAGAGATCAAATCGTCCAATAGTACTAACTAATTATCATGGTTCAATTGTTATTAAGACAAGTAGCTATTTGGAAAAGACATAATTCAGGTGCGGTATCTTTTGCAAGGGAGCTCGGCAATTCTTCTCCTAACCATCGCCAACTTTACCACATCCACCTGCTAAGCTTCACTGCTTCATTCTTGGCGCGCCGCGAACAATGCTGACTGAAACCCCCACAGAAAGATCCAATAACGACCCAGATTCGTCTCTCGTGACCTCTTTCTTAGGGCCTCTCCTACAATTTTCTTCCAGCCCTGGCATAGCAAGCCTCCTTGCGACCTCATGCATCCGAACACTGCGGCGAATATCAACGATGGGGCATCTAGTATGATCTATGGCATTACCCAGCTTCAAGTCATTCATATGGAGAAGCACACCTGGTTCCGCGAAGAAAAATCGGATAATGAGAAATCACGACGAATCGTTCACATGCGGTGCCAGGAATAATTCTCACACCGTGGGCCGTGTATCGAGTAGTGTGGCGGCATCGACGCACCCAGACTGACTCCCCCCCCTCTGGTAACGAGACACCCCTAGTTGACTATACGCCACCCACACATCTTAATCGCCCATTTTTTGTTTTGTTTATTCAAGTAACACCAACACCTAGTAATGCTTCGGTCCCGCATTTTGATCATATTTTATTTGGAATGTCGAATAAAACTTGTGACTCCAAGAGGTCCGTTGATTCTGTTTGAGTGAATTTTCCGTTGTTTACCTAGGTATGCAATTTGACTGTCGGCTTAGAATGTAATGAAAAATATATCTTACCCAAGAATATCAAATGTGAGTAAAAGTAATGAATAACTTGAACATTTCAATCACGTTTACCGTTTGAAATCTCTTCGTCATGTATCAAGATTCAAGTTACTAGTAGTACTAATAAATTGACGGTGGTTTCATGAATTCAAGTTTCAATGCCTAGTACTATTACTAGTATCTCTAACCTATCCGCTATTCTATATAATGATGTTCTATGCAGTCTAAATACCCGAGCGACCGTCTATCAAGTTGTATGCAGTCATGTATCAATCGTTCATCTGCTGAAAAGCAGATTATGCACGAAAGGGAGAAAATATTTAGAGAATCACCTCCTCCGAGTCGTTCTTGCGTCTCCATTTGCCGCCATATACCTGGAGTACGATGGTTGGGATCACACTGACAGCCACAATCATACCACAAACAACGCCCGAGCTGGCAGCTACTCCCACGCTATCAAACATAGAAGTAAACCTAGATTGAGTGTCAGCAAGAATTGAAAGCCATATTTTATTCCTCGGGAGACTGTCTCACCAGAATGGACCAAGGAAACCCCAGATTTGGCGAACAAAGGTGATGAAAACACCCACGCTTGCTGCCTCTTGCGGGTGGGTGTCAATCGCATAGGTGACCATAACCGTAGTAACCAACTGACTTCCTGCAGCAGCAATACCCGTACCAACAATAGGCGTAACTGTCCAGGCCCCAATCGGGGCTTGCTGCGTGAAAACAAGAAAGATGATAAGTCCCACACAGGCAAGGGCAAAGCCAAAGTAGCTCAGGAAAAGTCGGAACTCCGGCTCTGCTTTTCCTTGTGTTCGCTTGGCGCGCATTCCCATCCAGTAATCTGATAGACTCCCGCCCATCTGTTCGCCAATTACAGACCCAATGATCATGCCCAGGAACTGAAGGCCCACTTGCTCTGTATTAAGGTCAAATTTCGTTTGCAAAAGCTGCGGGATTTCCACTGTCGTCATAATATTCGCGAAAAGAAACACCATAGCATATGCGCAGGTGGGAAGGACGACAGACGGATGGGCGAACATGGCTAATGGCTTGACGAATTCGAACCATGTAAAAGGGGTGGGATCGATGCGACGGATCGAGATGTATTCTCTTTTGAAAGTGGATTCCTCCCGCCATTCGCCGCTATTTACATAGCGAGTTTCGGGTCCAAAGAAGAGGTAAAGAATAAACTGCCCCCCGTTGATCTATATAATAGATAGAATTAGCAAGTATGTCAAGTGCATATTTTCGAGACGTTCGTCTTACCATGGCCAGAACCCAATAAATCCACTCATAGCCAGCCCTATAAGCGACGAACCCAAAGATAAATGGCCCAAGAGGAACTCCGAGCGTAATCATCACAGTCCAAATTCCCATATAGCGAGCACGATCCTTCTTAAAAGTTGTCTCCATCACAACAGCACTTCCAATAGCAGATGCAGGGGCGATAAAGAACGCCGAAAGAGCTCTGCAGGCTGCGGTCGCACCGTAGGTAGTACTCTTCGCACAACCCACATTGCAAACGAGACTGCAAATTAATGAAATTAAAAATATAGGGCGGCGACCAAAACGGTGTGCGAGAGGTTTCCAGAAGAGTGGCGCGCCTCCAAGGACGGCAATTTGTAGGGAAGTCAGATAACTCGCTTGCTGATTGGAGACACCATATATCTCTACTATGTCTGAGTATGCTGGGATGATACCGGCTGCCGCAAATGTACCCATGCATGCGTGGAAGGCGACTAGGATCAAGTTCATAATTTTCTGCAGTCAGTATAGGCATTTTGTCAGTAAGTTGTCGGGAAGAACACCAATCTGAGATCTTCTTCAAGGTAACAGGAGAACGAACCTTCCACTCCGGCCAATTGTAGGGATCCGCAGGATCCATCGCAGGAATTGGATCGAGATTCAGCGTTCCATGACGCTCCATCAGATAATCTCGGTGTGGTTTGGATAATCGTTCGGACTCTGCAGCAGTCGGGTCTGCCGCACTCTCCACGAATTCCATGTCTTGCTTTGCGTACGCCTCTTCGACATCGCGGTTGGCAGCTGAGGGCTGCTGCATGTCCGTGGATTTGGCCATAGGTGTTTGGTTGTCGGCTCAGGATGTGAGTTGTAAATGTCCTAGCCACGATTGGGGAGGAAGAAAGTGTTGGCAGAAGGGACTGCCCCAGAATGATGGAGTACCCCACGGGTCTACCTCATGGGGTATCTCCGTCGGATCCACTCGTTGCTCCGTATGTCCGTGGCGATGGCGAAAACCTGAAGTTCTTGCAGTGCGGTCGCTTGCGCGTCAAAACTACGACTAGTAGGAGTTCTAGACGTCTACGAGTACAACGGAGGAGCTACAACCTCTCGCCCCTTTACCACATATATACATAGTTTTGAGCAGCCTGAATATAGAATGCCACGCCTATGACGAAATTCGGACCAAGCTCAACGTCCAGGGATACCAGGGGAACCCCATGGAGGACGATCGGAATTCTGGTACATATGCGACTGGTTCGTACGGGTAAGTGTTTTGCAGGTGGGGAGTGGGAGCCAATCTGAACTCTGCAATTATACACCGCCAGCGAGGAATTAATTCCACCGTCAATTGCCAAGGCATTGCTAATGGACATAAGCTGTATCTAAGCCGTTGCCTGGCGCTTCAAAAGGCTTGTTCGGCATTGAACATAGCAAGGCCACCCGGTCTGTCAGCCGAAGGAGCCGATGCTCGGCTTAGAGCAGCTCTATTCTCGGGAACTGATGACAGGGGGGTGTCACCTTGTACCAATCAAATTGCCATTAATTGACCCACACGTTTTTGTCTGCCGACGAAGCGCTCGGCCTCGTTCTACTCGTAGTATTTCTTTTCTCCTCTTTTCCCCATCTTATCCGGCTTCTCCGCATTGTTAAACCCCATTCATGCGCATTATAATTTCCGATTACTTTTGAACGATTCTTTTTTTATCCTGCTTTGAGTTCATCGCATATAAGCCAACACAGTGAACTAAGAACGTACTCCATATGCAGATCCCAGCCAAAGTCAGTGAAATAGTGGGGCAGTGGCGAGTGTATAAGGATAGAGATGGAGAACCAGAATGAGTTCATCTAGTCGACCGGTGAGTCGTCACGGGGGGGTGTGAATTCAACCACCGAGGTTATACCGGCAATGCAACCATTTGATCATAATTCAATATATTTCACGGACAAGAACATACATCGATAGCAAAGGAAGAAAGGCTATAGAAGTGAGAAGGTCGACAGAAGCCTTGGTTCCAGCAAGTGTACAAACTCAAAATACTATGGCTTCTCGACTGGACTTGAAGGCGAGCCTGTAGCAATGAGAATTGGGGGCTTTTAATCTCCCCAAACTGGGCTTTCATAATCCTGAAAGGCCAGGGAAGGGTACGGTGTTCAAACGCGACCACAAGCTTATTTGTGGCGGTTGCGAATTCAGTTTTTGTTTGGCCATTGACGATTCCCCAAATTTCGGTTCAAAACAATGTAAATCACTTTTTTACCCGTCTGTCCACAGGTGATATTATGATTAGAATCATAGTCGCCATAACCCATAGAACCCCTAAAGAAGTCTTGGTCTGACTCATGGAAAAATTCTTCGAGCCATTTTTGAGGGTTGGTGTGGGGGCACAAGTTATGTGTTTTCCAAAAGTCTTGCAATTGCTCGGAGTTGGCCTTCCCGAAATCAAATCGAAAGTCAGTGAATAGGCGTAAGCTTTTGTCTGATTTATTCAACCAGAATGTTTCTGTGATTTGAACATTGGCGAAGGTACTTTTCTCGAAAGAATCCTCAAATTTAAATATAGCACAGGTACAGCCTCGATCACGAGTGCATTTTACTTGATTTTTCCAAGCATTGCAAGCTAGATATGCTGTAATATGCTGAGCTATTTTGCTCGTAGTAGACGTTGGAACTTGTTGAAAACCCCCTTTAGAAGATGTATACGACATACTCCCCAGGGCTTTTGGCTGGGGGGCCGGCCTCAACCTTTGCTGATCATGATCTGGGTGGCTATTATTTGATGAATGGTAAGTAGCCTCATAGAAGTCATCCCTTTCGCCTATTTTCAGAGCTCTGATTAAATCATGCTTGTCACGGACAGTGATACTTGAACCAGGGAAAAACATCAACTTCGCCGGCGTAACGCTGGTCACACCTCCGCGGACTGCGTTGAGGAATATCAAGAGATGACGGCGGGAGATGACGTATCAACTTTGACCCGCAAGGCAGAGTATTGATGGAGAACTCAAACACTGAGGACAGAATTTCCAACGTGTGTTTTCTAATCGGTGAACAAGATCTGTCCGCGGTTGAGGTAAATATGCGAAGCTCAGAAAATACCGGTACTCATGGGGCAGTATGTCTCGAATCGTCTTGCTCTGTAGAGCAAGGAACCTCTTGAAACAAGCAAATGTAGTTTTGCAGCTCAAAGCAAAACAAACCTGATCTGCATATGGGAGCATTGGAAATATGCGGTCCATGATTTCGAAATCGGCGAGCATTTTGAGCGATACTAGTAAGTGCGAATTCAGGTTATATCAATAAGACGTTAACCAGTGCAATAGAGGATCGCCAGATGTTAGCGGCCGACACTAATTAAATATCTCACGGGAAGGGATAGTTTTTGCCGCAGTATTTCTTCGTCCCGTTTTGCACGCTTAAACCATGGTAAAGTTGGTCACATCGATTATGTGTTGTTCGCGTCATCAACCCCATGGCCTGGGAGCTGTTGCCGATTTGGATTTCGGGCCACCAAAAAGGGAAGCGGTTCAGCAAATATAGATAGAACTCTTCGCTCCTTCCCTGCATCTTCTTCTTCTACCCTTTCTAAACTTGAATGTTTATAAAAACACCGCCATACATCCCAAGAGCGTTTGTCCCTTTTCCCTTCTTTCTCTCTCCAGTATGTATGCACCTTTCACCGATTCTCTGCCGGCGTACTACTACCTTTCTTTATCATTGTTCATCTCACAGCAGGCATTATTGCAGGTTCGATCCTTGGGGCGATCCCGATTCACCGTATAGGACGTGGAAAAAGGAGCCTGGATATGAAGTCGCCCAAGTCTGAATCATTGCAACCACCGGCAGGCGTACGACGTGGAGATCGCCATTTCAACTCGAAGCAACACACTGCCGAAAATGACCGTCCGATCGCTTCGACCTTCGAGCCGCCGTCACTAGATACAAAAATCTTCCCAGCCTGGCTAGCGCTGTTCCGCGAGGGGGTGGAGATCGGGGAGATGGTTGATTTTGGGATCCCTTTCTCTCCATTTTTGGGTACCCTGTTGTCGGTAAATCGCATGTTTTGTCCGTTTATTCTTGGGTGCCGGTTTAGATAGAATAGATAGAGTAGATAGAACACCGACGACGGGCTCACCCTTCTACGCAGGGTCGGTGACGAGTAGTCTTCGGACGAAACCGAGATGAGTTCAATTTTAAGTTGTTTTGCATTGACCTATTCCCGAATTTGGCTTAGAAACTTAATCCAAAGACTCCGAGCGAATAGTGTGGTGTAGTTTGAAGATCTTTTGGTGGCTGTGTAACGATATCAGTGCGCTATGGAAGGCTGCAGAGCCAAGGAGTCTCTTGCAGAGGCTCCAGGCATTCAGATCGCCTCGAGATACCTACTAGTAGATGTTGAGGAAAATCAATAGTTCGACATGACGAGATATCCTACTATCTAATACTCTGTTGTCGTGATGAGAATCAACCAGGTTGATGTCGCTTAGCGCGGAAGTTTGTTGGAATCGATCGACAACTAGCTGAGAAGCAGGGATATTTAGATCTACCGCCCGAATACCGTGCGGAGTATGTAGAACGTGTTGCGCACGGACTGTCCAAGACCGTTGGGCGCGATAACTAGTTCAGGCACTCCGGCGATAGTTGAAAATGGTGCATGGATCGACTATCAATACGACCATGACGACATAAAAGAGGTTCAGCACATGGCAGGAAGCTTATATTGAGCGGAGTCCAGCGGAGTGCAGCAAAGCCCGGGTGGTCCGCAAGGAGGCCAAGGAGGTTCCCCGCGATTCGGTGAGCAGCACCCCACTGCAAGATGACGGTTGCCAACCCTCGAAAAAGTCAGCTGGGACGGGGATAGGAAATCAGATGAGCAACGACCGCCAACGCTAGACCGCGAAAAGAGGGTATGTGGGGCCCTGTTGAATTCAAAAAAGGGTCAACATTTCAGCTTTGAAGGGGGATATCAAGCACGGAGCATGGAGCCGAGAGTAATGGGACAAAGACACATAGACGGCCACTCGGTCATGCCAGAGCATATATTGCTGTCGTGATCAATATATCTTGCGTGATGAAGATCGACCTATGGATCTGAGGATACGAGTATGACTGTAATACCTAAAGTGATGATGATGGCCTTGGAATGACCGCAAACGTGCATGGCTCCGAGCCCGAGATGCACGCGGACAGGCGCTAGCGTCAGCGCCAGCAGATCCCAGCGGGGCAGAAAGCGGTAGATCCAAAAGAAAACTGTCAACAAATATCTTCATCGAACCGGGGAACGAAATAAATATTGGTTATTGCTCATTGCTGAATCCTTGGTGTTTCCAATAGGGTAACCTCGAGTATCAGCATTCCCCCCTTATCGTCCATCCTCTCACCGCCTCTCCACTTTTTTACTTTTTCGGCCACGCGGACTGGGGGACACTCGGACTGGCACTGGCACTTGGAGCTTCCATCGGAATTTGATTTGGGAATTTCTGGACTGTTGAGCAGGTCTCACTTTCTTATAAGATCCAGTCGAGCCAGATGTCTCACAGTCTGGTGAGCCAACTGCCTTGGGTTGGCACTTTTCCCGTGCTCTGATCATCTCGTTACCCTGCAGATATACCACGACCGCGACGCAGCTTAGTGAGTCCATCACATGCCACCTAAGTGGGGAGCTATCACTAATGTAGATCATCTACCACAGCCCTTTAAATAATCTCCGAAAACCACAACACCTACAACAGTACCCGAATATGACTTCCCCGGAGGCTTCGCCGGGCTCACCTGGAAATACAGGTGCATCCGAAGAGACCGGAGATACTCTGGTGCAAACGGCGCCACTTTGGAGGAGGATGTTTGGCCACAAGTCGACGGGTAATGAGGATGTCAACCACGACCCCACATATCGCGCAAAGTCGACCCTTGGGATCCTGAGTGACAAAGAGACGGACGAGGTACCTGGTAAGCCGCAATATTCCCCAAATGTGGAGCTATCACTGCGCTCGAGCAGAACGTAAACTCTGTCGCACCTCGATACTGATCCCAAATGACTAGGTACCGTTCTTCTCCTTTCTGCCCAGCGCAACGAGCCCTTGGGATTAAGAAATCAACCTGCACGCACATCTACCTCGTCTCTGCGTTCTTCCAACCCGCCCTCTCGCTCATCCTCCCTCACTCCGACCCCACACAAGAAGAAGACCTCCGACGGGACCATTGTGCTCGATCCTCAGCCTGATGATTCGGTCAACGATCCTTTGAACTGGCCAGTCTGGCAGAGAGATGCCGCCTTGCTCTCCCTGGGGTTTTACTGCTTGATGGGCGGAGGTATGACTACGATCCTGGCAGCAGGATTCAGTAATGTGGCGCAGACATATGATGTCCCCAAACAGAAAGTTGCATACACTACTGGTCTCTATATGATGGGCATGGGACTAGGTTCAGTCGTCATGTCACCCACAGCTATCCTATTTGGGAAGCGCCCTGTTTATTTGCTCGGCGCCACTCTGTTCATCATATCTGGAATTTGGTGCGCAGCATCTCCCAGCTATGCGAGCCTGGTCGTCGCTCGCATTTTTCAAGGCGTTGCAGTAAGTCCCGTGGAATGTCTTCCATCGGCAACAATTGCCGAAATCTACTTCCTACATGAGAGGGCGTACCGTGTCGGTATTTACACCTTGCTTCTGCTCGGCGGTAAGAACCTTGTTCCCCTAGCTAGCGCAGCTGTGATCGGGAGCCTGGGATGGCGCTGGGTGTTCTGGATCGTCGCCATTATTGTCGGCGCATGCTTGATCCTCCTTTTCTTCTTCGTGCCGGAAACATTCTGGGATCGCACGCCTCGTCCTAGGCGCCACCACCACAAAAAACGCCCACACTTGCCCAGAACCATGTCTGATCTGGTCTCCCACGGATTTCGTGGACATCGATCTCATGCACAGGTGCATGATGAGCCTCTTGAGCTAGAGGAAGAGAAGGAAGCAGTCCCACAAGCTCCTAAGAAGGCAAAAAATGCGCACGTTGGATTTGTCGACGAGCCGGAGGAGGATCGGGAAAAGGCGTCGCATCTCCGACATGAAGTAGATCTCCCGCCGAATGTGCATCATATTTCCTCGGAAGATAATATTATGACTGAGCCCTCGACGCCTGCGATCGAGAAACCGGACGGTTTGCTACACCCGCCGCACGCAGCCGGATCTCCCCACGTCCATCTCCAGGATTCGAGCGACGTGGAAGCATCCCCAAGAAGCGCAGCCTCACCGGCACGCAGCACATCTATGGAGCCTGTGGCCTCTATTAGCTCCACCCTCCATTACACAAACCGCCTTCGCGAGAAACCCAAGATACCGTACGTATCCATGCTTAGAATCTGGAACGGCAGAATCGCACAGGACAAATGGTTCAAGATCGCACTTCGACCTTTTATCCTTTTCGCCTACCCTTCTGTCCTATGGTCGACTGTTGTATACTCGCTATCAGTGGGTTGGCTGATTGTTTTATCCGAGTCCGTGGCAGTGGTTTATGAAAGCAGTGAGCACTACGGCTTTACCGCGCTACAAACCGGTCTGGTCTACATTTCCCCTTTTATTGGCGGCCTGCTTGGTACAGCGGTCGCAGGAAAAGTGTCTGATATCGTCGCACGTTTTATGACTCGTCGTAATGGTGGTATCTACGAGCCCGAGTTCCGTCTCGTCATGGCACTCCCCATTGCCCTTTCCACCGTCATTGGTCTGATGGGCTTTGGCTGGAGTGCTCAACTTATGGATCACTGGATAGTACCGACTATCTTCTTCGGCATGATTTCCTTCGGTTGCTGTCTTGGAAGTACGACTGCCATCACTTTCTGCGTGGACAGTTATCGCCAGTATGCTGGTGAAGCGCTGGTCACGTTGAATTTCAGCAAGAGTAAGTTTTTCTTCTTTTCTCTTTTTTTCTTCCCCGAATTTCGCTTGTTGGATTTTCATGACGGTTTCTAACAAATTATCCAGACATCTTTCACGGCCTCGTCTTCTCGCTCTTCATTGTTGATTGGTTAGATTCTGATGGTTCTCGAACGGTTTACCTCTGTCTCGGAGGCATTCAGATTTTCTTCCTTTCTATGTCGATCCCCATGTATATATACGGCAAGCGAGCTCGTATGTGGACGGTGCGCAAGCGATTGATGGAGCGATTTTAGATCGGATTTGTTTTTTTTGCGGTTACGGTTATGACATTTATTTCTCGTACTAGTACATAACGATCTTAGATGTGAATTGGGATTGAATTTGATGATTATTGACAAAATCTGCCACTGGCAGTAGTAGGCTGCTTAGGTAGGTAGTAGGTACTCTTAGTAGTTGAATACTAGTTGTAGCCGCAAACCAATTTTCTTCTGGGCCCTCACCGAAGCTCCAACTTTACTCCGACCCGGAGTCATTTACTCCAGGGGAACTAGCAGCACCGCGACGCATGTTGCCAAGGCCGGAACTTGGATGCCCGGGACTGGAGACAATCATGATGTTCTCGAATTTATCCCAGTGGGAAATCACCAAGAGGGACGATGATCGGAGTTAATTACGACACCTGCGTGCTTTCAAGTTTATTTTCACAGTGGACTCCATTTCGATCAAGCACATGGCTTTTATGAAAAGAATCTCCACTTCTGTTGAGAGCTTTGCACGATGCAGTGGATATTGGTGGAGGGCCATGTGGCGTGGAAGGGGAAGGGAAACTAATCCGCGCACTGCATCGTTATTGTACGACCGGCTTTTCGGAGCTTGTGAACAAAACGGGTAAGGTCAAGATCGATAAAGAATCGGAATCCCCAGCAAAAACAGCAAAAGAAAGGACAGCTGCCAATGCTTTCAAGGTTCAAATTCCTTGGCTCAGCGGGCTGTTTCTCCGAAAACTCACCGGGGTGGGAACGACAAGGCTTGGAATTGGAGAATAAAAACACTCACCTTTACAGTTATTTCCTTTCAGGTTAATGGACCGGGCTCAACCGGCTTATCAGATCCGGTCAGTGCGACCTGGTGCCACTGGAAACTCATTCCTGTTACGTTTCCAATTGGAGAATTTGTATCAATCTCGCTGTGTGCTCCAAATTAAGATTTAAACTTGTCGGAACATGCCCGTTATCTGATCTGGTCTCTCTCCACTCACCCTGTTTTCTTTCCTCGGCATTGGGTCTGGCTTGGTGAATGTCCCCGACGGACATGGTTTTACTTTTCGCTCGTACTTAAATGGAAATGTAGCCTCCAGGTTTGCGCGCATCGAAAGCGTCTTTCCCTTCCCCCCCTTCCCCCCGTTCCGTCCCGTTCTTCGGAGTGCAGAGCCCGACACTCTCGCCCTCGCTCTCGCTCTACTTTCAACATGGCGACAACGAAGGAATTGACAGCCAAGTCTGTGACGGAGGAGGTTCAGCCGGTGGTTTCGGATGGAGATCAAAAGGACGAGTCGAACGATGGAAGGAGACCTCCGCCATTGGCCGCGAAGCTATTCGCCGTCGTTTTGATTTCGTGCATCAGTTTTGGGTCGCATTGGAGTTCTGGCGTGACTGGTGCTATGAAGAGCACAATTAAAAAGGTACAAGAACACCGCGATTGCTTGTCCGAAATGACGTGGAAGAAAGGAGTCTGTGATTAAACTAACTTGGCCTTTCGGGTAACTAGGACATGCACATTAACAATGTCCAATTTTCACTTCTCGAAGCTAGCGAGGATTTCATGGCTACGATTCTTCTTTTGCCTAGTGGTATCATTACTGATCGTGTTGGCGGAGCTGGTGAGTCCGAGTCCAAGTCCGAGACCGTCTGCTTCATCCGAAGCCAGGACAACCTATTAGTATCCCATCTGACGAGTATCCACACCTGAACAGAGATGATCGTATACGGCAATATCGTGTACACGCTTGGCTCAATCCTGGTTGCTGCTGCGACGACCGTCCGTTCGTTCAACTTCATGATTGGTGGTCGAGTCATTCTCGCTTTCGGTGATATCGCAACTCAGGTCGCGCAGTACAAAATGTTCTCGTCATGGTTTGCGCCGAGTAATGGATTTGCGTCCACGCTTGGATTTGAATTGGCAATTGGCAAGGTATTGATAATGATGTTAAAAGAACAATCGCATTGATTGAAAGCTAACTTGTTATAGATTGGAGGGTTCGTTGGCAAGTCAACTGCGAACATTATTGCAAAGGTTAGTAACAGCCTGAGTCGGATATGTAGTATTGACCTCAACGCTAACAAAAATAGAACACTGGAAACTTTGCTTGGGTCTTCTGGACAGCAGTGTTCATGAATCTCTTCACCAATGCCGCCTCGGCTGTGTTCTGGTTCTTCAACAAATACTGCAACAAGCATTATAAAGGACGACGAGACAATGCAACCAACGAGGTATTGACGGAGAAGAACAAGAAATTCGAATTTGAGAAGATCTTCCAGCTCCCATGGATGTTCTGGGCTGTTTTAGGTTTCTCGTTGTTCGAGACAAGCGCTGCTTTAACATTTAGCCAGAACGCAACAGAACTGGCGGAACAGCGATTTGCTGTCGATTCTGTCAAGGCTGGCTGGTACAGCTCTTTATCACAATATGCCGGTAAGTCGAAGGAGGCAATGTGAGGAAGTGCGGTGGTCTCTAATTAACGCCGTTCCAAATAGGATTTTTCCTCGTGCCATGTCTGGGTGTTTTTATCGACATCCTCGGTCAGCGGGCATCTGTCTGTAAGTGACAACGACTCTCGCGAATTCGGTAGTTATGTGATGTTAACAGGATGTTAGTGTTCACGTGTGGCTTGGGTATGCTGATTAGCATGGTTCTGCTCAATTTCGCGACCTCGACAGCAGGCACTGGAGCGTCATTCGGAATCTACGCCATTGCGCTATCCCTTGGCCCGACCTCCGTCATCGATAGCATCCGTACAACACTCTGGCATCAGTCCGTCTTCGGTTCGGCATATTCGCTGAAGGTGACGATGAATAATGCGTAAGTAGCCACACCCCCAATTGTGACCCGTTTGTTCTTAACCCACCCCGCTGACGCATAACAGCATGGGTATTATCGTCCGCATCATCACCGGAGCCCTGCAAGATGCCGATGACAATTCCTATCGACGTGTCATCCAGGTGTATCTGTTTCTCGTGGCGGCGTCGTTGGTCGTGGGCAGTGCAATCCTAATCGGGTCCTATACATCGGAATATCTCGCACCGTTGCAGTGGACTCGGAAGAAGCGATTAAGTTCTGGCGCGGAGATTATTGCAGCAAACAAAGAGCGCAGCCTGGTGACTCATGCTCAACGTACCCGGTACATCTCGGTTGGTTGCTTTAGTGCAATGCTGGTTTTGACCGTGGGAGGATGGGTGGCGTATATCTGGGGCGCCGTGACGGGTCATAATTCGTAAAGGTTGAATGATATGATGAGTGGCATGATGACCGAGTAGGATGATCGAGCTTGTGTCGTCATCGGCTTGGAGCCGCTGTGTGATATGTGTCCGTAACTATCAGCTGCCAGATATCGATATTCAACGAGTTCCCCTACTCATATTTCAAAAAGTTATGCGATCCATCACTCATATAGGATGTGACAGAGCATACGAGTACAGACCCTTGAACCTTTTCATGCTGGGACATGCTGAGTTTTTTTTGGGATGACTGAGCTGGCAGGTGAGCTGGTAGCTGTCTAGGCTGGTAGCTGATCAGTGGGGTGCAGGGGGGATCACCTCCTAATCCCAGGTCCATCGGATGGCCTTGTACCAGTACGTTTGCAATAGACAACGTACTCCGTAGCGGAGGCCCCCCCCATCCTCTTCTCGTTTGGGTAATCAAGTCGCCACCGCCACCACATGCCGCGAACGAGCGCCACAAGCGCCATCGCCCGCTTGTGAAGGTCCGATTTCCGACAACGCGATAGCCCAAGTCCATAACAAAAGCCCCAATGACGCAATGGCTGGAAATTGAGCTGAACTTGCACCGCATAATACACACTGATGTCGGCGGCGGAACGAAGGGGTTAGACTGAAGGATAGAGACGACGTCTTCAAGCCACCAAAGACAATCGAAGGATTATCACTGGTCCAACTGGAGATCAAATCCACCCGTCAGGGATTTCGATGGGGGATTGACCAGTGAGGGGATTGTGGGAGGTGGGTTGGTGGAGGATTGATGTGGGTTGGAGGCGCAAAGATGTGCCTGATCGTCCATCAATGCCTTCCCGTGATTGGGCCTCAGGCCAACTTCCACCTTCCACCACACACATCATCCACTCCACATCACCACCGCCTGCTTCTCCCTTCCGCATGTCCCGCATGTTTGGCTCATGGATCGTCCACTCTGCTCAATGGCCTTCTGCCTTATCCCCTTTTCAAACTTTGACCCTCCACCCCCGGTCGAGCAAGCGGTGGGGAGCCTGAGGGCACGCACCCGATCGAGACAACTTGAATGCCAATCATCAATCAGATCGCCTGGACTATTTCTCCCTCGCTGACCACAGCCTCCCAGTGGTACACGAAGTGTACACACTTTGTACACCATCCACCATGGTCAGTTTAGTCCCCACATGACAGTTGAAGCCCATTCATTTGATCTCCTGCCTCTTTTCCCTCGGCCCTTGGATCCGCTTCTCTACCTCTCTTCCCAATTCTGGTGATAGTGAGTGGGGATGATCGTGATTTTTCACACACACACACTCCCTCTCCAACGGCATTTTGTGGCTCCGCCACTCGATGACTGATCGACGTTTATTGTTCAGATCCCTCAGAAGACCTCTTCCCTCTCGCATCTCTCATCCCCAGCGCCGAAGCCTCAACCCCCCACTGAAACCGACTACTACCGACTACTACCGACTACTACCGACTATACTTTTGAGCTCGAGCTCTCGCGGTTGTGTGGCCACTGGCCCCTTTTGATACTGGACCCAGGGCTTTGAGCATGCAGGAAGAACGTCCTCTGCTACTTGTCGATCCTGCAGCAGAGTAATGGAAGAAACAAAGACACGTCAAGTCGCGGAGCATGGCGCGGATCGCAGAACGAGGGAACTATATCGCTACTATCAGCCCGGGGGCCCAACACACACACTCCCCGCCTGGCTCTCTTCCACGGGAGAGAGTCGATCATCTGGATCGACGGGCAGCTCAAACACCCCTGTTCGTGATAGTTCGGTAGCAGGTTCCAATAGTAGTGCGACCTCAACTCCATCCACTGCAATCGGACCGGAGGCGTTGGTCCTAGGATTATCCAACAACACTTTGACCTCGTTTGCACAGCTTGCAGCACTACGCTTGAATGTGGAACGAGCTCTCATATGTGTTCTCGACCGAGATATGCAGTACATTCTTTCCGAGGCCACCAAGTCAGTTAGTCTGAATGACCACTCGGTCCACAACGATAAAGATGCGATTTGGTCTGGAAACACCAACGGCGAGAAGGCGTGGAGCTTGTGTAAAGTAAGTATACAACCCGCATATGAGCTTGGAGTTCCACCATGTGTGTTTGTAAAGCTACATAAAAGGATCTTCAATGGCTGGTGCTGACCATCTTGTCTGTATAACAGGACACTGTTGCCCTCTCATCTTCCAATCGCGAAACCGCCGACTATCCCCACCTCGTCGTCAATGACCTATCCAAGAATGAACGTTATAGCAACCTTCCTTTCGTTCAAAACGATCCTCAATTTCGATTCTACGCCGGAACCCCCTTGACTACCCATAATGGTATAAATCTGGGATGCTTCTTTGTGTTGGACAAGGAACCTCGTGATGGATTGGCTGCATCGGAAAAGGACACACTTGGGTCGCTGGCCATGCTTGTTGTCGATTATCTCAAAGTCTGCCGTCAGGCTTCGGAAGGTCGTCGAGCTGCACGAATCTCTCGTGGACTGAGCTACTTCGTCGACGGGAGCTCCAGCTTCGTAGAAAGTGTTGACCCCTCGCGGGCCGAAAGCTGTCCCTCTCAATCTGTGACCCCATCAACGAACAATCGTCTCAGCACTTTTGGCGATTCCCGTGGAGCAGCCTAGGCAACTCCCTCCAATCCGACCAATCGTCCCAGAATGAGCGAGCATATCAAGAATCATCAGGCCAATCAAACAGCCCGCCCAACGATCGGAGCAGCCTTGGCAACTCCGTCCAATTCGACCAGTCGTCCCAGAACGAGAGAGCATCTCGAGCATCAGGCCAATCAAACAGTCCGCCCAACGATCGATCTCTGAGCAATGATGCGCAATCTGTTAGCTCTCGGGGCTCTAAATTAGACACTGGGACCTCTGGTGGGGCGAGCTCTCTGCCCGAGTGGATCACCAGCAGCAGCAGAAACCAGCTTCCCCCGACGACTCTCATGGCAATTCCTGGTGTTTTCGCCGGGCAGCGAATTTGCTCCGTGAAAGCCTGGATTTGAGACAAAATGGCGGTGTTATTTTCCTGAGAGTCTCAAGGTATTCCATTCTCTAATCGAGATAGTGGGAGTGAGGACTCGATGAGTGATTCAACTGGCCCTGCAACTGTCCTGTCCATGTCAACAGAAGATGAACCATTCGCGCCTCGTGCGGGTGCGGTCAGTGACTCGCCCGCGGCTTCCCTCGATCGGTCCTTTTTACAATTGCTGCTTCGACGATATCCCAAAGGAAAGATATGGTCCTTACATCAAGACGGGCTCATTTCCACATCTGACGATGATGATGACCACAATTCGCATAACACGGCGCCGACTCCCTCATATCGGTCGCCTCCAGGATTTCCCCCGATCGACGTGAAGAAGCCCACGGGAAAAAGGCGAAAGGCTGCAGAAAATACCATGTTGAATAAGTATTTCCCAGAAGCGACCCAGATCATGTTTGTTCCGCTTTGGAATGCTGTGAACTCGCAATGGTTTGCCGGGTGCTTTTGCTGGATTAATGTCGAGACACAAGTTTTTAGTTCCGCCGTTGAGCTGAGCTCTGTCCTGGGCTTTGGCTCGTCTATCATGGCTGAGTATAGTCGAGTCGAGTCGCTCATTGCAGATCGACAAAAGGGTGATTTTATCGGCAGCATCTCACATGAGCTCCGCAGTCCTCTCCACGGAATTTTAGCCGCGGCTGAATTCCTGAACGGCACGAACCTTAACGAATTCCAAAACTCGCTTCTTGAGACGGTAAACGCTTGCGGACGGACTCTACTTGATACGATGAATCAAGTCCTGGATTTCAGCAAGGTTGTTTCTTTGGAGCGAACATGGCGGTCACTGAAGCGCAGGAAAGAGTCACCACTCGACTTCAAAGGCACAGACAGGCTGGGTTCGCACCTTGATTCCTACGTGGTAACGGATCTGGCGATCTTGGCCGAAGAAGTTGTCGAGGGAATCTGCCTGGGACTGACCTATGGAAATAACTCTGGGGCCCCTGCCGATTTGTCATATCTAATGTCCAGCAATGTCCCCAAAGTCCAATCAGGTCGATCTCAAGTGGATGTGGTCATTGATGTGGCGCAAGGTGATTGGGTTTATCGCACACAGCCAGGCGCGCTACGGCGCATTGTCATGAACATCTTTGGAAACGCAATGAAATATACGGACTCAGGGCGAGTAACCTTGAGCCTCGAAGCTACCAGCCGGTCAGAGGGCCGTTCTCGACGACAGGGCCTGGAGGACTTGGTTACACTGACTGTGTCAGATACTGGACGCGGTATTTCGGAAGAATTTCTTCGCGGGAAGCTGTATACCCCATTCGCCCAAGAAGATTCGCTCGCCGTGGGAACTGGCTTGGGATTGTCAATCGTCAGGAGTCTAGTGAAAGCCCTCAATGGCCACATTCGCGTCCGCTCTCGCCCTGGGGAAGGTACGGTAGTGCGTGTCTCTCTTCCACTTGCGCGAGCGGTCGGCGAGGAAAGCCCGCCTGTTCATCAAAGCTCCCATAACCCGCAACAAATAGAAGCTCTGACGAAGACCCTTCTCCTCCGAGAGGGATTTCCTGGTAAACGTGCTGCTATTTGGGGTGTGGACCCGGAGCGTCTCGCAGAGGACCAGACTTGGGCCGAGATTGCGAGATATCTTACCGGATGGTTCGGAGTGGAGCTCGTTTCTTGGCCGTCACCGCTACCATTGGATATGTTGGTCATAGAGGAATCAGTGTTGCCCGAGTTGCGCAAAACGCCACTCACAGCAACACTACCATCACTACTCATCCTCTGCCACCAACCAGTGGATTATACTCTAGAGCAGACTGAGTGGCTTGCACTTGCAACCTCGGTGGAAATTATTCGACGCCCCTGTGGACCTCATAAACTAGCCCGCAGCGTTCTGAAATGCTTCCAGAATTCTCGCTCCACGGTGGTGACGCCCGCGACCGTGCTTAGCAATCCAATGGATTCTATTGACCTTGTCTACCGGACACCCCCGATCACCTCCGCCATACAATCTGCTTTGACGTCTCCGGTCTCCGTTTCAAACCCTGGGCCTTTTGATGAGCCTTTATCAGCAGTCGCCGCGGGGTCGGGTCTCAAGTCTCTAGAAGAGTCTTTTCCAAACGCCCCGTCAGTGGTACCCGTATCCGGATTCCCAGAGGCCATCGCAGCGGCCCCTCTCCCAGCTCCATCGATGGATGGCAGCATTGCCTCTTCACGACTAGCACGTGTCCTCGTTGTCGACGATAACCGAATTAATCTCAATCTGATGATGACCTTCATGAAGAAGCGGAATCTCACCGACCTTGTGTCCGCGGAGAATGGCAAGCTTGCTGTCGAGGCAGCCGAGCGAATGCAAATGGGCTTCGACATTATTTTCATGGATATATCAATGCCTGTGATGAACGGATTTGAAGCAACACGTGCCATCCGGGCCATGGAAGAAAGAAAATGATAACCGCAGGCCGGCTGTCATTATCGCTCTGACCGGGCTGAGCAGTTCACGCGATGAATCCGAAGCTCTCTCCTCTGGTGTTGATATGTTCCTCACCAAACCAGTTTCCTTCCGAGAAGTATCGCGTCTTTTGGCAGAGTGGGAGACCAATGGACTGGAGAAGGAACGAACAATTGGCTGCAAATTTGATTGATTACGATCATTCCTATGCATTCATTCGTGTTTCTTCCTCAGTTTGAGCATTGATTGTCCTTTCCTCTGTTCCATCTTGGCCTTTTCAATACCCCCGTTCCTCCAAGCCAAACGATTTGCGGTCAAGTGGCTGCACCTGGCCTATATTTACCATAAAACTATAATGCAAGTTTCGTCATTGACTACCAAGTGACTTTTATTGATCATGTTGCGAAACATCCTCATAACAGCCACCTCAGACAATGAACGTAGTGCTTGTAGTCACCCCGCTCTGTTCAAAAGTTGCTGTCCCTCTGCTCCTCTGTCTCCATTTCCATTTTCTGTTTCTGTTTCTTTTATCCTTTTATGGATGCATTTTCATGGTGCGTTGCATTTGGTTTGGCTGGATATACGGGAAGCTAGGACCGAAGTTCCCCCATTTCATTTTTTATTATACTTACTTTTTCTTTCGATTTCTCTTTTCGAATTTCTCCATGGGGTAGAGACTGGGTGGAGACAGTGGAGTTGTCTCAGGGAGTTTACCTACATGCACCCTTAGATAGTCAGTCCCTCGTGGACTTACCTCACGCATAGGAATCATTTGACCATGTTTGGTACCTCCAGTTACTCACATATTCCAAGGTTTCTACTACTAGTACTAGTAGTATCTACTAGAATACTTTTTACTTCAATGAGACTAAGGTTGGTATTTAATTATATTCATGCTGGAGTGTCCGTTGTGCCGAGCTATCAGGCCACGCGGTGCAACTGTCAGCAGCTCCGAGTCACTGATCAACTGTAGAATATGTCTACACCGGCTTAGGCTCTAGGGATATTCATTGGGTACCATGAATCTAGCTTTCAGCCAAACCACTAACTACTCCATTTGCCGTATCCGGAGATAGTCACATCCCACGTTGGTGGGGGGCCTCGTTTCTTGCGTGCGGGGTCAACGCGAGTTAAATCGACTGCAGCCCACTTTCCAAGCTGTCAGGGGGCTCTGCGACATTCAGTTAGCGGATTTCAAGGATTCAATCCCACAATCGCCCGCTTTTGAAACTTCTTCTCTCATTGACATTCAACCTTGTCTCCTACTTCAAATAGCAATCATGGCCATCACCCAAGAACCGAAGGTTAAATCCTTTGAGACAAGACTCTTCATCAATGGCAAGGTGAGTTGGAATCAACCAGCAATAGGGGCTCAAGCTAAGGAATGCTAGTTCGTGGAAGCCTCTGATGGCGGTAAATTCGAGCTGAAATCACCCGCCACGGGCGAAAAGTTCGTCGAAGGTATCGTCTACGTGCACAGAAGCCCTGTCGAGCTGGTATTAATGCAGTTATACAGTCTCTGAAGCAACAGAAGATGATACAAACGCCGCTGTTGCTGCTGCCAAAGCTGCATTTCCGGCGTGGTCCGAGCTCTCTCCTGCAGATCGAGGGGCCTATTTCAAGAAGCTTGCCAATCTGATTCGCGAATCCCACGACGAGCTTGCTGAACTGGAAGCACTGTCAATGGGACGTCCTGTCTCTGCGTACTTCGAGTCTTACATCGCTGCAGAGTCTTTGGACCACTATGCAGAGGCAGGTTATGATGCTCTGGGAACATCCAGCTTGAACACCCCTGGTTTTGTCAATATTACTATGCGACAGCCATATGGCGTAGTCGGTGCTATCATCCCTTGGAATGTACCGGTCTTATTCTTGGTTAGTCTCTCCGTTTCCCAATTTCGTGAGGGTTTCTGACAAAATTTAGATTGGTAAAAGTGCTCCAGCCCTGATCGCAGGAAATACCGTTGTGGTGAAGAGCAGCGAAAAGGCACCATTGACTGTGAGTTAATAAATAAAATCATACAGTTATCGCACTGGTCAGGGTATCACCAGGCAGTAATCTTACTATTTTATAGTCAGCCAAAATTGCCACACTGATCGACAAAGCCGGCTTCCCTCCTGGCGTTATCAACATCCTTTCAGGACACGGCCACATCTCTGGAAATGTGATGTCGCACCACATGGATATTCGCGTCCTAAGTTTCACCGGCTCAGGCAGAACAGGACGTATTATCCAAGCCGCAGCTGCCAAGTCCAACCTCAAGAATATAATTCTAGAGCTTGGCGGCAAGTCTCCCGCGATCATCTTTCCCGATGCCAATATCGAAAAGGCAGTCGAGCAGACCAAGTTCAGCATGCAATTTAACACCGGACAGGTCTGCATGGCCAATTCTCGCATCTATGTCCACGAGTCGATCGCTGAGAAGTTCATTGAATCGTTCAAAAAGAGTTTCGCTGATCTGAAGAGCGGCGATCCCTTACTCCCAACCACGCAGCAGGGCCCACAGGCAGATGAGCTGCAATACAAGCAAATCCACGCTTACATTGAGGAGGCTAAGAAAGTTGGCAAATTGGCCATGGGGGAGAGCCTTCTCAACATCAGAATGGATTTTTTGTTCCTCCTACGGTCTTCCTTGAAACGGCTGAAGATGCCAAGCCAATGAAAGAGGAGATCTTTGGGCCTGTCGTGCATATCAACACCTTCCGCGATGAAGATGAGGTCGTTGCCAAGGCCAATGATACTGAATATGGCCTGTATGCGGCTGTTTATACTAAGGATGTCAGCCGAGCCTTGCGAATGGCGAAAAAGCTGGATTCGGGAAGTGTGGGCGTCAATTGTACTAGCCCGACCGGAGCGAAAGACATGCCTTTTGGAGGTTATAAGGCTAGTGGAATCGGTCGTGAGGGATGGACTGTTAGCATCAACAACTATTTGGAGACTAAGAGTGTTCTTATTAGTGTGGATGATGAGTGATCTCCTAGTCTTCGCTTGGGAAGGTTTCTGTCACTCAAAATTCTATGCTATGTAGAGCTATGCTGTTCTGAATAACAATCGCTTGGTACAACCTCATACTAGTAGATTCGTGCAAGCTTCCGCTCATTGCTAAAGCAAAACAAGGTCTGATAGACATGTATGATAGCTTGTGGTGATTGAACACGGTATCTTGCATTACGAATTTTCGATTGAATCCTCTGGTTTACCTAGACCGGCGGGGCCAAGAAGAGGATCGATAATTTAAAAGCCGGAGAGGCGCCAACGCAAAATTTAATATAATATTAGCGTGAAGAACCGTGAATGATGACGACGCGATAAAAAGCCCCGCTGAAATATATGCGATTAGTTATTTTTTTGACGCGACTAGCCTCCTTCGCTAGGATCTCCCAATGTTTCAGTGGAAAGCTAAGCTTCCGTGACCGGCTTCCAGAAATTAACCTTTGAATATCTACTTCTAGGCACATAGTACGAGAAAGTTAATTTCGGTGCTGGGAAAAGTCATACTACTAGTATTTCTCTACCGAGTATCAGACATTCACAGACTTGATGACTGGAATCGCATATCCCGAAGGATAAAGGTTCGAGTAATCATAAAAGAGTTGGTATATGCCCGACACATTCATTGGCAAGAGGCGGAACGAAGACGATAAAGTTCCGCTAGACTCCTCCCACATCAGATAGGTTCCGTAGAAGATGAAGTTGCTTGTCGCTGCATCTGAAGGAGTATCATGACCATTTTTAGTGAAGCCGACCGACAAAACTTCATTTTCGACGGGTCTAATGTAGAGAAGGGTTCCCGCATCAAGCTTCGAGACGGGAGTGGCAGTGGTGTTAAGCTCGGTATTCTGAATTATGACTATTTATGGTTAGCCCCGAATGCTCGGGTAATATGTCATCGTATATAAAAGTATGGTTGGAAAAGTAGTAGGGATATGGTCTCACAGGTAACATCGGTAACAACATTGCCCTCTGCTTCCCACAGCGAAGCATCGCCGGCATAAGCAAGCCCTAGAGTAGACATGAGCGGAAATATCTAGTTTGAAACAGGAAAGACCAACCGTCGGAAAAGAATATATCAATATAGGATGATGCAACTCCGTATGCAACAAGTTTGAAAGGAGTCGAGTCGCGTTTCTCGAGATCATTCCCTGCAGGTACCGCCGTGGCGTGGGAGAGAAACGACAAGACCATCGCGACGATGGAAAGCTTCATGGTGGCGGCTATTAGTTTTCTTTTCCTGTCTGTTTGAAGCGAAATGACAAACCTTGGGCTTTATATACTACTAGTATGAATCCTATTCTTCATCTGTTAGTAGAACGGGGTTGTAGTGGACGTGGACCCGCCTGAAAATGACGCGGCCAAAGCCACCTCAAAATTTAAGGGTGTTAGTGGGAGTCCATAATCTCCCGGCATACCTAACTTTGTTGTCTCACTATGCCAGTTAGGTACTAGCTTACCAGTTGCTTATACTCAAAAGAATCTTTTGGTGGGATCTCACTCGGATGTGGTCCACATTTATGCCCGAGGGATTCTCTCGCCGGTTCTATTCGAAGAACATCTTCCTAGTTGAAACTTTGAAAGAGGCGCACTTGACTTCTCGAGACCAACCAGCTTGCAGAATCATGAGTAAATGCCGGGAGCGGTGAACTCCTGGTCAGTATTTAGTCTTGTATGCCCACGAGGCTTCGTGGTGGAATTGTGAGTTCGGACTATAGAAGCGATTGGCTGGAAAGAAAAACAGGTCTGCGGGCTAATTGCCGCCAATGGAATAACCTGTTTGATACACCCCAAACACTTGATTTGTTTGGCTCAAATCTAACAGCCTAATTTCGATCTCTTACATCCTGGACTTGCATCTCATCGGCTGGGCCCCAGGATGTGAGTGCCGGTGATAAAAAAGATGTTTGCCAAGGATATGCTTTAACATTTGAAGCTCTCTGGTTTAGTTTCAAAGTTTTAGGATGGAGATTAATTCCGCAAAATTAGAGTATCGTTATGAATCTATATTCGTGAGAACATTAAATTTCTAGTTGTGTATACTATACACGCTAAACTTTCGAATCTGCTGCGACTGGCGTAATTGGCCGGTTGAACAAAAATGCCACACTGACCATTGCCTTCGCGATAGCACAGAGCAGAATTGGAAATGAAGAGCTGACCTCACGCTGTGCGAAAGCACCAACAAAACAACCCAACGTCAACATGACGAGAAACATAACTCTGCGATTTCGCAACCGATTCTTGATCTTCGCCAAGCTTGGATCAATAACCACATCGATGAAAGCCGCCGTCGCCATCGCAGTTGTAATTTCCGTGATCTTCAAAGAACGGGCCATGGCAACCTGTGCACCCGACGAAAATGCGAGACATGCAATAACTGCCAGGGCGGCAGGTCCATCGCGCTGAATGGGCCAGGAATATTGAATCATCAAAGCACAGAATACCAGCGCTGTTTGAGTGAAGTTGCTAATCAAAAGCCACAGTCGTCGTCTCACCCCGAAGTAATTTCCCAGCTGGCCCATTATAAACCCCCCGGCGATAAAAAGACTCAGGCTCACTCCAATGTTTGCGAAGCTGAATGCATCGTGGGTGAGACCTGCTACTCCGATAGCAAGAAAGAGTGTATTTCCTGTTTGATTGGAGGCAAAGCACATATAGTCCGGCCAGGCGGCGGCATCCTGAATGCCAGTCGCGAAGGACAGGAGGAGAAGTTCGCTTTCGAGGAGTATGTCTTCAGCGATGTCCTCATCAAAGAATTCTTTGACGGTGGGTTTGTGATCTTTCTCGGAATCAGAGATTGATAGCGCCATGATGAATGTTATTGTTCTTACGACGGTTAGCAAGCACAACTCGACGTGATTTCAGACCAGTGAAACTAACTCCTGTAGGCGATTATGTACGTTCTATCGAGTTTTGGGGGAAATATGCAAGAACTGTCGACAAAATGAATTTTCAGAAATGTGGCTCAGAGGACAGTTTTCGGGCTTTGTATTTTTAAGAAAGGCGTCTTCTTCATGTTCGGGAAATTAGTATGTATCTGAAGTCCTTATATTCAAGTGCAAGATTAATTGTTGTAAGGGTCATTTACAATTTAGATCGATCAACATTCCGAGCTGACGTATCTACACGGGGGTTCGAGGGGTTGTGGAATTCCGATCCCATGAAAGAGCTAAGATCGACCACATTAGTGGGGAAGGCCAAGATTCAGGGCATGCGGCGGACTAATTACCTGCTTTTTTGCGCCTTTCCCGTCTTGAATTTGGGGAACCATATGGTAAGTGACGCGCTATCAGTCGCACCTGCGAGTTTCACACACTCGTCTGCATCTGTTTCTGGTAACAATCGACTAAGACCGAAAATTTGCCAAGAAAGACTATTCACGAATGTCTTTGATTTTATTTGCTCAGTATTATCATTAGGCTTGAGTCAAGGTATGTATACGTCTCGCTTTTCCCTTGCGGGTCATTTGAGGGACAGGAATTTTAGCTTATGATGGAAGCCAAGTTTTCTATTCTAAGGTCAACTTACCTCCAAGTGGAGAACTGAGTGCGGTTCCAAGGTTTTACATAAAACGATCACCACCCTCAATACAAGTTGCGAGAGGGCCCGTTTCTCTGATAAGTAGAAAACAAATAATAAACTTCACACTCAATGAATGATACTAGTATCTTGATAATTTTTACTCGAACAAAAGCATAGAGGTCTCAGACGCCGATTATGAGTAGTCCGGATCTTCAGTAACCTTCATTAAATCGCTTATTATATGATGCTTTCATTATTTGAAGGGCGAATTGGGTAGCTCGGGGACGTAGGTAGAGGCGCTGGTGCCATGTACCTCTCGGGGTGATGATAATATATGTTGTTGGGTCGCAGGCCACTGTGGACTTGGGCCTATCTCGCTCGGTAATTGGTTATTGCTTTTTGCTAGCATCCCAGTTGAGCGCAATTTCAGCCAGACCAAAATTACCAGTGCACATAGTATCGATCCACCAATACCTGCACCCACCCCAATTGCGATTTTTGAAGTTTGTGACATTTCAGAAGGCGATGATGATGATGCGGTCGCAGAATTAGATGTAGAGCTTGTTGTAGACGGTGATGCGACGTTCGAAATAATGGCGTCTGTGGAGGTGGCCGTAGATGAAGTGGTGGAGGCAGTGGTAGTAGTCGATGACGATTCGGTGATATTGAAAAAGCTCGAGGTGAAGCCGTTTGGCCCATCTGGATTTATCCAGAGAAAGAAGACGTTTGAATAGTCTAGGTCAAATCCATAAAGCTGAACGGCCCAAGTGAAGTTGGTGACTTTGTCGCTAGAATGAATTTTGGCTATATAGCGTTAGCATCGCTCAATTGTTTCGGTCGAGGTCCCTGAAACGATATATTCCCTTCTTACCGTATATGTTTCCCTGGCTAGCAGCACTTTCCTGCACCAAACTCTGTTGCCAAATGGAGACATTGAATACCCCTAATTCTGTCTTCCAAGATATGACTTGCGTGTCACCCAGTGCCCAAACAGGGTTAATACCAGTATTAGAGGCTGGGTTGGTGAAATAGTTTTTGCCATCACTGGCTCCAACAAGCGTGATTATTACAGCCAGAAGTAATAAAAAGGGACCAGAAAGCCACATGGTGACCAACACCTCACAAACAAGCTCTTCAGAGAAGTGCCGAGTGCAGGAAAATTGACGCTTTTGATGGAAATGAGGAGTGCGATGTAATGATGAAGGGGGAATATGGTGAGTTAGAAAGGATTAGGGTAATTAAGGGGGTCTGTACACAGAATCCTTCGAGCCTCAACTTGTAGGTCTTCATCTTACTAGCCGCCGCACCAGGCGAAACTAATGCTGTGCTTGACAGGGTATACAGCGCCTTAATGCAGGAGCTGAAATAGCTGTTCAATCAAATGTTGGGCTTGGTGGAGACAGTCTATGCCTATCGTATTTTTGATCTGGGCTCAATGCACTAACGGAGTTGGGGCTGGAACTAGCAGGCATAGCTTGAAACACGGCCAGTGTATCCCTGGAAAAGCCAGTTGAAGATTCAGCAGGTTGAAGATTCAGCAGCCCTGGAGATTTTATTATTTCTATCTTCATGATAAAGAAGAGACAGCTCTCCAAGATTTTGAAATGGCTATTTTATGATAACTTATATCCTCCACGAATTAATTGGCATGGATATGGGGCATGGATCAACTGGGCGCTCTATTTGGGGCTGGTAAAGGAAACTAATAGATTCTAAGCGCCTGAGGCATGGAACCGATGGGGTCAATTTAGGCTCTAGTAGTACTCTTAGTTCAAAAGAAGTTATATTTATTGCTTACAGCGTATGAATAGATATCCGGCAGCATCTATAAGTCACCTTCAAGTTTCTATACCAGAAGTAGTCAATTCTACGTCCTATCTGGGAAGCGATTACTTTCTACTCACCCAAAACATATACCAAAGATTCAAAGGTGCCCAGGTGTGCAAAACGTGACATTTGTGAACTCCCACCGTGCGGGTTTGCGATATCTCACTTCCACACTCTCTAAGATGTGATTTTGTGATTGGAAAAACGTACTTGGTGGAAGCTGAAATCGTAAATACCTCTTGAATGTCATCACGGGTCCTCATTCACAATGACAGAAGTTTTCCCACCATGGTTTGACAAGAGTTCGGAGTCGATAATTGGAACTTCAACATCATCCCACGTAGAATGCACCGCACGCCCACCCCTCAATATTCGATTAATATTGAGCATGGTGCTGTACATCACTCCCCGGCTGACAAAGTCCGAGTTATCTCCTTCCTCGCTATGAATATCAGAGGACTTCGCAGCAGTCCCCGCGGCTCGGAAGGACCCGGTCAAGGATGGGTATGATGAGAAACACCTCAGATAACCATGTCCACACATACGGCCAAGCGACACGTCGAATTGAGCTCCGATATCAATCTCTTCTGCTAAACCGGATGGATTGACAGAAAGAGCAGAGAGGATTCGCTGGGCGCCTCGGCGGCTTACAGCGTAAAAGTTTGAGCACACTCCATCTTTAAGCGCACACGTCAATCGAGCGTCGTCGGGTCGTTCGAGAGGGGGCGGGTCGCGCCAGTAAGGGAGGAAATGGCGGGTCGCTGGGACTGTAGGGTCATTCGAGTTCAGAGCGTAGGGTTCTTGAGTTTTGCATTCCATGCCACAATGTCCTAGCCAGAAGACATCCCAATCATCACCGTATGGAGAGTGGGTTGGGATTTGATTGACACTCAGGTATTGAAGAGCTCGCACAGCAAGGGCGAAGCTGTGAAATTGATTCTTGACGGAGACATCCCAATCGACATCATCTTCCATTATAATGGCACTGCTTAGCCTTTGCTCAACCACTCTAAGATACGATTAGTACAAAGTGGAAGTTGAAGAATGTCCGATGGCATACCGTTGGATCGCATCGAGATGAGCTCGGCGAGCGGCATATTCGGTCGGCTCATGATCGAAATTCCAGTTCTAAGATATTTCGTCAGTACGACTACTAGTAACTCTCGCAAATGATTTGAGTTTCGGGAGACTCTTACGTAGGGATAAGATTTCGGACTAATCTCCTCGGGATTGACACCGTCGATCCAGTCGACCTTCAAGTCACTCACCGCGGACCCAAGGATGATGTTGTCCTTCTTATCCGGGCGCGTCGGGAGATTAATCGAAAATATCTTTTCGAACTGTCATCTCGTTAGAAAAATTTCTTCGTTTTTTCTGCCTTCGGAAAAAAGAGTCTTACTCCTAATGTTCCATTTGTGATGGTATCCAAGTTATCCCAGCCCCGTTGAGGGTTGGGACTGCCGAAAATCGTCCTCCGACCGGTCGGCCAGAGCGTGAGAACGAAGAAAGATATCCCGGCTAGCAGGAGGCAGAATCGTCCAAAGCGTTGCCGGGGCGAGGATAAGGCCATGCTCAATCGTACGAAGATTCAACTCAGAACACACCGACCATCCTAATAGTTCAGAAGTTCATTCAAGTCCATTGAAGTAGGAAAAAGCCCCCTGAGCCGCCCCCAAACGAAGATGTTGAGCTGATGACTGAGGTTAGCCGCCAGGATCTTGAATCAAGTTATGATTGGCCCATAAGAGATCCGCCCACTATGAGAACATAAGGAAAGAGTGACTGGGATGCCAATCAATAGTGGAATTAATCCTTGTAAGCGAAAACAATGTGCATTAGGCCGCTGCAACACTGCCTCGGAAAGGTGCTTGATCAGCTCAAAGATCGTCCAATGCCTGGCAGCTTTAATAAAGCTCATTCCCCTTAATTTTAGAAAAAAATGGAACACTGCGTCATAATGCCTGCGGTCGCACGAGGCCTACTCCGAAGCTTGTTTCCAATTAGAGTACGAGTATGTTTTTTTAAGCTAGAGATTGAGTTCTGACGGTGGCACTCTGCCTTTGGCCCGGGGTGCGGGCCTGTTCTGTCCATCTATACTCATAGTCTACTAGAACCCAAGGTGAAACTCACGGACAATCGAACTTGAAGAGAAATTTTATTTGCTTTCCTCTTGTCGCCAAATAAATAATCGACCTCGGGAGTCGAAGTCGAATATACCAACATACTGATTGCCTGCTGTTAGCTAGAAGGAGCTCATGGAAAGAGGTCCCGCATGAGGGCACCGGACGGTAATTTTCATGGATATCTTTTGTTGAAGTTGACAACCCTCTCGCAGTACTGATAATTTTATTTCCTTCAAGCAGACTCCGATCTGGAGTTATTAGCTCTTTCATGGCTGCTTCTTATTATATCACGGGAATCAATGCAACTTAATCACCTACTCACCCATATCATTCTGACCGGGCACTATGCTGTAAACATACAAATAACCCCGCAACACTTTAAATTCGAGAGAGGTCGTGATAGTCAGGATAATGTCGACCAAATCATAGTCTTCCTTTCTTACGCTAGGCCTGAAGTACTCCGTACTCGTAGTATTAATGGATTCAAATTGGACAATCATCCGCCGGAGCAGCTGAAAAATACCTAGTACAGTTCAAGCTAGCCGTAGTACTTTTGCATGGCAAAGAATGTGCTACGCCAATTCAAGTGTCATGTCCATACTAGTATCTCGCTGAAAGATGGCAGATATCAGTCTCGAGGCAACCCTGAGAGCCGAAAATAGTTGTTTCGGCAGACTGAGAGATCAATATATAATATTAGTGTTCGCGACAAAAATCGAGGATGTCAGTGTTACCGCGTATGCTAGTTGAAATTTAGCTTCTCGGAAACTGCATCCACAATCGCACATTTCCCCAGCAGAACCATAACCAGAACCAGAGCCAGGCCTTTATTTCGCCCCGCCCCGCTGTCATTACCATCCTTGTACTAGGATAGCTAGCAGGGTCACATATTGCCCTGCTCATACGATGTCACCAGAATCATTTCCACCACTAGAATCATGGTGCGACCGAAATGCGACCGGGGGCGGCGGGAGAACATGGGGGGCCCCCTGTCTGATACGGAGTTGGCGCAGTCTTAGTCTGAGTGTTAATGCAGTACAAAGTCCTTGTGCTTGTGTCTGCTATGCAAGCGGGCGCAATCAGACTTTCAATTAAATTTTTTAACAAACCATCCCGTGCATGACAGCAGCCCAAGGGGATCGGATGGTTCCCCTCGTTAACATTTCGCCAAACCTACACGAACAAAAGTACACCTGGGCAACCAGTGTAGTGCCAGTGCAAGTGGCGCTCAGGCTTCTAGCGTCAAACCAAAGTACTGTAAGGACTGTACGGAGTAATAAGGACTGTAAAGTAAAATAACACTTTTTTCAAGGTTGAACCCCCCTCCCCCATTCCCGTCCCGTACCCATTGGACCCGCACCATTGATTTCTTCAGTCAAAGCGTCAATCATTATCATATATTAGTAGTCCCTTAAAGCTCGGCTACTTGTACTTGTATTCCCCTTTCCCACACCCGCACATACCTAGGTATACACTCACCCACATACCCAACCGCCACTTAGCGCACGCATTCATCCCAACATGTCGTCAGCGAATGCGAACGAAATCACCATCGCCGTCGATCCAGACGTGCACCTCCGCCAAGATGAATATGACCCCCGCGACTGGAACTCCGAGACCACCTCAATCGGGTCCTCTATCTATCGCGGAATCATGGAGAACGGCCGTCGCTACCAATCCCTAAAGGAAGACGAGTACGCCTTCCCCGCCGACGAGCAGCAGTTCGACACCTACGACGCCGTTCACCTCGCCGCGATCGTCGGAGACTCCGCTGAAGAAAACCCGCTCTTCCACGCACCCATCGAACCCAAGAATGTCCTCGATATTGGTACGGGAAAGGGATCGTGGGCCGTTGATGTCGCGGATATGTTCCCCGAAGCTTGGGTTCGTGGCGTGGATCTCTTCCCGCCGCCCGTTACCTGGTTACCGCCTAACTGTGTTCTGGAGGTGGATGATGTGACGCAGGACTGGACGTGGAGTCAGAAGTTTGACCTCATTCATCTTCGGATTTTGGCGTGCGCGTTTACGCCTGAGGAGACGGCGGATATTATGAAGAAGTGTTATGACAACCTCCAGCCTGGTGGTTGGATTGAACAGTTTGAAATTCACCCCAATGTTTATTGTGATGATGCGAGTATCGCGGAGGATAATGTTCTATATGATATTGGACCAAGGTATGAAAGGACTCCCATTACGGATGAAGTAATTATTCCCCCTTCCCACCGAGCCATCATCTGATTACTGGGCATATCAGGTGTGACGCTGCCGCCAACAAATCCGGCAAGCGCATGGATCTCGTGAAAACGATGCGCGACTCCATCGCAAAAGCCGGCTTCGTCGACATTCACGAAAAAGCAACCAAGTGGCCCATCGGCCCATGGCCTCGCGAAAAGTCTAAGAAGGAGCTCGGCTCAATCAACCTCCACCACTGGTTGACCGGTATCGAGGGATACACCATGTTCCTAATGACCAAGTTCGGAGATCCCGAGCCATGGACTCAGGAGGAGGTGCGAGTTTACAATGCTCAGATGAGAAAGGCGCTGCTGAACCCACATCACCACCCATACCAACGCACAAGGCGAGTTTGGGCCAGAAAGCCCTTCCCCGAGGAGGAGAAGGCGAGGGACGAGAAGGAGAAGGAGAAGAAGGAGAAGAAGGAGAAGGTGGAAGCGGAAGCGGCGGCCGCAGCTGCGGCGAAACAGAAATCACCTGAAATCAAGGAAGAAAAGGAGTGAAAAATTAAGCAAAACATAAGATGCCCTTTCCAGCTCGAATTTTTTGGTCGTTTTATTGATCTGATGCTTGAAACGAAATGATATCAACAATAATTCCCTCAGCGCATCCTTTCTTTTTCGGATTATTCGTCATCTCAATAGTACTGCATTAATACGGAAGTGCGTCCTTATGTGCCTACATACAGTACATACATACCAGAACTACATACCTTCTCCATAAACACATGACGTGAAGTCGATCCTTCAATGCACTGTAACCACCACGTGGCACACCAGGAATAAGTAAACACCGGCATCCAAGAGACCTCAACAGACCAATCAAATTTTATCCAAACCGCAAAACAGCCCACTAGAGAGCTCAAAAACCCCCTGGAAGACAAGCTTTATGTCAAGAACAATAGCATTCATCATATTCCCATCAGTACTACATTCCAGTAATGCCTGTCGATGTCGGTAAAACCGACAGGGGGGACTGGGTTCCCTTGAGTGTCATAGGCCGTGTCTACCCGCAAATGTGATAGGAGCTGCATTAGCGGTATTCTTGGCCAAAAGTGGTCCATCCTTCAGAAAGACGGGACTTCCCGAGACTCCGTTAAACTCGTACATGTGATGCGGGTCTCGCATTTTGCATTGCATTGCTAGTACCCCGTCAGTTGTGTGGATTCTGCAGTGAGGTTCATCGGACGACATGGATGACATGCTGCATATCTAGGTACGGTTTTGGATATCATTATCAGTACCTGGTAAGTTACTATGCGCAACGTCTCGTCTGCTAACTAACAGGCAGAAAGATACTGATTGTCACCTAGTAGGTATGCATTTCAAGGTTTCTCGACTGTAGTATATTTTACTAGTGGTAGTAGTACTTTCAAGTTGCTTATGAGAAACTCTAGACTCGAAGGCTTGAAGACTGAATTGAATTAAAACCACTGGACGCTCAGCCAAATTGCCCTGGCTGACCTGGTATTGAGCCGGTTTGCCTATAGAGCGCTGCAGTGTACTGTCTCTCGTGATGCTCCGAGACAGGATAATCATCAAACCAGACATAAAGCACCTTGACCCCCTTATATTCTGTTATCTAGATGCTGATGCCACCAACTCGATCGGGTCACCCGCAAAATACCCCGTCAAATATGGTGTCACCAATCTCGATTGAATTATATAGCATCCTCATCTCATCGCCATCCCCCATATTAGACCAGAGAAACCACAGTGCATGTGCCCAGCATTTCATCCATCCGGGAAACCTGTCTGGTGAATTGACAATCGGGAATGCTTCGAGCACCTTCACCATTCGTAGTTCATCGTCATCATTTTCGACATCCTCCACTGATCCGTCCTTGAGTGTTTGTAGGGATTCTTCATCAATAATGATGCACATTCGAAATTTGTTAAATGAATCGCGAGCTTCTTGAGCATCTACCCATGTCTCAAAATGATTTCGAACGGTCTTGATAGAGGCCCCAGCAAATTGCGCGCGGTCTTCTATGATTGTCGACTTATATCGGGACCAAATTTGAACAGGGTCGTCATCACGAGGTCTAAGATTTGGCGTCACCTCATCAAAGAATTCGCTTTTCAGGCAGGCTTCGATATATCTGATAGCGCGAGGGAAAGCAGTATCAGATTCCACGGTGTAGGTAGTGCGATATATGACGTATCCCCAGTCTGAGATAGTTTCCAGTCTGTTCTGGAGCTCATCCATGTCTGCGGATTCACTGAGCTCACGGTGCGCTAGGCCAGATCAAATGAAGCAGATGGGGGTTGAAAGGGAGAAGCGATGAGTAGATGAAAGTGGAAAGTTCCAAGACTCGACATTGCTAGATTTATGCCAAGGTCGCCTATGGCTAACCGACTTTGCCAAGACAATCTGGGTATAGACATATTGTAGATAGCATCATCTAGTGTCCTTCCCATAGCATCCATCCATCATCATCATTCATTCCATTCAATCCCTCTGGCTCTAGCATTAACCAATCAGAAAGCTTAATTAATATTATCAACATAGTAGTACTCTAATACTCCAGAGCCCGACAGAGGGGTAGTGAAACACAGCCCTGGCCTTGGCGTTCCCACGGGTATGATAGTGATACTGTATTATGGCTGGTATCAGGGGATCTCATCTAGGCACGAGCACGGTGAGTTGTGAACGACCATCTTGCGCCAGCTGAAACCATTTGACCAACCTTTGATGAGCTAAAAAATGATCAAAGCTGCGGGCACAGTGAGTTATGAACCCCTCATAGGTTGCCTACTGATGATTGGTGATAGATCGAAGTCATCCTTTATGCAGCCGCTTTGACCTAGCCAGAATCCAGTGGACCTCAATACCTGACAATGAAAGTTTCTATCACTGCGGCAATTTTGAGAGTAGTTATCCTGTGCTGACGACTCACTGTATATGAAGGCAAAACTTCTATCGTGATAATCGATTCAACATTCAGCGACATCACCTTATGGCTGTGTTTTCTCTAACGGACACAGAACATCGCCAAGGAGCGCGGGGAAAGCTCAAACCTAGGGGATTTCGAACAAGAGAGAAGCCAGAATACAAACCTAGACTATCCATCGGACTACCGACGGGCACAGAGTCGCAATCAATCTAAAAGTCAGCCGCCAAGATTCACACTCACACCCTCCGCATTAGACTGCCCTGTGCGCATAAGAATTGTCTATAGGATTAGATGAACCCTAAATCTCGCAATCCCCTGGGGTTACCATATATGCCGATCACCTGGGTCTGGGCTTGCGTTAGGCAATTGCTATACCTGCACAACTTGCGCTGTTGATAAGGGTGTTACAATCGTTGATTTCTTGGTATCTTGGCATCGTGTCGGGTCACTTAATCGAAGAAAGATCTTTGAGCACTGCTAGTTGGACCACCCTTTTTGCTAAATGGACTATGTTCTTTCTGAATTCAGATTAGTATGTAAACCCCATACGAATTTCGATATAGGGATACAACTAAAGTTTGCAACCCTCTATGCCTACTATCATCGACAATCTTTGAATGAATAGTAGACTAGTAGTAGTCACCTAAGATCTAATAAATAGACTGATCTATTCCATTTCAGATAGCTACTAGTATGTTAACTATTCAAAGACAGAAGACTAAGATACCTAGGTAGAGTCCAACAAGAGGTTGCAAACTTTTACTATGCTGCTGTATAGCAGAGTTATATCTAGATTTGTATTAGAGATACATACTAATCTAGATTGAGAAGGGCCATGGTCCAAGTAGCAAAAATATTGGTTCAATTAGTAAGAAGGGTGGTCCAAAATCAGTACTCAGATCTTTGCCTAAAGCGATGCTTTGTTCTGCTTATTCTAATCATTTTCAGTCAAGGTCCGGCATTTCCCATCACCAGGTCTGAAGATGAGATGGAGTTGAGCCCGGAAGACCGGCGGCGATGGGCTTCTTCTCCATCTCTCAGTATGTTATAAAAGGGACTCTTTTTACTCCCAAGTCGAGGATTCTTCTCAGTATCTTCATCATCATCTTCATCATTTCTAACAGCAATCATGGGTTTCCTAAACCTCCTCGCCACGTCCCTTGCGACTCTGGCAGTCGTCAATGCCGGTAAACTCCTGACCGTCAGTGATACAGACGCCGTTATTCCCAGCTCCTACATTGTTGTCATGAATGATGGCGTTAGCACCATGGAGTTCGAAAAGCACCGTGACTGGGCTGCAGATGTTCATGCTCGTCTCACGAGGCGCGAGAATGGCGAGTCTGGACCAGGGGAGCATTTCGAAATCAATGGCATGAAAGGATACATCGCTAGCTTCGATGACAACACCGTCAAAAGCATTGCCAGTGACCCGGCGGTATGGAGTTTCATTTCATCGCTCAAGTTGATTCCTCAAGAGCGTGTTGCAATCTGACCCACAAGTGGAAATATAGGTCAAATACGTTGAACCAGACATGATTGTGAACGCGAGCGCGAATGTGGTTCAGCCCAATGCTCCTTCATGGGGCCTCGCTCGCATTTCTAGCAAAAAGTCCGGTGCTACCGACTATGTGTATGACTCTAGTGCTGGCGAGGGCATCGTGGTCTATGGCGTCGACACTGGGATTGATATTGGGCATTCCGACTTCGGAGGGCGCGCTGAATGGGGCACCAACACTGTTGACAATGATGACACTGACGGTAATGGCCATGGCACTCATACTGCGTCTACTGCGGTGGGCAGCAAGTTCGGTGTCGCAAAGAAGGCCACTGTCGTTGCTGTCAAGGTCCTTGCTGCCGATGGCTCTGGAACTAATTCGCAAGTCATCTCGGGCATGGACTGGGCTGTTAAAGATGCAAAGTCCCGCGGTGTCACTGGAAAGTCTGTTATGAACATGTCTCTGGGTGGCGCCGTTTCTAAGGCTATGAATGACGCCGCTACCAATGTCGTTAAGTCCGGTGTCTTTCTCTCTGTTGCTGCCGGTAATGAAGCCCAGGATGCGAAGAACAGCTCTCCTGCTTCTGCTCCGAATGTATGCACTATCGCCGCTTCTACCAACTCAGACGGCAGTGCTTCCTTCACCAACTTCGGTTCCATTGGTGAGAGCTCCCCCTATTCTTTATTGCGAAGTGTGCTTATCACTCAGGAAAGTGTGCTGACGGTATCATGATTACTACAGTCGACCTCTATGCTCCTGGGAAGGACATCACGGCCGCATTCCCTGGTGGTGGCTCAAAGACCCTGTCTGGAACCTCTATGGCTGCTCCACATGTTGCTGGTGCTGCTGCCTACCTGATGGCTCTCGAGGGTGTGACCGCTGATAAAGCTTGCGCCCGTATTGCCGAGCTTGCTATCTCGTCTATCTCCAGCGCTCCATCCGGCACTACCAAGAAGCTGCTGTTCAACGGTATCAACGCCAATTGAATGGACGCGATGATGTATTCAGACAGCTAGGCTGGAAAGACTTACTAGTACTGTGTCTGGTACCAGACTGGCGATACTACTGGTAGTACTGTGCTGCCAACTTTGGAACATCTTCAAGTTTATCATAGTTTCAGATAGCAATATGATGACCTTTCTATTCAAATGTGTTTCATTGAGATATTATGTTCTTGAATGCAATCGTCCCCGAATCGTCTGTTTATGTATGTATGTCTGTATGTGATTCCGCGCAAAAAATGCAAATGAAATATGAAAATGACGAATGAAAAATGAGAAATGAGGCAATGAAAGAAGAGAAAAAATCCATCCAACAAGTGCCAGTGTACAAATCATACAACCTGGCTCCCACGACGACTCCCCAAATGCGAAGGAGCCCGACTCCCACCAGCCTTAACAGTATGCTGAGAAGAAGCCTGACTAACACTATCAGCCGGAATGACAGGAAGACCGTACTTGGATTTAGACGAATGCTTCGAGCCGGCCTTCGAGCCAGCTTTCGAGTGCGAGCGGTGCGAATGATGCGAATGATGCGAATGATGCGATCTATCCGAGCGACTACCAACCTGACTAATAGAGTCGTCAGGCGTAACATTCGACCTCACATCCAAATCAATCACACTCTCAGGGAGAGGGACTTCGCGTGCTGACAGATGCGACTTGCCATGGCTTGGCGCGGCGCTGTAGTACGTCGCTGCAGAACCGGCGGGAGCGGTATATTGCGCGCCGAGCGCGTCGATGAGGCCGTGCTGCCTGCGGCACTGGGGGCTTTGCTGGATGGTTTGCCCTGGCGGCTGTGGGTGGAAGTTGAGGTGTGGTATGCGCGTGAGTGGTGGCTGGAGATGTAACTGTTTCTGTCGTCGTGGCTGTGACGCCGGGATGTGCTCTGGGACTGCGATGCCTTGATTGTTGAGGCGGAATGGACGCTTCCTGGTCCGGCCAGGGAGCGGGAGCGTGGCTTGTCGGCTGCGTAGCTGCTGATGAAGGTACTGGGGCTGCAGGGGAAGCGCTGCGAGTCGTTGCCCTGGGGTGGGTACTCGATTGCGCGGAGGGGGATGTCTTCTGGGATGCTGAAGACACTGCCGTCTGAGGCGCGGCGTCCGTGATCGTCGTAGAATTCGGTTGCTTCGTAGACGGTGCTGGCGCGAGGATTCTTGGAGGCGACGCTGCGGCTCATGGTAGAGCGGGGACCTGAGGCGGAGGTGTAGACGCTGCGTGCAGGGGGTGCTTCGATGGCCCGCCACTGTTGTTGCTCCTCTTCCTGGAGTGCTTGAGATGGTGCCATAAGTTGAGCAAAGTTCTTTACGTATTGCGAAGGCGAAGGTCCAGGTGCCTGGCTGTTGGTCTGATTGTCGGTCTGGCTCTTGGTCTCCGACTCAGTGGTGTGTTGTGAGTCACCTTTCACCATGGCGTATGCAATTGCAGCACCTGCAGCAGCACCTAGGAGAGTACCCACGATAGTCTTGGCGGCTTTGCCTCCATCGTCTGTTTTCGGGATAGTCTGAGTCTGCATTGTATATGATGGCGGTGGTATAGACCTCGCCTGCGGCTGTGACTGTGACTGGTGGGAGACAACCGAAGGGGCACCTCGCTCGATCACAGTTGGTGCCTTGGTAAGAGCTCGCGATCCAGCCTCAGATACAGGAGGTGCAATGCTTTGGGTCCTCTTGGAAGTGGTCGCTTTGCTGACTGTGGTGGTGGCTTTGCTGCTCTTAGAGACAACCGATCCATTTTCCAGCAGGGCTATTGTAGGACCTCCGACTTCCGATGCAACGACCGTGGCACCAGGGCGATAAACAGCTTCGATACTGTTCCCGTCGAAATCTATGATGGCGGCACTGTAGTAACCAGATTGCGAATCACGAGTCCTAGGCTCGCCATGCATCTTTCCACCGGCCTTCAAAGCACTAATGAAGAATGTCTTCACGGCATCTTTGGTCGGGGCTGGGAAAGCGACATGTACGGCACTAGTGGAGATCCTATCCAACTCAAGTTAGAATATGAACTTTTTGAAACAGAACAGAACCCCTTCAGACTTCAAGCTGAAGACCGCTTGCATCAAATGACATACCCTGGTTTTTGCTCCGTCACCCAGAAGTCGGCGGGTTCGCCCTGCTTCTGGCCGAAGCCGATATAATCGTCATGACGGCCAATAAATTGGTATCCCAGAGGCTGGAGACATGACAGAAAGAAGGATGTCGAGGTAGGGAGATGCGAGACGGTCAGAGTTAAATGGGAGAGCGGCATCTCGGGTGGAAGTGGAGGAGAGTTGGCGTGCCAGCTTGAAGGTTTGCACGCGCTTTGGTGTAGGAAGGATGGATTGTAGAAGGAAGAGACAGAAGAATCAAGAGTAGATATATGTAGGAAACAAGAGATAGAAGCAAACAGTCGGTAATTTATGAATGAATATATACGGTGAAGGGAATGACCCAAGTCTATATAAGTTAGGAAGTATGACACACCAGACCACTAACGAAGGCGACCTGCCAGGAACCAGTGGAATTGCAGGGAAAAGGCTGGAGAGCTGCCATGGGCCTACCCCCTTTTCCCAATTCTTATGCCCAAGCCTAATGCAATGGTCATCCGCGCAGTACCTAGTAGTCGACCGAGAACGAGGCCTGCAGGGAGCCCCTCACTCGGAGTGGACAAGAGTGGGCAAGTGGACCCTCTGCGACGGAGAGGACTGGAGTACAAACTGGTAGTGTATGGAATGAGAGTTAACCACGATCACAAGGAGTTCTGCCCGATCGGGCGATCTGCGCGTCGGGAAGCAGGGTGAAACGCCGCCGGTGCTGTCACGGGCGAGGCGAGGACCCATCAAATCATGTTGCTGGCCCGTTTCGGTGAGGGAGCTTTAGAAGTGGTAGGATGAGGTGATAGTTCCCGTAGGATTTGCTAAGAAAGGGCCAGCTCATCGCAGGGACCCCCGGGTGGATCAGTAACCGTAGCGGATGGGGCTGCTTGGGATCGTGGATGGAGGGGAGTGGACGTGCGTGAGTGGCCTCTCCCCGCCAGTAGCAAATTGGACGAGGCGACGAGAGAGACTGGAGCAAGACTGGAACGCACTGGAGGAGCCTGTGGAGCCCGGGGGCAGATGCGGTGTCGTGCGGTTCTTGGGCAGGTGTGCTGACCGCCACTATGCGCGGCGATGAATTTGATTGCGATAGTCAGGTTATTGTGGTTATTGTTCATCAAGTATGAGTCATGGCTGAACGAATGGAATGATTGAATCCATGTGCTGAGAATAGCAGCGAGGCATTCTGGGCAGAGATGCAGAAATGTAGAAATGCAGTGATGCCGGCGTTTGAATGATTCGTCCGGCGGCTTGCTGCACGCTTCCGATTAGCTGCAGACGGACTGGCTTGGTTTTTGACTTAGTCTCGCAGGTCTAAAGTGAGGCGGCGCCTTGCCACGTCGGGATCCTCATGCTATTCGAAGCTGCTATAGGCGGATGGAGATGGGTTGACGTTGGGAAAAGGAAAGATCAAGCTACGAGGCGCGAATGGCGGAAGACCACCTGAAAAATCACGGGTCTAGACGTCTAGATACTGGCAGCCATGGAGAAGAGCCATTAAACGGCATTCATCATAATAAATAATATTTGTATTTTCAACACAATATGTGCCTGATCTCAGGATCCAAGGCTGGTTTCCCGATCTTGTATGTTCACTTTTCTGGTCTCGCCACAGTCGAAACGGGCTGCGCAAGAGCTCTGGATCAGGACTGGAGGCGAAAAGGAACCAAATGCCATCCAGCCCGAGTGTCTCTCGGAACGTGAGGAAAGAGAAAACCATGCCATGGTCAACAAACAATTCCCCAATACCATCTTTCCACGGGCCTAGAACCCTCGCCGGAGCAAAAAGAAATGAAGACAAATTACGGTCCGAATTCTCATTCTCGTGAGTATCCGGTATCCCCCCAATCAAGTCGTCAACCAAAAAGAAATAAATCATGACATGAATGAAAAAAAAAGGATCCAAAAGAGATATGACAGGTAGGAAGAGAGGAGAAAGGGGATGCTCGACATATGGCGGAGAAGTTCCAGTTGTGGAACAAGTAACGTTTCAGAGTAAGGAAAAAAAGGATACCCGGAAAATAGAGACAAGGAGAGTCCAAAGCTCACAGCCCGTGGGGTCACAACCGTCACAAGGGAATTCGTGGCTTGATAGGCGCAGTCGACCGGACTGCGAACGGCGGGCAACAGGCAGCGGCGCAGAGTAGTTGCGCGGCGCGCGGATTCATCAAACCCGAAAATCGCTCACAGAATATCCCACACCTCCTCTGCCGCGTGGCAGAATTTACTGCAGGCGACACTGGCACTCAGACTGTAGTTACTGATACTGATGGTGTCGTCCTTAAAGCTGTCGGCAAAATCATCATGGCCCTTGGCCATGGCACCGACGAAAATGGCAACACTCTCCTTGGGATCCAGCGACTCAAGGTAATCCTTAGTGCGGACAACGGGGGCCTCGAAACTCATGGTCACCTTGCGGCAGTTCGGGGGCAGGTGGTCGGTGATGGGGTTCTTGATGACCTTGAGCAGCTTCTCTTGCGAGTTGGTGGAGCGGATGGACAGGCGGTGGAGCAGTTGGACCATTAGACCGGCGAAGCGCTTGAAAGTACGGGGAATGCGGACGGAAGGGTTGACCTCAATCAGGACACCCTTGGCAGTGTGGATGAAAATCTGAAGGCGACCGGCCTTGTTGACGGGGGAGTCGAGGAGGGTGAGGAGACACTTTGAAATGGTGTTAAAAGGACAATCCGAATATAAGAAAAAGGACTGCTCAGTTCTCTAGACATACCTGGTGGGTAATATCGGGGCGAGCCTCGCTGATATCGCGGTTCATCTTGCGCATGATACCAATGTGTTCGTCGCTGTTCAGCAGAGAATACTTCTCATCCTTGGACCCAGCACGGCCTGCAGCCCGGTAGGTTTCCAAGCTGGCATTGGAGAGAATGACGATCAGACGTTGAGTATCCCGATCGTGCGAAGGGATAGGAACAGCCTGCTCCGCAACCAGTTGAGGCAGCTCGGGCGGGGGGCACGATTGAGTACCTAGCGGTTGATCACCGTTAGCTTCTTGTTGCTGAGGGCCAGGTTCCATGATGGGAATTGAGCGCAATGCAGTGCAGAAGGAAGGAAAGAAGGAATATCTTGGGCAACAATGTCACACCAGAAGATCTGGCTAGATTGCTGGAGGGGGTGGTGGTTCGTGGTCATGCGGAGTCCAATTGGAGAATTTTTGGAGCCTTTTTGAATCCTTGGGAAGGCAGACACTTGGGAACCTGGGACTGGGTGGAAGCAGTTGTAATTGGGAACAAATCACTCACGCGCGCGCTTTCGCTTTCCTGCGGATTGTGCGTCGTCGGACATTGTTGATGGATTGAAGGGCGAGGTTGACGAGGAAGAGATTTTTGGGTTGAGTTAGAAGTGAGGGTCGCCGGTTCCGCGGGACGAAGGCGGGACCACAATTTAGTGTGGGTGGAGGGACTACTACTGGTACTGGCACCGGTACATTACAGACAGGACACTACAGGCTTCATTTATGTGATTACCTCGATCATAACACCTGTGAATTACTCTAAGACCACTCTACGACCCCTCCCCAACCGGAGCGGAGCGGAGACTTTGCTCCCCTCTATTGTGCTCTAGTGTCATCGCCTGCAGCGGCCCGATTTCGGTGGAGTTATTCTTCATCATGTACAGAGTACATACTGTACTCTGTACTCTGCACTGCAACTCAAAGTCCGGCTATATGTGATGCACACTCCTGCAAAGCATTGGCGAGGAGAAGAGATTCAGTCTTCAATCTTCAATGGGGAGGGTTGAGAAGCCACGGTTGCTTTCATCAATCACCCACCATCACACCTACACTAGTTATCTGCTAACGAGTTATCTGCTGGCGAGTGATTTCATGTGTAACATGGCTGCATATGAGTGTCGAGTCAAGTCAGATCCATCACGCTCGTCGAATGGACGCTTCCAGAACCGCGAACTGGTAATCATCATCCGTCATCAGATTCACCGAACACAGCCAACGGCTGAGGTGATACAACGGTCAGCCTCGTTCACCCGCCTTACCACTCTGGGAGAAGCTAGCGCTGATAGTTCTTGCCGTGAGAGATGGATCTACTGGAACGTGCAGCCGGTGCCTGTCAATGTCAAGCTCGAGGGACGATCCGAGCCCCGCTGTCAAGTCTATCACGCCGGCGACCAGGCGACCAGGGCAAGGGACCTGGGCCAAGAGCTGGAGCTGGAGCTCATGGAAAGGGTGTATGTATGTATGTACTGTACAGGAGTATCCATCAATCTCTCATTGGTCACAACGGTCGTCAACTCGAAACTCGCCACCCAAACCCTCGTAACGCTGAACTTTCGTAGATGCTGTGCAAGCATAGAATGCACCCCCGAAATCCAGAAATCCGGGGGCAGCCATGCTGTGCCAGTCAGGGCCAAGAGAAAACGAGCAACGAAGTTTGTCACCAGCGACGGGTGGCCGGACAAGGCCAATCAGTATACAGGATCTGCGATCTTGCTCATAACTGCGCTCCAATCAGCAAGGCAGGGGCATTGTGCCCCGGTCGAAGCTCCGGTTTCTCCCCGTGGAAATAACACATGGTACCCGGTAGGCGCCGTGCGTCAACTTGGTGTTGGTGTTGGCGTTGGTGTTGGCATAGACAGTTGATCTAGGCATTCTAGATAATCCAGTTGAAATGGTTGTAGGCAGCAGCAAGGTGAGTTGTGTGGAGAGCGGTCAACCTGGAACAAGTACAAAAGATTATGATGATGATGATGATGATGATGATCTCCCACGCCTTGCTCATAGTATTATGCAACACGCGCCATCCATCCATCCATCTTGCTGGGACACCAGCCAGCCAGGCTTTACACTTTCAGGGCTGGGCTGTGGAGGGGGGCTCATTAAAGCACACGAGTAAGAAAAAGGCGCGCTGGGGCGAAATCCTCTTTAATCTCCCCCGCTGCGACATTGTACACGGCCGTTTTAGTGAGATGTTAGGCTGCGATTGGTCGTCAGCAGCAGTTTGGAGCCTGTCGAAATAATAGCAAGGCCCTGATTGACCAGTTTCACTGGTTCCTGAGGACGAGAAAGGGGCGAAAGGAGGCCCGATGTGCCCGTCCCACCGGGGCATGCCAGGCAGACTTGAGGAATTCAAAGTTCCCAAAATTGCAAGTGAAATAGAAAAGGTCCCCAGGATAGTGTAAGAAGGTGAAAAGGTAGAATCCAACGTTGAGTGGAAGTTGCCATCCTCTGTCCCATCTACCTACCCTACACCATACAGTATCCTGGCACTATCCCTAGCATCGTAATTACTCGACCTGGTGGCGATTTCCAACCTGGATACTTATTGAAACCAGCCCCTCCGAATCACAGCTCTGTTCAGCTCACTGTGTATTTCTGATTCTGTTTGCAAGACCCCGCCTCTTCCCCAGCTTCCCAGCAAGGGATACAATACGAATACACCAACAATAACCCGTGAGTATTTCCTGTGAATCACCCAGTCTCCCAGCAAAAACGAAGAAACGAACAATATGACCTAAACCAGTTAGCGCCACGCGTGCGGTGGAACCGGCGATCCGCCTATGTAAAGTGCAAAACCCCCCCCCAGTACCGGAAAACAAACAGCTTCATTCTCCCCACCCCATCTTTGGACCTCCAGGGAGATGCCGTGGACAGTCACCAATTCTTTTAAGCGGTACGTCTTATTATCCTATTAACCCTTCTCAATCTAGCTAACGCGTGGGCCTCGCTGCCTCCCCCTTACCAGAGGCCTGATGAAAACATACGGAAGACCAACATGGCGCGTCTATGACGATGAGCGGGCCGCGAAAAAAAGACGCGTGCTCGATGAATCGGATGAAGCGGAAACAAACCTACAATATGCGATTCGCGAGTCATCCGCCGCCGTCTTATCCAGTCCATCGCGACGCAATTCCGTCGTTCTCTCAGAAGGCACCCTCGACGACATCGACGATCTCACCACGCCGCCCTCTTCCCCACCACCACGATTAACGCCGCCCCCAGCAAATACTCGCAAACCAACCTTTGCTTTCCTCAAGCGCAAACATAACAAGGATGCCCCCGCCGGTTCTCCCTTGACCGAAGTCAACTCCAACAGCGTGCGCTCCTCCTCCGATGTCGATGCACCAAAGCACAAAGCGGCGGCGGTGGCGGCGCAGCAGCAGCAGCAACCACAGCAGCAGCAAAAACAACCAGCGCTGCGCCAAATGCAAATCGACTTGGGGAATGAGGTACGAAAGACTTGTGCGACCTGCGGAATGGAGTACATCCCATCCAACACGGAAGATGCGGCGCTGCATAAGAAGTTCCACGAGATGAATTCGACGGGGGTAGACCTGGGCAAGGCATTCATGCGCGCGAATGCATCACGCTGGGTCTACGAAGCGACGCGTTTCGACGAAGGATACGTGGTAATCGTTGATCGAAAATCCTCATCGAGTGCCAAGAACCAAGCCAAGCGCGTACTGGAAGTCGTGAATAAGGAGCTGTCATCTCCCGAAATCGACGACGAGATACTCTGGAGTCAAGCCGAGCCACCGAAACCGAAACACGCGCCCGATGAAGGAGAAGAAGACAAGGTTGATCGATACCGAGTGTTTCTCCATATGAAGGATAGTCGGTGCGTGGGGCTCGCACTGACGGAGCGCATTTGGGAGTCGCGACCGGTCGTACAGGGCGAGATGAATGGCGCCACTGTGAAGGATTCGGCCGTCTCGGTTCGTGATGAGGTACATCCGGCCATTGTCGGTGTGTCGCGTATCTGGACTTCCGGAGCTTCGCGGAGGAAAGGTATCGCGCTTGATCTACTGGACTGCGTGGTCAGCAATTACATCTACGGCATGGAGATCTCCAAGGCTGAGATTGCCTTTAGCCAGCCCACAGAGAGTGGCAAGCGATTGGCGCATAAGTTTTTTGAGGAGGAAGAGACATGGCATGTGTATAATGAGAGGTGATGAAACTGGTATTTCCATTTCTGGGGTTGGCTGCCGTTCTTTTCTCTCTCTTTCCTTTTTTTCCCCTCTTTTCCCTTTTTTTTTTTCTTCCTTTTTGCGCCGACCATCCTCATCGTTGAATTTCTTTATTTATTATCTCTATATTTGTCTACTGGGAATACGGTTGGTTATGGGGGGGGAGGCTATGGGATTTTGATTTCTGCGAAAGGCTGAGCTTGTTGATTCATATCTATTTGTACCATATTATACACGCCCTTTGGGCCACTTCTATACCTGACAACACAGTCTTTTCCGAGTTCAATGCTACTCGTTGCTAGTAGTAGAAATCACAGTGATACTGACAGTGACAACAATTGACAGCCTCGGGCCGTAGCTGAAAATTGAATTTGTGACTGCAGCCTGTCGGGGCAGCCGGACGCCGGAGGGCGGCGCATAGTCACAGTAGTGAGTGGTAGTCCCAGTTGGATAAGAAGTTCGGGGGGGGCTTTTCCCCCTCTTCCTTTTCATCCTCTCCGAGAGAAGCGCTCATCTATCTCCAAGATGTCTGCCTTCAATCCCTTTCGCGCCAGGAACCTTGATGGTGAGCTCCTCCTGCCCATTCCCATCCTCCCCCCGTCCCATTCACCCTGAGACTCGAACCCGCCACTTCCGATAAGACGCGAGCATCGTCAATGCCTGCCCCCTTCCCCGCATCATTGGACTGACGAGAGATCGGATGGAACAGGAGGTTCTACACTGGGGAACTCATCGCCATCGCCATCCCCATCCCAACCCGAAATCAATTTGCCCCCAGACCTGTTTACGAAGCCCATTCAGCCGCCGGCTTCACAGCTGCCCAACGGTTACCCCAGAAAGTCGGCGCTGTCATTCGAGATTGAGGATCACGAATCTTCTTCTTCTTCCTCTGCCTCTTCCGACGATCAAACAGCAGACCCGTTCAATCCCGATTCCGCCGTCAGCGATAATGAAGATGACGAGCGGAATGACGAGCATTCGAGGAGCTTTGCTTCCCCGACCGATCATCACTCGCGAGATTCTGTTGGGTCCGCTCCACACCCAGCTCCATCCGAGGAGGGATCGACCACAGTCCCGCCTTTGAAGACTCCTTCTACACAAGTATCTACAACAGAGGCTGGCGGGCTAAACACTGCACCAGGCAGTGCGCCGTCACTTGTTCAGTCAGCAGGATACAAGTCTCCTGAGAATGACGGTAACACAAGTTCGTCGAGTCGTGCCGACAAAGAGAAAAAGCCACCCCCGCCACCAAGGAGCCATCATGGCAAGCGCATCAGTAGTTCACACTCAACCTCTCGTCCGGAGTCCTCTCGATCCACGAATCGGCACTCCTTTCACGCATCTTCACCAGAGAGCGTGACCTCTGTTCAACCCTCAGGCACGCCCAACGCCACTGCAGGATCACCACCACCAGCGTCCGATTATTTCCTGACGCCTTCGGATAACCAGCAGACATCAGGCTCTACCAACTCTCTTCAACGCAGCCACTCGCAGAGCAAGCGACCCCCGACACCACCTCTCAGTCGACGACATAGCCAAATGCGGCGATCCAAGTCTACGCAGTCCAATTCCAAGTCGAGCAACAGCCGATTGACCATGTCATCAATCGATTCAGAGAGCAACGATAGCTCACAGCCGCCTAGCCCAGGCCCTTCCACTCGATCAGTGGCATCGTCGATGTCACAGGATCGCAAGCGCGTTAGCATGCCGCCGCCAACCCCTGGAGAGACCCGAGCTGTTGCTGTTGGTGCCGCAGCTCTCCCCGCATCCGGGACCCCGGCGGACCCAATTTCGCCACCACCATCAGCACCTAGCTCGCGGCCAACACCACTCCAACCTGGTCAACGCAACTCATCTTACGGAATTCCAGCTACTGGTTCCTCCTCCGGAGCACCCCCTCCACCGCCACCCCCTCGTCGAGCACGGGATTCAATCCTCCGCGCCAGTGATGGCGGGGCGGAACCCCAAGCAAGCCGGCCAGAGACCCCGCTCCCTCAACCATCTAACGCGACCGACATACTGGCTGATCTTTCACGGCTACAGAAAGAGGTGGATGACCTGCGTGGTCACTATGAAAACCGCAAGGTCAGCCAGTAGAGGGTTGGGGACGATACTTGATACCAGCGGTGGAAGTAGGACCTTAGGCGGGGGGAGGATCCAGCGGGCTGTATCCATCCTCCTTGTAGTAGTTGTTTCAAACGACCTTTGTATGAATGAATGTATGAACCTGAACCTAGCTGCATTTGCAAATATCCAGATACCATTTTCTTCCTTTGTTAGCGTAAGATCCTAAGATCCCAGCCAATGCAAACCTCGCAAGGTACTTCCACTCTGATTGGCTCAATGTGATCGGCGACATGACGTCGCGAGACTCACGAAATTATTTAAATCTTCTACGATTTGCGCGGGTCTGAAGTCGGTCACTTTCTCACCCCGCAATTCCCATTTCATCTACAATCTACTCCCTACTCCCTTTTCGCCTTCTCCCCCTTGACTTACTCTGAAACAACAGCACTCGATCCCGAGTTCACCTTGGAACTGACACTGCTTTTTCTTTCTCTCATTCTCCCTTACCCTCATTCACTCTCACCCCTCCGTCCATCTCCAAACACCTGATAACATCCATCAAAATGACTACTCCAACGCTGATCAACCTCCCGCCTCCACCTTCAGACCCCGTCACACCATCAGATATGGGACCGTAAGAGCTCTCCTTCTCGACGCCCACTTCCATCTCCATCTCCCAATAATCCCTTGACTAACCTCGGCGGGGTCGGTGATCGGTATATAACAGTGGCACGCCAAACTCAGGCCTCTCAGCCCTATCAACAACAGCCATAAAAGACGGCCACCAAGGCGCACCATTCCCCCACGCCCGTCACACCCACCAATCCTCCTCAGCCTCCACATCCTCAACAACAACCCTAGACGCCGAGCGCGCCGACCGCATCTCCCGCCTCGCCGGTCTAGAACGAGTAGCAACAGCCCGAGCCGGCGGCCACTACTCCTCCTCCTCCCGCGAATGCAAACGCAAACGCAAATACAGGCGCGGGTGCAAATGCGACCTCCACACCTCAAACACACACCCCCGGCGCTGCAGCCTCGTACGGCTACTTCGACAGTCCTGCAACGCTGAAAGAGCGCAGTACCGTCGGCAGCGCGAGTGCTACGGGTAGTCTGGGAGGTAATACGTACACTAGTACATGGGCCAGCGGCAGTGAAGCTTACGAGGATAAAATGAGTGAAGATCCAGATCCGATGGATCGCGATCATGAACATGAACATGAACATGACGATGCTATCTCGAGCATTAGTAATGTTAGTGATGAGGGAATGCAAGTCTTGTTGGATTTGGGGAGGGCGCGAGTAGTACTATCAGTGGTCCTACTTCGCGACCGCCGCCTGGTCTTAATCGGATGTCTTCTGGCGGTGCTGGTGGTGCTAGACCGACGTCGATGAGTTCGAATGTTAGTCGGTCTAATCCTTTGGCGTCTTATTTGCAGCAACAACAGCAGCAGCAGCAGCAGAATCCGTCGCAGTTGTATCAGCAGCAGCAGGCGCATCAGGGTTATGCGGGTGATAATGGTATGTCGCCTTCGCCTGCTGGGTCGAATACGCCTGAGCCGATGGAGGATGCGCGCATGGTTGATGGGATGACTTTTGATCGTGATGTGGTTGATACTACGGCTCGAACTCCTCGTATTGCTTCGCCTTTTGATCGGGGTGAGGGTGGTGGTGGTGGTGGTGGTGGTGGTGGGTTTGGGACTCCGGGTCATGAATAGATTGAGGACTGTATGGAATGGAATGAATGTAGGTAGAACATGACCAGGTTGGAAGGCGTTTTCTTTGGAGTGATTTTTTCGTCATTATCATTATCATTACTCTAGGTGATGGGATTCTGCGCCTTGTCTGTGCCTATCTCAGTTCACAAGTTGCTCGATGAGGAAGTCGCGTGATCTGTATTTCTAGGAGTATGGCGGATGGAATTGTCTCTTTTATTCTCACTGTTTGTGTAAATGCAATTTAGCCTAGTCTTTTAATACTAGTATGCCTTGCGACAACTTGAACTTGAAGTAACTTAATAGTATAACCCAGTAGGCTGCTGTGGCGTGATACTGGGATATACTGAGATATACCAGTCTACATGTGTACTATGTAAGCCTAGGTAACTACGGTGTAGACGAAGATGAGGTGAACAAGGAAAGGGCTAGTACTACTAGTATTTTACCTGTAAGTACAGAGAGTAGAATGAATACTAAATATGCTAGTACTATAAAATACTATACAAGCTTACCCTACTGTATATTTGTAGATCTCGGCCTCCCATGACGGCATGCCGCCTCCGGGCTGAACAACGCGGAACACCCAAATTTTCCAACTTCTCTTCTCTTCATCCTCTCTTCTTCCCCCCCACCCTCTCACCCCAATCACCCTCCACACCCTCCTCAATTCCGCCTGCTGGCATTGACTTGTCTAGCACTGAAGATTCATCTCTCCACGTTTCTCTCCAAGTCTTTTCAATTGCGAGTTTCTTTCGCCCAATTTGGTTCGCCCCAACCCGACCGACAAAGACCGATCTTGTCTGCCACGTCGTGTATTCGATTTCTTCTTGAAGCCACCCACTCATCTTACCGAGCAACTTCTCTTACGTGAATAGCTCGATCATCGCTTTCATCTCACTTCCTCCGAACTCCCTTCGACCTTCTTCCGGTCCCGAATAACGGCCCAGTCTCCGGTCGCATTGTGTTTTCGTTTGTCCTGGTACATTACACCAGTGTCTTGGAAACAAGGATAAAGCATATTTGCTACGCTTCTTGCATTTAGAGTCGAGATACTCCCTTTTTTTCTTTGGTGGTTTTAGCTCCTGCAATTTTGAATTCTGCTCAAAATGGCGGCTTCGACACAACTTGCATGTGGGTTCCACACTTTCCCCTCCTCCTCATCCTCCCCTCTCTCTACACACTCCACGGACAGTCGCCGCTGGGAAATGGAAAAATTCCAGTCACTCGCGCAACGAGAAGACGATGACTGACTTTCTTGAAAGATCGCACCCTCAAAGGGATTGGCATCATGGATGCCTCTCCTGTCTACCAGCCTTTGTCAGGCTTCGAGAGACCCGAGGGTAACCTCCGCTGCAGCGCCTACTCTCCTTGTGGCCGCTACTACGCATGGGCTTCTCCCGACAGGTATGTAGAGCTATCCCAGCGGGGACTGACTATCCTATCCCCGCCCAGCTGTGGGCCCTTTTTTTCGGGTCCCTTCTCAATCAAACTAACGGATCTCTTCAATTTTGCAGGGTCACCATCGTCGACTCCTCCGCCGGTAACGTTGTCTCCACCATCACCGCCGAGAACGTGTTCGAGCTGGGCTTCTCCCCGCTTGGAACCTACGTGATCACCTGGCAACGACCGACCAAGGACGAGAACGGCGATGCCACAAAGAACCTGAAGGTGTGGCGCGCAATTGAGACTGGTTCAGAGCACACTGTTGTGGGCAACTTCGTCCAGAAACAACAGACGGGCTGGAATCTGCAATATACCGCCGATGAGAAGCTGTGTGCCCGCGTCGTGACCAACGAGGTTCAGTTCTACCAGAGCGATAACCTGTCGAACGTTTGGAATAAGCTGCGTGTGGAGGGGGTGGCGGATTTTGCCCTCTCGCCGGGACAGACCCATTCGATTGCGGTGTTTATCCCTGAGCGTAAGGGTCAGCCTGCCCAGGTTAAGGTATTTATTGTGCCTCAGTTCAATGCCCCGGTCTCGCAGAAGAGCTTCTTCAAGGGCGACAAGGTTCAGCTGAAGTGGAACGCTTCCGGCACAACCTTGATTGTCCTCGCGCAGACCGAGGTGGACCGCACCGGCAAGAGTTATTATGGCGAGACCACCCTGTACCTGCTCAGTGCCAGCGGCGCTTTTGACTCGCGCATTGACCTCGGTATGAGAATATTACGATCCCTCGTTTTGGAACAACACACTAACACCATGCAGACAAAGAGGGCCCCATCCACGATGTCAGCTGGAACCCCAACTCGAAAGAGTTCGGTGTCGTTTACGGCTACATGCCCGCGAAGACCACCATCTTCAACATGCGCGGCCAGCCTACCCACACCTTCCCTCTGAGCCCGCGTAACACCATTCAGTTCTCGCCCCATGGCCGTTTCGTTCTCGTTGCCGGTTTCGGTAACTTGGCTGGCCAGATGGATATCTATGATATGGATAAGAACTTCCACAAGATCGCGACCGTCGAGGCATCCAATGCCAGTGTCTGTGCCTGGTCTCCCGACGGACAGTATATCCTGACCGCCACCACCAGCCCTCGCCTCCGCGTTGACAACGGTGTCCGTATCTGGCACATCAGCGGCAGCCTCATGTACAACGAAGAAATGACCGAGCTGTACGATGTGACCTGGCGCCCTGCGAACATCAGCCAGCACCCTCTAGGCGACCCCTTCACCAAGCTCCCCGTTGCTCACCCGTCCGCCACCGCCTACCTGAGCACCCGCAAGGCCCCCGTGAAGCCCGCTGGCGCTTATCGCCCCCCCTGGTGCCCGCGGCCAACTGACACCCCTGGCCTTCAAGCGTGAGGATCAAGGCGGTGCCGCCTACGTCCGTGACGGTGCCCCCGGAGCCGGAATCACCAACGGCTTCGGCAAGTCTCGTCGCCGTGAAATTCCCGGCGCCGAGCCCGCGGAGGAGTATCTTCCTCCCGGAGCTGCTCCCGGCGGCGGTGTGGCTCTTCCCACCGGTGCTGACGGAGAGAAGCTCTCCAAGTCCGCCCAGAAGAACAAGAAGAAGCGTGAAGCGGCCAAGAAGGCCCGTGATGAGGAGACTGAAGCTCCCGCCAATGCCCCCGCTGCCCCCAGCTCTGACCGTAACCGCACCCGCGGCGGCAAGAATGGTGTCCCCAACGGCAATGTTAACGGCACCAACGCTAAGCCTGCCCCTGCGGCTGCTTCTGCTCCAGCTCCAGCTCCTACCCCCGCTCCGGCCCCCGCTGCTCCTGTTGTCGACCAGTCTGCCCAGGATAAGAAGATCCGCGGCCTGCTCAAGAAGATCCGTGCGATCGATGAGCTGAAGATGCGTCTTGCTGGTGGTGAGAAGCTGGAGGATACGCAGATGAAGAAGATCCAGACGGAGGATGCTGTGCGTAAGGAGCTTGAGGGTGTTGGTTATAACGGGTAAATACAGATTCAGATAACCACAATGAGAACATACTAGTAGTTATTTGTTGGTTGTGTTTTGCATAGTTGTCACCGCGTTTGTGGATATTGCATCCTCTCTCGCTGTTCATAGTACAGTACTGAGTACAAGTACACCATTTCAAAGGCTTTATACAATCAAATTCCAAATTGATCATCATGTACCCTGCTTAGTACATAGTCGATTTTTCCTTCCTATTTGTGGTTGTCCCTTTTCCGGATTAGTGCTCACCTCCTCGCTTTTTTTGCTCGCTGAGTAGAACTGAGCGTGGCTTCCAGGGCACTCAGTGGATCGGCTCACAGCCTGTTCGTCGTGGTTCACCGACTGGACCACACAGGACGCCGACAGTACGGGCGAGTCGTCCCAATAAAACGCGAGGCACTAGTTCAAAACGCCCATCTCATTAACTACAAGTTCGACCAGTGCAAATAAGTAAGGCATTTCACATTTCACATTTCACAAAACAGATTACCAGCGTGAGATCAGGCTTTCTGTGCTATCAGATCCTATGTGAAGCTTTGCTCCTAGAAAGCTATTTGCTTTGGCTTAGAACAAGTTCTTCATCTTCATCTTCAACCTCCAACTGGTAGGAGCCAGAAAATGGAGGTGATAAAGATTCCAATTAAGCCTTGCCTTAGCTCATTTCGCGGAAACAGGTAGTTAGAATACTGGTACCTATCAAAAATTCAATTTATTTTTTTGGTGTTTTTGGGATATGCTTGGAATACTAATAGCTACAGTATCATCCAAATACATTTTGAGTTCCCTGTATTGTAGAACCACGGTCACAATCACATTCCCAGGCATTATCAAAAAGCAGGGTCAATGTTGACCGTAGTTTGTTGAGCTGGGGAAGTACCGGGAATAATTTGAAGGCCTCTCCCGAGTGGCTCCTCTGCCAACTACATAATGGCATTAGACATAAGATCTCAAAGTTTCCAATGTTGATAAGAAAAATGACCACTCACATTTATTCGCAAGTTCCAGGTGTTCAAGCAATCTGCATAGAATATAAGGCATAATGGAAAACTTGCACTCTGCTGCCGTATTGTAGTTAGGCGTGTTACCATGAACTCAACGACATGTGGCTCATTTGTCAACGCCTAGTTGATCCATGTGGAACGTTAGCTGAGGCTTCTCGAAACATCCGAAAAATTGCCAAACCGCGTGGCTTCTATCTTTATATGGAATGTCAAATGTTGGAGACTTACTCCAAACCATGCTAACAAGAATAAAGCATACTGCGTTGGAATCGGCTTTTCTAAAATTCGAATATCGAAGGAGTCTGGCACTACTTCGCCTTGGCTCATCAGAGAATCTAATGCCATTCCAAAGTATTTGCGGTATTCCGCCTCCAGGCGAACGGTGACAGCTCGATTCGCATTGATAGATACGTTAACCAATATAAAAGCCCATAATGCAAAAAAGACCATTTCATCCTGTGGGAGGATCCTCAGGGTTAGACATGTATGCGTTGGATGGAGTAGGGGCTCTTCAAGAGGTCTCGTACGAATATTGCCATCTGGCGGAAATGAGCGAAAAGATCTGCCATTGTCATCGCCAGGCGAGGGCTACACATCCCACGATATGTGCTTGGATTTGCCCACGTATGGATTATTATTTCCTCCAAGTCTATCTTAATATCGATATTTTCTTTAGTGGGATACTCGGAAGGTACACGAATATTCAAAACCAGCGGATTCACCCCCTTTAGATAGATGGTGTTTGGGCTTTCATTGAGTTGTAAGGATTGTGATGAAGCTTCATAAGATATCGGGTCAGCTGAAGGGTCATTGGAAGTATAATGGTCGTACTATATGACTTCGCGGCTGAATTAACCGGACTGAAGGAGGGAAAAAAGAACCATACAGGCATCGGCGGTCTTTTCAAGCGCAGTTGTATCACTCGAAGCGGAATGGTTCGGCCCAAGCTCATGGTCTTCAAGTTGGGCAATATCTATTCTCTCATCCTTCGCATTTCGTCCAACCGAGCAATCATATCCATACTTCTCACAGGCATCGCATTTTTGTCCGGGCCAGGTTCGGTGTTCTGGGTGGCACTTGGAGCAGTTTTTGTCATGTCAGTTGGCATATAAAATATCATACTTGGTAACCTTTGATCCTTCCAAGGTTGGACCTTCGACATCTGGAAAAATTGGTGGGATTGATAAAAGACAATGGATCACTTACTCGACGCTTATCCCTGCGGCAAAAGCGGCACTTCAAAATCAGCGCCAGCTGCCTGGATTCACGATACATCACACTAGTACAACAATATCAATGAGGTTGCTTCGGCCAATGGTAAGCGAATCAAAAGTGCATACTAGACTCGGACCCCAAAAGCGAAAGACACATAACACTTGAACTAGCACTTGTGAGAGCAATGTGCGAAGTGCCAGTGTGCAGCATCCATACAAATGTACATCTAAATATCTAGTGTACCTGTGTAGGACCTGATGTATGTTAACCTCAGTAGTTTGCTTATTGGGTACTTCGGAACGGGAGGGGTGAAAATATAGGTCAGATGCTTCTTTGAGCCGCGTTGCTTTCTAGTACGTATTCAAGTTGTCACATTGGTTTGGGCGCGTAAATAATCAAGCTGAGATTGAGTCACGATCATGCATCATGTATGTATGTGGTATGTGCGTCTTATCACAACACATACATATGTTCGCTCTGGCCAATGAGGGAACTGGGTGCCCAGACGCCCGAGTCGGATCAAGCTGAAGAAAAAGCAAAAAAAGAAGCAAACAGGGCCAAAGCAGCAGCCATGTATGTTCTTCTTCTGTATTCCACCGAAAAGATACACACATGAAAACCCACAAGGGCATCAGAGGGAGTACTTGAATCCTAGGTAAAAAAGATTCAACTGGGAGAAAGAAGGAAAATACCGACCAAACCCCTCACCCCTGGGCAGAGATCAGTTGACCGTCCCGACCGTCCCTCTGGATTCATACAAGCGTAAATTCAAGTCTAGTTAACCTACATATCTATGTTCTACTACTTTGGACCTTGGAATGAATCAACATCAACATTTAAATGACCCTGAAAATTGAAAAAAAGAACTGAAAGCATGATATAGAGATCTTTGATCGAGATATTTTGACAAATGCTTAAGTTCAGCACAACACGCATATGCTTCAAAACATAGCAAGATGGCTCTCGGTGAGAAACATCACGACATTGCTCTGGAGGTCACAGCTTTGGTTCAGCCTTTTTGAAGAATGTTTCTCCCTCGGCAATTGCTTTGTCAATCTGCCAATTGAACTGCACCACATTTCCGCTCTCATCCGCTTCAAATCTAACTCGATGAAAACCAATAGCAAACTGTGGGTAAAGTGCCTCTTTAGACTCGGCATCACGATTGCAGTCCCAAGCGAAGACATCATTGTGATAATGGTGCAAGCTATAGGATGCAGCATCATAGCCCTGTGGAGCCATGCGAAGGCCTTCTCCATCGATAGAGATATCAAGGAAGAAATTCCCGATTTTATTGTAATACCGACCCTCATATTGGTCGAGAGACTTTGGGGTGGTTCCCGACTCCTTTTCCTCGCGTAGTTGAGTGGCAGTTGGCTCATGATGCGAAAGCGCATTGGCGGATGTTTTTCTTGCGAGTTCAATATAGTCATTGGGCTCAGTGGGAGCTAGAATGGCCTCCAACAATACTTGACTAGCCCAGTCAGGGGTATCGCAGAGATCAAAAGAGTTTCCCAGAACAATGACTGCAGTTCGCGTGTCGGGAAGAAGATACACTGCACTCAGGGCTCCACATACAGACCCTTGGTGATATACCATACGTTGCTTAGTTGTGCCTTTTGCAATTATAGGCATAGAATCGGCCTCGTATCCGTTGACCCCGACAAGTCCTCCCTGCCCTGGAAGCTCAGTCAAAACCCAGCCAAGACCGTAACTGGTGTCATTCGTCATTGAAGCATGGCTTGTCCATAGCTCTGAGGCCCTCCTAATCGGAGACTCCGGTGAAAAGGTATTTCCAGATTCCTGTTGTTCCGCTGCTGCTCCCATCCAAGAGTTGTAAAGTACCAAGAGGTCGTTGACTGTGCTTTTGCATGCACCGGCACCAGCTCGAGCAGTCCCCTCCACATAGGCCGTTGGCGGTACAAGGAAGGGCGTTGCATCGCCGAGAGCCATATAAGACTTTGCGCTGTTAGAGTCATCAAGATGGCCAAGCTTAGTGCGTGCCATATTCAATGGTTCAAACAACTTGGTTTTGAGACAAGTCCCCAGGCCTTGATTGGAAATGTCTTCAAGGATCTCTCCAGCAAGGCCGTAGCCCCAGTTTGAATATACCATTTTGGAGCGAAATTCCGCCACTGGCTGCAATGAGCCCAAGATTCTTGCAGTCTCAGTTTTGTCGGCTAGGACTATCTGCTGTTTTTGAGACCAGAAGTTGTTCCCTGCTGTAAGACCAAGCCTGTGAGCGAGCAAATCAACGATGTTGGCCTCCGTGACGAGTTGAGGAAGCTTGATATCGTCGGTAAGACTTTTGTACTCAGGAACCAAATCAGACAACTTTGTTTCCCAAGTCAATTTCCCATCATCAACCAACTCAGCAAAAGCAGCGGCGACGAGAGCCTTCGTCAAGGAGGCTATAGGAAAAATAGTATCGCTGTCTGGCGCGACTTTATTTTCTACGTCACGGTAGCCCAGGTTTTCTCTGAATATCACCTCTCCTTTATGCAACACACCAATAGAGAGTCCTGCATTGCCAGTGATACTGCGAATCTCCTCGATAATGGGTATAGATGCCTGTAGACGCATTACCATTGCATCCAAGTCTTGAGCTGCCTCGGACCTGTAATAGAATTAAATCATTTACATACAGATCTTCCATGACATGGAAGCCCTGGAGTAACTTCGGAAAAAGACTCACATTTTGAGATGAGTGTACCAAAAATATTTGACTGGGTCCAATAATTGGTGGCCGAGGCACGAGAAGAGCACGATGGCAGCAAGATTTTTTATGTGAGAAAGTCCTTGAGATAATCTCAACATCGACATTCACAAGATCAAAGTAGCAAAAACTTGGAAGGAGGTGTGAGTAGCAAGAACTTGAATTTATATTTGAAATGTTTGGTGCGGGGTCACGGTACATACCTGCTACTATCCGTTCCGGCCTGGCGGCTGAGCCTCACATGTGCACTGGCAGCTGTACTTCATATGTATCAGCATCAGCGGTTGAGCATTGGGCCAAGAATGCGTACATATGCGACCACCTAAATCTAGGTGCTCAGCCATTTAGTGCTATGTAGCACGACCCCCAGCCTGGATTAATCCCTGGAGATGAGGCGATGGATAGGCAGCCATTCACTCGAGGATCTAATAGTGGGTTCTAAAACCTTTCTACCCAAAAACATCCTAGCCGTAGGGATCGCGTATTTAATACGAACTATCTTGTATCCCCATGGCGTCATTGGGCCAACCCAAGTTGATTGGTACCTACAAGGTGGCTTGCGATCATCCCTGCAGCCCATGAAACCCGGGCTACAGCCGAGAATCGGATCAATAAACCCCTAGCCGCCCAAAATCAGCAAACATACATAGCCCCAAACCTTGGACAGTGCACGTGGATATACTTGGTTGGTTTGATCATGTCTCTGCATGTACTAAGAATGCATCAACGACCCCTCTTGTAATAAATCGCTTTTTTGCTTTTTTGGAGAGTGCGTCCGAAATATGGACTCCCCAGATCCTGAATCACTGCAACCAAGTCGGACAGAATACCCACCTATCTGTTCCATATTTTTCGCTTCGAGAATATAGCAACATCGCACTTATTCATTATTTATCTCAGATCATGCTGTCAAGATCTGGTACTTGGGAGAACAGCATTTTCAAGTTGAAAGACGGATTAGTGAAGTCCAAATTTGACGTGAACCGTGACATGAACAATTATGAAGCTTTCCAAAAGTCTCTTGAATATGTCTTAGCCAAGTACTCCAGAAAGAATGTCGTCAAAATTGTTAATGACAGGTTATATCCTCACTTTGACCATGTGCGATCTTTTGAAAAAGCTGTGACCACAGCAGCACAAGGGAATACTGTCACGAGTTTGGTATGGTCGGCGTCGTTGGCGGTGATTGAGGTTAGTCTTCCTTTGATTCTACTGCAAGTTAAGTACCATAAATACTGAAAAGATGAATTTCTTCCCTAGTGTCTATGTCGCCACTCAGAGCATACGGAGGAACTTTTTGTCCAACTGGAAGAATTCTACAAAAGCTTCCCGCTTTTCGACAGCTATATCAGCATGTTTCCCGGTAACAAGGTGCTCCAACTTTATGTTCAGGAGATGTTTGACATTTATGCCAACTTTTGTCTATCCACCATCAAATACATGGAGAAAGGCGCCCTGTGTGAGTCAAATTATGGTCGATTCAGACTTTTCTCATCTAGATCTCACTGACATTTTATTGATCTCTCTCGCATAAGATCACATAGCAACCAATTTTTTCTCTTCCAAATCTCGTCGAAGCTTGAAAGGTATTCAAGCTACATGGAACCAAAAGAAGGCAGATTTTTCGCAGGAAGTCCACAGGGTTACAGTTTTTCATCTGAGAACAGGAGGCCGGTCGGAACAAGCCCCAGATAGGCTATCGAAGACGAACATGCCCCGCTTACACAATTACTTTCTGGGAAGAGACGATTTCCTCGAAGACCTACACAGAATGTTAGCACCGAAAGGTACCCTCGGTGGGACTAAGCCCGCGTCATGTCTCATTCACGGGATGGGTGGTATTGGAAAGACACAAGCAGCTCTTGGATACAATCGGGCTTATGAGTCCGACTATGAATATCGTCTTTGGGTGCATGCAGAAACACCTACTCAGCTGGCTGAGTCATTCAACAATATTGCGAAGACAATTCTCCAGAAAGAGATAAGCGGGCCTGCTGGATCGATTGATGTCGTACGCTCTTGGTTGGAGTCTACAGGTGCGTACACGATAAAATATTTCTATGCCATATCGTTGATTGTACTGACGGCTAATATGTGCGGAACTCAGACAGTTCTTGGCTTTTGATCTTTGATAACGTGGACATGCAGACCGTGGATGTTATTGAGTTGGCCTGGCCAAGCAAGAGCAATAATAGGTCATCCGCTATATTACTCACATCACAAATAGAGGAGCTGAAGCACCGAACCGATGATATATTTTCTCTGAAATCACTCAAGCCTGAGGATGGTGCTTCGCTCCTTCTAAATTGTCTTCGCCGCGATGAGGGCCAGGTTTCAAGTAAGGACCAGGAGCTGCTAGAAGAGATCTCAGAAATGGTTGGGGGGTTGCCTCTTGCGATTGCGCATATTGGTGGCTATATCAGTGAATCAAAGCACAGCTTGTCCTACTTTCGGGATTTCTTCAAGGAAAGATGGCAAGGAATAGTCTGGAGAGGCAAAACACTTGCCCAGCAGCATGAGAAACATCTTGAGATTGTTTGGGACATAGCCCTGCAGGAACTTCCTGCAAACGCCCGTCGACTGATCCAAATATTAGCCTATCTTAACCCGGATGGAGTTCCAGAAGAATGGTTGGCGAAGGACATTGCGGATGGAAATGGTTGGTCTATCCCTCCGGGGTCAGAGAATATTGAGTATGCACTGTCTCCCGTTTGGATTGAATCAGTGCTGGTTAACTGACCCTTAAGACTCCTTGAGATGAGCAGGTACCTGAATAAGCGTTGCCTCGTGAGCACTGAGACGGTGGATATGTATGGAAAGGACGAGCCAGTTCTTCTAATACATCGCAGTCTGCAGCTTGCCTTGCGTCTGAAAATGGACCAGAACCCAAAAACTCGAGATGACATATTCAATCATGCCTTCTCTATAGTTCGAAGGGCGTCACCTCATGCGTCGAGAAGGCAGATTCCCGATCCCACTTTTTGGTCACAATTCCAACAATCAAATCCACACGCAGTTAGCCTATGCAACGCTCTTGCTGCCTCGCATCCGCCTATTGGTGGCACTATTGGCCATGCTACTTTGTTCTACGACGCGGGCTTCCACGTCTGGGAACGGTCCAACCCAAGCACTCAGGATGGTATGATCCTTCTTGAAACAGCGGAAAAGATTCTAAATTCGCTTGAATACCCACCGCTGGGTGCTCTAAGAGCCGATATTCATTGCATGACATCTATGCTGTTGGAAAGTCTAGGGCTAAGCAAAAGAGCTGAGTGTCTAGCAAGGAGACAATCCATGTATACCATCCGGGAGTTCTGGCTCGAACAATACCAGACCGGTAAAGTTAATGACCCAGACATCGAGATTTTGTTCTACAACGCGGCAAACGAGCTGGGACTCTCCAACCTCCAGAGGAATGACTTCTTGGAAGCTGAAGCTCAATTTGATATTTGCTTCAAAAAATACAAGGAATGGGGCACAGAGGATGAACATCCTTATGAATACGCAAAATATTACCACAATGTTTCCTTCGTCCGCATGCACCAGGCGCGGTATACCGAAGCAATCTCAATTGCAGAGAAAGGGATAGCCTTGAAGTTAAAAACAGATGGAAAGAACTCGCGATATTATTGGTTCCAGTATGACCTCGCGTGTATAATGTTGCAGGCCGGTTATCTCGACGCCGCTCTCAATCGACACCTTGAGGTGTTGACTGGAAGAGAAACAGTCTGTGGTAAAACAGAAGAAATGACCCTCCAGAGCCTATATGCAGTTGGCGCCATGTATTACCATCTGGGTAGACTTGATGAGTCTGAGTAAGTTTAAATATGCCATCTACCTGGTCCGGCATCACAAATTTGCATGCCAGTGAAAACCAACAAGAAAATACTGACCGTCATGGTATAGGACATATTTCAGAGAATGTATCTCCCGCGCAAAAAGAAAACGATGGTATGAAGGAGCTTTGGCTAGGACACAATTCCACCTGGCAAAGGTTCTACGGGCGCAGACCAAGGACCTTGAAGAAGTACAAAATCTGGAAGATTCATCTAGAGAGGTTCTGCAGAATCTTCTCATGCTTGACTGTCCCGAATATTTCAAGGGAGTGTCGGATGAGTTGGCCCTTTTCGACTGGACTCAACCTAATTTCGATGGTAGATGGACTGGACGGTCACTTCTTTGCTATGTGCAACAAGCCTCGGGGGTTATCTAAAGTCCCCATACCTTCATATATGCCATATTCAATGCTGTGATACTATAGGTTGCTGTGATACTATAGGTGTGGGAATCATCTGACTGCTTATTTACTACTGTCTTGTGCAAATGTTCAAGTTGATTTCAAAGTCTGTCTTCAAATGATCATATGGTCCCTCATCACTCTCAGAGGAGTCTTCACATCTTGTTCACCAGCTTTGCATGCCTTTAGGAATAGTTCTGATGTTACTTCTGTACTACGCAAACTCCACATCTGAACACCGACAGAATTTCGATATAACATTAAAATGCCGAAATTATCTCCTCCGAGTTCCTTTCACACTCTAATTTGTTTAAAAACTGACGGGGGGGGGGGCTCGTTAAATACTATCTAGCCACCAATACGTCCTCATATCAGAGTTTCCAAAGTTGGTAATACATGCAAATAAAGTAAAAGTGATTGGGTTAAAAACGAATAGCTGATGAAGTGCTCATATCCACATGGTTTAATTTTGAGACAGGCTCCCGAGGTCCAATTATTCGGCGGGTACAGTCTGATTGAGCCTATGAAAACCCGGCAAAGTAATTCATTCAGGTTTTGCTTCGCAACCATGCCCCCGAACAAACCAGGTGAATCTTCCCTCACTATTTCCCTCGTATCCCTTTGGTCAAGTATTTAGCTAAGCTTAAGCAGCAAGCGAGCCTTCCCCGGGGCATGCCGCTATTCCCTCATTGTATAATGCAAGAATGTCCTCTCCTTCGCCAAATGCTGGATCTTCTTCGATACCAAATTCGGATTTCCAGGGCTGAGATAGTGTTTCCGCTGCCATGGCGCTGTGAACCCAGCTCGGCATTTCATCGTCTCCTTCTGGGTGCATGTGGGGGGCAAGCTGGTTGCGATCATCAGAGGACTCGGTGCGCTTCATCTTGATGGCGGTCGGGTTGAACTTCTTTACATTCTATCACGTCAAAAAATTGTATTTGAAGTGGTGGTCGAGATATGATACAAAGATAGAATCAATTCTCTTACCAGTTCTCGAAGTGTAGTGTCTTGACTTTTCTCAATCTGGAGGACGGGGATTGAAAAGTTCAAACAATAAATGAGTGAATGGAGTGAATTTCTGAAACTAGGCTATTAATTCATGCGTGCTCAGGCGCAGAGGCTCTCGGGAACTTAAAGCGTGTAAGTGCGGGGTTAACGCAGTTGCGAAGTGCGAAGTGCGAACTGCGAGGTGCGAACTGCGAACTGCGAACTGCGAACTGCGGAGTACGAATCTTGAGACGCAAAGTATACGGTATCTAGGGAAGTATTGGAGCCCCAGTAAGTAACTTACTGTTAGGTGAGCCCTGGAGATTCCAGCCAGTGCCACCTCAGACTGCATACTAGTTACTGCAGTAGGCTCGAGTCATTCAAGCACTCGAGGGAAGTTTTACACTTGTAATATAGGTATACGATCCAGCTTAATACCAACCACTGGCAGCACCTGAGAATCACTTCCGACCAACTCCTCTAATATTTAAAGTTTTCTGACTTAGAATCCTTCCAATGTTCAAGATTTCCATATAGAAGTAGAACGCTTGAAGAGGCTCAACGTATGAGCGAACTACTACCCAGGTGAGAAATGTGAAAGCCCTCAAAGAGGATATACAATCCTAAAGACTTACTGTCCGAGAGATAAAACTAAGTTACGGCATTCTTTCAGTTATTTTGAAGAGCTGGCAAACAGTTCAAAACACTTGAGGAATGGAGTTGAATCCAGTAGTTACAGATATCGAATATCTCAAAAGACTCCCGCTTTATCGACATGAAAAGCCCTTCCAGATTTTTATTCCTATCCAGAAGGATGCTAAAGATCAGAGAGCCACGAACCTTGAATTTGAACCCAAGCAGCAGTCAATCACAGACATTCGAACCAACCCTAGCTCTTTCACAGTTGACTCTCATGGATTTCAATTCCAAAAGTCTCTTACAAAGCTCAACATGAATCTCTTTAACAATCGTTATATTGTGGAAACCGAATATCTCCCAGAGGTTGAGAGGATTTTGAAAAACATGGATAGTAGCATTGATCGCGTTTTCTTCTTTGACTGGAGAGTGAGTATAAAGACCGCTTATGCCAGAATCTGGATAGGGACGTTCCTGGGGAATGGCCTTTTTAAAGCGGGACGATAAAGTCTATGTGAGATTTGCCTAACCTTTACCAGCTAAGAAGCTCAGCTACACCCAGAGATGGTACTGCTGTTGACATGAATGACTTGACGCACTGGCTTCGCCCGGCCCTTCGTGTGCATGTTGGTAAGCGAACTGTCTAGATCATCCCTTTCAAAATAGCTCGAGGACGATCGGATACTGAATAAACTTTAGACCAAAGTCCACGCGCCGTTCTTCATCGTATACAATTGCAATTGAAAGAGGATGCTTCTTTTCTTCTACAGGGCAGAGTCAGAATAATCAAGTAGGTTCAAACCCCTTTGCTCCCTAAAATGCGGGCTTGACTTTGGCTAATATCCAACCACAGTGTGTGGCGTCCACTCGGAAATCCTGTTGGAAACTACCCCCTTGCCGTTTGTGATGGCACCTCCATATCAGATGCAGATCTGATTGAATGCGACCATGTCAGACGGAAATTTAAAGGGGCAACTTTCTATTCCTATTACAACCCAAGTCATAGATGGTACTACGCCAGTCATCAAACCCCGGAGGAGGTCATGATCATGAAAATGTTTGACTCGGATCCAAATGTGAAGGCTAAGTGTGAGTCTGGATTAGAGGTACCTGCTATTGCAAATTTTTCATCCCTGACATGGATAGGTTGCCCTCATACCTCATTTTCACATCCGTCATACTCGGGCTTAGACACTAGTCCCCAAAAGAGCATAGAGGTTCGGGCATTGGTTTTCAACTATAAAAAAAGACTTGAGGATCCAATGCCATGCCCCCTCAAGCTACCAGGAGGAGATAGATGAATAGCATTTAGGGAATTACAGTGTCAAACTTCAAGGCTGAAACATTGCGGCAAGCTGGATCTAGTAAATGAATAGCAAAAACAGGCGCCTTGGTGGTGAATTTGCAATATTCAGTGGCCTGCCATCAAAACGGCGCTAAATTGGTGATGCAATAGGCTTGTCATGTCACTATTATGGGATATCACTTTCCATTCCTTGAATTGTTGTAGAAGCTTCAAATCGGTCTCCATTCTGTTTTCATCTCCAGTGCCGTTCAGTATCTGAAAATTCGGGTATTCTGAGATAAGAAGGAAAAGCGCGATCTCGAGAGTGGTGTTGATTTCTTCAGCAAGCTTAATGACAGGCTGAGTAGATAGAAGCCATTTGTTTGACTTGAGAACTCCAAATCCTTGATATATAACGTTTTCCTTTGCGCAAAACTCCCTGATATCCCAGTCATAGGATGTTTCCGCGTGAAATCGATTCTGCACGACCGAAGGCTTGAGTGTCACCGATTTCGCTCGGAATAAAGCTTGCAACACTGGGAGGGACGTATTGCATATTCCCAAAGTTCGAATTTTTGAAGGTACAAATTTTTGTAAGGCTGTCCATACTTGCAAAGTCTGATTTAGCGTAGGAAGAGGAAAATGAAGTAGAAGACAATCAATATAAGCCTCATTAACGGATTCCGGGTTATCACGAGATCGGAGATTGTACAAGGAGGAGGCGACCGATTGCCTTACTTGTAGAGGAATGCTTGCGTCGGGATTGAAGGGAATGGTTTTGTGATCCTGGCCAGAAGTCCACGTGAATTTTGTTTGAATCTGAATTCTCCGCATTTAGGAATAGACCCATGAAAAAGAGAACAGGGGCATACTAGTAAATCAGACCTCTGAACGTCTCCAGCTATTATTGCGGCCCGCATACCTTCTCCTACCAAATCCTCCCGATAGTGTCTCGGTTGTGCTGCCATATCAATAATTCGAAACCCTGCTCGAATGGCCTGGTGAACAAGGTCCGCCGTAGCCACTTTCTTCCAGGCCGTTCCATAAACAAAACACAGCTGCGGGTCCATGTCTGATGGCTTATAGGGATATTTCGGTGCTGAGCTCAATGCTTCGTTCAATTTATATCAGATTAGCGGTGGTAGTTTGTAGTGGGAGAGACGCGGAAGGATGGTATGGAAGATGAAGATGAAACATGTTAATGGAGATTTATGCGATGGAGGGAATCCTCACGCTATATCTACCCAATTAATGGCAAACGGCGCGCACTGGGTGCAATCGTCAACAGAAAGCAATGGGAGCAATGTAATGCATACAAGGACACCCTCGTCATGCATGCATGGTACATGAAGTGTGAGCTGGCCATGCCGCTAGGCCCGAGGCCAACCAGCCTCATTGACTTGCTCTAAGTCACAATTTCCGAAAATGGAGGGAGAATGATAAGCGGGGCGAGCGGTCAGCGGTCCGCTGATTGTGACCCAGATTACGCAGGGCATCCTTCTTATTGTTTCTTTGCTTTTTTTTTTCGTTTGTTGTTGCCCCTTCTGCCTTCCGTCGTTTGAATGTGGAGCAACAGGCACCGAACCGCCGGTCTCGGGCATCGACGTTGCCAGCCTCGGGTGTTTGTAGATAGTACTAGCTTCCCTTCACTTCCACCACCATCTTCTCCCTTCCTCATCTTATCCTCTGAGATTACAGATTTCTGCGGTTTCAGCCTTGTCGCTGCCAATGCCATCATTTTATCCAACACGAGGGGTATCTAGCCAGCATTTTCACTAGTGGCAAGCCAAGAGCCTTTGGAAGGTACTGAGGCCAGATGAATCATATTGAATCTCTACTCTGATACTAACAACTGTAGAGAAAAAGATCCCAAAAGAAGGACCCACCGTTGAACTTCCAACCTCCTTTGACAACGAAGGCGCCCCTCTAGAAATGCCAAAACGATGTCAAAACGGCCATTCCAAACGCCTGGACCTGGATACCAGCTAACGTAATCCACGGCCGAGCGGAACACCCCACCCCATAATATAATTTTAAAACAGGATATTGTTACGGACCATGCGACATGAGGGGCCGCAGGGGCCGCAACCTACAGATGGGCCACCAAGAGCCAACCGTTCCTAGGAAGGGAACGCAGAACCAGATCACGTGAACGACGGCCGGAATCAGCCTCTGATTCGCCGTGTCAAACAATACTGCACTAAACCACGAGACGGCTAGCGCGACGCAAGAACGGGCGTTCTTTCTACCGTCACTAACACTACGCCATAAGTGCAAGTACCTGGTAAAGACCCACGTGACCAACCTGGTGCAGGAAACGGCCACGCTTTCACACGTTCCGGAATTACGCCTAGAATATGGGAACCTGCGGAACTGCACGTGACCACAGGGTATACCAGAGGGTATACCAGCGGGTAGATGGAAGGGCACGATCTGGTATACCACCAGATGTACCTTCTAATATACCACCCCACGGAGGATTAGATATATAAGGACACTCCCTTGTGCACATGTATTTAGTTCTTCGCGATCAATCAATCTAAGTTACTACAGTATACCTTTGGATTATTCTTCATTCAGTTTCAACCCTTGTGACCAACATACTACAAGTAGGGGAGCTCTTCGGACTGACCTACTTGGCGCACTACCTGGCGCCTCCTTCGAAGTTACTCAACAGGATCCGAGCCCGTGTAAGGCTTAGCATAGCAACGGTACGATTGCGAGTCGATACTTGAGGAGTACGAGTGATAGATATCACGCACATCAAGGATACACCCAACAACTGGTAAGTTGTTACCCGATAATCTAACCACTCACCGTGACCAGTTAGCAACGCGTAACAGATATCGCAACCGAAACGCATTAATTAATAATAATCTAGCGTTTTTTACATTGATTAATCTTATAGCCTTTTACTCCACATCCACTACAAATAAGCAGAGCTAGACATCGCCATAACCCAGTGGGTTATAAAAGGGTAACCCATTTTGGCATAATTCTTTCATAATTTTTCATAATTTTTATGTACTGTATTCGAATACCAGTTCTATATCTTTTTTTTCTAGAAGGATTTAGATCTTAATGTTTTATATATAGCTTTATCTAATATTAATTATTCTATATTTAAAATTTAGGATCTAAATATAAAGTATTAAAAAAGTTATTAAAAAAGTAAGACTTTATATCAAGATATATATATAATCTAGTAGGGTATACCAATAGCTTTACTATACTCTGTAATTTATTTTATTTTTTAATATACTATTTTTAACCTTTCTAACTTGTAATATATATAAATATAATATAAAATAATATCATTATTAAATATAAAACTAAGAATACCTATATATAAGGCCTAAAAACAGATCTAATACAGACCGTATTTTAATGCTTGGCATATTTGTTCTGTTTACACCAATATGGGGACCCACTGGGTGTAATGGTTACTAAGTTGTCAGGCTAGAGACCTGTGACTAGGCAAGGATATCGGATAGTAGAGATCAGATTGGACAGTTGATAGACAGACTGATTCTTGAAGAGATCAAGAATCCTGAATACTTGTGGGATCTTAAATACATTAGGGTTCGGGTGGGCCTCGATATGCAGGTGACTCAAAGGGGATTCGGCTTCGGATCGGTGTCGAGTGTCGGAGGTGTTGTATACTCGGAATCCCGTGACACTGGGTCCCCATGTGGGTTTTGGGTTAAGGGTCTCAACCCAAAACCCATTTTGGGCTGGGTTGGGTTGGGTTGGGTCATGGTTGACATGGGTTCTGGCGATGTCTACACATGTAGTATGGAGTAGGGTATATCATATAGCTTTCCCGCCGCACGTAGAGATTTAATACGGCCATTTTCAATATCAGAAAGGGCTAATAAGACCCTGCCCTCTTAATTGGCTAATTTCTGCGAGGATTCAGTGCGAATTGGTAGCATAGTAGGTGGTTGAATTAGGTGTGTTGGTAGGAGGACGCGATTTTGGATAGGGCGATCCGCTCGGCTGTTTGATCCGCTCGGCCGTGGATTACGTTATGCGCGATCCTTGCGCGGAAAAAAAAGTTGGTCAACAAAGTTCGAGTCATGCATGCGGCATGATGCATAGAAAACAGAAGAAACATCTCATCCGTGCATTCCTCAGCATCACTCGGCCGTTGACCCTGCCGCGCCAGTCACTTGAGGCTTTCTTCCCTGGCAGAAACATCTCGAGTGACTGGATTGGCTGGGTCAACGACCGAGTGTGGCTGGATTAATTATGCATTGATAAGGCATATAAGCGGCGTCTGAAATTGACAACCACATTAATAGAGCGTGGTGGAAAGCACAGGCCTTCTTTTATACGAAGTGCCCAATCTCGAGGTCCACCTCTTACCCGATTATTTCTACGGTGTGATAATCGGGAATGAAGTTTGGTATTTGGCCAATTATTTATACCATCCTCAGATGTCTGAGACAATTTGAACCGGAGAGTGCTTTTTGCTCGACCACTAGCGTCTCACGAGCAGAGAGAGACTTTATGTTTCGATTTCCGACACAGACTCAGACGGCTTGAACAAAGAGAAACACTGCTTTGACTTCCCACCTTCCTTCTCTTTCATTATGACCTCGGGACTAACCACACGCTTGATTTCGGAAACATGCTCTTCGAACAGAGATAAACATAATTTCCAGTTCAGACACACGCTGCTTGCCCAGGTGAGCAACTTGAATCATTTGAATAACAACACATGGGCCCCGGGTTTGAACACTTCAAACACAACAAGTTTACATCCAAAGAGGTCCCACTACGACAATCTCAAATCGCCGAACTAAATGGATCACGCCATATTCTTCTTTCCTCCGCCGACAATATATTGGAAGAAATACCTGGAAAGGCGCCTATCAACCATCTATTCTGAATATATAGGTGGAAGGGCCGAGGATATGCTTGCAAGCCAGACTACCAGCTTGGGCCATAATGTACCTCATTATGAGAACATACTAGTATTTGTTGGTTGTGTTGTGCATATTTGTGTCGGAATATTGCACCCTCTTTCGGCCGTCCACAGTAAAGTGCACCTATTCAAAGACCTTCAGGCTTTGGATAATCCAACTCCAAATTGATCATGGTGTGTATTGTCTTTAAATATTTGTACAATGCTTTTAAAATGATCTCAACCGGGCCCAGGGTATTCTCTGGCTGAGCCCGGCAAATACTGCCAAAGCTTGCCAGGCATCTACTGGTAGGTACTTTTGAGGAGATTAGTAGTTATTGGGCATGCTTTATACAACCAACCACAAATCTTGTCTTGAGAAAGCTTTCTGCTTACTAGTATTCCGTTTCGGTAACTTTTGATCTGGGTTGCTCCTGCGGCACAAACTCCCTTATAAAACAGACCCTAACAATAAACCTAGAATTAAAAATGCTCTCCAATGAGTAAAGAGTTCGAGCCTTCGCAAAACAAGCCTTCTTCAAATTTTATTCGATGCCTAATTTCCACGTTTAAGGCACGCCAAGACCTTCGACAATCTCCTCTTTATGAGGTTGATTTGATTTTGATTGTTGAGTGGTGGTCGTGGTCGAGCTTGAACTTGAACTTGAAAAGGTTGTAATTGCCCCTGGGAAATAGCAAGAACAGACGGCAAGTGGTTTATCCTTTGGAGAGGGTCCATCGTCCTCACGGCCGCAAATACCCGGTTGCACTCAGTACGTCTGTCTTCTTCGATGGTTCGTACAGCCGATCTATCAGTTTCAGGGAGGGAGGAGATACGGTCCGCCTCTTCACCACGACGAACAAGCACCAAATGTCGTAAATCGACAAGAGTCAATGATTTAACCTCCACTGTAAAATCATTAGAGAGTGAAGTAGTAGGTCAGGAGTTAGCTAACTGGCGAGCACACCTTGCCCTTGCCTCGTTTTCTTGTCAAAATCAATCGCGAAAAAGTAAATATGCATACCTTCCTCCTCAAACTCGTAATTGTAATCGTCATCGTCGTCTATTAAGTAGTCAAGGTATTTTGAGAATGCCTTGGTGTCAAATAGAAGTGCGTCGTTTAATATGACGTTTGCAGGAGCGTTTTCCAGAATATGAAAGTTCAGAATGCGAGGTGGGCTGATTTCATTATCTCGGCCAAAACACCATTCGAAATCATACGCCATTCCGGCAGTTTTGGCGACTGAGTTGTCAGCGAATTTCAATCTGGTACAATGCCGATGTGCGGTATGAATCTCCACACCAATACTTCGTGCGTACTTCTCGTCCATGACAAGGAACTTCAAGCCAGAATCAGCAAGGTCAGTTTGGGCATACCCATTGATCATGCCTTCAAACATTAGAGCAGGTACAACAAATGGAATTGCAATATGCCTTCGACAAATCGTTCTTTCACACGGCGATAGAAGTTGGCAACGTTCGAGAATGTCCTCGTCAGCTTTAAAAAAGGCTTTCCGATGATCACATCATGAACGCAGCTAGATAAGAGGTAGAATCTGATATTTCCCCAGTATATCTCGCCGCTGAATCTAAATGGCGCAGTTGCTGTTCCAACACATTGAACCCATTTTCCGTTGCCGATGGTGACTTTGGTGGTAGAAGTTCGGTTGATTGATAGCCCGAGGCGAATGGCGTGGCCTTCTTTCATGAAAATCCGCTGTGCCCCGTAATCGCCGAGTGCGTTGGTGGATTTACCTCTTATTTGACAAGGTATCTCGAAAAAACGAGCTCCAGCGCTGTTAGAAGATGTCTTGGAAATAATGTTGTCCTCCCGAGCCGTCAATGCAAGTTCACTATATCTCCCCCACCGAGCCGCCAAGGCCGCACGCCGAGGTCAATATGCTCTTTATGGACCATGCGCAACTTGAAGTATGGAAAAAATTCATATTTTCAACCTGCCTTGCGAGCTCAGTCAGTTGATCCGGGAACGGGAACATATCAGTCTCCTGAAGAGAGTAGGGTTTTGGGAGAACATCTTCTGTTCCGCTGAAGTCAAAACCATCGGATAGCGAACAGAAAGAAAACTCAGCAGTGTCTTATACATCGTGGGAGGATAAGAGTCTCACAGGTTATCGCTCGATTGTCTCCACTGGACTGACACCATTGGAGCCTGCGTATATCAATCCGAAGTGATATTCTCCCGGAAGAGGCCTGACGCATCCACAGAGCACGGCCACGGGTTCACTATAAAGTATCAGAAGAAGGTTCGATCATTGTCTGACTGGCCGTGATAACATGCCTTGACACTTGAGCGAGATCTTCTGTGAGTTGGAGAGCAGTGGAAGGGTAGGACCGGAGGAAAAGAGTTTAAAATATGACCTCCAGAATGTATTATGACTGAGGGGAAGGCAACTGACCAGTCCAGCTCCGCCACTCTGTGCTGACGTGGAAAAGTATTACCAGTTCTTTTTGCAGGCGCTTACGGCCTCACTGGGCTCTGCCTAATCTGCGCAGCCACTCCAGTGCGACTTTACATCAGTCTTTAATTCAAAGCGTTGTAAAAACCTTGGAATAAAACATGGAGAGTAGAACAATGCTCGAGTGTCAGCACCTCAGAATCTGAACTGCGCAGAACTTGGGAATGTCCGTGATGGGTACCCCGTACTTGCTAGCTGGATAGGTCGAGATCCGGATGGCGAAACCCTCGTATTCCGCCGGTTTCGACGTCTCAGCGCTCGGAACCTTCTTCATTGCAGAGCGGCCTTATCCAGCTGGAGAAAGAGATTGATGAACTGGACGAGGAAGCGCGAAGGAGTACGGACCTAGACTCTCTTCAGGCATCGCGACGATGGGAAACACTCACACAGCTCGCTGCTGATCCGACAAGACCGGAGAAGAAGCGATTAGAAAAGGCAGCTGAGCTTTCATCCAAAATCAAAGAATACGGTGAGCTCTCCACTTTGACTTCGACTTCGACTTCCCTAACTTGATCTGAAGCTAATACCTGACCCCAGAAGAGGCCCTACTACGACAATCCCAAATCGCCCAATTAAGCGGACCCAGCGACCGCGTTCTGTCCACTTACCGAGATTACATCGAGGGAAATGCCTGGAAAGGCGCTTATCTGCCATCTATCCCGATTATAAGTGGGAGGGCGAAAGATATGCTGAAAGAAGCTGACGACCTCGTTGCATTGCGGAAACCAGCAGACGAAGACATACTTTCAAAATTCCTGCAAGACCACTGGGCCTTTCAGAGCCATAAGGGGACTGATCCTCTCGATCGCACAACGATATACAAGGGACGGCATATCACACGTATAGTATCTATGATCAGCATCCTGTTTGCCGCGGTTCTCTTAGTTGCTGCGATCATCAGCCTCTACGTGGTTGATAATCCGACTACGAAGTTAGGCTTGGTGGTTGCTTTTACGTTTATCTTTGCTTTGAGCATTGCGCTATTGACAAATGCACGACGGGCAGAGATATTCGGTTCTGTAGCCGCATACGCTGCAGTATTGGTTGTTTTCATCTCGGGGAATCTGGGGTCGTGACCGATTCGGAAGTACTAGTAACTAGTCAGCCCTGAAGCGTTTAAAGGAGACCAGAGACTGTGAACTAAATCAAATCAACTGACGACCTTGGAGCTTGAGCGCACAGATTTACTTCAGGTAAAAGTAGGAGCGTGGGCATCCCAAAACACTTTTTGTGCCAGATCAGAACCCGCAGAGACATTGCCGAGCGAATTCATGATTGGCTGGCCATTACTATCATATCACTATTACTTAGTATATAGCAAGCTACAACTATCCGGTAATATCCAAAGGCACAAATTCACTATCAAGAGAATAAAAGCTGTCCTGCGACCGACTTCGTGGAGAATCAAAGTTGTTGGGTTGGAGCGTGGCATATTGCTTCTTGAAAAATTCAGATCATTTCCTTCCTGCATGCTTTGTCGATTGCTTGGGCCACGTGTTTGACATTTGCATTATTGACTGTGATGGATAATGTAAGCTTCCTGATCAAATTTTTTCTATCATCCAGAGTCCAACTTACGGCCTGCAACTGATATCCGTCCCGAGCTTAAGATGTAAACATGACCATCAGTCCGCATGCATTCTACTTGCTCAGGGCTGAGACCTGTATATGAGAACATTCCAATCTAAAACTCATCAGAAACGTCGAAGCTGCGGGAAATAACGGGGATCCTCACTTGAGTCAATATATGATCCCAGTTTCCGGGCGTTCCCAAAGAAATCAACTCGTCGTACAACGCCTGTCGCATACATTTGATCCTAGAGCTCATCTCGCGAAGATCCGCCAACCATTTTGGGAACAGTGCATTATCTTTGAGGATTGTCGTCGCGATTTTTGCTCCTCGCTTGGGTGGTTGGGAGATAAGTCCTCGCTGAAGACGTAATAGATGTCCTTTAACCTTGCGTGCGGCATCTGGCGAAGCCGTGAGAAAATGCAGGGCCCCAACGCGCTCTCCATAGAGACCCATATTCTTAGAGAAGGACTGTGCCACTGCGAGCTCCATGCTTCCACGGGATGTAAAATGTCTCAAGGCCCACGCGTCTTCATCTAAGTTCCCTGAAGCGAATCCTTGACTTTTGTTTCTGGTAAGCATATGCAGTATTCCGAGTCTAGATGTCAAGTTGTGGAGAACCATAAGTAACCAAACAAAACTTACTAGGCACAGTCGAAGAATGGGAACAATCCCCTGCTTTCACACAAGTTTGCTATTGTCCTCCATTGGTCCTTTGTCGGGTCAAGTCCGGTGGGATTATGAGCACAGCCATGAAGTACGATCACATCTCCAGGAGTAGCCTCTTGGGAAATGATCTGAATCATATCTTCAAAGTCCAATGCCTTTCTTTCTGGGTCCCAATATGGGTAGGACCTGACCGGGACCCCCACCGATTTCCAAATGTTTGCATGGTTTACCCAGCTCGGGTTGGATAGCCATACGGCAGATGGCTTGAGGGCTTCAGATAAAAAGTGTGCACCAAGTGAATTGGCACCTGTTCCGGATATCGTTTGCACGGAGACGAAATTGTCTTCTGGGGAGCTGAGGGATCCGAATAGGAGGTCTCGTGCTGCGGTGTAGAATGGTGCGTATCCTGGAATAGGAAGATAGTCATAGCGACCGGAGTCTTCTGAAGACTTGACTATCTCCTCCGCCTTGATGGGTTTGAGCCAGATGTCAGTATCATATTGATCCATTGGGGTATATGAGGTATTGACACACTTCTTTCACTGCTGGCAATATCCATGGCTTCCCATTCTTGTCACGGTAGATACCCGATCCCAAAATCACCTTTGAGGGAGAAGGATCGGCCGAAAAGTCCTCTTTGAGGGCATAGTGAGGATCCAGAGGAATATCGTCAAGCTCAGCAAAGAGTGATTCGATCGAATGAGAGCGCATCCTTGCGATTCCTTTCGAACCTTATTCGGATAATGGTTTGGTATTATAGAAGTGTGAGTTTAAACTGTCTCGAATCCCCTGTAGTAGTATACTGGTCCTGACAAGCAGTATTAGCTAAAGATACGATGGAAAACATTTATTTGGCCGGGCGGGCTTCTTGCCGATTGTTTGAAGCCAGGACCTGTCCAAATATGAGCCACGGTCCGTTCGAGAAATAACAGTCAACTGCAGCGTCACACAGAGTAGTCGTTAAGATGATGGATCCTAGCTGTGATTGGTGAAGATGCACAAAAGTACGTCGATCCAACGGGCCGAGCTTTGAATGCGGGGATTAGTCATCGCATCGGACTGCTCGACCACAACTATAAAAATACTACTACTAGTAGTATATTTTGCACATCAAACGAGGAAGCTTATCAACAATTGCGCAATAATTTAGGTAGTATATACCATGTGGCACCGATCGTACTTCTCAATATGAATTATTTCTCTAGCAAAAGCGCCTGCGAGTTCCCGCAAACCTTACATCGGGATGCAGTCATTTGGTTACATCCGGGAGATGAAAGTGGATATGACCCGAACCATTGAGCAGGATCTAGAAAAGCTTGGTTGGGATTACGAGGAACTTACGCCTTCAATTTATACTACTACTGGTACAAGTAGTATATAGTACATCTAAACACGAAGACTTCCAAGCTTAGACGCTATACGCAATGCTGCAGTATAATCTTACTTGGGTATAACGAGTGAACCAAAGTAAAAGTGCAATGCATATTGAACGTTTCAATTATTTACATCAGAGATAGAAGCAGAATATTCAATGGAAAGGCAGCAGAAACTTGATGTTGGATTCGACATGTGATCCAAAAAGGGAACCCACGGGTGCCTACTTCAACCTTGTTGATGTTGCCCTCCAAACTTGAACTTCACATTCACCTCCATTCACCTCCCAACTTCAACCACTCCATCATTCATGTGCTCTTGTTTCTCCAAACGCTTGAATCAATTTTGAAACTTCCAGATCATCTCCTCCGGAGACATTTCCACTATGCTTTCAGTGCGGTCCGCTCTTCACAAGAGCAGCGGGGCCATTCGCCTACTCGAAGCGCATGATCGGTCTTCTACAAAGGTCATCCGGGAGAGAAACAATAGCAAAGATTGTTTCGAGGGTATCTGGATCAGCGGTCTGACTCAAACCACTTACCTCGGAATCCCCGACACCGAGATCGTATCGCCTCTCTACCGCGCAATCTTGCAGGCGACAAACATCAAAACACTATGGCCAAGCGATCGACCGATATGCGCAGCCTTTGATGCTGACAGTGGGGGACCTATCAGTGATATCCCGGCATTGGTGGCGGTTCTTGTCACCATTGGAGTCTCCATGGCGGTCATTGAGGACAAGGAATTGAAAGCCCCGGGCAAAAAAGTCAATTCTCTCTTGACAGCAAATGGATCTCAGTCGCAGGCAGACCCGGCGGACTTCTGCAAAACAATCCAGACATTCAAGGCGTCTGCGCAGTGTGCTGACTTGATGATCACTGCTAGGATTGAATCTTTCAACGTACGCATCGTGAAAGATGATCCAATTGAAGAAGCTGCCTCCATCAAGGCATCTCTCGAGGACGCATTATCCCGCGCTGAGATGTACACAAAAGCAGGCGCCGACGCCATTATGATTCACAGCAAAAGTTCTAGTCCCACGGAGGTTCTCGATTTCTTGAAGCGATTCCGTGAAAGAGACCAAGTCACACCCCTTGTGGTAGTTCCCACTACCTACGCAACCACCCCCCGGAAATCCCTTGTCGATGCCGGTGCAAATGTGATCATTTATGCGAATCATTTGATGAGGGCCAAAATACATACAATGGAAGAAGTTGTGAATTGGGAATGCATCGCGCCCCGGATATGTTTGCCGATGACAAAGAAGCAGCGGCTTGCGTCGAAGCTAAAAACTACGGTTGCCTCTTGCGGATTTTACTTGACCGAGATCGCGTGGATGGGGAGAACTGGAAAATAGAACACTTAGTCCAGCAGGCGGAACATCAGGCTGCCATGGGTATGAGAACTGCTGTAATGATGTTGGAGGGAGGTACCCAGTCCGGTTGCGAGGCCGATGAGTTCATGATTGATGTTGAGGAGCTATTGAAGATAAACGCCATCCGGGTTTCAATTGCTTAGCTGGCTCTAGTCGTTTCCTGATCTGAGGGTCAGTATGGCTGTGGAAGCCGTGCGCTATTCCAATGTATGAAGCCAGAGCTATCTTGATTAGTGGATACGAAAATCTCTCCAAGCTTAGATTATCGGTACATCTCGAAATCATGTATGTTTAAGCTTCCCTCCAGGGCTCAGGGTGAAATATCCGAATTCAAATATTCCACGAGGGATCGATTCTCTAATTTCTATGCTCTCTATTACTCGAGTTCATACAGCGATAGTTCTTAGGAAAGACCTCCTCCCATTTAGAGTGCGGCACGCGATCAATCACGATATTCAGCACCAGCACATAGCACCGTTCCTGCGAGTCCACCGACAAACATCAACCGTTTGATAAAACGAGCAATGTATGTGTGACCCTGTGCATAAATTCACGTCAGACAATCTAGCACGGCGAACACCTTCGACCCGGTCTATTCTTTGCAAAGTTGCAAAATGCAGTCACCCTTGAGCCGATGAGACATCGCAAGGTATGATGTGATCTATGAGAGTGTCACACTTAAAACTGCGTTTGACGCGGGCGTAGGTTGCTCAATCTTTGTTAGGTTTTGCTTGCTTCACCACGTTCCTCCTCAAGACTTATCATCAACCCAATGTCTGAAAACTACGAGATTTACCGTTATTCACCCCTTGAGATGATGAATTCGGAATCCACCATCGAAGAAGGGAAAGACGGGTCTTCCTCTCCGGAGAGGCTGAACTATCTGGGTGACCAGACCCTGAGGCTCACGTTCCCTCGGCTCATTGTTTCGTATATTTGTCTCTGCTCTTGTTACTTCATAACCTATCTTGACATGAACTCAACAACGACAGCTCTGCCTACAATTTCCAATGCACTATCTGCGGGAACAACAATCACTTGGGCGGGAACTGCCTTCCTTCTTGGGCAAACAACATTCCAACCTCTTTATGGTCGCGTTTCCGATATTTCTGGGCGTAAGCCTGTGTTGATGATCTCGGTCGCGTGTATCATGGTTGGCGACTTTCTCTCGGGGTGGGCAAAAGGTCCGATCTGGTTATATCTGACGCGCACATTGAGTGGAATTGGTGCTGGAGGTATAAGCTCACTGGTTTCGATTATTGTAAGCGACATAGTGAGTTTGAAAAATAGAGGAAAATACCAGGGATTCGTGAGCATCGCTATTGGAGCCGGGGCTGTCAGTGGTCCATTTATCGCGGCCAGCTTGATACAAAAGAGCTCCGATGGTTGGCGCTGGACTTTCTGGGTCCCATCTATCCTAGCCTTGATATGCATGTTGTTCCTATTGCTCTTCTTGCCATTGAAGCAAGTTTCAGGGAGTTGGAATATCAAAATCAGACAAATTGATTGGGCAGGGGTTATCTTGTCCACGACAGGAATTATTTTTCTACTGGTGCGTTAACTTACGTTGTGACTTTTTTTTCTTCGTCATTTTTGTCTTCTCCATCCACTTTTTCTTTTACCATTACTCTGCTTGGCTGGCTGACGACTTCTTCAAGTAGATCCCTATAAGCTCTGGTGGCAATACTTGGCCATGGAACAGCGGCTTCATAATTAGCCTACTGATTCTCGGATGTATTTTGATCGGCATATTCGTTCTAGTCGAGGGGCTTTTTGCTAAGCTTCCCATCATGCCTTTGACTCTCTTCAGACAAAGATCTCTTACCATAATGTTGATATCGGGTGCCCTCCATGACTATGTCTGGCAATCAACCCAGTACTTCATGCCTCTCTTCTTTCAGGAAGTTCGAGGTTTTTCACCCTTCGGAAGTGCCATGTTAACTTTGCCCTATGTTCTTGCTCAAAGTATCGCAGGCGCAATATCTGGGCCCGTGATGAGTCGCTTTGCTAGGTTCGCCAAGAGCCTGTTGGCTTTACTCTGACTATGTTCTAACTCTGATTATTAGATTCACACCAGTCCTACGCATCGGCCTTTTTCTATGGTCTGTTGGTGCAGGTCTTCGCCTCTTATTCAAACGAGATACTTGTATATTTGTATATACGGTGGTCCTTGCTATTGAAGGTGCAGGTGTCGGATTTACTCATCAACCGGGTAAGAATGGCACAAAATGACATTGGACACAACGCATTGTTAATAAATCTGAAATTTAGGTTTAGTAGCTGTCCAGGCTCTGGCTAGAGCGGAGGATCGTGCTGTGGCTACTTCAACACGCAATCTACTTCGATCATTGGGGTCTGTCTTCGGTGTTGCCATTTCAACCGCAGCCCAACGTGCCGCCATGCAGTCCGCTTTGCATCATTCAAGTCAATTGAATAATACGCAATCTGAAGCTTTATCCGGCCAAAGAGATAGAATTGAAGAAAGCTCTGACTTAGACCATTCACGAAATCTGGATGCAAAAATGGCCGGATTTCGAATAGTCTTCGTCAGTTTAGTGCCATTGATTTCTTTGTGTTTTGTAGGTAACCTTTTAGTCAACCACGTCTCATTGAGTGAAAATTGCGTCGATAAAGCGGTCGTAATAGATGAAGGTGTGTTCTGCACTCTCTCTGTTCTCGTTATCTTCTGCTTTATAACAACTGGGCTCAGCGCTAAAAGATCGAATCTAGGATCGTCCGAGTCCACTGACAGTGGCTCAGAAGTCAATTCACACGAAGTCTCTAGAACTGAGGGGAGCGACTACGCTAAATAACTGCAGATGCATGATATCTTGTTATGGCCTTTCTTTCGAACTTGTAGTTCCACTCTGCAGGTTCCGAGGTGATGACCGACCTGATGCCAACCTTGAAAGGGAAACATGGAAATAGGAAACATGCTGAAGGTGGAAGCATGATACTGGCCCCGTTGATAGACTGCTAGAATAAGGTAACTTGAAATCACATAACAATACCTAACTATCACACCCCGTCTAATCTAAGTGCTGCCCAGGTGCACACTTATGTATTAGGGAGTGCAATTCATATTGAAGAAAGCAATCGAATAAGCTCATATCCGACACGCATATGCATGGAATCATTGGTCTTGATTTCTCTCGGGAGCTGACAGCCGAACAGTATCTAATAATACCTCTTGCGGCTGCCCGGTCAAAACAAAAATAATTCGTGCGAGCTCCACCGGCTCAAAATTCGGTTCGCGTTCGAAAGCAAAAAAAAAAAACGGGGAATCATTTCAAGAGCTTTTGCAAGCGAAGTAAATCCCATTGGTGTAAAACTCCTCATCTTAAATTCCTGTTTCTGGCAGATTGTCGTAGCCCATCACTGCCTAATAAGGTTAAACTCGCGTGGCGGGCAAAAAGTCTAGAAGTCGGTCGCTGGAGCCAAACTAGACCACCAGGGGTAATTTATGGCCAACTAGCGTCCCGTTCCGACGGGCCCTTCTGGATCTTCCTCAACGGTTTTTTCATGCCTTGCGGATATTTCGGATACTACGGGGATTTCCACATGTTTTCCCCGCGCCGGAAGAGCACCGAGATCCCGACCGGACGTACATACCACGCGTTCTCCTTCAACCTGAAACTGGCGAGAAAATTTAGCTGAGACTAGTATTTGTATCAGGTCACGGGTGCGTCTCTAGTGGTTTGAGTTCGCCATTAAAACTGTATCTCTCTTTTCACGTGCATCTGGTTCACGCCGAGGACTTGCAGTTTCTGAGAAGATGGATCGGCGGTATCTTGTTGGGGCGCACGGTTGTTCTCGCTAGATTTATGTTTGATTATGCTATAATTGCTATGGGCGATAGAGGCAACCAAAATCAGTTGTCCCTTTCTTCAAGTTTTCTCTTCCTTTTTTAGACTGGGCTAGGTTGAGTATTCTCTGAGAGTCTCATGGTTTTATTAATAGCGAGAGAAGTAGATAAAGTATTTCTAACAAGGCCGCAAACTTGAGCTTTTGACAACAATATTTAAGAACAAAATAAACTTTCTTAGGTGGTCAAGATTAAAGATACCATAAACCATGGCCGACAACCTGTCAATCGGCGGATCAGGCCGGTTTCGGAAAGTAGATAAATGTGAACATTTGACAGATGCGTTCGGCCAAGAAAATAGCCATTGATATTCAGACAGAGTCAGTTCTTGATATACGATGTACCCTGTGATCATTGTGCAAATTTTCAAGTCAATATGTTAGGCTCTCGCGTCCTTGTCGCTTTCTGCATGGCCCTCCAGGCCCAAGCAGATGTAACCGAAGACTACGACAAACGTCTTAAAACCGCCATAATTCTTGACCATCCAACTACAGGCGCTAGCATAGCCCCTGACGGCCGCACCTTCCTCAAAATTGCCCATATTGACGGCACGACGGGTTCACAAATTGTCGAGGTCATCAGCAACAACCACACACTCATTCCCTACCCCGACGAGGAATGGAATTCGTGGAATGTCAGCACAGACACGCCAACCGATTCAGAGTACAAATACGTTTCAACCAACGCGCAACGTATCGGTCCTGATGGAAAACTCTGGGTTGTCGACAGTGGGAATCTTCAAATCTTCCCTAATTCGTCTAAGCTTATCTCCTTCGACCTGGAGACTAACAAGGTGGAGCGTACCTATTATCTTGGCGATGTTACAACTACCGGTGGCTCACTGAATGACGTACGCTTCAATGGAAGGTACGCTTATTTGACCGAGTATACCATCGGTTCTCTCATTGTCCTAGATCTGGAGACCGGTCACGCACGGATGGTGCTGCGCGGCCATCACTCAGTCGTTGCATCTATGCCGCTATCAGCTGAGGGCCATTTACTCCGCAGTTCTTCCACGGGACAGTTTCAGTATATCCATGCTGATCAGCTTGAGGTCTCGCCTAGTGGCGATTACTTATATTATCAGCCAGGCAGCGGATACATGTCACGCATCGAGACAAAATATCTCAATGAGGCACTTCATAATAGAACAATGGCAGACATGCTGCCCAACTATGTGGAGCCCTTTGCCTTAACGCCTAGTACCGGGGGCACGGCCATTGATTCCAATGGCAACATTTACTACAGCGATGGCGACCGACAGGAGATCCGGGTTCTAGCGCCTAATGGGACTACCATGTTGTTGGTTCGAGATCACAGGCTTTTGTGGATAGACGCTTTATGGCTGGACACACAGCAGCGTCTGTGGATGTGCGCGTCGCAGCTTAATCGTGGTGATCTCTTTTTGCAACCCGGATATCAGGAGAATACCATTAAGAAGCCTATTTACGTCTATACCATTGATATTGGTCGCAGCCCACCAACATTGGATCATGCTTGAGAGAATTGCTTTCTACATTGAAAGGGGCATGAAAGAGCGGCAGATAGCAGGGTGGCAATAAAACCGATAATGAACCTTTATATTCCCCGCATGAATATGAGCATATCCCGCGAGTAGAACTCTAAAGCGAGAAGGTTTGTGTCTAGTGAAAATTTACTTGGCGGGGGAAACCTTCTCAAAATTGAATGTGAAACAAGATGAAACCTTCTTTCGCTGAGTGGTATTCAGCGGAGAAAGGCAATACGGAGTACTCAGATACTCGAATCAAGTAGAAATGCTCATTATTATTTTGAATCTTTACTATACTATACATTTTCCCTCTCAAACCTGTGATGGTGATACCCTTCATTGACATCATTTTCAGCAGCGGTTCGAATAACCTCGAACGTCTGGTGAACACCCACTTCCATTCTTCCAGGAAGAGGAGGGTGATGCACGTTCAAGCCTTCTTCGCTACTGCTCGGGCTGGACGGCCTTGGCCAGGACTTCTTTGAGTCTCTTTGGCTCTCGATGTTCGTGACCATGACTGAGACCTTATCGGGTCTTAAGTCGCCTCCTTCGGCTTGGCTAATTGATCCCAATGGTAGTGCTGCACCATGTGCTCCGCTGAGACCGCCGCCGGTACGGCGCCCGTATGATTGTTTGGGAAAGCCGGCTGAGTATGATGGATCGGCGCGCGAGCCGAACCAGTGACGAAGGAGGGGGCGGAGGGTTGCGAGACTGCCGGCGGTGATTCCTAGACCAATCTCAAGATTCGACCAGTATGCGATTTGGACGGTCGAGACTTTGGCATATGTTAGTATCTTTTCAATGAGGAGGTTGGTGTAAGATGGGAGAAGCTTGACGTACATAAAAAGTCGTTCAGATCAAGGAAGGTACTGACGAATGGGATGCGAACAATAACAGCAGAGGAGGCACTATGAAAATAGTCAGTTGTTTGTCCCAGAGTCTTGGGAGATAAAGTCCACATACATGCAAGCCATACTCAAAATGCCAATCACCGCAATCTTCGTCTGCCTCTTCATTTGTAGTTGGTGGACGACGAAAATGGGTAGAATGCCGACAGTGAAATCACAGACGGCAGCGAAGACACTGTAAACGTATGTCATGGCGACGATGATTTCCATGTTGATGCAAAAGCCTTCGCCTTCCTTGTTTACGACTGGGTGGAAAGCCATTCGGGTCCAGAAGTATGACAGTGGCTTGCACTGTAAGAGCATGAGGAACATGAAAACAAGGCCAGCCAAAACCGTCAAGGCCATGACCGAGTAAAGAGTCCACATGTGTGTTTTCTTGATGCAGATACGCATCAAGAAAATGCAAATCGAAATCTTGCAGAAAATTGATGAAAAACAGAATGCAATTTCACATAACCACCAATACTTTTGAAGACAGAATGTTAGTGCTTTTCTTTTCGCCTTTTAGTCAGAATATAGATTTGGCTGGTTTGATTTACCTTCATTGCGATCACTCGCTCCTCGGCGGGGACATTATACCAGTGTCGCCCATTGCCGTGGAGACCTGCCCCGATCATGGATGCTGAAAACAGTATATAACAGGCCTATTAAGATGTTAGCGGGTTGTAGACGGTAGCAAAGAGATGGGTTAATTTACCATAGCCACCACCATCGAGGTATCATCCCAGCCGAACGCCTTCACTAGGCGAAGTCGGACATAGCATCGAAGTGCCACAGTGATAAACGCTATGGTCATAAAAGTAGCTGCGACAGCTATAATGGCCCCATTTTGATGATCCTCAACGGTACCCATAACGCCGATTGACAGGGCGAAGGAAGATCCGTGGAATAAGTTTCCCTGATCCCTCGCATCCAAGCAGAGGAAAAGTTAACGAGGGCTCTGGAAAAGTGGAATTCGCAGAGTTAAAAAGCGTTTCGTGTCAGGGGGAAACTTGTATGTAGTACGCTAGACTCCATAACTCTGTCTTCGGCAGGGCCAGAACGGGGTAAGTAAACATTCTAGCGTGAAGCCACACACGGCATCAAGCGCAATTTGACCAAACACAAACTGCCGGACGCAGGGATTTCTCAGGCTACCGGGGGGGACCCGCTTGCCATGATGCGTCCCACAAGTGGCTCAAGAATCTTCATCTCCGACAGAGAGGGTCTCGTGTACGCTAACAAGGTGAATTTTAAGGGGCCTTTGGAGCTAACGGCCGCTGTTTAGCGTGATTCGGGCTGGCAAGCGGTGCCGATCCACTACAGACGCGGGACGGCCAGGCCAGGTGGATGGAACCACAAGCCATTTGGAAATATCCTGTTCGTGAATTACCGAGGTTTTTCTCACTGGCAGTGTATATCCCCTCTTTTGGATTGGTGGGAACCGTGGAGTACCAAGCGAGAGGTTGACAGGGGGAGATGGGGGGTCCATGAAGATCCGGATTTTGACAGTTTTGACAGTTCCAATGACAGCTCGGAGAACCACTGAACGGGTATCCGACCCAAACTCACTCCACAGAGGTTTGTAGATTTAATATCGGTATATATTATCCCGTTATTATGGACATGTTCGTTCCCTGGGACAAACTACTGCACCGCACTTAAAATCCTGTTCGGGGGAATTCCGGCTAAGAAGGATCAGTAGACGCGGATCAGTGGGTTGGCCTATTTTTATATGGGGCACACTTTCAGCTTGACCCCAACACGTGACAGTCTAGGGCTCGAATTATCTACTTGGCGTCGATCCCTCGTGGGCAATCTTATTGTGGGTGGCCTGGGTGGCGTAGGGAGTAGGGAGTAGGGAGTAGGGAGTACTCGTATGAGTACGGAGCATGATATGGAGAGAACAAAAAGTTGAACCCGCTGAACCTTATGAGGCTTACGGAGTACACCCAGACTATCATTTTCAAGGTTCGGTTATCGAGCCTTGACAGGTTTAGTTCTTTCTGGGCCGCGTACTAGTAGTCGGAATTGGGGATACATCTTCCGGGTCGATGAGATCTACATACGGAATACTCGAAGCCTGAATCATGTCTTAGACTGAATGTCGAACGTCGAATCAATTGATGTTATTTATGTATTTACGAACCACTAATGATATCTATAAAGCCCGAAAGAAGTAGCACCGCAGATCAAGCGGGGAGGTCGAATTGCAAAGACCGCTTCAAACGATTCCATGCCGAGTCTTGCTCAGGCTTTGGGTTCTCGATGCGAGACCATTCGCCGTTGAACGCATTGACGAGCCAGCTCGAAAGACCTATGATCCACATTAGTTCATTTCAGATCCGTTCCGTTCCTTCTGGGTGGGGTATCAAGGAACTCACGTTCATAGACCAGCGTGTGGCCATTGTGGAAAAAGATGCTGTGGTCTGAATCAGGGAACACCTGCATATCGTAGTTGTCGATATTCGCCAAGTCGAGCTTGTCGATCAAAACAAGTGAATTTTGGAGGTGGACATTGTCATCGGCGACACCGTGCATGATCAGGAATCGGGTGTTCTCACCCAAGGCTGCGGCGTCGGAGATCGTCGCATTCTCGTAGCCTTCAAGGTTGTGCTGCGGTGTGTGCATATAGCGTTCTGTGTATATAGAATCTGTGATTAAAAGTCACTCACGTTAGCCGTTTAATTCTACTCTGACCAAGTCGAGCAGTTATCAAATTACCATAATATCTCCAATCAGTGACAGGTGCTACAGCCATGCCGTACTGGAATGTCTGGCCCGCATCGCGTTCGAGGATCTTCAGAGTCATGAACCCGCCATAGCTCCAGCCCCACACAGCCATGCGGCCTTCGTCGACATATGGCTTGTCGGCCCAGATCTTGGCTGTTTCAATCTGATCATTGGCTTCGTAGTGGCCCAAGTTGCCACGGACGATGCATCGGGCGTCCCGTCCAATGAAACCTGTACCCCGTCCATCGACGGTGACTACGATATAGCCAAGGCTCGAAGCGACGTATGATTGGAAGTCAACCGTAAACTTGCGGTCAACCGTTTGGGATCCGGGTCCACCGTACAGGAAGAAAAGCACGGGGTATTTCTTAGACGGGTTGAAGTGTGGCGGCCGGCGCTCGAGCACTTGGAGGGTATACCCATCGATTGTCACATTAGTGTAGACCTCTGCAGGCAGTGCGTAATCCTCGACCATCTCAATGAGGTGCGAATTCTCTTCAATAGTATCTTCAATCTCCAATTTATCACCATCGGTGCTAATGATGGCTTGCCAGGGTACTGCGGGTCCCTTCGAAGTAAGCAGTCCATATCCAGATCCTTCCGAGAAGGAAATACCAAAGTATCCAGGCTTGGATGTATCTGTCAAGGGTCGAAGATCAGATCCATCAAGCTTGACCGAGTATACATGCCGTTCAGTAGGCGCTTCCTGGGTTGAAACGAAGTAAACCAAGTTTTTCTTCAAATCGACCGCAGATGGTGCGCTGACGACTTCCCATTTTCCTTTTGTAAGCATTTTGGGCTCTGAGCTATCGATGGGAGAAAAGTATGCCAAATGGTCATAGCCTTCGTGGATGACAGTATCAATGTATCCATCCTCTGGTCGGCCATTTTTCGGGTCTGCGGGAATGAAACGAGTCGACTGCGAGGGCTCAACCCAGCCACCATCCAAGGCAGCAATGTCCTCTGTCCGAGCGAGCTTTCCAGTTCGAGTCTCGGTGTCGAGAACGAAAATCTTAACAACGTCACTCTCACGATTGGTCTCGCGAATAAGAACGTTGCCTCCGGTCCCCCAGACGATTTCAATGATGATCCGGTCATCATCAGCAAAGTCGTCCGGCATGGCGATAGAGAAAACCTCGTTCTTTTCGACATCATAGAATTGTAAGTCCACCACCGGGTTGGGTGCTCCAGACTTGGGATACTTGATCTGTCGGACCTCTGGATAATTCTCAAGGCCAGGTTCCGGAGCCTTGCCTGAAGGGCGAGACAGGAAGTACTGAACTGGGTATTCGGGAACAGCAGTCTCGTTGGTGCGTAGGAAAGTCAGGAACTTCCCATCTTGCGACCACCAAGTGCCAGTTCTACCCTGGAAGACCTCTTCTTCATAAACCCAATCGGGAACGCCATAGAAGAGGTCGTCACCACCGTTTTTAGTGATGGGAGTCACCTCCGATGAAGACAATTTCCGCAAGAAGAGATTATTCTCGCGGACAAAAACAACGGCATCAGACTGGGGCGACCAAACAGCCAGCTGGACCCGATCACTCAAGTCACTGTGGTCCAGCGGCTCCGCCTCCTGGGTCGCGACATCGAAAATCCAATATTTGCCATAGAAAGAGTGTCTCCAATTACTCTGGTAGTCAGACATGATCAAAACCTTCTCCAAATTGGGGCTCGGCCAAGTCATGCCCGGCCTGACGAGTTCGCCATCAACCCGGAACTCGGCTTTGTCCATCAAGACACGGGTTTCCAAAGCACCCGACTTGTTTTTGCGGCTTCGAATATCCTCCACTCGCAAAAAGCCATCTCCACTTTCGCCTTGTTCCACCAAAAGTCCATCTTCACCATTTGGCCCAGCAATCCAGGAAATGGCATGCGACCGCGGTAACCACTCCCCCTTCAACATCTGCTCCAATGTGACGGACCGTCCGTAGCTAGTGCCTCCGGTCGCAGAGTGTGGATCGTGAATAGTAACGGTTGAGGTAGACGAGAGGGCCGCGGTGCCGGGTCGCTTCGATGTCAGGAACAGCACGAAGGCGAGCAGCCAACCACCAACACAGAGCAAGCCCAAGGTCCAGAGAACGCGACGCATCCGACTCGACACGGCTTCTGTCTTCTTCCGGCCTGGTAAGAAGGGCTCATCCGAACCTCCATCTGGCCCATCTTCTATATCGTAGTATCGTTGTCCCTGACCCTCCCCTTCTCCTCCTTGATCGTCCGCGGCTAGCATGCTTGCCTTGTGAGCTTCGAGGAAGGTCGCCGAGGCCACCGACAGGCCCGAATCGGTGGTAGCTTGTGAGGCGAGTGAATTCGATCGCCGAATAGGTAAGGGTACTGCCTCGGGGCTGCCTTCGTCATCGAGCTTCCCCATGGTTGTCAAAGCTGCGGTGAGGCTGAAGCTGAGGTTGGATTGGATTGCTTATCGGTGGGACTCTCTCGGGGTTTGGTGGATCCGCGGACAAGCGCGGCACTTGGCACTGAATAGGGACTCCGATACGAGTATACAAGCAGTGTTCACCACAGCCAACTTGACTCGGAAGGTTTCTGATTCTCAAGTCTCGGCACTGGGCGAAGTTGCCAAGATAAATGCAGGTGTCCTTGCAGGTGTATCTCATTCATGAGGCACAGGACGCGTATCGCGTATTCCAACCTTGGAAGTTGTTGCTTAGCACACAAAGCACTAGCACTAGCACTAGCATCCATGGCAGACCGGAGAAAAGGCCTTATTGAGAACCCTTTTTGGTCAAGCTTTTTCTGGTGTGGACGCGGTTCGTTCGATAAAAATCTCCGAATAAAGTGCTCAATAAGAGATTCCATGGATCCTGCCAGTGGTCTGAAAGTCGCCGTCCACTGATGGTGGTGGACGATGGCGCATCTAGATGCATTTTGGGCGAGTGTGGCGAGGACTTGGATAAATAGGACTCGCAATTGATAAGAGACTTGGAGAAATAAAAGGTTGAAACTTGAAACTTGAAAGCATTGAGGTTCAAATTCAACTTGAAGTTCATCAGGGAGAAAGTGGTGGGGGTAGATGTTCAAGTTGTTTCTTTGTTCACCCGCCACCAACAACCTTAGCCTTCCCCCTAGGGCCTCTACTACTAGTAGAATACTCCAGGCTGACAACTTGCCCAGGGGACCTCAGGACTTTGGCTGATTCAAGTTCATAAACCTTGGAATTCAAGCTTGGCGATTTGAGAGGGTCATGGACTTCAGTGTGATTTTTTCGACAGCTTTGGCACTGGCAGTAGTAGTACCTAGGTATATATAGTGGTGAACTCGTACAGTTGTTCTAATTTAGACCAAAAGATCCAAGACACTGGCAGTAGTACTACGTACCACTGCCCAGGTGGAAATTGAATGGCAATTACAAGAGCTGGATCCTACTAGTCGAAAAAGAATTATGAAAGGACATGACAATCAGACTTTTGATGGAAATGTCCCAACCCCAAGATCTATGTGAAAACGGATATTTTTTGGTAGTAATTACTCGTCGCGATGCCATCGCGGTTCATCATACAGCTCTAGGCAGAGGTCCCTGAAGCCATCTACCGCGACAGAGCAATGTCGTCAATTCTCATGATCATCTTCACGGTCTCCGCAGCCAGCTCAATCGCGCTGGTGCTGACCAGCAGAGGCTGCAGAATGTTCTCCTCCGTGATATCATCCTTGACACCGCCGCTGCGGATGCTAACACCAGCATTGTACTGGCCCTGGGCGTGACGGTGGCGCAGCTCGGTGACAACCTTGATCGAGTTCAGACCAGCGTTCTCCGCCAGAGTGGTGGGGATGACCTCCATGGCATCCGCGAACGCCTTCCAGCAAATGGCCTCGGTACCAGTGAGCTCACGGGCACGCATGGCAAGGGTGTGAGCAACCTGGACCTCGGGAGCACCACCACCAGCAATCATGGCGCGCTTCTTGACGAGACAACGGATGACACAGAGGGCATCGTGGAGGGAACGCTCGGCCTCGTCGAGAATCAGGCGGTTGGCACCGCGGGCGACGATGGAGACGGTCTGGTTGACGGGGTTGACGGGGGCCTTGATACCAGTGATCTTGACGTAACGGGCACCGGAAGACTGAACCTCCTCGATAAGGTCAGCAGTACCGAGCTTGTCCTCGGTGAAGCTGTCGACGTTGGCAACGGGCTTGCAGCCGAGAGACTTGCAGCAGGAACTCGACCTCATCGCGCTCGATGTCCTTGATGGCGAGGATCTTAAGACGAGAAAGGAAGTGCAGGGAAAGTTCGTTAACGGCGTCGCGGAGGATCGACTTCTGGATCAGAAGGACGTTACACTTGGTCTTTTGGATCTTCTTGACCATGTTGAGCAGATACTGGCGCTCCTCCTTCAGGATCTTGTCCATCTGGCGGTAGTCGTTGACAACGATTTGGTTCTCCATCTAAGAGGGGTCAGTTTCGCCGTCCTTCCGAAAAAAAGAATACCGGGCGGGCGACATACATCAGGCTTGGGAGGGCTGAGCTGGAACTGGATGAGACCTATCCGGGCCTTCTCAATTCTTGTTGGGCCACCGCTGTTCTTGATGACGGGCTGGTTCAAGACCAGGCCATCGATCATCTCACTATCTTCAATGGTACCTCCAACCTTCTTCACGATACGGATGTTGCGCAGGTCAACGTTCTCGGCGGTCTTGGGGTCGACAACCTTCAGGACGGAGTCCACGGCCATAGGGCCCAGAAGACCGGAGTGCTGGGAGACAATCTTGGAGGAGAGGGAGGTAGAGGCGGCTTGGATGAGGGTAGCGCGGTCGGTCAGGTTAATAGGACGGGACATGTTGTGGAGGATCTCGACAGCGGCGTTGGCAGCGCGCTGGAAGGACTCGGAGATGACGGTGGGGTGAATGCCCTTGGACAGCAGACGATCAGCAGCACCGAGAAGGCTGCCAGCAATGACAACGACGGAGGTTGTACCATCACCAGCCTCGACATCCTGTGCGGCACTGAGATCGACCAGCATACGAGCAGCGGGGTGCATGACGCTCATATCCTTCAGCATGGTGTTTCCATCGTTGGTCTGCGGGGGGGGGAGGGGAGTCAGTCGGAGGGGTCATCGGAGGATAGGTATGGAAATGGAATTGCGTACGATAATGGTGTTTCCCTTGGGGGTTTGGATCTGTGCCAGTATTAGTATCCCGTTGCCAATCAACCATTGTGGTGTACTTACCATCTTATCCATACCCCTGGGTCCCAAAGACTGTGATTCTCCGTTAGCCCCTCATCTCCGTATAATTTATAAATGTGAGCGGGTTTGACAAGCGTACAGTTCGAATGGCATCGGAGACAGCTATTTAAAGGTTAGCTGAATATCCACATCACATCTAGAATCGTTTTGACATACCTCGAGCGGCGAGAATGTTGGATGATCGCACGGCCATAGGCTTCTCCTTGTCCTGTCCGGTCATTAGCACGGAGCCCACACAAACAGCTTTTTTTTTTCAGGGGCGCACCTTGAAGGTAGTGGGGGCAGCGCCTCCCTGGGACACTGCAGCTGCCATATTGAATGTGAATATTCAAAAGCAGAAATGAAACAGAAAGGGGAGAGTGATGTTGGCGGAGATGGAGAAGACACAGGGAAATTCTGCGAGGTTCGGGGGGCGGTGATGAAGCTTGGCGTTGATTAGTGAGTTCCAGTTGCAGTTGCCGCTGGGAGAGCTTCGGCCACCACAGCTCTCTGCTCTCTCAACTCGACATCATCATCCCCCATCCACCCAATCTACCCAATTCCCAGAGTTCTCTCGATTTCGAATCTCGACTTATTCACTTGTCCGCTACATTCGATACTTCCGCAGCTCTCCAGCCCGAGGCTGTCAACACATCACCATGCCTAGCGCGACAGGCCAGAACTGGGAGAAGTACCAGAAGAACTTCGCTGATGATGAGGAGCCCGAGAAGAAGATCACACCCCTCTCAGATGAGTGAGTCGCCCATTGTTCAACCGATCCGGGGATGCTGCCGAGCTCCGGTGGTGATGGTGGTGGTGGTGGTGGTGGTCATGGTGACTGACGTCTTTGGCAGTGACATTGCGGTACTTAAGACTTACGGAGCCGCTCCCTACGCCAACGCCCTCAAGAAGCTCGAGAAGGATATCAAAGACAAACAAAACAGCGTCAACGAGAAGATCGGCGTGAAGGTAATTATTACACTGCCAGCTACCTCGACCCCTTTGGACCCCCCCCAGAGCTCACACTCACACGCGCATCAGGAATCCGACACAGGTCTTGCACCTCCACACCTTTGGGATGTCGCCGCCGACCGACAACGGATGGCGGAAGAGCAGCCCTTGCAAGTAGCTCGCTGCACGAAGATTATTCAGGATGAGAAGGATGCCGACAAGAGCAAATATGTCATCAACGTCAAGCAGATCGCCAAGTTTGTCGTCAATCTAGGAGAGCGCGTTAGTCCGACAGATATTGAGGAAGGCATGCGAGTTGGGTAAGTGTTTCCCTTCCGATGATGAGCGGGCCTCAAGGCGACGGATACTGACTACTGGTCCCACAGTGTCGATAGGAATAAATACCAGATCATGCTGCCACTTCCTCCCAAGATCGACCCCAGCGTGACGATGATGACTGTTGAAGATAAGCCCGATGTTACATACGGCGATGTTGGTGGTTGCAAAGAACAGATTGAGAAGCTACGAGAAGTCGTCGAGATGCCCTTGTTATCACCAGAGCGATTTGTGAACCTGGGTATCGACCCACCCAAGGGTGCCCTGCTTTACGGCCCTCCCGGTACCGGAAAGACCCTCTGCGCTCGTGCCGTCGCCAACCGAACAGACGCAACTTTCATCCGTGTTATTGGTAGCGAGCTGGTCCAGAAGTACGTTGGTGAAGGTGCCCGAATGGTCCGTGAATTGTTCGAGATGGCACGCACTAAGAAGGCGTGCATTATCTTCTTCGACGAAATCGATGCTGTCGGTGGAGCCCGTTTCGACGATGGTGCCGGTGGTGACAACGAGGTCCAGCGTACCATGCTGGAACTCATTACTCAGTTGGATGGTTTCGACTCCCGTGGTAACATCAAGGTCATGTTCGCTACTAACCGACCTTCCACATTGGACCCTGCCCTGATGCGTCCTGGTCGTATCGACCGAAAGATCGAATTCTCTCTCCCTGACGTCGAGGGCCGAGCCAACATTCTCCGAATTCACGCCAAGAGCATGTCCGTCGAGCGGGACATTCGATGGGAGCTGATTTCCCGCCTGTGCCCCAACGCTACCGGTGCCGAACTACGCAGTGTCGCGACTGAGGCTGGTATGTTTGCCATCCGCGCTCGAAGAAAGGTGGCCACCGAGAAGGATTTCCTGGCATCAGTGGAGAAGGTTATCAAGGGTAACCTGAAGTTCAACTCGACGGCGACGTACATGCAATACAACTAGAGCTTGGGAGATTGGTTCTTGCATGGAGCATGGCGGATAGGCTGTACGATCACTTCTAGTTCTTGTCATTGTGAACGAATCTATAATCTACAATACCGTTGACCCTGTAGTCCTTGTAATATGGTGCTAATCTGTATTGGACGGCCTTGAGTGAAAGATTCCTCAAGCATCCAATGGCGGCCGGCCAAAAAGACGAACCGCCATTGGCCACCTGAGCAGCTAATGTATCATCCATCACCCAGGTGCAGGAGGGGATCCGTTGTCAAAGAACCTCAGCTAGCTACGCCAAGTCAAACTAGGAACACACTATTCCACTTTGGGTTCCAGTGTTTGGCACCAAACATTGGAGCCCAAAATGGAAGAAATACCCCGGAACCTCTCGTTTTCTGTTGCTCCTACTGTGGAATTCCGGACTTAGATATTGGATCCACTGACATTTTGTAAAGTATCAGGCGGAGCCCGTCATCTCCCAGAAGTAGTCCTATCCGAATATAAAAGAAATCCACAGCACACATTCCGTTCGCTCTTGGATTCAGTTTTGGCCCAGAAATAACTTCAACGAAAAATTTATAACTCATAGATCGATTTTTTAATGGCCCCTTCCCCATGGACCATTATTCAGGATCTTGCTGGCTGAGTCACATGTTCATCAACTATAGCGGCGTTGATGGCCGAAACCATATTCCAGTTTTGATCCCAATAGATCCTGTTTCATTCGAATACTCGGTTGAAATGGGCTTAACAACAAGTGCTTCTACTCTGGATCAGTCTGCATTGCCGCCTTCGATGATGCCAACCCCGAGTATCATACCGTCGTCCCAATGGACTTGTGGCATGGATACCAGCTCCGCTGAAGCAACCTTTGGCAGCGATCACAGATCTTTATACTGGGATAACACGAATAAAGCTAGTTGGAGACAGGGGGGTGACCTTGAAAGTATTTCTTCGCTGCCGAATATATCTGGGCCACATCTCAATAGCCCTCGTCAGTTTAATGGTCTACCATCGGTTAAATCACACGGAGAGTTTCCAAGAAATTAGTAAGTACACGAGCGGAAGAGAACATACTCCTAATAAATTATCCAAGCTCTAACCGAGCATTTTGATCATTTTCAGTTCCCTCTCCCATGCTTGGAAATGCAGTTGGTATGGATGTATCAGCACCGACATGTTCCCTAACGAATCATCTCTCATGCATCATGTAAATTCATGCCATATCACCCCGACACAGAGCGAATTGAAATGTTATTGGAATGGCTGCACCTACAAGAAAAGCTTTTCTCGACTGCAAACCCTTGCGCGGCATGTCAAGGCTACCCACATCTCTCCCAGGCAATATGCATGTCCTGAGGTCACTTGCAGAAAGGCATTCGGGCGCAAAGACAAGCGCCAATTGCATTTACAAATATTTCATCCTCGTATCTTCAAGGAATACAAAGGCAAAAGAAAAGGCACAGCCACAGCCACAATAGATGAATGATAGATAGTATTACAGGTGTGGCGGCGACGGTTTCTTTTTCTGATACGAAGCTTTCTCAAGTATTATCTCATGCTATTCAATCTAACAATTTATGCTATGCATTGTTGCAATTATTCCAGCTCCAATTAGTTTCCCCCTGCCACGTCTTTGGAATACTCCTGAAAAATGTAACTGAACTCATCCCCCCGAATCTTAGACTTGGTTGCCATTCAAAAGAACCGCGTAGACACCTATATGTCATATGTTATAGGCCGTCAATAAGCGTGAGATAGATATTGCGCACCTGCGAGTTTCCATTTTTTACCAAGGGACTCCATTGCACATCTCATATCATTAAGTGCCTCCAAGCTCTGCTGGTGCCCATCAAGGTTATAACGATCGTAGAAATACTTGAAGGCGGGATGCCCCCAACACATGAGAAACGGAGACGCTCTCTTGGTACTAGAATAATCACCACTGTTGTAAATTCTTGACAAATTGAGACAAGTATGCGCTGATTTACTCAGTGGGTGACTAGGGTCATAAATACTGGCAGGCTCGTCATCGCCTGGTTCATCAAAAGAATAAAGTACAAATAGCGCGCTAGGAAGTTAGATTTGAGACATAGCTGATCTTAGGACCGGGTACTCACCTGTTTATAATGCTGCGTGCTACACTGACTGAAACGAGCGATGTTTGCAACTCAACTTCCAATACAATAGCTAGTGCGCTGATCGTGCGGTAGAGTTGTATCCGTCTCGTACGAATTGATTGATCTCCAGATTTATGGTCAGAAAATAATTGCAGTACTCGACCAACTAGATATGTGGCATGGACCAGTAGACGAAATGTCCCCATGTTGGAACTCGCCGGCGATAAAAGCGTTAAGTTGGCGCCAGGCGATGGGCGCTATGATTTGTTAGAATGGAGGCTCCAGGATGAAGAAATTCGGATTGAATACCGATTGTTTCCATGAAGCATCATCTGAAGGGAGTATGTAGGCTTCGTCTGGTTCTCGCAATAAAAGTGGGTATTGTGGACAACCAAGAGCTATGATCCTAGCATCATGATTTAGCAACATGACGAAGAACATAAATATAGAATTGACCAACCGCTCCATAACATATACCGACCACCATAAACGTCTTTTTTGCTCAAGATCTATCCAGTCGTTTGTATCATTTTGTCCTAGTGTTGCTTCTATCTCAAGAGCCCCTAAATATCGGACACAGCACCCCAGGGTTGTATACGCGGACGGGAAAATGCCATGTCCAAACTCGTAAAAGAGAAGTAGAAGCGAAGCCTGGAGCAATCTGATAGAGAGCGTACCGTAGATCTCTATAGTCATGAATGATGATTTCACAGCGAGATACTGGTTGTTTAGAGGTTGGTTTTCAGGGAGAGCGTCTGCATTCAACTTGATGCATGCAAGCAAAAGTACATCTTCTGCACTTAGGTGGCTGCTTTCATTCAATAATCTTGTATGAAGCTCATCGAGGGGAATAAATGGTATCCATGAGTCGACAACATTGGCAAAATTAGATACCCATTGCTCTCGATTGGTTTGGCCAGGGCCATAGATGTATTCTAGAATATCAGCACCAACGGCGTCACTTTTCAGTGAAGGGGGCACCGGGATAGTTTGACTTGAGCTTCCCAAAAACATTGCTGCATTGAATCGAACTCTTTTTGCAACCTCGCTTTCATTTGCCAAGGGCGCACCTGATACCATTGGCCGCGTAGCGCGGTTAGTATGGCCGTCAATTCGGTATTCGCAGCGGTCATGGGTTCTAGCTTAATGTTAGGATAAATCGCTGTAGAAAAGTTCAATCCAACAGACCTTAGGCAGTAGGAACAAATAGGATATGCGCGGTCGCATTTCTTCTTGCGCGCTCGGCAGTTTTTGCAGGCCAGGGGTGGTTTCATATTGGGCAGAGGGAACGAACGCGCTCTAAAGTCGTACTCTTCAACCCGATAATCCCGAGTTGACTCATCTACCAGACAGCCCAGCCGCGTCACATCGGAGATCACACTTCGGACTGTTGAATATTATCATCTTCGGAGTGGGCCGTGTGTCTCCTGCCTCATTCTCAATGGTGGCACGCAGGGCGGTCAAGCTGGGAGCTGATTGCCAGGGTACTTAATGAAGTTTCAATACTCTGATAGAATTCAGCTCCAAAGGTATATCAAAGTATTAAATTCGAATCTGCGAGATTATAAAATTTGACCTGCCCTGGTTTAGCGTCACGATACGCTAAAATTACTAGAGTCCATCCACTGATTCAAGTTCCCGGAGTGATCCATATAACCACGAATCCATGGCAACGGCAGGTTTAACCAAGCTATCACTTGAGATTTGGTAGGCTCAAAAATTGACATTAATTTCTATTGCATATTGCGCATTCTACCGATTCATTTAAACCTTGGAGCACATTGTTTGAATACAAATTTGGCAGAAACCTCTAGATTAGTCTCCGATGAACAAAACCAGAACAATCATGAAATAGTACTAGTAGATCTTGAGGAGAATTGACGAATTCTATATCTAGCTGCATGTCTATAGTTAAGGATCACCGTATGAAGACGTGGCATTCAGGTTTCATTCAGTCAACATTAAAGCTCCACTCTTTGCACCATGCCTTCATCATTTCTGCATTGATAGGAGTAAGCCGGTCTAGCGTCTTACTGAAGCCCCTTGTTCTAGTCGTAGAGAATCCCGGGTGATGAGGCTTTTCGGCAATGAGTCCCTTGTAGGCATCTAAAAGTTTCACAGCGGGAATTTTGCTTCCGTTCTCAGAGCTAGCTTCAACAGCCTTGACCCAGGTGGCCATATCAACAGACGCCATTGGATACCCTTGCTCTTCGTAGAAGCTCTTCACAGACCCTACAAGATCTCTCCACTGTGCATGGACTGGGTTCACAATGTGGAAATGGCCAGATATCTCAGACAAAGGGCGGCATGATAGAATGCCTGCAATTTCAAGGACTATCATAGCGACATCTTCGACCGGGACCCAGTCAATTGAATTATTCGCACCAAGGTCTGTAGGCAGCTGGCCAAGGCTTATCGACGAAGAAATGATAGTCGGCAGCCATTCCTGCTTATTCCAGGCTCCCTTTCCGTTGCGAGGACCAGAAATTTGACCGACACGAACCACTGCAGTTGGAACACCGAGCTTGTCTCTTGCCTGCTGTAGAATCAAATCACCAATAAACTTAGATTGACCATATCCCATTGAGGCAAGGCCCATATTGGTAAGAAGAGCTTCGGGAACAGGTCCAGGTTCAGCCCAGCGATCGACAGCGCCCACCGATGACAAGAAAACGATTGGAACACACTTTGTGGCATGGAAAGAGAAGTCTGCCAATCGTTGGACACCGTGAATGCTGGAATCGAACGATTCAACAGAAAGGTTGAAATTGACTGGCCAAGCATTGTGGATGATGCGGTCCACCGATGACAAGAGACGGTCGTAGATGACACCGTTCAGTCCAAACATTTCCTGTGACAGATCTGCGTGTAGAAATTCCGATTTTGGAAATTCAACCTGGAGGCCTCGCTCTCCATTAGACTGAAGTTGCTTCATGCAACCTCCATCGGCGCTTCTATTGAGACAAATGACCTTTGAAACAGAGTCGCTGCCCTCCAGTAGGTCCAGAATATACGAGCCGAGACTTCCAGTCGACCCAGTAAGAATGATTGTCTGTCCGTTGTCTTTGGGTGATGGCTTGTCGGGAATAGTGCCATCGACCGACTCGATACTGTACTTCTTCAAGAGTGAATTTGCCGCTTCCACTCCATCATTGTCATCGGCGATGACTTGGCTTTGAGAAATACGGGCAAACAGATTTCGAGCGAGCCTTCGAAGGGAGGAGTTGCCATAGATAACTCTTGTCGTAACCACACAGCAGTCTTCAGACACCCCAGCATGTTGGAGCTCATTTGCAAGAATTTTACTCAAGTTGATGATTCCAAGCGAGTCGATACCAGCTTCGAAGAAGTCTGCATCGGGCATGATCTCCTCAACGCCAAGCTGTGTGATGATAATGTCATACAGTGATTTCATAAGAGCATCTTCACTTTCAAGTGAAAGCCCCACCGTTCCGGCTGCATCATTGCCCTCATACATCTTCTCGATTTCGTCCTTGTAGAGTTTCAAGAACGCACCTCGCTGAAGAGAGCCCTTGGCAGATGATGGGATAGCTTTTGTGGAGTCTGAAATCTTGACCAAATGTTTGGCAATCTGTCCATGGGCCACTGTCTGTTTATTTACCTGCTCAATGGTAGGCCAGACATTGTCGATAAGGCGGGCCGCAGCATCATCGTTGGAAATTTCATGTGGCTCGAGGAAAATGCCAGCTTGGAATTTACCTTGACCGACGACGACAGCTCGTTTGAGAGCTGGATGAGCGCCAACAATAGATTCGATCGATACGGGATTCAGCTTCTCGCCATTTGAAAATACAATCACGTCATCTGATCTTCCGGAATGCAGCCAAAGATGAGGGAGAGTTGGGTGAGATTTGTATAGATCGTTGGTGTGATACTCATTAAGCTCGGGAAAAGTATAGAAGATGCCTTGCATTCCAGGGTCTTGATCTCGGCGGACTATGACATGCTCGAAGGTGCCATCGCCAGTCGGTCGGTAATCGGAGCCAAAGGTTTCATCATCGAAAACGAAGTATCTCCATAATTTCATATCTGGCTGGAAATAAATTGGGTACAACCCATATCTATTTTGTATCAGCAATGGTATACAATGGATTTCAATCGGGTTGGCCTTCAGGGGTCTCACTCTGTGGTTGAAATGATATTGGCGAGCGTGACTCCGGCCTCCACAAGTCGGTCCCCAGCCTCAACCTCAAGGCCACCACCACCACATGTCACAAATGAAAGCGTAGCTAGTAAATTCATATCATCCTTGTCGTGACTCATGTCTTGTAAAAGGGATGGAGCCAAAACAGCAGCATCGGCTCCGGAATTATTGATAAAAGAGTAGACACTATCCGGGGTCACTGCCTGGTCTGCAATTGGGAGCACCAGCGGAGTGCCCCAGAAGATTGAAAGACTGATGTAATAGTAGAGACCGAGAGCGTGAAAAAATGGCACTGAATCAAGAGATTTTGTTAGGTCATGCATAACGTTTGAGGATGAGAAGAACCCATACTTGTACACAAAACCTTGCTGCCCATCTCCGAAAAGGCCTTCATAATATGAGAATATCCAGTGAATTCAGGTCGTTGATGATATGCATCAGCTAGCGAGAGAATACCATGACGGCAAATAATTGGTTTTGGAGTTCCAGTACTACCACTTGTATGTAGAACGAAAGCCGGCTTTGTGCGAATTTCGTCAAATGGCTTTTGGTAAGGGAAAGACGGGACGTGCTCATCGGAAAGGATATCGCTGATAGAATCGATCAGGCTTGATTTCATCGGGCGAGCACTCAACCAAGACTCTACCACTTTCGTGGCCTCTGGTGAGTGAATTATCCACTGACAATCAGTCGCCTGAAACAGAGACAACTGGCTCTCGATGTTATTGCGGGGGGAGATAAAAAGGGCCTAACTTGTAATAAAAAGTGAGCCTCGGACCCCCAATATTCTCAAAAGCGAGATACTTACCTTGTAACCAGCTTTTATCGACGCAGCCAAAACAATCAAGTATCGTATGTCATTTGGACCGATGTACGCGACCGTGGGATAGTCCCCGTCTTTAGCATGTCCGGCGCGTTCGACGATCCACTTAGCAAAGCGGTTGATGGAATTGGCATATTTCCCGAAGGTCAATTCTTCCCATCCATCTTCTGCGTTTGCAGAACGGGGAAGAAAAACAACGGGCCGAGATGGTTCAGAAGATGCGATTTCATCGATCACGTCGACAAAGTTGCGTCGCCCAAAGGTAGTGGGCGGATGAGTCTTGAGATTCATTGTCGCAGTGGCGAAGATAATTGTAGGATATTTAGCTCGGTTTATATGGGAGGTTGTCGAGCTGAGTATTCTTCTCAAGCTTGGGAGGTTATTGTCGTCTTTATAGCCTCTGCACTGCTGGCTATACTGCCGATCAGCCCAAAAAGAGCTCATGGTTGCATCTCATACTGCAGAGAAATATCGCTCATCGCAAAATCCGCATCGTTGAAGACGGTCGTTCCGAACGAGCGAGGACCGAAAGTCCATGCATTCCTTGGAGCGGGTTCTGAGCGGACTTTAGCGTAAGATTCCCGCAGATCCATAAAGCTTGTTGTACAAACAAGGCCAGGTCAACAAGCCGCCTTGATGTCATGGTTCAAAGTACGATATGGGCAGATTTCAAATAAATTAGGAATCTATGGAGGCTTGTATCTGAATAATTTACTGGTAATGTATTATCCAATAGCGCTAGGAGTATTCATTTCTGATCTAGTGAGCATCGACCCTTGATTCCCACAAGTCCCTACCGAAATTCTCAAAAATCTCGAATATTTTGAGTGATTCTGCTAAGAAGTAACACAGAATCGGGATTTGATGTCAAGACCGACGAATATGTTTAGTGATGACTTTGATTCCAAGTTGTGGTATGTGGAGCTCGAATCTAGCGGGCCCTGAGCGGCCTTCAAGCTCTCAATGATCTGCAGATCCGCAAGGATTATCCATGCTCCATGCAAGGCTACGAGTTACCTACGAACGCCACTTCGGGGCCGAGAAGCGCGAGCTGCATCGGCCTTTCCAGTAGTACCGTGACTCTCAGCAAGAATGACGAGAGACGTTACATGCGGCCATCGGCTTGATTGCCGATTGATCCGACCGAGTGATATAATAGTATATTTTAATATTTGGGCAAGTTGTGTAGCGAACATAAAAAATCTCAAAAATGGTCCAAGAGGCACAATATCAAGTTTTGTAGGTAGCAATTGGGTCGTTAAAGGATATTCAAAGTTTTTAGGGTAGCCATCCGGTTGTATCAAAATTGGATTTATATCGGTGAATACACTGCCAGTGGTAGCTAACCGCAGTGGTTGATGACTTCCAAGGTTCCAAGGTTCAATTTAAGCTTAAAAGATACACTCAAATTTGATATACTTTTATATTGATCTATTCTAAGGGAAAACAAAACAAAACCGAAAATGCTGCCCATGTCGATACTATATAGTAGACTAGGGCATGCCAAGGCCGTTTCATCCGAGGTTGAGGATTCCAAGTGGCAGCCTCGGAATTTAGGCGGAACAGCTGGATCGCGCTTTCCCAATTGGTGGATCATGCAGTACAGTATACCGTGCCCAGTATAAGATATTATCACTGGGGTAGTACTAGTAGGTAGACCGTAGTTACTAGCTACTTTACAATAGAGTCTAAGTCTATAGATGCAATGTATATAATAAATGCAATAAACTTAACTATAGTCAACTATAGCATCTACATATAGTGAACTACGTTCACTATTGCTATAGCCGGGCCCCGACCTCTTCCGACGGCCGGCAAAACGAAAAGCGGATCACGTGCAGGGGCTCACTTCTGGGGCATTGAGGTGACCATTCCCTGGACGATGATTGGCCTCGGTCCGACTGCTCGGCAGCTGGACCACCGCAACCCGGGTTAGTCAGCACCAAACTGCCAACCGTGATCCCGAACAGGAATTCCAGGAAGGAGTCTCCCCAATTTCCATTCCTCTCCGCTCTAAGCTAATCTTCCCCCTTCGGTGTCTCTATATTGTTTGGGTAATTGGAGTTTATCTCTCTTTTGTCCCTTCACAATGAGCTCCATCAGCCTGCGGAGCCTTGCTCCCGCCTCTAAGGTTAGTCCTTCGCGCAATCTTTTCGGCCCGAGTGCGCAATCCAACTTTGAAGACTAACCTTGGCCCATCGTGTACAGGTCTCCCGTGTCTTGAGGGATCAAAGACGTCTCTTCTCCTCCTCGCGCCCCGCTGGTACGCCATTGAACCCCGACCGACCTCTTCCGCTACCTCTGGCATCACAGCTAACACCTTTTTCCCACTCCCATTAGCCCGGATCTTTGCCAACGGACCTCTGCGCGCCCAGGAGAACACCAGCTACCTCGCCGAGAAGTACCCGATCATTGTAAGCCGCCATCGCTACAAGCGCATCAGATTGTATTGCCATTGAAGTAATATCTAACCGGGATCAGGATCACGAGTACGATGCCGTCGTTGTCGGTGCCGGTGGTGCCGGTCTGCGCGCTGCCTTCGGTCTTGCCGAGGCTGGCTTCAAGACTGCCTGTGTCTCCAAGCTGTTCCCTACCAGAAGTCACACTGTCGCCGCCCAGGGTGGTATCAACGCTGCTCTCGGAAAGTACGTCAACCCTACCCAATCGACAACTTAAGCACCGCACGTGCCGAGCTGGAACTAACTGAACATCTATAGCATGCACGAGGATGACTGGAGATGGCACATGTACGATACCGTGAAGGGTTCGGATTGGCTCGGTGACCAGGATGCGATTCACTACATGACCCGCGAGGCTCCCGCCTCCGTCCGCGAGCTGGAGGGCTACGGTTGCCCCTTCTCCCGTACCGAGGATGGCCGTATCTACCAGCGTGCCTTCGGTGGTCAGTCCAAGGACTTCGGTAAGGGTGGCCAGGCCTACCGTTGCTGCGCTGCCGCTGACCGTACCGGTCACGCCCTGCTGCACACTCTCTACGGACAGTCTCTGCGCCACAACACCAACTACTTCATCGAGTACTTCGCCCTCGATCTCTTGATGGAGGACGGCGAGTGCCGCGGTATCATCGCCTACAACCAGGAGGACGGTACCCTGCACCGCTTCAAGGCCCACCAGACCGTTCTGGCCACTGGTGGATACGGACGTGCCTACTTCTCCTGCACCTCCGCCCACACTTGCACTGGTGACGGTATGGCCATGGCTGCCCGTGCTGGTCTGCCCAACCAGGATCTGGAGTTCGTCCAGTTCCACCCTACTGGTATCTACGGTGCTGGCTGCCTGATCACTGAGGGTTCCCGTGGTGAGGGTGGTTACCTGCTCAACTCCGAGGGTGAGCGTTTCATGGAGCGTTACGCTCCTACCGCCAAGGATCTGGCTTCCCGTGACGTCGTGTCTCGTTCCATGACCCTTGAGATCCGCGAGGGTCGTGGTGTCGGTCCCGAGAAGGACCACATCTACCTGCAGCTGAGCCATTTGCCCGCCGAGCTGCTCCACGAGCGTCTGCCCGGTATCTCTGAGACCGCCTCCATTTTCGCTGGTGTCGATGTCACCAAGCAGCCCATCCCCGTTCTGCCCACCGTCCACTACAACATGGGTGGTATCCCCACCAAGTACACCGGTGAGGTTTTGACTGTTGATGAGCAGGGTAAGGACAAGGTTGTCCCTGGTCTGTTCGCTTGCGGTGAAGCCGCCTCCGTCTCCGTCCACGGTGCCAACCGCCTGGGTGCCAACTCTCTGCTTGATCTGATCGTCTTCGGTCGTGCCGTTTCCCACCGTGTCCGCGACATCTCCACCCCGGCAAGCCCCACAAGCCTCTGTCCTCCGACGCCGGTGCCCAGTCCATCAAGGATCTGGACTTTGTCCGCAACGCCGATGGCCCCAAGTCCACCAACGATATCCGCCTGGCCATGCAGAAGGCCATGCAGAGCGATGTCTCTGTCTTCCGTACCCAGGAGTCCCTGGATGATGGTGTCAAGCGTGTCAACGAGATTGACACCTGGTACGACCAGGTCGGCACCAAGGACCGCTCCATGATCTGGAACACCGACCTTGTTGAGACCCTCGAGCTCCGTAACCTGCTGACTTGCGCGTACGTTTTATCCTATATCCCTACCGCATCAATACCCTATGCTAACTTTTCTACAGTACCCAAACCGCCCTGGCCGCCTCCAACCGTAAGGAGTCCCGTGGTGCTCATGCCCGTGAGGACTTCCCCGACCGTGATGACGAGAACTGGATGAAGCACACTCTCACATGGCAGAAGAAGCCCCACGGTGATGTCGAGCTCGGCTACCGTGCTGTTGAGTCTGGTACTCTGGATGAGAACGAGTGCAAGTCCGTTCCTCCCTTCAAGCGTACCTACTAAGCTCTCGTTTTGAGAGGAGTGCGGTCCGTTTGGGGATCGCGCTGGAAGAATACCACGGATTTGTTTCCGATGCTAATTGAGCAACACACCACCCCAGGGTGATCGTGAAAACAGCTCGTGGCGTCGATGGGAGTCCACGAAAAGAGCATGTTTTCTATTTAACTTGTGTTACTTACCATACTGTATAGCCATATTTCTTTTTTTTTGTTATCTGACGGCGAAGAGTCGGTGTACTGAGTGTTTTATTTTCTCAGTTGTCCCATCTCACTGGATTTCTTTTTTGTTCACCTTGGTTCCTCGTAGTAGGCATCGCCTTTATATTATTATTCCTGTATTATCATGTTTAGAATTCCCACGTTCCCAATTCGGAGGGTCGGTGGCGCATAACAAAGGGGTCTTTGTCTTACATGTTCTCACAGCTCCGAGGACGAGGCTCTTTCTCTAGGTCTTCATCGATCTGACATTGCCACAGCAAGCCTACATATCCTTCAGCTGGCCACTGCTATACAGGGATGCAAGTCCACAAAGACAGTTCTCGAACGAACCATTGACCATGATTGGTTTTCTGCCTCTGGACTGCCGGGGTCCACCTGGGCATAGAACAGTCTTAAAGAAGGTGCTTTCTTTGAACGTTTCGAGAACCCAGGGCATTCAAAGTGTCAGCAATATCTCTCGAACCATGGCCAACGCAAGCCCTCGATCCGCCTTCCTTCTTGCACCTTTTCAATATTCCCACCGAGCATAGATCTGCTACGTTTGCAGCGGATTTCATGCGATACCCTCGATGCTCGTTGTTTAGCGTTTCCATAACCGACCTCTTCGTCTTCTCCTAATATGCTGGGCTTGCAGCAAGCAGGCAGAACCTGTACCGACGGCAAACAATGGTATGTCTGTAACGCGGGGCCATATACAGGATGCTGCTCGGTTGACCCATGTTCCGACGGCGTCTGCCCGGACGAAGACTCAATTACCACTACCAAGAAAGTCACAACAACCTCGACATCTAAGTCAACATCGGCAACCCTTTCAACCGCCGAGACTACCACTGCAGTTGAAGAGACGACTTCTTCATCCAGCTCTAAGACAACTTCAGAGGCCTCCTCAGAAGCCACTTCGGTTGCCACTTCTAGCACTGCTAGTATACTATCCACCAGCACAAGCACATCATCTGCAACATATTCAACTACATCCGCAGAATCCGCAGCCACCTTAACATCTGCAGTTAGCGCAAGCCAGACAGCAGTAAGCACGTCGTCCAGCCACCACAGCAATTCTGGCATGATAGGCGGTGTTGTGGGCGCGGCGATCGCCGCAATTCTACTCGCTCTACTTCTCTACTTTTGCATCAAACGACGTCGAGCGAAGGTTAAAATCAAGATGCACCGCTCCGTCTCCACTCAATCCCTTCGAGCTCAAGACCAAACGTCCACTACAAAGAAAAGCCCTTCGTCATCAGCAACGGCATTAGTAGCAACGGCCAAAGAAAGCCCACACTCAGCCGGTAAGCATAAAGCCCTTGCCTCCCAGTCCACTTGGACTCCCCACTTAGAACCAAGCTAAAGAATCAATATCAGCATCCCCAGCCTCAAAGACAGAAACATCAAAATCCAGCCTTGGAAACGAAATTTACCACGACTATCAATCAGGACCGCCCTCAACCCTCTCATCCCTAACCCTCTCAACCCTATCAAACTCCAATGGCCCCCCAACCCCACCCTCAAAATCCAGTACAAGCCTCGCACCGCTCATAATCCCAACCGAATCACCTCAATCCCATCTCCATCATTCTCTAACCCCACACGTCCCCGAACTCTCAGACACAGGCTTCCGCCGCCAAAGAGCAGAACTCCCCGCGCAGCCACAGTCGGAATTAATCAACCAGCAATGGAATAACTTGAATGCGAATTCGTCGCTTGTTTCCGACCAGTACCCGCACGGGGGTTTGAGGAAAGTAGGAATTTCGGAGTATACAGGAAGATCCTTCCACACACGGGATGGGGTACAAAATTCCGGAACGGACCTAATATCACGAAATACAGCACGGAAAATCGTGACGCGGGACGGCGTCGTTATGGGTGCGAATTTAGATCGAATGTCAAGTATTGACGAAGTTGATGTTGAGACACCATCTCCAACTCCGACTGCGACCCCGCTTAGTCCAAGGACGAAATTTAGCGGGAGATATAAGAAGTCCAGTCGCAGTGGTACCCCTGTTAAAAGCGCAAGCGCAAGCTCAGGTCTGGGCTCTAGTGCGGGTACTCCGAATCAACATGTTATGAGCTTTATGGAGTACGATGCGCCTTCTGAGATGCTTGAGCTTAGGGGTGGAGGGGGAGACTGGAGGTACACCCGGCCTTGAAAGGATTGGGATTGGGGTTGAGCGTAGGTAGCTCGGATTCGGAGTCTGGTCGTAGAAACGTGAAGGCTCAAGCTGAGAGAGATGCGTCGGGGGCTTTGGACGTGCGGAACCGTGGTGTGGAGATGGATGTGCTTAGTGAAGGGCAGGTTGGGAGTAAAATTTCGGGGGTTAGTGAGATATTGCCTGCTTATGAGTCTGGAGGATTTTTTGAAATTCAGGATCGTCGTGGGTCTTCTGGGTGGAAGAAGATCAAGGAGGATGATGGTTGATGGGTTATACTTTCAAGGTTTATTAGTAGGCTTGCTTTCTCTGCATCGGCTGGCTATCCGACCATCGACTTCATTTATTCTAATTTTTTTGTTGAGTTTATTGGGAGAGAAGAACTTGAAGGGTTAACTATAATCAAATTGTATCGAGAAGTCTACTATACCCATGACTCATTTCTACTAACGTGATATTTAGCCTTCTTCAAAAGAATACCCTATTATACGTACTGCCATACGTGCTATAGTATACTAAAGACTCGGACACACATAATCTTCAAATCATATCTCATTTTGTCTAACCGAAATACAATACCACAAGGTATCAAATCCGCAATGCTAATCTTTTCATCATATACTTTTATGCCAAGTTAAACCCGCACACTCCGCCAGACCCAATCAATCCAAACCATTCATCCAAATCCCAAAGTTGAAAATCAAAGCAACTTGCGCAGAACATCAGTCTGCTCCAGAACAGCACGCTTGCTAGTACCACCAATAGCATCCTTAAGCTCAACAGCACGCTCATAGTCCATGCAAGTCGTAACATCGTCGCCGAAGCGAGCATCAACAGCCTTAAGCTGCTCCAACGAGAGCTTGTCCATGGGGATACCAGTGTTCTCGGCGAGCGCAACGACACGGCCGGAGATGTGGTGACCCTCGCGGAAGGGGACGCCCTTGCGGACGAGGTAGTCGGCGATCTCGGTGGCCAGCATCTCAGGGGCCAGGGCGGCGGTCATCTTCTCCGGGATGGTGGTGAGGGTGGACAGGACGCCAGTGGCGATTTGGATGCTGTCGCTGACAGTCTTGATGTGGTCGAGCAGGGGCTCGATGCTCTCTTGCAGATCCTTGTTGTAGGTGGTGGGCAGGCCCTTGATGGTCATCATCAGACCGGCCATTTGGCCGAAGGCACGGCCGGACTTGCCGCGGAGCAATTCCAGGGAGTCTAAAGAGGGAGTAGAATTAGTATATGGACATGGTCTTAATTTAGCAGGTGAAGGTGTGTAATGACTGAAACTCACCGGCGTTCTTCTTCTGGGGCATCAGCGAGGAACCAGTCGAGTACGCATCAGACAGGCGGACGAAACCGAATTCCAGACTGCTGTAGATAATCAAATCCTCAGCCCATCGGGAGATTTTCAGCATGAAAGAGCTACCCCACTGCATAGTCTCCATAGCGAAGTCACGGTCACCGACGGTGTTCATGGAGTTGTACAGCAGATCATCAAAGCCAAGCTCCTTAGCCATAGCGTGACGGTCAATCTGGAACGGGTTTCCAGCGAGAGCACCGCAGCCGAGAGGGCTACGGTTAACGCGAGCAATAACCTCACGCAGACGCTGCAGCTCACTAGCGAAGGCAGTGGCGTGCGAAAGCATCCAGTGGGACCAACGGACGGGCTGGGCCTTCTGGAGGTGAGTGTAGCCGGGCATGAGGATGTCAATTTCCTTCTCGGAGCGGGCGACAGAGACCTTGATCAGGTCGCAGAGGTGGGAGTCGAGAATGCGCAGCTCATCGCGCAGCCAGAGACGCATATCGGTAGCGACCTGCTCATTGCGCGAGCGGCCAGTGTGCAGCTTGCCGCCGATCTCCTTGCCAATGATCTCGCTGAGTCGGCGCTCGTTGGCGGTGTGAATGTCCTCGTCGTTCTCCTTGGCTTCGAAGGTGTTGGTGCTCCATTCCTGGGCAATTTGCACGAAACCGCGCTCGATCTCGGCGAACTCTTGCGCGGTCAGGATGCCGTTGTTCATGTTGGCGCGGGCGAAGGCAATTGAGCCGGCAATGTCTTGCTTCCACATGATGCGGTCAAAGGGCAGGGACATGTTGTACTGCATCATGAGGGGGTCGATGCCCTCTGCGATTTGAATATTTTGGTTAGCATGTTATGAGTCAATGCGGTGTGAATTGATCGGGGATGTAATGCGCGAAATGGGGGAAAGGCAGGGTCAGTAGCAGAGTCGAATGAAGCTTACCGGTGAAACGACCTCCCCACAGCATGTTCTCGGCGACTCCTTTGGGATTGCTCATTTTGGCGGGTATCTTTCTGTGAAGTGATGAAGGAGAAAGTGGGATGTTGAGGGCAAATGGCGGAGGCGGAGAGCGGGCGATTGGAGTGAATCATTGGGTCGCCGGTAGTCGGACACTAGCCCTAATTGGGATGAGTGGGACTGGGGGTGTATACGAGTATACCAGTTAGTATTCTTATTTACAGTTATGTCGAAGAGAATAGAGGGAATTTATGAATCGATCTATTTATCTATTGTTGCGAGTAGATATCGTATCAGTCTTCAAGTTGTTAGGTGCATTGACCCGACGGGACTGCATACATACTTCAGTCCTTATCATTTTACGTTTACTCAAGGTAAGGTGGAAGCCAACTTCCCTATCCGTTAAGGTCTTGGAATGGGATGTGAGAATTCAAGACTCTACTAGTAGTTTACCAAGTATATAAAAGAAATAACTGGAAGATGAACAGTGAATTGAAAGATCCAATGCTGGTATGTACAGGTCGTGCGTATATGGATTCGAAAGAATGGCCCCCAACGGACCGGACGGCGAAAGAAAGCCTCAAGACGCCCGACGACCGAAAATCAAAGATGCCCAGAAACCGAAGGGAGGTGTTGTCAACAGGGAGCCCAGAAGCGAGTGCAGTGGCTATGGAGAGCGGGGGTGTAAAGAAAGGGAGAAACAAGAGGGAGATAGAGCGAGAGAGATATAGGAAGACAAGAGATGGAGAGAAGAGTCATTAAGATACCCAAGGCCGAACGAACGCCCCACGAAAGCGAAAACAAGAGAGTCTCATCCATTCATGGCTGCGCCGGGACTGGAATCGCGGGGGGTGGGTTCGCAGAACCCGTTCATGGCGGAAAAGGAAAAGATTGCAGAGAGAAAGGAGAAAAGAAAGAAGAAAGATGGGCCAAGCTATCAGCTAACTTGGCGATAGCCGCTGTTTCTCCATTCAGTCTGCTTCCAGTCGTTCTGGAAGTTCTGTGCATCTGTGCGTTCGTTGGTGTAGCGAGCGTCGTCGAGAGCGTATTCGAGACGGCCCTTACGGCGCTGGCGGAGGCACCAGAGCATAAATCCTGCAATGAGAAGAACACCGGCCGCCGAGGCACCGACATACACGCCGACGTGGGCACCAGTACCGAGATCGTCCCACTTCTCGGACAGGGACTTCTTGGGAGGCTTGTTCAGCTCGTCCAGGGTAGTCGAGTTGCCATCGGCCACCTTGATGCTTTGCCAGTCGCCAGTCTTGTCGCCGTAGGTATATTCCTTGCCAGTGTGGAAGTCCTTGATGCGCATCTTCTGAAGGGTCATGGTGAAGGGGGCATCGTCGTAGTTGACCAGACCACCGGCCCAGTCGACAGTTCCTGGGCGGCTTCTTTGGTACCGGCGGGCCAGACGCTAACCTTGACCCGGCAGGGGGTCTCGGGGTAGTTCTTGCCGCCGAGAGTGCCCTTATCATCGAATTTCAGGGTGCGGACGATCTCATTGTCGATATACCACTCTAACTTTTCCTGGTCCCAGTAGGTGGTGTAGTTGTGGAATTCGGTGTCGGCGTTGGCGACATTGCTGAAGCCACCCCGGTCGAAGGTAGAGTCGTTACCTTTACCAAAGAAGTTGGTCTGCACAGAGGAGGTGTTGTAGCCGACCCATTCCCAATCAATCTCGTCCAGATCATCGGACTCCAGGACAACACTGCTAATGATGCCGGGACCCTTGGCCATCTTGACCCAAGATTCGACAACGCCGAAGAAGATGTAAAAGTTGGATTGCAGAAGAGTGGACTCCTTGGCGGCCTCGAGGGTAAATTCAGCGCCATCATCGACGTAGTTGATTGAGCCGGTGCTCATGTTCCAAATAGCAGTGTCAAGGGTTTCGTTGAAGTACCAGGTGTGTTCGGTGCCGAGGGCCGAGTCCGCTGGACAGCCGTCCTTCTTTGTGGGATCGCACGCGCTGAAAGTTTGGGCGGCGGCCGATCCGGCCAGGGCCGCGAGAGCGGCGAGGTTGAAAGCCTTCATAGTGATGTCCCTAGTTCGTCGTTTTGGTGAATCAATTGGTCTCGCGTTTGGTGTTTGTTTGTATAGTTTTCCTTGTGTTGTGTGTTTTTGTCTCTCCGTCGATTCCCGAAAGAATACAGCACAGGCAATCCGATAGCAATGAATGGATACGAGGACGAGCCTCGATAGATCCTACAGGGTATTACCTGCAGGTATAATGAATGGATGGGCGAAAAGTCGCACCGGGTAAGGATTGGAAGGAAAGCCTGCGGTATAATTTGGGGAAAGAGAGGATGGAAGAAAGAAGGTCTCGAAGGCCGTCGGGGGGGAATCACGCCAGGGACCAGGGACCCAGGGACCTGCATCCACCACATCCACCGCGCCACCCAGTGGAGGACCCTAAACTAGCCCTTAGTGCAGGGCCCTTTTTGACTTTGAAAGCTGGGCAGGTGGCCGCAGTGGACGGTGTAAGGGGAAATCTGCACGGCGATTGTTTGTGACTAGCCCCAAATGAGAGACAGTGGGTCTTTGTGGTACATCCCCTAAACCATAAGCGGGAATAGCTTCAGCTGGGCAGCAGCCCCGTGCCTGGGCCTAAACCGAATATGTCGATGGCGGCCGGACCCGTTTCTGCACAACCATTGGAACTGGAGCTGGGAACTCTGGGGATTCATTGGGCCGTGATAAGGGATCAGGGATCAGCATGGTCAACTGCCGGAGTGGCACGAACTTGATTTGATGAGTCGAAGTGTGTTGGAGGGTGGGATTGGTTGAGAGAGTGGAAGGATGGAGGTGGAAGATGAGAAGTGGGAAGTGGGAAGTGGGTGGTGGGTGTGTGTGTTGTGCTCTGCTCGTGTGATCGGCCAATCTAGATTTTCCCCCTTTCAACTACTGCTGCATCTGCCCTGCACTACACTGCAATACACACAAAGATCACTATCTCCCTCCCTCCGTAAATATTTTCCATCTTATTTCTTCTTTTATTTTCCGGTTTTGATCGCCCCGCCAGTCTCCAGTCTCCAGTCTCATTTCCTGCTGGATCCCGCGGGTCCCTTCACTGTGGGTTTCCGGTGGGGATGGGTTCACTTGAGGTTTTCCCCTGAATTTTGGTCATGATCATCATAAAGATGGCTTTTCATTTTTAGAATCATATCTAATCATTTTACCAGAACCTACCTACCCATTGATTCCTGGGTATCTACTTGCGATGCTCCGTCCATTGGGTACGGAGTACTCCATAGAATGCTCCTACATATGCCCTTCTCCTTTCCATTGCCCACACAAATGATGCTTTGTGGCGTCGACCGTTACGTCTACCCTCTGACCACAATTAGTAAATCCCTCGAGGCCAAGTATTTCCAAGTATTTGTGGAGGTTTGGCTGTGTCACTTGCACGCGTCGCACTCAGGGGGTACAGCTGCAGCTGCAGCTGCAGCTGCGGACAAGTTGGCATTGCTTGGCCCGACCAAATTGCGTACTTACATATAGTCCTATCTCTCCTCGTTCCCCAAATCACAGCAGTGATGTTCATCGTAGCTCGAGGTGAGATTGATTCACTCGAGGTCCCTTCAAAGACAGTGACGTGTGGGCTCTTCCTCGTAGCGGCCCCGGGTGGTGGGCTACGCGGAATCCATCGTGACTATTGACTTAGCGTACGATGTGGCGTCCCAAGGGCCTTTTCTAAAAAAAGGAATATCAAATCATTCATTATCGTAATCGTGCACTCATAATTCACTGCATAAACATGGCCATCAGGGTCGTATTTCATCCAAAATCATCATCGCCATGGCAGTCATATCCGCATATCCGCAATCCGAAACGACTTCACCATTGCATCAGCATCTCGCCAATCCGATCCAATTCAATCCAAGAGATCACTCAACCATTGGCCTGGGCCCCTTTTACTCTGTCACATAAATCTTCGCCGGTCGCCGCACGTCATCGGTATAGTACTCATCGCGATGCCGTCTCGACGAGCTGCGTCTCGGCTTCTCGATATAATCCACTCGAGGCTCGCGACTGCGGCGTCTGCGACCCGATCGAGTCACTGGAGGCCGATATCCGACATCGGGCTCGCGTCCTCCACTGAAGGCTCCGGGTAGACTGAAAAGTCGCCACAACCAAAGGACTAGCAGCGTTCCTGCGATCGAGCCGATGACGATGCCGGCGATGGCGCCACCAGATATGGTACTGGGGCAGCCATCGGGAGCGCGAGAAGCGAGGTGATTAACGGGGGCCTAAGAGTGGTCAGCGATTGAAATAGAGAGCGATGCGATTGGGGGATTGAATGTGAAAGAAGGTGAGATGTTGAATGTTGGCATTGGAAATGGAAATGGATATTGGATATTGGTGAGCCGTGGTTGGGCCGGCGGGCCGACGACGTACCATTGGAACTACCCCACGGTTTGTAGTTATAGATTATTGATTTGGATCACAGATCCGGTCTCGGGATTTAAATTGAAATCGATTAAGCAAGTCAACAATTAACTTGATGAGGCTGATGGAGGATGAGGTGGATTGAGTTGCAGATGTCGTTTATGGTGTGGCTGGGAACCGCCAGCGAGGGGAGAAGAAAAGAAAAACCAAGAAAAACTGAATGAGCCTCAGAAACAGCAGCAGCTTTATAAAGAGGGAAATACATTGCTAACGGCTCATAATTGCACAATCCAGTACAAACTAAACCTTTTAAGACTGATACTAACTACTCCAGTCCATATTGTACTGTTGAACTCCCCGCTGACGTCAAACCCAGCCCCCCCCCCCCCTTCAGCGCAACAAACCTGCATTTCCTGCATTTTCTCGCCCCCGATTGTCGACCATTGGCTGTTCCAGCTTTCTTCTCGATTGAACTTTGCTTTCCCGTCTCCGCTTTTGATTTGAATGGACCGAGGCGCAAACGAAGATAGACCTGCATTACTGTACAGGTGGGGCTAGGTCATGACGCGCGGGCATCATGCCACGATGCATGGAAATTCCATCCTACAGTACATATGTATCTCAAAGGGAAAAATTCCATTGAATTCTATACCACTGTCGCTATATTCTATTTACTCAACTGCATATGTCCCGGTGAAGGAGGGACCTCGCCCGTCTCCCACTCTGTCGCCTCTTTCCCGAGCTGAAACTCAATCGTCCCTCCATTAACCATCACATCCTCATGCTCGAACCAGTTCTTTGTCCACGATTTCCCATTGATCTGCACCCCCTGCACGAAATACCCCTCATCCAGTCCGGTCGCTTTAATCCGCAGGGTCTTGTCGCCGTTGATCGTCATATTCAAGTCTGGGAACCATGGCGACGATAGCAGGTAGACTGGTTGAGTGACGATCGGATAAATTCCCAACATCTGCCACAACAACCAGGAGTTCATAGCTCCGGCGTCGCTATTCCCAGGGATTCCATATGCTGCATCTTTAAAACTGTCATTTTGCATTATGTTAGTAACAGGTATCTCTTTGTCTGGCATTCAGGTTAGATCCTTGCAGGGATGCGATGCAAACATACTATTGGTTGGCGAGGCTGCGGGATTGCATCACGCTCTTGGCCTGTTTGTTGATGTAGTTGTACAGGTATGGTGTGGCGAAGTCCGGCTCATTACTTGATGCGGTTGCTGCATTAGCATCGATATTGTCTCAAGCTACAGTCGTGTTGCTCGTTTGTCAACAGCTGCGGTCCAACTCACCCGATATTGATCAGCGTTGTGATGCCAGCGCCATTGGCCCCGAGATCCTGGACAGATGTGTTGGGTTTAAACTATTTCAAGTTAGAATCATGACAAGCAATTATCTTTCATCCTACTCAGATGACAGGTAAATACTCACCATCATGTCCAGTCGCTTCTCGAAGGTCTCGTCCCCACCCATCAACTTGACCAGCGTCTTCACATCATGCGGGATCACAAACGAATATTCTGCCACTCTCATTAGCATAACCGAACAATCTTGCAAAAGAAAAAGCAAAATCCAAATCCAACTCGAACAACTCACCCCACGGAATCCCCTCATAGCTCACATCTTTCCACTCACACCCACCACACAAAAGCGGATCAAACGAACTATTAAACCTCCCATCCGCCAACCTAGGCGCCAAAAACCCCTCAAACCCAAGACTCTGAACCTTCTCATCCCAGATATTCTGCCATCCCGTGGAACGATTCAAATACTTCTCTACATCCGCAGGACTCTCGCCCTTGGCCACCTGCGCCACTGCAAAATCATTGAGACTATACTCGACCGTTCGCGATATACACCGCGTGTTCCGGTCATACGAGACATAGCCCAGTTCTTTCCAGTCGTCCAGCGCCCCGCGCCCTTCTTTCGTGCTTGCTGTGAAGTCGGTCGGGTCGAAGGTATTGTACGGTGTTACTTCTGCGTCTTTTACCATCGCCGCGTAGCCCTCGGTCCAATTAATTCCTCCTCGTAGACCTTTCACGTATGCGTCTGCGAGAACGTTGTCTGCATCTGACCCGCCTTGTACGAGTCCGTTCCAGTTTCCTGAGCGGCCGTCTGGCATGAATCCTGCGTGTCTGGCGGATCGATCCTTTGGTTAGCTTGATGCTGGCTATCTGATTGATTGATTGATTGGTTGGGCGGCAGGCTGTTCAACTCACTTCCAGATATCAATCAAGCTACGAATCATAGATTCGTAATACTTTGGTTGGAAAATATGATAAAAGCTGACAGTACAGCGGAAAATATCCCCTAATAATATCCCTGTCAGATGGGTGAAACAAAATGCAGGTGCCGCATGGCATAACATAGCATAGAAGGATCGCCAAAAACTCACACATCGTATAAAAGTCGTCCCAGTATGGCTCATCGGAATCCCAGAGGGGATGCTCACCGGTTCGGTCCGACGGCATCAAGTGCATGAAGTATAGGGAGCTGTAGAGGAGTCTGACGTGGGTCATATTTGCCGAGCCATCGATTGGAATCTGGATCTTGTTGAAAACGTCCTGGTTCCATTCATCGACAGCATCGTTGACGGTGTCATTCAGCTTCCAGGATGGAATTTCCTTTTTGACATATGACCTAGCTCTGTCAATGGACATGGATGAAATACCTACGCGTGAGGTAATGTGCGAGGCGGGGCCATCATTCCAGCTGAGAAGCACGCCGATGCGATTGTTCATCGGTCCGGAGGTGACCTTGTCAGTTTGGTTACCGAACTCGGGCTCGCTGATCCCTCCGTTTGCGAGATTCTGATAACGGGGCATGGGGTCGGTGTTTGGTCCGGAGAAAGTCTGCGCCTGTTGGGGGCGCTGGTTGAACTCTCCGTAGAAGTAGACTGTAAATGGTGCGCCTGTTTTTTTGTACGGTTAGCTAGGGATACAGATATATGACTTCAGCCATGCTGAGAGCGAACCGTTATTCCAGCCACCGACATATGTCCCATATCCACTGTAAGACTGGTCATCTTCTTGAATCTGGATCTCACCCCCAGCGAATAATTGGCCGCCGGTATCGCCGGGGGAGGCAGGTAGGTACTATTCAATCATAAGCGGGAATCCTCGCTAAGGACACAGAAAAATAGTCTCACGTGTGATAAGTCAAACAAAATGTGTTTCTCTCCTTTGGGAAACGAATACTCCATAATGCCAGCATGGCGCGACGCAGAGAGTTCAACCTCAACACCACTCTTCAATCGCGTTTTGTAGTATCCCACACTTGCGATATCTTTCCCAATCTATAATAATTAAATCTCCAGTTAGCCGTCACTCATTGTACGCTCCCTCAGTGCAGTATTTAAGGAAACCAAGGAACTTTGGAAGCAAAAGGACTCACCCTTGGCTGACTATAAGTCATATTATCCAAAACATTAACATCCTCCAACGAGGCCAGCGGCATTTGGGCAATCAACCCATACTTCGGCGCACCTCCCGTTCCACTCTCATGCATCATACTAAACCCCGTAACATTGCCATCGGGAGTCCATCCACCATTCAACACAGCAGTAGACCAATTAGCCGCCGTGGAATCGATGCCCACTTTAGCGACGCCGAATGGGCGCGCCCCGCCAACGAAGATGTCACCACCACCGAATCCAGTTCCATCGGGACCTTCAGATCCAATGAACGGGTTCACGTATTGTGAGAGGCCCGGTTTAAATTTTGAGTCTTGTAGGCTTATCACCGGGGTGACGCTCTGCAATAAACTCGCCAGGGCGAGCGTTGAGCGGAAATGCATTGTTTGGAATTGTCCTCTTTTGGATATGTGAGGGGTCGAACGTGGGATATAAGTCGAATCTTCGGTAAAAGGTAGGTCATTCCCATCGACAGAAGGGTCTGCACAGTACGAATAAAAAGAAAGAAGCGAGGGTCGTGCTGTGTCTTATACATTCCAGACGATCCCCATCTCCATTCCGATTCCCAGCCCCAGCCCCAGCCCCAGCTTAGCCCAGACCTGTGCTGTCCGCAGTGTAACCCCCAATTCCCAAAGCCGAGAACTCCGGGCTTGAATTGGATGTCGGGTTTATCATTGCCTTGCTAGGAAGATCTACTATAGAGGTGGATTTGTGGAAAAGCTTACCCCGCTTCGATGTCCGACTCATCGAGGCATGTACTAGGCATAAAGCGTAGGTTTCAGAGGCGGTCAGTGGTGCTGTGACATATTGATCAGCAGTTGGGAAATGTAACGCTTGATGGGCTTTGGAGTAGCATGATCACCTGCGGGCAGGCTTGGTGGGGATAGCAGTGGGGTGGTGGAACTTGAAGCTTGAGGGATGATCAGTGCGGAGAAAATGCAAGTGCCAGGGAGACAAGCCCTTGGGCAATCGGGTGAAAAAGTGCCGACGGTGCCACTGAGTCACACCTAACTGCACCTTCAGGTTCATGAGCCATATTTGAAAAGCAATATAATCCCCTTGTCTATAAAAGAAAAAACGAAGAAACCCTGAAAGGTGCCAGTGCCACTGGTACTTGTGGCGTGGGGTTTTGCAACCTTAGAAGTTACTACTACCTAGGAGTACTGTATATTTCAAGCAACCCTTGGACTCTCGGGCGAGTTCCAACTTCCACAAGTTGAAAGTTGAGTCGTCTTACAACTGGGTATAATATTTAACAAGAAAGACTGCCTTCAACACCTCCTGGTAACTGACTTCACATAAGCTTATCCCGAGTCTGCTCTGCTGTGGATATTCTTTTGAGGCATATAGGCCTCAGGCATTCAGATCGCCTTCGTTGCCGCCTTCTCTCTTGAATAGCTAGCCATCCCATGGGTTGGAACTTCTATCACATCTATAGTCTCTCAGATCTGAATTAGATGGATCGGGGCATTCCTGGTGCCTTTAATCAACAGTTTTACTGCCTTTCTGGCTGCGGATAACTCTATACTAGGACTATCGTACACCTAGACAGGGGTTCACTATCAATTGGCCAGCATTGATTTGATTTTTTTATAGTAATTTGGTATATTTGGCATTTCGGTGGCCATAAAACGGGGTTTTGGAATAATACCTGTGGTATTTCAACCTCCCACGGTGGTTTGTGGGGATACCCCGTATTTCGGACGCGCCCCCCGAGCCGTGTGGTTTAAGTTTTCGAGATCCAACCGAGTTAGCTCACAACCAACGAGGTTATTAAGCGCTGTAGACAGTGGTCCAGACACACTTTATAATCCAATTGCCCACAAGTCATCATCGCAGACGCAGAATCTCCTCTATCTTTTTCTTTTGCGCTCTATTGCTCACTATGAAGAACCCCTTCGCCCGGTCCTCACGGAATGGCGATGATGGCCCATCAGAAATATATGGATATCGTATCTACATGGTCGCATTATCCGCAACTTGGGTAGGGATTTTGAAAATTCAAAGGTCCGAGTATTAGGCCACTAATATGAGTTTCTCATAGGCGTCCGCAATGTATGGCTATGACTCTGCTTTCATTGGAGGAACACTAGAGCTACCGGCCTTCAAAAACTCTTTCGGTCTCAATGAGAGCGACTCGACCTCTCTTTCATCCAATGTTGTGTCCATGTTCCAAGCGGGTGCGTTCTTTGGTGCCATCTGCGGGTTCTTCTTCGCCGAGTATTTCGGTCGCAAGCCTGTCATTCTGGGCTCGGGTGTTATTTTTGCTATCGGTGCCGCTATTCAACTGATTGGAAAGATATCGGCACTTTATGTTGGTCGAATTTTCACAGGGCTGGGAATAGGGTAATACTCTCTGCGGTTTGTCATGTTCAAGTTCGTGACTGAAACTAACCCCTTGGAAATCTTTCGACCAGCGCATCGTCCACCATCATCCCTATTTATATTGCTGAATGTTCCCCTGCTCTAATTCGCGGGCGCTTAGTTGGAATTTTTGAGATCATGCTACAGATCGCACTCGTTTTTGGATTCTGGGTCAATTATGGCGTCAACAAGAACATTTCGAGCACAAGCGCAACACAATGGAGAATTCCAGTAGGTATACAGCTAGTCCCGGCCGGCCTACTATTAATATGCATGACATGGATGATCGAAAGCCCGCGCTGGCTTGCCAGCAAGAATCAAAACGTCAAAGCCCAAAAGAATCTGGCCTGGGTCCGTCATCTCTCAGTGGACCACCCCTATGTGGTCAATGAGTTGGCTGAGATACAAACTGCAGTCAGTCAAGAACTTGAGCTTAGCGGAGAACAACGTACTTTGCTCCAAATCGTGCATGAATGTGCTGCACCTGGTGTTCGCAACCGAATCGTTATTGCAGTTATGTTGATGCTTCTGCAAAACCTTACTGGGTATGCATTGTGCCTATCTATTCCTTTTGAACAGATTCTAACATTTGCTCTAGAATCAATGCTATCAACTACTATAGTCCTATTATTTTTCGCTCAGTAAGATATCGAGCCTCATCAGCCAATCCACCGTTCTCGTTCTTATGAAAATGGCGCTAACTCTCATATCAATGCTAGATTGGATTCACCGGGACTTCTGTGGGACTGCTAGCCACTGGGGTCTATGGGCTAGTGAAGATGGCCACGACAGCTGTTTTCATGATTTGGATTGTAGATCGTTTTGGGCGTCGTGGGCCTTTGCTTGTGGGTGCAGTTGGCGCTGGCGTGGCCATGTTCTACTTGGCCATTTATTCCCAAGTCAGCGATTCTTTCGACCGCATCCCTCCTAGCGATTCCGGTTCCCAGGCTGCGGTTGCAATGATCTACATTTATGCAATCTTCTACGGGTTTTCTTGGAATGGCATTCCCTGGATCTTTGCATCGGAAGTCCTTCCCACTCGTGTGCGGACCATTGGCATGATGTGTGCTGTGTGCATGCAATGGTTAGCCCAGTTCATTATTGTCTATTCGCTACCCTACATGGTGGCTTCTATCAAGTACGGTACGTTCTATTTCTTCGGATCATGCACCGTTGTTGCTTTGATATTTGCATACCTATTTGTTCCTGAAACAAAGGGGGTACCTTTGGAGGATATGGGCGTTTTGTTCGGACCAAATGTTAGTATCTTGGCCGTCAAAGCCCAAGAAAATTACCAGGAATTCCGACGATCGACGACAATGGCAGCTACAGAGGCCCAACAGGAGAAACAGAGTGGCCTCCATATGGAGAATGCGTGAATTGATTGGAGACTTTCCAAATTCGGGTTGAAACGTACGATAAGACAAGGCAAAGCTCGCAGGAGACACAGACCGGAGCCACAATAATACTAGCAGGCTATAACTAGCGGTATGCATTTGATATTGGATTATAATGAGATGGTTCTACCTGAGCTGTGGTTGATTAAATCGTTCCTTAACTCCCATAATTTGACATAACTTCATTCGGACAAGGTTTTTGATCGTATTCAAACCTTTTTGTGGCGAACCCCTCCAGTCCCACCCGTAGAACGAGCAGGAGAAAGCCATCGTCGAAGTGAAATTTTACAGACCTAGCTATTCCAGTTTGCCTTTTGCCACTCACAGATTGCCCAACGAAATATTCACAACTTGGAAACCTAGACCGCAGCCACTCGGACCAGCCCGAAACCCCCGCATCTTGTTTCAACCCTGTTTCGGACCATGGCCCGAAATTCCTACATCATGCACTCCAGAGGATCTCAGCCACCTAAACCTTGCGGCTAAAGGAATAAAAAAACAGCTTTAACCAATGTGGACTGATTTATAAATGTGTGGTTAAAAAGAATCGAAGTCTTGTTGCAAAACAGAACACAATTTTCTTCGCAGTTGAAGTCGCCTGAAGTGCGAAATTTAGCTGCCATGTCTCAACCGCTGCCTCCTCAAGATCCAATCCCAAATCGCCTACGAGATTTGGTTGCTCTCATCACTGGAGCCGCGGGGAATATCGGCCTGGAATCTGCTCGTCGGTATCTTCTTGAAGGTGCAAAAGTCGTGCTGGTAGACATCAATCCGCAGAGACTGGCCCAGTCAAAGGAGGAGCTGATTGGTGCGATCAGATATTTACCTGATGGGAAGGATTTGGATCCAGATGATTTGATCCTCACTGTTCAGGCGGACGTTACTGCCGAGGAGGATGTCCAGCGATATGTTGACGAAAGCACTCGGAAATTCGGCAAGATCGATGTTGCACTACTCTGCGCGGGCATCTCATATTCGTCAACTAGTATTCTGGAAACAGATGTCAGCCAGTATGACAAGGTTATGCAAGTGAATTGTCGATCCGGTTAGTGTTTATTTGTCAAATACTCATAGCTATGGATAATCAGTCACTAACACGGAGTATTTAGCTTTCCTAGGCGTGAAGCACTGTGGTCAAGCCATGAAAGACTCCGGGAAAGGAGGGAGCATTGTCTTGATCTCTTCAATCGCCGGTCTCCGTGCGACACCTGGCCTGTCAGCATATTCCACTTCTAAGTTCGCTCTACGAGGCCTCTGTATCACTGCCGCCGCTGAACTTGGCCAGCACAATATTCGTGTCAATACGGTCCATCCATGTGGTGTCAATACACCCATGTTTCTGGCCGCCTGGCCCGAGGAAAAGATGAAGAGTATGCTAGCAACTGTTCCTCTTGGTAGATGGGCAGAGGTGGCGGATGTTGCGGCCCTATTGGCATTTTTGGGAAGCGCGGACTCTCGGTTCATGACTGGTGGAGCTCTCAAGGTAGATGGAGGCATTGTGATGTGCTAGAAGAATGAATAAATTTGAAAGACTGAAGACCCTTTCTTTTATGGCGCTACATAAGCGCAGGGTAGTCAGTAGTTGTATATATGTACTCGTATAGCGGTATTTTACGGTGACACCGCAAAATCCAAGCCCTTGTTGACTGGACTGGCCTCCGCCTTCTAATGGCAGACTAGTAGCTACCTGAGATGGAATAGATCTGAGATGGAATAGATAATCTTCAATATTCAGTTCTAAAGTACAGAACAGGATGTTTGGGGTTGAGCCTCGTACATCGAACCAACGCCTGTAATTTTTTTTTCGTGGAACAGACTCTTTGTACATAGCTCTCTTACTCTATCTTTCTTCACCACACACATCACACTATTCTTCATTTCCTTTATCCCTGAATCCCACGTATAATATCATTATTGATACTACAGGTCTCGAAGCTATGCATATTTCTCCAAGGCTGTCGATAATTTTCGCAGAGACTCCACTGCTCGCTGTACATTTTCATTCGGCCGGGGCGATTCATTTTCTCTCATTCTCCAGTCAAAGATTTCCAACGACACGACACCCTTCCAGCCTTTTCTTTTCAGCCATGCGTGAGAAATAGCTGTGACAGGAAGGTACGCCCCTAGCTCCTCTTCAAGCGGAAATGGCCGCATGTTTCGCGACCAACATATAGATGGGAGTAGATCTTCCGAATAGAAACGATGTTCTGACGTTAATGGAGGCAGGAATATCTCGCCGTCTGAGAGCTGCATATAGAATATCTTATCCAGTGGGCATGTTTCAACGAATAGATCAAGGGACTTTTGCAAAGCTGAATCTGCATCTTCACGCATACCACTCTTGACCGTGACATCCCCCCACACTCGAGCAGCCACGTGAAAACTGTCGAGACAAAGTCCAAAATTGACTCGGTCCACATCCTGGACCATACGGAGCGATTCCTCCCAAGTGTCGATATAGGTACCCCAGGCCACAGCTTCGTAGGCGATGCTGACAGAGTATGAAGCTGCCAAGGCGCTTAGTTCACGTAAGTCGGCCACCATGCGTGACCAGTCCCCGGAACTGTTTGCAGTGTCGAACTGGGATGGCACTTGCAAGTACTTTGCTCCCAAGCACGCCGCAATCTCGATCCAGTTTCGCGCAGACTCGAGTCGATCTTCTAGAGGCGAATGATAACCCTCGAAATTCTTGAAAGGGTTTAACGATAACACCGCCAAGTTTTCAGACGAGCATAATTTTGCAATGATCTGTGCAGCGTCACGTATGCTCAATGGTGGTTCTTGGGAGAGCGCATAGTCTTCGAGTTCCTTGTGGATGATTTCGATCGCAGAAAACGAGGCAGAGGCGGCAGCATGGATTTTCTCCGGGAGTGTATGAGAAGGATGAAGGCCCAAAGACGAGGTCGTGATTGCGAGGGGATTGTCAAGCATGATGGCTAGTAGTATTTCTTCACTGAAATGGATGTCCAGACCATGCGGACACTGAGTATTTATAAGCTAGGCTAGCAATGCTCAGTCGGAGTTAAACTTACCCAAATCACCATTGGCCTTACAATAATAAATACAATCTATCTTTTTGTCAAGAAGGATAAATTACCCTATCACCAGATATCGTTACTAGAAAATGGCTAGGCCTTGATCCCCCAGCGAGGATGTTTCCAGGGCCTACTTCATCAAGCAACGATGAATCCAAGTCCATTTTTGAAAAAGGTCCATACCGATATTGAATATAATTATACTTCTAACTGGCTTTTACCAATCCCTTTGTGGTCAATTTGACCAGTGTAGGGTTCTCAGAGAGGGCAAACAAAGTTTCAGCCCATCCAAGTTGGCCAATGTTCCGGGGGCGTCTCGGTGCCCTCCGATACAGTCTCCGCCTTTCGGAGAGAGGGTCCGAAACTATTCCTGGAGATGAGTGTGGGAGTTATTTCGGCACTTCCAATGCAAAAGCGGTCCCCGATATTCAAGTCTTCCCAATAAGACTTAGCCAGTTTCCACAGCTATCGATGCGGTTTGCGGTAAGCTCTACTTAGGATATTTTCTCGTCAATCTTACGTTGCTATACATCTCTCGTTACCGCAATCCACAGCTCAGCGAGCCACGGTAAAACACTGACACCATTCTGAATATGATTTTCAAGTCACTGCAATCAATAAAAAGAAGGTGGTTCTGCTTGATTTTCAGCGGAATGGGGTTTCTTATCGTATACCATCATAATGTAGTTGAAATGGGATATAGACTTAATAGTTATTTGCACGGGTAAATTACTTAAATTACCAAAAATACGCTCCGGTCAAGTAACGCAGGCCTCAAAGTACTTCTCGACCTGATGAACGTACTCAGTATGACATCTTGAGGGCTAGGATATCCTCAGATTTTGAACCAATTCTCGAATCGTAAAAAAATTTGAACTGGTAAAACATCCCAGTTAAGTATACTGGAATTCATCGGCCCAATAGTTGGGCGGGCAAATCACGTGTATCTGCAAACCGAAGATGGATGACGCGCTGCACATCTCGCGTCTCATACGTTGCGTGGAAGAATGTCCGAATATCCTACACGAGTGCAGATTCTTCGTCTGCGCTGACAATGCCTAAAGAAAAACCAAAGATTGTATCCGCGTAGGTTTCATCCGCTTGGTCACGTATTCTGGTAAATTAATATTTTCATCGCAGATGCAACACTTGCAGAAAAAAGAAGGTCAAATGTTCTGGTCAATATCCATGTCTTTATTGTACTCGCCGAGACATTCAATGCACTTTTCCAGTGTCAGATGATAGACGTCTATTTACCGAGGCGTATGTTTCTCCTCGAACCCAGGCTATGGCTTTCTGGGCCTCTGATGTGTGGTATATAGGAAGGTCCGGGAACTTCAGTCACGTCTGGCTCTGTACGAATCTCAGGCCCACTTATCGGAAGGTCAGCGCTTCTTATACAACTCATTCCAATATGATAGTTCGTACTAACCGACTTGAGGGGCTGAAGATGGCGGCCGTGTCCAGATACCGAGCTCGACGGCCATATCAAATCCTACCGAAATAGCAGATGTGAATTCAGGGCAGGTCTTCGCCACGCCAGTAAACACACAGAGAAGGACTTCTGCTACACCATATACACCAAATATGACATCAGGAACCGAGACATCTGCGCAACGTTTGTTCCATTCTGGCAATCTTCATCCTTCCTATTCTAATTTCCCTATTCAGAAATTGAAACCCATTTCGCCCTTAGCTCAAGTCAAAACTTTGGGAACCGAATACAAGATCTTCTTGAGCAACGAACAACTCATTTTTCACAAATGTCGTATACACCCCAAGAACAAGCGCCACACTTCAATTCGAATGCCGGAGGCCTATTCCCGCAGCATCGCACTCCTCTCCAACTACACCAGAGCCAAAACGGGCCATATGCTAATCTGCGTCTACCCTCGGTAGAAGAAGCCTATCAACTTCTAGATACTGTTCTACTCTACCTTTGTGGTACTCAACATTACTTCGATGAGAGGGAGCTCTCGGACCAGCTGATGATATTTTACAGAAATAATTTTGACGCTGGTCAGAGAACCAGCATTTGGTATCTTCACATTCTTCTCGTGTTTGCGATTGGAAAACTATTGCGTGGGGACTTGGACGGGACAAGTGAACCCCCAGGGTTTGCCTTGTTCAATGAAGTTCTCAGATTACTTCCCGGTATCAGTGAAATCAGAGCCCATGGTGTCGCCGGAATTGAGATTCTGGCACTGATAGCGGTGTATTACCAAAATATTGACTGCAAAGATGACGCGGCTACTCATGTATGAAACCGAAGTACCCCTCCAGTTCCTTTTCCAAGCTTATATTGTATAGATTGGACTTGCTTTTCGGCTAGCTTTATTGCATAAACTCAATCGAAAAACTACCCTTGAGCAGTTACAACCGTCGCAAGCAACGCATGTCAACCGTATTTGGTGGACAGTTCAAATGCACGATAAACGTCTTACGATAGCTACGGGATGTCCATTAAGCCTCGACGACAAAATGATCGCTTCTCCTCTCCCAACTGCTTCGCCGGGTTTCTCTGCCCCGTGGGCTATTCTATTGAATATTGAGATTGTGCAAATTCAAAGCAGAATATACTCTGGTAAATCCTAATATCAGATACGAATAACTATCGCAGCAGCTAAAATTCATATAGTCCTTTACAGCAATGAGACTTGTTCAGAGAACACATTTTGTAACAACGTGCAAGATATCATGTCTACACTCACTGAAATCGCCAAGGCAATTCCTCAGAATCCCTCGCGCCCCATCAAATCAAACCGCGACCCATCGAAGCTAGGGATACGCACAAGCATTTCGCTATTTACAATGCTCTATCAGGTACAGACTTGATTCCATATAGTTGGTAAGATCGCAAATTTTAAAGACTAATTCGTCTTTACAAGGCAATTATCCTCACTCTACGACCTGTTCTTCTCCATCTCACCAAGTTGATACTCGATCGCGAGACAACTTTTGCTGAAAGCAGCAGTGCATTGCAGCAGCTTGCCCGTATATGCATAGAGGCTGCGCGTAATAATTTGAAACACATGCTAATTTTAAATGATGAAAAGATCATCTGTTCGTGACATTCCAACCAACCTTGGATCTGGCTAGGGACCTAGGAGCTAACTCTTCACAGCGGTATTCGGATTCTTTGACCTCGATGCTGTTTTTTCTTCATCTTTCGTCTTGCTCTTAGCAGCCATAATCAGTTCCCCAAATCCCAGCGATTCCAGCAATTTCCCTTTTCTCACCTCAAGTCCCGGCATCAAAGAAGGCCTGCAGCTTCTTGACTATCTGGCTGGGCGCCAAAATCATGCTGCCGGTGCACGAAGAGATCAGCTTCAATCTTTACACGAACGCTTACCCTCCTTCATGCAAGGGATTTGCACTTCCGAGGTCAAACCCGAAGCTTCATCAGCGTCTCAAACTGAATTGAATAATATGGGGGTTGCAAATGCGAGAGCTTCTTCGGCGGAAGCTAATTTTTACCAGGCAGGAGTTTCTCAATACGATGCCATTATGGGGAGCTATACTAGCGGGACAGTGGAAGGGGATTTTGTGCCGATAACATTGCCGGTTGAGTTTTCGGATGATCCTCATGCCATGTATTCACTTTTTCATGATCAAGGCCTTTCATTGACCGGAGAAAATCAGGCGGATTTTGAGGAACTACAGCGACATTTTCTATGGAATGAGTGAACTAGTAAAATCCATCGCAATTCAATGTCCTACTACAGACCTCACCGGCGTACTCTCAAATCCACGATCAGGTCATTAGACGTCTTCTGGGGTCATCAGTTCGCCATCGAAATATTGACTACTAGTACTAGATGGAAATTGATCGGCATAGATAGCGTAGAATCCCATGTAATCATCTCAAATTAATCCGTGATCTATTCGAATGCCACCAAGTTCTACTTCAAGTTTACAAGGGAATTCAAAAGTTATATGGAATAAATGTATTCAAATCCAAGACTCCGGGCCCATGATATCATCAAAAACAGTAAAAGGCACCCTATCCAGCCAGGTTCCTATATCCATGGATGCAGCAAGGAAATCATGCAGGTATAATGTTCAGTCATCACCGACCCTCGATGTAGTCTCTGTTCTCGATCGTGACACTCTTCGTCATGTGGTTGACCTTGTAAACACCGACAAGACGCGAGGCAAGCTCGAACATGTTGTTTCGCAAAGAAATGACGATGAATTGTGCGTTCTTCGTCCGCTCCTTGATATATGATGCAACAATTGAGACCTAGTGTGCGAGTTAGTACCTAGCGTATCTAAAAATTTAGTGGGAGGGTAGGAACTCACGTTTCGGAAATCCAACGCGGCGTCAATCTCGTCCATGACATAGAGCGGTGTCGGTTTATAATGATGCAAAGCAAAGACCAGCGCCAAACTGGACAGTGTCTTCTCGCCACCAGACAAGTTACCAATGTTCTTCCAGCTCTTCTTCGGTGGCATGACTGAGAACAAGATACCCTCAGAGAAAGGATCTAGTGAGTCAACCAACTCAAGTTCGGCATTACCACCCATTGTAATCATCTGGTACATCTCCTTAAGGCGGAGAGAGATGATACCAAATCCTTCCATAAATCCATTGAGACGGGCTGAACGAAGACCATCCAGGCGAGACTTGGCGCTATCGCGAGAAGTCAGGGCTGTGGCCAGATCCGCAGACCGCGCTTCGTGCTCGGCGGTGCGACGACGGTATTCTTCGATGACAGATAGATCCACCGAGGCATTCTGCACCTTCTCCTCCAAGGCGGCGATGACAGCCTTGAGAGACTCCTTGTTCATCGCATCGAGCTCATCCTTAGTGAAGGTCTGAAGCTCCATTGCGTCTTGCTCCTCACCCAGATCGCTGACATTTTGCAACGCAAGTTTCGAAAGCTTCTCCTCCCAATAGCGGCTGCGCTTTTGGTTTTCTCCGAGGGCCTTTTGGTTCTCGTCGAGCTTGTTCCGCATCTCAATCTCGGTAGCGCGAGACTCGTTCAACTCGGCCACCTTCTCGTCGAGTTCTTGCTTGAGAGCCTTCAGTTCGCCCTTCTTGGTCTCGAGAGCCTAGAACAAAGTTAGTGCTGTTTCTGCCCGAATCCCTTTGAGCGCAGCTTACCTCTTGCGCCTCGTCGGCTTTTTGCCTCCAGCCAGAGGCATCGTTGGCTTGGTTCTCGACATCTGCCTCGAGGCTTTCCAGATCCGCCGAAATTTGCCCAAGTTCCTTCTCGGAACCATCACGGGCCTTGGAGTGCTTGGTGATGAGCTTCTCGTTCTTAGACTTCTGCACCTCGGCGTTGGAAATTTCTTCGGTCAACATATTGATCTGCTCCTTCAGGCCATCGACCTTGGCCTTCTGTCCACGCAAGCGGACACCTCCAACTTCCATGATTTTGCTTTGCAGGTTTTGAATCTCCTCCTCAATGCCACTCTTCTCGTTGTTGAGGCCTTCGATCTCGTTATTGACAGCCTCGATTTGCTCCTCGAGAGCAGCAGCTTGAGACTCATCAGCCTTGGATGGCTTGTGCTCCGCACTCAGCTCCTTGACGCGTCGCTGGGCATCAGCAAGGCTGCGTTTGGCGCTGTCGATTTCAATCATGATCTTTTGAATCTTGGTCTGAACGCGCGGGATCTCATCGGACTTCTCGCGCATCTGGGCTTCGATGTTTCGCTGCTTCTCCTGGAAGTGCTGGAACTTCTTTTCCAACTCGTCGAGATCTGACTCGAGCCGGTTGACCTGGTCTTTAGTTGTATCCGCGACTTGCTTAGATGACATGGCGCCTCGCGCAACGCGAGTACCACCACCACTCATCGTACCGGAAACATCGATCAACTGGCCATCCAGCGTCACTACTCGCCATCGGCGCGCGCCATAAGCAATGCGGTTAGCCTGTTCGAGGTCCTTAGCCACGAGCGTGTTTTGCATGACGCTGTAGAAGGCCGGTGCGAACATAGGGTCCTTCGGCTTGACAAGATCAAAGAGACGCGGCACACTCTCCGGGGTATAGATGGTCGACATGTCGCGACGTGGCAGCCGGTCGAGGAGAATAAAGTTGGCTCGACCAAGGTTGTTCTTGCGAAGATAATCAATGCACTGTTGACCAACCTCCACGGTCTCCACCACCATATTATTAAGAGCTGGGCAAGCAGTAGAAATCGCAACATCGTACTTCTCATCGATAGTTCCTAGGTTTCCAAGGCGGCCATGGAACCCATCTATACGACCAGACTCCTTCAGTCGCATCAGCCCTGTCAACACACTGCCCTGGTTCTGTGTGTTCTGGAGGCTGACTCGCGCTTCATCGGCCTTTTGTCGGGCGCTGGAGACATGGGCGCGGACCTCAGGCTCACGAGCAACGTACTTCTTCAAATCATGCTGGAGCTTCTCGACCTCGCCTTCCAGCGTCTCCTTTTGAGCTTGTCGTTCCTCGAGGTCGGTTTGTTTCGATTGCAGAGTCTCTTCAATGGTGCCAATCTTGCCCCGCGCCTCTTCTAGCAGGACAGTACCAGCATTGCTCCGCTCGCGAAGAATATCGAGCTCACTCTGGGCAACGGCAGCAGCAGATTGCTTCATGTTAATCTTCTCGTTCCAAGGCTCCAAGGACTTCTGCTTAGCGGCGATTTCGTCGGAAAGGCCCTGGGTTTTGCCTGTGAGACTTTCACGAATGGCGTTCAATTCTTGCTCCTCGTCGTGCATCTCCTGTTCAAGCTGAGTGGTCTCGCCAGACTTTCTCTCGATGTCATCGGAGAATTTCTGGACCAGACTTTGGCATTCAGATGCAGCAAGGCGACTGGTCTGCATAGTCTTTTCCAGCTTCTTTTGCTTGTTGACCAGGAACTTCTTCTTCTCATCAAACTTGACAGACTCCTTGTCGTACTTGGCCATTTCCTTCATAAGCACTTGCGATTCCTTCTCCATGGCTTCCCACTCGCGCGAAGCACGCTTGTAGGCTTTCTCGAGTTCCTTGATACCGGATTCGTTGCCTTCATGTTTCTCCAGCTCCATGTTCAAGAGCTCTTGCATTTGTAGGATGGCTTCCTCGGTCACACGAACATTATCAGCGCACTCGTCGATATAAATTTGGTACAGCGCTGATTGCTTCTGAGACAACTCGTTCTCTTCGCCAATGTAGGCCACGGCCTGGTTCTTCTTATCCTCGAGCGCGGTCTTCTCTTTCTGGACGTGTTGAACTCGATTATTCTTCTCGGCACACACATCGTTGAAAGTTTCCAGCTCAGCTGCCGCCTCGTCGATAGGAGTTTTGTACTTGGAGGTTCCGATGATATCTTCCAGGTATTCGAGAAGACCTTCGTCATGCTCATTGGCGGCCTTGGCTTTCATTTGGGCGATCGACTCGACCTCGCCTTGCAGAATCAAGAATCGCTTGTGGTCGAGGTCAATTCCGCGATCACGGAGGAAGGCAGTGACAGTGGTAAAATTTGTCTCCTTCCTGTTCATGTAGTACTTGCTGCTGTTGTTTCGGAACGCCCGTCGCGATACGATCAGGTGAGAATCGGGGATGGTTTCTTGGCTGCCATCGGGAAGATCAAGAACCTCCTCAAAATGCACCTCGACCTCACAGAATGGAAGGTCGGGATATTGAGCGGAATTGTGGATGAGCGCGGAGATCTTGCCCTGTCGCATCTTGCTAGCACGGAAACCAAAGACAAACAGCAACGAATCGATCACGTTTGACTTGCCAGATCCGTTGGGCCCAACCACCGAAGAGAAAGAAGCATGGAATGGACCAACAACTTGCTTTCCGGCATAACTCTTGAAATTGTTCAGAATCAGGTTCTGAATAATCATGCGAGGCTTCACTTCTGCGGGCTCCGCGGGTGCTGGGGCTGTCATATTCCTAGACTTCATGACTATATCCATGGGCTTCTCCAGTACAGTCGAGTTCGGATTGATGTACGACACCTGGGATTGCGGTTCTTCGGCGGGTTTCGACGGCGAGGACTGGTTCACGGCGGACTCGGTGATATCGGTGAGGGGAGGCACGCTCTCTCGTTGAGCGCGTGCTTCGGACTCGGGTGATTCGGACGGCTCTGGAGTAGGGAGTGAGCCCTTTGCCGGTTTGGGAGTAATTGAGCCACGACTCTTGCGGGAAGCCATACTTTGTCTTTTTAATGCTGCCGTATTGGAAGGTGACCCAGGATCGAGATCAGCAGGCTCGATACTTTTCCTCTTCAAAGCCGCCTGGTTGGAGGGGGAGTCGGGATCGGCGACTATAGAAACCATGCTGATTCCTTCGTCGTTTTCGTCGTTTTCGTCATTTTCTTCGCTTTCCTCGTTCTCGTTGTTCTCGTCGTTCTCGTCGGTTTCCTCGGCTTGCGAATCTTCCGATTCCGATGCGACTGATGCGACCGACTGCCGGGATTTGCGCGTCGGCTTCACGGTGGCGGGGGTTACAGGCTCTAATGTCATTCTCTTCGAGCGGGATGCGCGCTTAGCTTGATTGGGGACAGGTGTATAATCCGCCTCATTCTCTTCGCTCTCATCATCGTCGTTGTCGTGGGTAGAGGGAGTAGGCGTCACGTTTCCGGGGTCCTCGGATTCGGAGGTTTCTTCGACCACATAGCTCCTACGGGGAGCGGAGCGGCGCGATGGCCGACCCTTTGCGATAGAAGCCATTTCAAATCAGTTGGGGCGCCTGCGTCATGGGCGGCGAGGGGGGGCGATGTGGATGTGGAGGTGGATGGAGAAGGTGAGGGAGAGAGGGGAGGTCACTGTCCGTGTTTATTTTGCGCCTGAAAGGGAATGGCGCGCCAATCTGCCACAACACAAGCTGCAGGCCCGCTTCACCGCCTTCCCATCCAACGGTGGATCCCCTCCATGCGCATCGAAGCTCAGGTGAATTGTCAATTGTGATTTTGTGACCTGTGACCATCCTGTCAACTTCCGGGGGTTCCGCAATACTGGAGTACGACAGACAGCCAATTCTATTCTCTGCAGTCTTCTCTATCCGCCCATCATGGCGCAGTGGGAGAAATTTGACCACATATTCAGCTTCAACAAGAAGTACTCCTACGATTCGAAGACCGTCGACCAGATTATCTCCAATCGCCGCTCCTTAGAGGGACAACTCTTCGCGGATCGCCTACTCGGGTTACTCGGTATCAAAGGAGGTACATCATCCATCTGCTCTCCTGTGTATAGCAGGTTTAATTCCATCTTCCCAGGATCCCTTGGCTAATCATTTATTTCTCTACAGTGACCAAAGTGTATCCACCCAAGTCTAATGCAGACCTCCGATCCCTTGTAGACCACATTGTGGCCTCTGAACTCGACATACATCACAAGCAAGCCTTGATTTACTATCTTCTCAAGGACTGTCGCAATGCGCTGAGCGCTGCGGCGGATTTCGCGAGCTCATGTCACCTACCAGAAAAATACCGCCTCTTCATTGAAGGTCTCTGGCACATGGACCGTTTAGATTTCAGGGTATGTTTTACCGTTTAGCATGAACTGCAGTGCACACGCTAATTTAATCATCGATTTCTCAGGCCGCAATCTCATATCTCGCCGAGCCCTCCCTGATTCCCACCTTCCCCGACGAAATTCTTTACGCCCTCACCCTTTCCAAACTTCCGAAGCATGACGATAATCTCGCAATCACCTACTACCTCGCCGCGGCCCCTCCATTAGCAACTGAAAAGGTCCAGCGTGCTTACTTCGAGACTCTTTGCCGATCCAATGTGACCGAGGCCTTCTACTTTTCTCGAAGATACGACGATCTCCACCGTCAAGCGTTTTTCGGTCAACTCGTTGAATTTGTTCTTAAGACCCCCGCTGGCCAAAACCGGAGCAGACGAGCGATGGAGCTCGTCGGGCTTCCCCTAGATCAGGATGAGGCGGAATGGTTCGAGGGAACATTGTTACGGGGCAAAGCAAGCTCCCTGCCGGGAGCCAAAGATACGGTGATGATGCGTCGTCTGGCAATCGGGCAGATGGGAGGACTTGCGCCCGAGCTGGAATCGATGGGTGGTAAGAAGGTGGACGGACTGAACTGGGATGATCTACGGGAAAGCATGCGAGGCGTATAATACCCATCCAGTGGCGCAATGTTCAAAATGATTTATTATGTCGGCAAATTCGCCTTGGCAATTGGAATCGGAGTTTGGGCTGTTGATAGTATGCTTTAACAACTTGAATGGAATACTCTAGGCGTCCTGTTCTGTTCTGCCTAGGTGTTTAATTGACTAAACTTGCATTAGTATCCTGTTCAAGCTGCCTAGTAGTAGACACAATATTAGTGGTGAATACCACCTAGGTACTAGTACGAGAAGTAGCATGCCCACTGGCAGCCCTGGAGGTGATATCATCATCTCAAGTTGTTTCCGAGTCGCATTTCAAATCCTGGACTCGGCGGTTCTCCCGCCGGCGTTCAAGTTCAATTTCATCCCACTCGCAGTTCAAAGTACAGTACTAATAGTACCTACCTAGGTAGGTACTGCTAGTAGTGCTATATATTTTGGGTCACCTTGTTGAAAGCTGACCTCGGAAAGCTGAGCTCTTGGGTAAGTTGAAACCATCACACAAAGTGCATATATATGTGAATCTCTCAAAAATCCTTAGGAGCCATCGGAAGGAATCATCACAAGTTCAAGCTGATATTCCTTATTGATTTCAAGAGCTATCCACACTTATAGTCCTCGTGGTTGGCGCAGCCGCGGGCGGCCAGGGCGATAAGGCGATAAGAGATGCGCCTGCGCAGTTCGGAAAAACAGCTTCATTTCCATTTCAACGCGTCTCAAACCCCAGGCTACTATTTCCACGTCAATATATACTCGTCCGGGAACATCGAACGAGGAAATTGGTCTGGGATTCAACCCCGGAATCACACACAATCAACCCGAAGCCGCGAATCAGCTACGCAGGGGCTCTATATCAAACCGACATTCACCACGACCCTACAAGCTGGCCACGGGGCGTCGGCCTAGACCGTGGGCACGATGACAATCTGTAACTTTTACCAGCAAGGTCGCTGCAAGTTTGGAGGTATGCAAAAATCCACCAGCCGAGTTCGAGGACTGTGGCTAACCATGATCTAGATCGATGCAGGTTTGAGCACCCTGGAAATACCAACACCACGACTGGTGGGAATCGATTCGGTGCTCTCGCTGCTGGAGGCTTTGGAAATTCAGGAAGTAAGCTCAAATTATCTCACTTTTTGCCATTAAAAGATATACCCAACCATGGAATGACCTAGGGTCAAGACAACAACCCAGGGCATTCCCCCCCCAGGCTTCCCTTTGACCTCAGTTCTTCCTCTCATATTTGCTTTCATCCTTTCCCACTATTCCATCTTTCAAGCCAAGGCGTAATGCCTATTTCAGTCCCACCAAATGTCATTCTGCCAAAGAAACCGCCTCCTTCTGCTCCGTGCAAGCAGCCGACTAACGTGTCACTTCGAACCCGCGCAGATCAAGCCTCACGACCAGGCCAGCAGGCGCAAAAGTAAGTATTTGTGCTCAAAGCTTCACTTGGTTGTCCCGCTAATAATATGGCAGTTTTGGAGTTAACGCAAGTGACATCAAACTCGACTTGACAGCCGGAAAGGGACGGCCGGAATGGATTTTCTCGGCCTATTCACCCCAGCGCGATGTGCCCCGGCAATTGTTTGGCGGTGCTCAGCGTGAGCAGAGTATGGAGGAGATGCGCCTCCGCCACTACGAGGCAGTTGCTGCTGGGAACATGAACCAGGCCGTCCAAGAAGCCGAAGCGTTATGGAATGAGTCCGCGCAGCAAATGGATGCTGCTTTGAACGACCTTGATGGTGCAGTTAACTACATCGTCAGCGGTGCCAATGAACACCCCAATCGTATTGATATCGTCGAAGGCAAGACGGGTCAAGAGTCAAACCAAGGGTCTGCATTTGGCCAACCGGCAGCCCCTGCACAGGCGTCCAATGCCTTTGGCCAACCCTCCCAACCCTCGACCTCAGCATTCGGTCAGCCTGCATTCGGCCAGCCCTCTCAACCTACTGGGCAGGCATCAGCCTTTGGTGCGCCTTCTACTCTCGGACAGTCCTCTCCATTTGGACAAGCATCACAATCCTCTGCATTCGGACAACCTTCTTCCCTAGGCGCCGGCTCTGCCTTCGGCCAACCCTCCGGGCTGGGAGCACAACCAGGGCTTGGAAAGCCATCCTTTGGCCAGTCGGGATTTTCACAGTCTGGTACCTCTGCTTTTGGTGGAAGTGCATTTGGTCAGCCTTCAGCACCAGCACCAGCGGCACCATTCGGCGCCCCTTCGGCCACCTCCCCCTTCACACAGGTTGGACAGAACCAATCAACAGGAGGCTTCGGGCAGCCTTCAGGTCAACAAGCACAAGCCCCTGCACCCTTTGGCCAGCCTTCACAGCCACAGGCTTCACCTTTTGGTCAGCCGTCAGCCCCTGCCCCTGCCCCTGCCACAACATTCGGCCAGCCTTCCCAACCGAATCCGTCGCCATTCGGCCAACCACAACCCCAACAGCAGCAAGCATCACCATTTGGTTTGGCCTCATCTGCGGCCTCAAATCCCTTTGGTGGGTCTGCCTCCACTCAACCAAATCCCTCACCTTTTGGCCAACCCGCAGCTCCTCAAGGCGTGGCTGTTGCACAGCCTGCTGCCGGGCCACGCGCAGCCATCAAGATCGATAACACATCCACCTTGAATCCATTCCCACCCCTTCAAGGTGAGACGAGACGTGACCCTACTTCCAAGTTTCTTACGATGTGGAAAGGCCGTCCTGTGCGGCCAGTCAAGGTCGAGGATGGCACGGTTCGTCCCGCCTATCTACACCCCCAAGACAACAAGACTCTAGTACGAATCATGTTTCCAGATGGACCACCCGACGACGCTGGCCTCCGTGATGCCTTGAGTACCCCGGAACAAATCACGCCAGAGATTGAAGAGATGTACAACTTTTTCGCCCAGAATGGATACTTCAAAGATGGAGTGATTCCACCTATACCCCCGAAGAAAGACGCAGTCAGTTTTGATTTTTAGGTCATTTTTGCCCATATTAAACGGCGGACCTGCTTTTATGCGCAAAAGTCGGCGACGGCGGAGACTTCCAAGCTTTTTTTTTTTTGGCAGGATATGCTAGCAAGATATTCAAGCACAATCCATACGGTCAGTCGGAACCATTGGCGTCGCTCGTTTGAATTTCGAACATCTACCACCCAACCCAATCCACTCTTCTATCGATGCGTCTTTCGTCTTGATGCCTCTCTTTTCTTGACGGCCATTGGCCATGTTTTCTTTCGTGTTTTTATTTGAAGTCAGGACAGGGACAGATCCTCCTAAGGTAAAAGGCGTCACGGAATCATATATTCTACATAGCGCTTTGATGATACGAATACATTTTTACTTATTTTTACTTTTCTTCTACGAGAACCTCACAAGGGCGATACAAGAAAGAAATGATTTCTCAAGATGTTTCCTTTTTTTTTATTCAGGTACAAGACGGGTATCTACCAAAAATCCCAGAAGAACTCAAAGGTTCAGAAGTAAACGGCCAGCTCCTGACAACACCAGCATAACATAACGTCCAGCATTAACAGAGACCGACCCAAGACCCTCCCTGACCCATTGCGGAGCTAATTAATTTAAGCCGCAATGGTGACCTCAACCTCAACACCAGCCTCGATGTTGATGATGATCTGCTTGACAGTCTCGGTGGGGGCGAGCAGGCTGGAAAGGGAGAAAATAGTCAGTACTTTGCGCTTCTTCCATGCAATGGATGTCTCTATTCCCCGCCTCGCGGACTCGACTCGACGGGGTTTGTTCGACATGCTCGATAGCAGGTGGGGGAGGTTGGTGGCACTCACTCGATGAGACGCTTGTGGATGCGCATCTCGTACTTGTCCCAGGTCTTGGAACCCTCACCGTTGGGGGTCTTGCGGGTGGAGATGTTCAGGGTCTTGGTGGGCAGACGGACGGGGCCCTTGACCTGGAGAGACTTGCCGCGAGCACGGTCGATGAGCTCCTGGCAGACCTTCTCGAGGGAGGCAACCTTGCGGGAGGTCAGGGTGATACGGATCTTGTGGACCTTCTATAGGGAGATATTAGTCTTTCAATTCGATTCAATTGTCAAATTATTGTCTTTGCGCCAGCGCCAGCGAGGTGCTCGCAATTGCGGCGGCGAACATTCACAATTCGAAAAGATGAATGCGCAGGTTGGAGGGGATGGGGTCGCAACGTACGGGGCCCTCGCCGAAATCCTTCTCGTTCTTCTGGAAAGACATCTTGAGTTTGTGTTTTGTTGTTGTTTAAGGCGAATGCCAATCAAGACCTGAACTGCACGGCTCGGTAAAGTGATGATTGCTGTGGAAAAAGTTGTGTGTGGAGAAGCGAAAAAGGAATCGTGCGATCGGTTATCTGCCGCTAGTCCAAATATGGTAATATTGGTGCCTGAAAACTATTTTGTGTTGATGCCTTTATGCCTTTATGCCTGATGAGTCAGCATTCGGGGTCCCGATGCGGGTTGCTTCCAGTGACAGCATCAGCAGAGTGTGGAGTGTTGATATCCTGCTAATTCTGGCGTTTGTTGCGGTTTGCTGTTTAGCAATTGTCTGATTTCTGTTCCAGCATCTCATTTTCTGAAGCCTCGACTCATTCATCACCAATTATGGCAAAGTTCCCGGGAATGGCCCCGGTGCCTTCCCCCGCAGTGCAAAGCAATATTCCGTCAAATGACTGGGAGGCTTTTCTTGATGCATGGATTACCCTGATTGGAATCCGATTGAACACCCCAGACGACAAATTTCAAGAGGCAGCCGACGACGACCCTTCCGGGGTATCCTTCCTGAAAAGTTTCTATGAACAGGCTGCAGCAGGGTCCCCAGGTCTACAACATGGTCCCAAAGGCCGAATTTTAAGGAAACTATGTTTCCTGGCTACAAGACGATATATCCTTGGTCTGTCAAATCCATCAGAGATCCTTATCAGCTGGCAATTCCTCGGCAATCTATGTTGCTGCTATCCGTCAAGCAGTGTATTGAAGACAACTCTTTCAACTGCATGGGATCGGCATGAAGATAAGATATCATCCAGTATGGAACAGGCAAAGGCCCTGGTTATCAGGAAGCTGTCATCAGGTGTACCCTCTCACGGATCTATCATTTTTGTGGAGCTTCGATGCTTGACTATCCTGGCCTCGGTCCTGCCACCATGTGGCCAGATACTTATGGCGGGATCCGATTATCTCGACATAATGACGGAGACGTACCAGAAACAATCATCACGGAACGATATCCACAAGATACTCACAGCCAATGTCTATGTCGGCCTGATATCTTTACTCAAAGAGCCATCACCCAACCTATCCTTACTTCTGGACCAATTTTTCAGTCTCAAAGCCAGCGCCGGCGTGGGAACACCGAAAGTGAAAAAGGAGGCCACACTTCTCTCAGACCTCGTTTGTAGCTCAGATCTACTCCAACGACTAGAGAACTTTCTCACAGTCCATCCCCAGAAACGGGGTCAAGACTTACTTACCAGTCTACGCGCTTATCAAATAGAGACAAAGTTTCTCCACATCCGATATCAAAAACGCAGAAAGACCGAAAAGGGCAAAGAACGTTCTTCAGGCCTCCAAATCCCAGAAGAGATCCACGCACACAAGATGTCCCTAGTCTCACAAGTGCAAGATCTATTCCCAGACCTAGGCTCTGCCTTCGTCGTCCGACTCCTAGACGTCTACAACGACAATCCAGAAACAGTCGTCGCCCACCTCCTCGACGACTCACTCCCATCCGAACTCCAACTCCTCGATAGAACCGAACAGCTTCCCCAACCACAAACCTCAGAGCAAAATCAACACGAAAACCTCGCACCTCACCCAACCCCACCCCTGGACCCAATCCCAGCCCGCAAAAACATCTTCGACTCAGACATCGACATAGCATCCCTAGATCTATCCGACAAATCCTCCAAGGGCAAACTCCACTTCGGTCGCGCAGACCAAGATCAAACAGCCGACACCGTCCTCTCAGACAGAACCCAACACACAGCCAACAAAGCCGCAATCCTCTCCGCACTAGCAGCCTTCGACTCAGACGACGACGAGCGAGACGACACTTACGACGTCGGAGATGTAGGCGGTACCATTGACGCAGCAGCAACAAGCACCTCCGACGCTGACGCCGTCACAAAGCGTCTAGCAGATGACCAGCTAGACATGATCCTCTACCGCGCCTACAAGTCCAATCCAGCTCTATTCAGCCGTGACGCTGCAACCCGTCGTTCTCAGCCGCGTGCCTCGCTAAAACGCGAGACGAATATGACTGATGAAGCTGTTGAAGGGTGGGCGGTGATGTTGGCGCGGGATCCGAAGCGGATGGCTAAATTTGCGGATCGGGTTGCTGTTGATGCGGGTGGTTCTGATGGTGGGGCCTTGAATCAGCCTGAGCTTCAGTCGACTTCGTATCGGAGACCACAGGCTGGTAGTGATGATGATTCTACGGAGGCGGAGGGGTCGGCGGGTCGGGGAGGGAGAGGTGGTGGACGGGGTGGACGGGGATTTGGAAGGGGACGTGGTAGGGGTAGAGGTAGTGGCGGTGGAGCACCTGGAGGCACAGGAGATTCAAGTTCACCTGCGGCGCATCAGAGGAAAGAGCAGAATAAGGCTAGTCGGGCGAATCATAATCGGCGACAACAGAGGGCGAAGAAGATTGCCCGTGGGGGTGGGTTACCTGGTTGAGAGAGGGTTAATGCATTGATGGATATATTGAAGAGGTGTATGAGGACATGATGAGCATGTTTGAAGTTTTTTGCATATGTGACAGCCCTTGTTGATAACCATAGACTACCTATTCGTGCCTGAGATGGGAATAGTAGGTTTGTAAAAAAAGTGTTCTTGATTCGTCATTACTACCAAGATAGTGGGGAGATAGTCAAGTGTTGCACATGATTGCTATCTATAAAACTAGGAGACTCGTCCGCATGTCCAGCATGCGTTATGGGTTACATGAGAGGATTCAAAGCACGCTGTAATCAGTGATGATGGGAAAAGACGCCCTCCTCCGCAATCGACTTTCGACACTCTTCCATGATGCGGAGCTGTTTGGCGACGTCGCCGAGTCGGCTGATGACCTCCTTGTTGCCGTCGTAGAACGTGAATATAGCGTACGGAATCTCGGTTTCGCGACAGAATTCTCAGAATATACTTCTGGGCCTGACGGAGATTGTGACGTGGCATCCGAGGGTAAAGGTGGTGAATAGCCTGGAACTGCAGACCACCGTGGAAAAAGTCCAACCAAGGAGCACAGTCGACATCCATAGTGGTGCGCAGCATTTTCTGGGGGAAAGATTCGTGGATCCCGAGGTCGGCAGTGGACATGGCGAAATGCGACAGTGTGATTTGGACATGCAAGGGGGAGGGAATGACGTGGGACACCAAGAGGAAGAGCAGACGGCTGCTCCAGTCGGGGATAGTTTTGTAAAGCACGACGTAACCGTACCAGTACCAGAAGAACGCCTGGCCAACAAACTCGAGATAAACGTGCCACCATGCCGGGCCTTTTCTAGGCGCTTGACCCTTGAGCAAGTACTCCCAGCTCAGGCGGGTGAGATTGAAGCGGGCAAGCATCATAATTGGATAGTAGGTATAGTGTTGTACTTTGAGCAAGAATTGAGATGGGATATCGAAGGTCATCTCACGGTCGTAGTAAGTACTCCGCAGGCTGTTGAAAAAGCGATGTGAAATACCAAAGAACGGGATGTGTTGAATGTCGGGATCGTGCTCGGGCTCGTTGGTCACGATATGGTGTACATTATGGCTGCGCTTCCACCATCCTAAGCTCAGACCTCCAATGAAGTCTGCAATAATGATACCGATGACGGTGTCGAAGTGGAAATTATGAGTGATTCCCATGTGACCAGCATCATGGGCTGTAAACACAAGCTGGTGCCAGACACACCCAAGCCAGAACGCGGACGTCCCCCACCAGCCCATGCGAAGAAACGTATAGGCCAGCACGGCGAAGAGTGTGTACCGGCAGCACTCAACAAAATAGGCCCAATAGTTGCAATCGAACATGCCCTCATCCAACATGCGCTGATTTAGCGCACGGTATTTTTGTTTGATGTTTTCCTGACACGAGAAATCCAGCGAGGGGTATTTTGAGGTATCTAGGGCGATTTCATCGCGGGTTCGAGCGTCTAGAAAGCCGAACTTGGGGTGTGATTCTTCGTTTGGGGGAGTGGAGGCGGAGCTATCGGTGCCTAGCGAGGGACGTTTGCGACGGGTCACGGATTTGGAGTCGATGGCGTCGAAGATCGGAGAGGGTGGTAGCGATCCCTCCTGGCTGGAGGTGTCCTGACTCGGCAAATCCTCCTCGCTGGAGCAGGTCTCTTCTGTGTAAACACGGAACTTGCCACCCTGGATGACAGGGAGGAAGTTGATCCAGGGCTCTTGGATTCGGCCGATTTGAAACGAGAGCATACGTTCGCGAGCTTCTTTGGAGTGTAGTCTAAGTCGATTGGGGTTCCATGGTCAGCAAAAGCATGGCTCAAACTCTCCCGTGTTGAGAGACATACGCATTGATCTCATCTGTGGCATCTCTGCCTACCATGTGCTTGATTGGTTTCTCTCCACCGGGGTGAAACTTGAGAAAGGCGTCTACCTTCAGGACACGGCCCTCGAAGATAATGACATGTTTCCCATCTGCAATCAAGCCCTCGATATAGCGGCGGCTCAACACAGTGTCCTTGCGAGGCGGTCGGGAGGTGGCTTTCTCCATGGTGGAAGGGTGCTGGAAAGGCAAGATCTCCGGAAGGATTGAGGATGTAAATCACAGGAACATATCTTTCGAATTGAAGTAGAGGAGGTAGAGGAGGGTAGGAAAGGGGGAGTAAAAGAGTGAAGGTGAAGGCAGAAGCAAAAACACAAGCAGAAGTGTTGCTGAGTGTCGTCGCAACGGGCAGGGGCGGAGACGGAGACAGGCGGGGCCGCCGATCGGCCTCGGTCTTGCCATTTTCCACTTCCTCCACTGTTCACTGTCCACTTTCACTACTTCCCTTTACTTTCACCTCCATTTTTATTGGCATTCCTACAGTTGAAACCCCAGTGGCATGATGATCCAGGTCTGATCATTCCCGATTCTTTCTGGTGGCGTGGCTGGTGTCTAACCCTATGCAAGGATTCTCTCTCGTCGTTGGTTCAAACATGGCTGCAGTGGGACCAGGTAAAATGAACTCTACCTCGTGCTCTCGTGGCCTGATCTCATTCGGATATACCTACTCTACCATAGGACCCCAAAACACGCTCGGAAATAGAGCAACTGCGAGATGACGGGGCCGAGACGGAGCTCGAACTGCGTCTCAAACAGCGTATGTGGATCATTCCTGGGGTTGTTTAGTTTGCGGTGTAGATCTAATGGACGAGCAGGCATCGAATTCGGCACAGCTGGTCTGCGGGGCCGCATGGCCGCTGGATTTGCCTGTATGAACTCGTTGACCGTCATCCAAGCATCGCAGGGTCTTGCGAAATTCATAAAGACGCAACGTCCCGAGATCGCCTCCCAGGGCGTGGTCATTGGTCATGATGCACGCCATAACTCAGATCGGTTTGCCGTGCTCGCTGCCAACGCTTTTATTGCTTTGCAAATCCCAGTCTGGTTCTTCGATCAGGAAGCGCCAACCCCCTTGGTTCCTTTTGGTGTGAATCATTTCAAGGCCGCGGCTGGTATTATGGTCACAGCTAGCCACGTAAGACGATCCTTCCAGATCCTTCCGGATATACGGAGCCTACGAAGATCCGCTAACGTGTGAGCCTATAGAACCCGCCTCAAGATAATGGTATGTTTCATCTTCATCTAATGTTGAGTTAACGCTTACTAGAATCATTATACACAGGCTACAAGGTGTACGAAAACCCATATGATTATGTTTTGAGAACCTTGGAAGAAATGCAATACTGATGAAATGTATTCAGATATTCAAGCAATGGTGCTCAGATCAACAGACCCGAAGATGGGGAAATTGCACAGTCAATCCTCGAAAATCTGGAGCCTTGGCCAACTGCTTGGGAAGACCAACGCCCTAGCGAGTACTTGCATGACAAGTCATATCGCGAACTGCTTCCTCACTACGTCAAACGGGTTGAGCAATATGCTGTCAGTAGTAGTAAGGTCCAAGAAAATGGCTTAGCTAATGTTCATTTAGAGGTCAACTGTCTCGGATTGGAAGTCCCCACGACCCTTTGTGTACACACCTCTTCACGGGGTCGGTGGTCTAGTCCTGCCAACAGTGTGCCAATCATTGGGAATCAAGAACTTTGTGTCCGTTCCTGCACAGGAGAAGCCTGATCCTGATTTCCCAACTGTCAAGTTCCCAAACCCCGAAGAGGCTGGGGCTCTAGATCTCGCCATGGAGACTGCAGACAAAGAAGGAAAGACCTTGATTATTGCTAATGACCCCAACGCAGACCGATTTGCTGTTGCAGAAAGGGTCAAGTAAGTGTTGCTCTAGACCAAGAAATTGGGATTAGATCTAACCATACCTAGTGGTAAATGGTTTCTCTTCACAGGAAACCACGTTGGCGTTCTCCTAGCCTCTCATGTTTTCGACTCTTTGGATATGACTACAGATTTATCCAAAACAACGGTATTAACTACAACAGTATCAAGTGGCATGCTTGGTAGTATGGCGGCCGCCAAAGGATGCCAATTCCAAGAGACGTTGACCGGGTTCAAATGGATGGCAAATGTTGCTCGGGACCTCGAGAAGGACGGCCAAACCGTCCCCTTCGCTTACGAAGAAGCCCTTGGTTACATGTTCCCCTCTGTTTGCTATGATAAGGATGGCATCACGGCAGCTGCAGTGTTCCTCGCCGCAGAGGCCAAATGGAGAGACCAGGGATTAACGATTTATGATAAGCTTCAGCAAATTTTCGCAACGCACGGCCATCATGAAACAATGAACAATTATTTCCGATCTCCAAACCCGGAACTGACCATCAAATTGTTCCAGGGTATCAGAAGTGGCTCTTTCCTCACCGACAAGAAACTCGGCCCTTTCAAGGTGTTGCGATGGAGAGACCTCACTGAGGGTTATGACTCTGCATCTTCTAACAATAAGCCGGACCTGCCCGAAGACCCGACAAGTCAAATGCTTACACTTTGGTTGGATCGTGGTGTACGCTTCACATTCCGCGGCTCGGGAACTGAGCCCAAGGTCAAATGTGAGGACTTTTGTAAAGTTTTGGGAATTACTAGTACAAATGCTGATTTATGTCTAGTCTACATTGAGAGTCACGGAGACTCGCTTGATGATGCCACGAAAGCAGTCTGCGATGCTTTCATGGCTATCTCGGAGGAATGGGTCCAACGCTACACCCCTTCGATGATGTGCAGCAAGCAGATTCCCACCTCTTCCGGGCATGTTTTAGAGCTAGATCAGTAGTATAAGCACTCAAGTCCATTTCACATATTTTACCCTGCGCCATAGTGCCTTGTTCGTGCCATATTTCATGAATCCTTTATCCGAGCAAACATTCGCATGATGTAACTTTGAGCTGCGAAATGCCGCCGAGACTACAATAGCTCTGGTATACTCCCTTGAGAACCCAGGATTAAACTCGACTGGGGGGTGCTAGGCCGGGGTAGTAAAAGGCAAACTGCAGCTGATGTCGCACGGGACTTTGAGGTGGTCAGACCTATTAGCTACGAATAATAGCTTATAATCAGCGAATCCCGCGGCAATAGATGAGCACGAATAGGACTGAAGTCTACTCAGATAAGACAGCATACAGAAAAGTTGCAGATACTAGCTATACCTTGAACATGGTCTACCAAGCGCATTCTCAACAGACTCCACCGCATGAGCTTTCTTCTGGGGGTTGCCAGCACAACCTGCGGCGACAAATCAACCCTCTAAGCCATTGCTGTCAGGTCAATGTGCGGGCCCAGACATACCCAGAAAATTCGGAAATCAAAAGGTCCTTCCAGGGTCAAGAAGCTCACACCAAAGCTAGTTGCTCCTGCAACTGTGTTCGCTCAAACAATCTCGAGCTGCAAAATCCGTATGTACAATATAGCCCCAAATAGAACAGTTTGTGATCAATTAATATAGTGAAGCAGCGCCACAATGCAATCGATCCCCCAAGCCCACATGTCAACCAGCCCTCACAATCACAAATGCTGTATTGGAGGATTTACCGAAGAACACACCCGGGAAACTACTAGTACTTCAACCCCAGAAGAGAGCCTAAATTATGGGAATAACTTGAACTATATCAACGTGAATGCAAGTAAATCTTTCCCTCCCTGCGACTTCCATCGACTTTCGCATCTAGAAAAACAGCCACACTGCTCGGGAGTACAAGTCCATCTACACAACCACGCATGCCACGGTACTCCGAAGGCGCGACAGTCAAATCCAAAGCATACCTGCGCGCCCAAAATCCATAGACCGAGTCATACATGCGGTCATGACAAGAAGACCCCCCCACGCATGCTTTGAACCGTTGAAAGCCCCTTATCCTCATTCTGGGAGATGTTCTATCAACCTCGACCTCCCACAGGAGCCGGAGAATCCCACTGCGAACAACGCTGCTAAACGATATCATGATTCCCGTTTCGAGTGTTATGATAATCAATCGGTGCCTTTGCACCGGGCCGACGTGGCTTGTCACCGGGTCTGGGGTCCACCTTTGCCTGTGTGGGGGAGTAGCCCATGTGGTTCAAGAATTCCTCGGTGTTTTCATTCCTAAATTCAGATTAGGGCTGGAAATGCCGTGTTTCCTTTCCAATCAAATTCATACTATACTTCATATCATACCCTTTCGGCATAGTTCAATACTACTATGTAGTTTCTGGTCCCGGCTTGCACTTGCCGAGAGCCGCGTCGGCACCGGCCGATCGGGCGGGTCAAGCTGAGATTTCAAAGCCGAGTTGAATCGGCATTGCGAATTCCGGGGTTCGCATTTTCAATTGCATTGATTCTGAATACTCGGCATAAATTTTAGCGCTGCTTCCTCGTTTTTAAGATCCTAGCGGGCTCTAGGTAAGTGGATTATGCTCCGTTCATCCAGATTGGCCCTGGCTCATTAGGCGCAAATACAAGCCCCGATGGCGTGACGATGTCTAATCCAACTTCCCCAGATCAAACAATTCCTTACAAAAAAGCTCGGCCGAGAGAGCTCTGGCCACGTTGAAAAGAAGGGAGCGTCAAATCGATACCTTATTCCGTATATATCAACTCTCGCGACGATAGCGATATTTACACCATGTCTACTGCTTCCAAGAGCGTCGCTGTTATCGGCGCTGGCCCTTCGGGTGCCATTGCGGTAGATGCCCTGGCGCAGGAGAGGGCGTTTCACACTATCCGTGTCTTTGAACGCCAGGAAAAAGCGGGCGGATGTTGGTTTGTGACCATCATATATGTATCTCGATCTAGGACAACTGCTAATCTCCGTCATAGGGTTTCAAGAGATGAACCCCCACCGCAGGTGGTTGATTTCGAAGGACTAGCTGCACGTACAGCTGATGCGCCGTTGGAAATTCCCAGCAGCTTACCTTGTCGAACACCGGCAAGCTCTCAGGACCGTTTCACAGACTCGCCTGTTTACCCTGGACTTGAGACGAATGTGGATGCAGGTGTCATGTCGTATTCCCAGGAGCCCATTCCAACCGTTCGATCGCAGTGGTCTATTGATCGACATGGCCCTGAGACTCCGTTCCGTCACCATTCGGTGATTAGGGGGTATGTCGAGGATTTGTTTACTAAAAAGGGCCACCATGGCCTGGTTCAATACAACACCACCGTCGAGCAAGCGGTCAAGGAGCCTATTACCCAGAAATGGATCCTTACTATTCGCCGCAGGGAAGTGAATGAGGGCGCTCCATCAGATTATTGGTGGACGGAGCAGTTTGATGCTGTCGTTGTGGCATCTGGTCATTATGCGGTGCCATATATTCCTGCCATTCCGGGGCTGGAGGAATTCTCATCAAAATATCCCGGCAGCGTCGAACACACTAAGCACTACAGAGGCCCAGAAAAGTACCGGGGAAAGGTACCATATCCCCTGTCTTCGATTGAGTGTGTAAATTGTCAAACGCTAACCCACCCAATAGAAAGTCATTACAGTCGGTGCGTCAGTATCGGCCGCAGACACGGCCGTCAGCCTCATCGATACGGCGCAATCACCTATTCACGCCGTCGTTCGCGGTCGCTACAACGTATTCTTCGGAGACGATGCCTTCAAACATCCCAAGATCCAACGACGGGCACCAATCTCTCAAATTAATTCTGAAAGCCGAACTGTATACTTCGAAGATGGTTCGTCCGAGTCCAATGTGGACAATATCCTCTTCGGCACCGGATTCACCTGGACGCTTCCCTTCTTACCACACGTTCCTACGCGGAATAATCGAGTGCCTGATCTTTACCAGCACGTCTTTTACCGCCACGATCCAAGTCTGGTGTTCGTCGGAGCGGTATGTCTTATCCCCGGCTACCCTTACCATGATAAAGATGAAGACTAACTCTACCTTCCCCTATAGGTCGGCGCAGGATTAACATTCAAAGTCTTCGAATGGCAAGCTGTCGCCGCTGCCCGCGTTCTCGCCGGTAAGGCCACGCTGCCCCCAGTATCTGAGCAGGAGAAATGGGAGACTGAGCGCATTGCGCTGAAAGGTGATGGGCCCGCTTTTGCGGTGGTCAATCCGGATTTCAAGGACTATTTTGAGAACCTGCGACTTCTTGCAGGCGAGCCAGGCGAGGGATTGCCTGGGCGGCGTTTACCGGTATTTGATCAGCGTTGGAAAGATGATTTTGATTCTGGGCATGAGCGGCGTAAGGAGATGTGGCGACGAGCTAACCGGGCGGCTGCTGGGGTGCTATAGAATTAGTATGTATACATGGAAGATATAACTATTGAGAGGGTAATGCACAATGAGAGTCTGCGTAGCAGACGGGTTGATCGCAGTGATCACAAACTTGAATGTTGGAAAATACTAGTGGTAGCACAGAGCGCGTAGTCATGGAAGGCAGGGCGTATAGTAAAACACAATAAAGCGACCAGATCACAAACGTAAGAGAAGATGGTTCCCCGCCCTGTGAATGTCCGGGGTATACTTTCGGCAGATCCCTGTACATTAACCTCGGTGGGGGTAAGGATGAACGCCCCGTCGGAGATGTCACGTCAAGAATGAGAACATTAAGACCGAACGTCTCTGTATGTCCCTACTAGTAGATATTCAATCCGGTGGCGGGAAGGAAAATGAAAGAGGGGAGGAAGAGGAGGTAACACTTAAATATTTCAATGATTTCTCCAAATCCTTTCTTGTGATTCAGCCGATAATTTTCGACACTTCTACAGTCAATATATTACTCGGGATTCATTTCATTCATCATGAATATCCTTTTTGCCTGTGGGCTTCTTGCAGCTCTCATCTCAACAGTTGCCCTTCTGGAATTTACAAATCCAGTTCTCTGGCAGGATCTTGCTGATACAGATATGATGCGTGTCAACGAGACATACTACTATTCTGCATCAAACATGCACTTCTCTCCCGGAGCTCCGCTTCTCAGATCATTTGACCTAGTGAACTGAGAGTACTTTTCTCATTCCATCCCTGTGCAGGTTCCCAACAACCCCAATTTCAGTCTTCAGGGTGGGAATGCTTATAATGATGGAGTATGTGCATCTTCTCTGAGGTACCATGAAGCCCAGGACCTATACTACTGGGTTGGCTGCCTCCAAAGCACCGGTAATACTTATATCTATACTGCGTCTGACCCGAAGGGGCCTTGGGAACAAGCTTCAGTACTAAGTCAGAAGTGCTACTACGACAATGGCATTCTGATCGACGACGATGGTACTATTTATATCTCTTACGGCAAATAGGTTCCAAATGGGGCCGACGCTAAAGTCTGGATTGCTAAGCTGGATGACAATTTACAAGAAGAGGAAGTTCAACTCGTTTTTTTATCCAATGGTGAGATTGGATACATTGAAGGCTCCCGTTTCTATAAAATCAATGGCACCTACTATCTTTGGGTTGGCCGGGGGTTGGTGGATCCGGGCAGATGATTATCAAATCCAGTGGAGGACCATTCGGACCATATGAAGAGTGGCGACAGGTACTGGCTAACAGCGGTATACCTGTTCCAGGACTTGAATCCCCTTACCAAGGTGCTATAGTTGATACGCCAGGGTCAATGATGTTCTGATGAGCTCTGATGATGGTTGGAAGACAGTCCAGAAGGGGAATGTGACTGAAAGCGTGCACATATCGGGGAATGACATTTGGCTGCGTGTTGATGCAAACATTGGGAGTAGCTCTGATACTGCTAAGTTCTTCTACAGCCTTGATGGCTTGAAATTCAACCCTCTAGGTGACACCCATGAGATGGCCAACGGCGCGATATTCTTTGTTGATGATCGTTATGGAATTTTCAACTTTGCAACAAAGGAGCTTGGTGGCCAGGTTATATTCCAGTCATTTACGATTTCCTCATAATAGCCCATGCAGCCAGATCCAGAAAATAATTTACAAACTTTCAATGCACCTTGAAGGCTCATGTTCAAGAATCCCTCATACTTTTACTTCTAGAAAATAGCTATGAATCCAGTCTTTCGAGAAGCCTTAAGCGGCGCCATAGGTCACTCGTGGACTTCAACATAACCATCCAAACCAGAACCCAGCTCAATTGGGTAACCCATTGGGTACCCAGTTAGGTGCCCATGTGTCGAAAAGAAAAACAGTTTCGTAGTTATTTCGTGTCCGTATGATTTGTGCATTTTTCTACTAGATTGTTAAGTATATCGATTACATCTAAGATCTTTTACCAAGAGTAATTTTTCACATTTAAAGAGAATGTAGACCAGTCCAGTCTAATATACTATCAATGCTCAACAGCATCATTCTTCCTTCCTACTCGGTTTCTTCCGGGGGACATAGCAATTGACTACTGTGTAGTGTAAATAGTAGGACTGGGTCCCGTGACGATGATTGGCTACGCGACGGGCGGAAACCTTCCACCGCCCCTTGCGCTCCCCTGCATCGATCGGATGTATACCACCCAACACTAGCACAAATCACCGCAGAGATCGCAGATCAGTCTACAAATTGGGCAGTACTCTACCCTTTGCAGACGTAACCCCCTCTTAAAAGGCCCAGGGGATGATGATGACCGGTGATGGGTGAAGAGGGTCAGCTCAGGTCAGGGGCAGCAAATGCATCAATAGCGTCTTGGCAACGAACCCCCACCCGCGAACCATTGCGAGTTTAAAAGCCCGCGGATCCCTCGAATCGGCGGGAAATTCGCGGAAATCACCCTCCACGCGCTCCCGTGATCCTTTTTCGCACCATCGTGGTACTTGATCAGATACACGACCCTCCCTACACTACAGCACCGGCATGCGCAACACCGCAGACAGCGAACCCTCTCCGATTTAGGCTCAGCCTTGGCCTTAGCCTCCGAATCCGAATCCGGGGCTGACGAAAGGGTCCAACCCAGTCGATCCACGTCAACATTCCCCCCCTCTGCCGGCACTTACTCGCCTCCTCTCTGTCTACTTCCCTTGCAATCCTCGTGAAATTCAACTCCAACTACGGAATAGAAGCTTCGACTTCACTTCCCAAACCATGTCACCCCCGACCACAGATAACTATACCCAACCGGTAGAATGCAAATACGCGAGCGAGAACCTTCCCACGATCCCCGGTTCAAAATTCTCAACCCTCGTCCCACTATACCAGGAAGATCACCATGGCAGCGATATGTCCAAAATACTCGAATCCTGCTGTAGCACGAGTATTTGGTTCTATGAAGATCCGCAGCCATGCACGGCTGTTTGTACCGCGAGCTCCGATGCGAAGGCGCAGGACGTGCAATATTGCTTGAATGCGCGAGAAGTGAATTATGGTGGGGATGGGAGTACGACTTCAAATGCTGGGGTGAAGAGGGTTCCTGGGAGGAAATTGTGGGCTTTTGTTTTGGTTGGTGGGTTGGTTTTTTCGGCGTGGTGATGATCGGCGGTCTGGTGTTGTTTCTTCATGTTGATATGCATTTTTCTGCCATTTATTTTTGGCTCTTCTTGAGATACCCATTTGTTATTATATTTATGTTCAAATTATATCACGAATAAGGATATGGTCTTGATCCTAACTACTAATCAGAGGAATGTTGACCGGCCTGCTCTCTGCCTCCCGAAGGTGAACTACTAGTAGCTACCTTAGATAGAATAGATTGGCTTCTCTATTCTATCCAAGGTAGCTACTAGTCTGTCATTAGAAAGCAGTCAAAAATAGTGGCCAATGGGAGGAAACTTTTGCGACACCACTGTAAAATACCTCTGTATACAACGACCCTGCGCTTATGGCGCGCCGTACTCTCGGCTCGGCTCACTACGATTTTACCTACGGCCGACTTGCATGAACGGTGCATAAGATGCGCCGCGCCACGTCAGAACAAATCGCCACGCTGAGCTCTCCTCCCCCACTTCTGAATCATTCAAAAAGCAGCTGAAATAGACTCGGAAGGTGCTCACGTCTCTTTTCACCCCTCGCACTGCTTTGTACCTCGGCATCAACAACACATTCATCACGATGAAAGAAGAACCCCACATTGCCGTCCAGACAACGGACACGAATAAGGGTTCAGAAGCCGAAGCTTTTCTCGGTGGAAAGTGCGGCCAGCGTTTAATAACCCACATCATCGATGAGACAGCTTGTCAAACTCCTGACCTCGAATGCGTGTCTATTCTACGAAGCAACAATCCCCGCGATGGCTGGAAGCCTATCAGCTGGTCCCAAATCGCCAATGCCGTCAATTATGCAGCACATATGATTATTATGCAGGCCGGCCACCCAGTACCTGGCACATTCCCTACAGTGGCCTACATCGGCCTGGAGGACCCACGTTACCTCGCCTTCGTGATCGGTGCTATCAAGGCGGGCTATAAAGCCCTACTCATCTCACCTCGCAACTCGGTAGAGGCACAGCTAAACTTGTTTGTTCAAACGAAATGCAGTATATTATTCCATGAACAGCAGTACGCGCCGATGGTACAGCCATGGGTGGATTCCAAGCCGGGAATGAAGAGTGTGGCTGTAGCTCCATTTAAGGAATGGGTTGCTGATGGAGTGACATCGGTTCCATACAGCAAAACCTTTTCCGAGGCAGAGTGGGACCCCTTTCTGGTTTGCACACTAGTGGCAGTACCGGGCTTCCCAAAGCTGTTGTGCTGCGGCAGGGTATGGTCGCTATGTATGATCTTCATCGTTATATACCAGCACGCAACGGCAGCTTGACTTTCCTTCCGACATGGACTAACTTTCCTAATACACGCCATCTGCTTATAATGCCATTGTTTCCTGCTGCAGGTATTATTATGTCGACAGTGTTCGAATTTTACTACAACGCTCCGATCATGTTTCGGGAGCCCTCCCGACCTATAACGGGCGATAATATACTCGAGTGGTTGCAACACAGCAGCCCTGGGTGGACGATAATACCGCCGGCTATTTTAGATCACATGTCTCGCTCACAAGAGGCAATTGATGAACTAAAAAAGCTGCACATCGTGGGTTTTGGAGGAGGTAAAAAGCCTTTCGCGGCACAACTCGGTGCTAGATATTGGGCTAACCTGAATACTATCTTCCCAGGCTCTATTTCCCCGGAAACACCTAATCGACTGGTGCAACATGGTATTAAATTGGTGAACATTATTGCAACTACAGAGTGAGCAAACCTTTCATCATTGACCTCACGCATATTAAATGCTTACACTCTTATTCCAAAGGTGTGCTTTCTTTCCTTGTTATTCTCAGTCGGACGTCGCCATGTGGCAGTGGTTCATCTTTCCTAGTGATTTAATGGGCATTGAGTGGCGGTTAGTCGGAGAGAATACATACGAGCAGGTCATAATGCGCAAGGATAAGCACCCCGGGCTACAGAGTTGCTTTTACACCTTTCCCGAGCTGGACGAGTTTAGCACCAAAGACCTGTACCAGCCACATCCAACCCTGGCAGACCACTGGACATACATCGGAAGAGCTGACGATATTATTGTCTTCTCCACGGGAGAGAAGCTCAACCCTGTCTCCATTGAAATGGCTGTTACGGGTCACCCGGAGGTAGTTGGCGCCCAGGTCGTTGGCAGTAAGCAGTTTCATGCCGCACTAATCGCTGAGCCAGCGCAATATCCCAAGAGCGAGGAAGAAAAGAAGCTGTTTCTTGATGGTATTTGGCCAACTATTGAGAGTGTTAATGCCGAAACAGTTGCACATGATCGTATCTCTCGCGACTATGTCTTTTTAACGGATCCAAAAAGACCATTTCCCGTGCAGGCAAAGGTACCATCCAAAGGGCTATGGTCATAAAGCTATACGAACGAGACATTGAAATTTTCTTTGATGAGCGCAAATATGAAATGGCCATGTCAATGGATCTTGATGTCACCTCTCAGCCAGCATTTGCAAAGTCACTTCACTAGTTAGTCCAGTGTGTGTTCCAAGGTGATGAGCTGGGCGCAAATGACGATTTATTTACCGTGGGGATGGACTCGTTACAAGTAATCCAGCTGTCGCGCACGTTGCGAGCAAGTCTGTTGAACGCGGGCGTTGAGCTTGGCGAGAATGAGATAGACCCGCGAGCTATCTATACTCATCCATCAGTCACGGAGCTAGCGAAGCATATCTTTGCTCTAGTTCATGCAATTCGTGACAAGGTAGAGCAGGGCGAAAATTCATGCTCAGGTGTGACGGTCGATGACAAGGCCATTTTCGATGCACTCGTTAACAATCCATTCGCGACCTCCCAGTTGCAGCGCCCAACAAGCCAGCTCCGGCCAACAAAGGACAAGTAATTATCATCACAGGCACAACGGGAGCGTTAGGATCATACCTACTAGAGCTTGCCTTGAAATGTCCTCATGTCCGAAAGGTGATCTGTTTCAACCGTGGTGCCAACAGTCGCGAGCGCCAAATCGAGGCCAGTTCAACCCGGGGACTGTCGACTGACTTTTCTCGAGCCGAGTTCCTTCAAGCTGATCTTGCCGAGCCTGGCTTAGGCCTTGCTCCTGAGGTCAGAATGCGACTTGCCGATGAGATAGATCATGTAAACGGCGGACCTGTGAATTGCCTGTTCGAGTTAGCTTTGCCTTTCTAGGTTTAGCGCCCCAATACGTCGTCACGTAACCTCCCTTCAATGTTCCCCGACTTACAGACCCAACCTCAACAATCTCATGACCATGGCGTGCAGCCAGTTTTAACGGGGTCATGCCGCGTTCATCGGAAGATTCAATATTGGCACCGTTTTCCAGAAGCAGTTTGACCATAGTCTCATCGCCAAACACTGCAGCCAAACGTAATGGAGTTGGCCGTCTCTCCCTGAGGTTTCAATATTGGCGCTGCTATTCAGGAGCAGTTTGGCCACAGTCGCGTGGCCATAGTGAGCAGCCGAATGCAATGAAGTCCTGCCCGATACATCTGAAGATTCAAAGTAGGCGAAAAAAGGATATCCAGACTGGATTCCCTGAAGCTCGACCTTGGACTGAAGACGATTCTCCTCAAATGCATCATATGAAAGATATGTCAGACAGCTATCAGTGATTATTTCATGAAATTTTGGGAAACAGGCTTCCCATATGTTCTCAAAGTATTTCTGCGTGGTGTAGTGGACAAGTCTCACGGTACCCGTTAGCTCATAGACGAAGACCAAGCCACCACAGTATGAGCTTAGCTGCTTAATGTCTGTGATATTCAACTAATCGAACTCGTGAGAACTGATCTCAATCGCAAGCGCATGTTTAAGCTGAGCCACAGTGAGAGGGCCTTTTGCGTTCGCGATCCATCCTATAGTTCTCTTCGCAAGCTCTACGACATCTGCACTTTGATGCTCAATCCTCTTGACGATTTCGCTATAAGCATGCTCGTAAACGTTGTACTGAGATCCAGAGTTAAATTTAGTTATCATATTTCGAACCCTCTTCTCGTTCCCCTGATCGAGGAGTAAATTGAAGTAGAGTCGAACGAGAAGAAACCTTGGCTATGTTAGTAGTGCACTTTTGTCCGGCTCTAGATATGCTTATATCCCACGAGCAGCTTTTGATGCACTGCTTCAGATTCGGCCTTTGCTGCACAAAATCCGGAAGTTCAACTATACGTGAGTCCAAGTAAGATTGGATGTCTTCGCGCCTGGGTTTAATCTCAACAGAAACGTAAGTCTGAAGGTAAGCTGCAATTTCAGTGTTGGGTCGAGAAATTGCCAGTATACTAATGCCTGTTTGGACACTGAGACTGACAAGCTGGTGAAGGAATGGTTGACGAACACTGACGAGGCCGTCGGAAACTGAGCGTTCATCAAATGCATCAATAATGAAGAAAACTCTTGTGCTTGTAGCAATAATAGATTTCAACTCGCAGGTGATTGAACTTTCGGAGGGACGAGTCTTCTTTTTTACGTGACTCGTATACATTGACTTGACACCATCAGGGATCAAGGCGGCCGAAGCCCGACAGCTAGTCATTGGCGTCAGCAGTTATGGCAGAAGTTTCCGGATGAAGGACGCGTGCTGCTCCGGTCCCTTCTGCACCTTTACTGGAGATAGAAATCACTCCATGGCCTATGCCGCTCCTTGCACGTCAACTGCTGGCTACATCTCCAACGCTGAGATCAACGACATAATCAAGAACCACGGGAGCTATTCCATCGTCAAGTCGTCCATTGACAAGGCTTCTGACTCCATGCTTAGTTGTTTCGTGAAATGCTACTACATTGGTTGATCTTCTTCCTCTCGTACCTGAGCGTAACACGAAAAAGGCGATGTATTGGTCAGAATTGAGCTCAATAAAGAAAAGTGATTGACGATGGCTGAATAATCTAAAGCTTCCCAGCTGCGGCGTAGCGGTCATTTGGTTGACACTTTGAAAACCACCCCATATATTTGTCCTCGATGTAAGGTGCTATACCAGTACCTGGATACACCGCCTCGCGCCCGTGGGCAAACCGCGCTAGCGCCTGTTCTGCATGCGCTTCAACGTCATATCCATATACCTCCAGCACCGTCTGAGGGTCATCGTAGAGATTGCTGCTGCGAACCAAATATTTCCCTTCAAGCGACGGTGCCATTGCCGCATCGCGAGCCTGTTGCTTAGGGCCATCCGGCAAGTGCCAGATGGCACCATTCAGAAAAGAGACCTGTTGTTTCATAAAGGCTTTTGGCATCCGCTCGAGCTCGTATATATTGATGGCTTCGCGAAGACTCAGCCTTCCACGAGTAACTGCCCCGACGCACTTTGCGAGGAAAGCTCCGTCTTCCATGGACGTAGCAGCCCCTTGCGCCATATGGTTTACCATTGAGTGCGCTGCATCCCCCATCAAAACCACATTCTTCTGTGGGGAGGACCATGATTGCAAGGGTCCGGTCACCAATAGCGGCCAGCGTGACTGCCAGTATACAGAACGTCAGCAGCAATCCAGAATTTCTCGAAAGGGAGTAAAGCTAACAGTCTCGGTGATCATATCGACAATGCGTTTAATCCGAGGATCAAAGTCTTTGTATACATCCCGCATTTCCTCGACAGGAACATTCGGTTGGGTACTATAGACCTTCTCCGGACGATGATGCGAGAGCACCAGGTTGAATGTTTCGCCCCCACTGATGGGATAAGTGATAATATAGGCATTATGTCCCATCCAGACCTCCATCGTCAACTTTTGAATGAGCTCCTTTGCAATTGGGTCCTGCCGGATACGGTCATACGGTATAATCGCCCGGTAAGCACAGTTGGTAGTTTTGGCGTCCGGCTTTATGTTCGGAAACAGCGTACTTCGGACAATGCTGTTTACGCCATCAGCACCCACGCAGAGGTCGAAATGATATTTATCCCCTTTTTGTGTTTCGACCGTGACTTCACCCTTCTCCTGATAGTCAAGTGAGATGACGCAACTGTTAATATGAATCGCTGCTCCTAGACGCGTGGCCACGGCCGCGAGACCTTGGTGGAGATGAGCACGATGAACAAGCCACCACGGTCTGCCCAATGCTCTTTCGACAATTGGTATTTCGGTATGTCCGACAAGAGTGCCATCTTTGCGGCGCATATTCAGTTCTTCTATTTGAACCAAGTTGTCTCCTATCACATCCGCAACGCCCCATTTCTGCAGCAGAACCGATACATTCGGCGTCATCTGGATCCCGGCCCCGATCTTTTTTCTATGAGCTCCTGCATGCGGCATTATTTGCTGACTGGTAAGGTTTAACTTACTTCGAGTAATTCATCCGCTGCTTCCAGGACAGTGACATCCACCCCTGCACGTCGAAAGGCAATGGCAGCTGCCAGCCCTCCTATTCCTGCGCCGATGATTCCAACATGAACACGCTGATTCGCCTGTAGGTATAAGTACAAAGTCAAGCATTCGAGAAGCAGCCTTCTCACCATGTTCCACGTTCCGGGTTTATAGAGCTACTTGTGGTAGAGAATAAAATAGCTTAGGATTGCACTTGATGCAACAAGTCATGGGGATACCGAAGGATACCTTATATATACTTGCAACTACTCTATTTTCGCACTCCCCGGGCTGCCCACTCGGGGAGTTAGGCATTCCGGCCCAGCCCTGGGGGGTAGGATACCCCGGATTCACCGCATCCGCTGACTGAGGCTGGACGGGACGGACGCCTGTGGGACTTCTAAACCCACGCGAGACGGAATTGGTGGCGCATGTGGGGTAAAGTTGAGGTGTTAAATAATATTCGAACGATAATGCCGACACACGGGGATTGTCAAATGATCATAGCATTGGCTAGATAGTTTACTGTCATTACCTGACCCGCTGGGCCGCCGGGCCGTCAGGGGTTCGGTGCCGCACTATTATCCAGCGGATCTAATTCTTACTATACTATCCTTCTCTGTAAAAGATCCTCTACATCATCTATCAGCAGGTACGCTAAGATGTCTGCCTTAAGTTTATTTTTCTCACTCCTACGGCAATGCCGGATACTGAGACTATTGCTCCTTCCGCGGCGAAACCATCTCGAGAGGCTCGAACAGCCGAACCGCCCAGCTTGTACCTACATGGCCCCTTCTCTGTTTGCTCCACTACAGCTAACTCGTAGTCAATGCCTCACTATTCCGAGGACCCTACCGAGAAGCTGCAACCCTAACCAATCATGAATTCGCCAAAGTCCACGGGCGGTACCAAGTCGGAGCTGTGAAGAGAAAAGAGCCCGGTTGAATATTCGGTAGGAAAGTCGAAAGCAAGCCTATTATCAAAATATGGCTCTTCTGAAACTGTGCATTGTGCAGGTGAGAGCTGTTAGCGGTTTTTTGAGACAATTGCTGAAGCGTGGGCAGGGCCAGCCTTGGAATGGCACGGATGGGACGGAAGGGCGGTTTGCATCTGTGCGGGATAACTAACTGAGAGGATCCAATATTGCAGATAGCTGCGAAAGATATTCTTGACACCGCTCAACAACAGGGTTTCCCGGGTCAAGCTGACGCAGTGCTTCAGCCGCCGTGTCAATACAGGGCCGGGAATGGCTAACCATGATCCAGGCTGACGGGTTGCGGTCACGCTCCTTCGATGCCACGATGAGGGAGCCGAAAATAACTAGTGCTGCATTGAAGGCTGTGTTACATCAGCTTCAGTTTCCTTGAAGTCAAATATAACAGAACCCCACCTACTGTAATAGAGTGAATAATTCCATGCACCCAAGAACTCACGTCGCCAGCCACTACCGGCAGACATATTGTGTACAATCGAGATAATCGACATAGCAGATTCAACACAGCTAATGACGCTGCTCAGCCCCATTTGCTGAAGCAGCCGCGTTTCAGACGTCGCCAGCGTGTCACCTTGTGTCTGAACTGGGTCGAGGAGGCTCTCTAAGCAGCGGCGATGCACCAGGATTCGAAGGTTATTATAGCGCACGAAGAGGACAACCTCGAATCGATGGCGGATTATCGAGCCAGTATCCATCTTCTCAACGTCATCCAGACTTAAGGGGCTGTCGCATACTTTCAGGCCCAGGGAGGGCAACTGCTGCAGTCGCCATTCATCGAGCTGGCGCTGCCCTTCGAGGATCCCGGACATGGCGTCTATAGGGCTCGTGGAAACTTCGAACCCTAAATTGGCCCCGTAGCACGATTCGAGCACGTTATAAAGTATAACGTATAGCTTTCTGTATATTATTAGCGAAAGATCACTGTCTTCCAATTTACATGGAAAATCAAGTCAGAGCTCACACTGCAGCCGTAAAAAAAAGAGCCGTCCAACATTCGATAAGTATTAGACTCCGCGGGCGAGCTCAACATTTGCAAGTCCTGGGAGGGCATTTCCAGCTTCACGTAAAATTCAGGTATGGTACACGGGCGACCGAAAGTCATGCTTAAAGTACTAGAATGACCGAATCAACGCAATGCGCAAGACCTCATAAAGAGCTGTCCTCACCGGTCAAGAAGGACACATCCAAACCAGGTGCGTTTACGAGTCTCACATTCCGCTGGAGGAAATCCCCGATTTGCATCTGGAGAGTGTAGACCTAATTGATACGCCGCAGATATTGCCAACCCATGTGCCGTCCAAGCTTGCACTGACTTTTGGGTACCTTGTAGGTACTGACCCAGGATTAGGAGATATTGCACTGCATCGGAATTAGCTCGCTGACATACTGCGAAGAACAAGGTCAGCTCCCGCATCGACACTCACCCATCTCTAAGCTGGCATTCCGTTTGGAATCTCGATCACAGAGGCCATTTGCTCTTTGATAATACACATCGGATTCCTGTATTCGTTTCTCCGCAGGCATGTCACCTTTGGTTGACAGACTTGCTGCGATAGCAAGGACGATGTTGAGCAGACCGAGCCAGGTTCTACGAACCTTGCGAAATCTTTCCTTCTTCATCTGAAAGTATGTCTCGCAGAATGATTTTTCATGGATAAAAGGCAGAAGCTGTCCGGTCTTATGGAAGTACTGCTGAATAAGACTCCACGTACGTTCCTCGCTTGGTAGAGCGTAGATGTTGACTGCCGCCCTCAAATTAATGTTTTCAACACTCACCGGGCGGCCCGTAGAGGGGGATTTGGCACCGTTGACCGTGCCGCAGGTCCTCTGCGACGAAGACGGGGCCAGGGTCGGCTCCCTATGCGGACTTGTCTTTGCTATCGCTCGGGATATATACCGCAGAAATGCAATATTAGAAGAAGGCCCTTGCACAATTAGCGCCCAGGGGTGCCACCAACAATCCCATATAGGTAGACAATTAGCATACCGAAGAAACCGCAATTCTTTTCGTCTGTAAACTGAAGCGCTCCCATTCCGTCTACCGAGCTCTCAGATACATCAATTTCTCCCAGAGGCTCTGTTGTATTCTCGCCCCTGGGATCTGGTGCTGCTGCTGAGGCAGTTGAAGAGTCTTGTACATCTTTCAATGGGTCTTCTGACCCCCTACTCGGGCCTTCACTCGATTCTTTGCCGTCTATGGGCGCCGATGAACTATGGTCCTGGAGCTGCCGTATTGACGCTTCCATCTTCTCTAGTCGCTGCTCCAGTTGCAGGATATAGCTTGGACATTTGTTAACATCGTCGCCTACAGATCGCTCGCAAAAGACCTGTCGATGGCAGTGGAAGGGAATTGAATGCTCTTCACCTTTTTCTCAAGGTCAAATTATTCGGACCAGCACCCTCAGAATACAAACATTCGATTTCCAGTTCGTGGCATAGGGCACATGGCCGATCACCTGAACACTAGAAGAGATTCCGGTCAGCCCGGCTGGCTTTCAGGCACCATTCGAATCGAGGCGGACTGCGTCCTCACCCGGGATTTCCTGTGCCGACAAGATTGGCAGGCCAATGTGGCCCTGCGCCGTTTATTCGACTGCGGCGCGGACGGAGACATGGTTTGAATGGGCGCTCGTGGTATTAGGATACATGCATCCCCTGCAGTTATCGAAGGGCAATCGCCAGGCATTCTCTTTCAGATCCAACCGAGGGTAATGCGTGGTAAGGAAGCCTTTCCCGGAGACTCCAATTCTCCCCGCTCGCATTTCCCGCTGTCTTTTCCGGGAATGATTGGCAGTTTCACAGAAACCCAGCTCTTTTCGGCGAAGGAAAGAGATGATCGCATCCGACTGCGCTCTGTTAAGCTACTTCCCCACACCAGCCTAACTCCCCGGTCGCAACCAAATCCCGGCTCGACGGTTCGACATCTTAACCATTCCATTCGTCCGGATGGCGTTTCCGCTTGACAGGACCATTAGAAGCCTGCTCGCGGGCGAGTATATAGAGCCCAGTTGGACTTTGCAAACTGAATATTCGGTAGACTCTCCACTGCAGATTCTAAGCAGAATTCAACGCCTTCTCCTTTATCATATTTATCATACGGACCACGCAAGGCTCAACTGACAGGCATAATGTCTCGTACGCAAATTGTACGAGTCCCTCACTTGGGGGGTATCGATGCTTCCTATCATATGCCCTACCCGTATGACGCAAAGAAGCCCACGCTTGTTCTCGTCAACTCCTTCACCACCTCCGCGGATCTCTACCGGAAACAATATGATGACAAAGCGTTGACGGACTCCATGAATCTACTGGCCATAGAACTGCTTGGCCATGGCCAAACACGAACCAAGCGTGAGAATTGGACCTATTGGGATACCGCGGAGATGAATTTGCAGGTCTTGGATGCCCTCGGCATTGAAAAGGCCTTTGTGCTCGGTACGAGCCAAGGTGGTTGGATCACTGTTCGAATGGCGCTTATGCGACCGGAGAAGGTACGTGAATCCCAGATAGGCACACGAGTATGACATGGCCCCATCTCAAACGTCCAGTAGATCCAAGGAATCATCCCGCTTGGAACCTCGCTGGACTACGAATCTGAGCGCACACGCCAGCTTAATTGCTGGAATGGCCCCGGGCTCCTGCGCCCCAATATTACGAAGTGGACTACAAACGAGCCTTCTCAAGACTTTGAGCCGGACACCGGGTACTGTGACTTCCTTATTGACATTGGTTTCAATGAATGCGCCCCGGAGCTCCGCGAATTCTGGCGGAAGACGATCAAGGCCAACTATCGTGGCGATGACGGTCGTCGACGTATCCGGATGGCGGCCATTAACCTTGCTGAACGAGATGGACTGCATTCCCGCCTGTCCGATGTTCGGTGTCCTGTGCTGTGGCTACACGTAAGTTTCTACCGTCGGACAGCTTCATGTCCACTTGCCAAGAGAAGGCTTTGGCTAAATCCATCTTGCGATGTATAGGGTACCAAAGACGTGGTGTACTCGATTGCAAACGCTCAAGAGGAGATCAAGATGTTCGTGAACTCTCCGGATGCACAGTTAGTGACGGTGGAAGGTGGAACTCATTTCTTGAGTGGCTCTCATCCGAACGAAGTAGACAAGGCCTTGATTGAATTTGTGATGAAGTGCAACTGATATCTTGAGATTGATTGTTGAGGGGTGGTAATTAACCACGGAGACTGTCGGCTATTAACACAGTTATGGCTTAAAGGATGCTAAGTTATTTCTGAGAAATTCCGGCCGTGATCGTGGATTAGCCTCGTGGGAGGAAGTATATAAGTTTGAAAATGAATTTCTTGACTTCGAAAGTGGCTGGTGGCCCCTGCATTGTTATACCAGTATACAAGGGAGACACGCTGCGTGCTGGGTCCTTACGGCCCAGTCATTCGGTCACTTGCTCGAGCATCCAAATACAGCAGCAAAATCAATCATCGGAAGGTATTCGGACCAATCATCTTGATAGTAATTAACGAAGGGTCTCAATCTCTGCGCCATGTATTGATTGCCGATCTCGCTCTGCTCATCGGTCTGTGGATGATAAGCCGTTGACAATCTTCGGTCGATACCAAGGATTCTGCAGAACTCTTTCCAGAATTCGGACACAAACTGGCCACCACGATCTGACACAATTGATTCAGGAAGGCCTACCCAGCGATAAACATGGCCGACAAACAGACGCGAAGTTCCCTTCGCATCAATATCCTTGTGGCAAGGGACTGAGATCGGCCGCTTAGAGGGACGGTCCACGAACACGCACACTGCGTCAAACCCGTAACGATCCTTCGAAAACGATCTGAAATTCATTGTGATATGTTGCCACGGGCGTCTTGGGATTGGCAAAGGTTGCAGCAGTCGTGGAGCACGATCTCGCCAGGTCTTTGTTCTCTTGCATATCTGGCAATTATCAACGTACCGATCCACATCTTCCGATAGACCTTGCCAAAAATAACGCGCAGAAACTATGCACCTCGTTTTCTCTGGCCCTGGGTGTGCCGTTGAAGGTTGACGATGAATCTCATCAAGTAGGCGCGCGCGAAGATCTCCCTCGCCAGGAACAACCAACCGCCCCTCGCGGAGAAGCAGACTATCTTGCAACTGCCATTTCCTGTGACCTTGCTCCGCCTTCTCGCGATATTCTTGAAGACCCTCGTTGGTGCGATTCTCCTTCAAAATCCGATCGACGATTGGTGAGACAGTGACCGAGGTCGATAGAAATACAAACACCGAGTTGGAAGGCCGACGCTTCTAATTGATTACACGTACTTGAGCTGGTTCTCATCTCCAACCTGTGATCACCCTGTTTTCATTCAACTGAACAAATGTATGAACGCAAAAGAGACAACGGAGCCGCTGCTGGCTCTGTTCCTCCTCCTCTTCCTCCTCCTCCTCCTCCTACTCCACCACCTCCCCCGCCCGAAGATCTCAGCTCGGAAGTCTCCCCGTTCGTCATGAAGCTGAAAGCTGCCCCTCCTGGCTATTTTTTCCAGCTCGAAAGACCACCACCTCATACAGATTCATTCGCTGCGCCAACCGGCCCTTATTTCTTCTACGGTACCCTGTCTGACCCAGCTATGCTGCGAGATGTCCTTGGCTTGGAAACCGAGCCACAACTTTGACCCGCCTCCATTACAGGCTATGAATGCAAGCTATGGGGTCAGTGTCCAGCTATCCTAGATGCCCCGGAAAAGGTTGTTCAGGGCGTTGTCATCATGTCGAGACAGAAGAGCATGGGGAGAGGCTTGCTAGCTATGAAACGGACAATTATCGGGCCGATCCATGTCGCATCAACTATATCGATGGGAATGAGCCCGTGGATGACTTTGGTCATGTTTTTAAATTTGTCGGCAATGTCAGAGACTTGAGCGACGGCACCTTTGATCTAGGGACTTGGCTAAGGAGGGTGAAGAGGGTACCTGAGGACCCATCAGATGTTAAGTAGTTGAAGGCAAGAAAAGACATGTATCATTGCCCCCAGCGCCAAGAAATACGAGGTATTCGCTCATCGACCCATCACTCAACCATGCTTCTCAACCCTGCTTTGTCCTTGATGCTGTTATCTACATCATGTCGCGAATCTTACGCAAGCATGTATTGTGTTCTTGGCAAGCTCTGTCGTTCCTAGTAGCCGGCACTCTACTCCTGGGAGCCTAGCTTGGTGGCATGGCATGGTGACGTCCACGCGAGTCATATCGAAGTGCAAATGATTATAACCCCTGTTTCGCATTCAGGATAAATTTGCTCATAGGTCGCTTGTAATAAGAGCTTACTACATACAAGGCGTATAGCGCTCCGAAGCTGGGAAGCTTCAGACGGTGCCGTGGGGCAAAGCATCCACAGGGTCGCTCTGCCTTCGCAGAGATAGGCACTTGGGGGAGAGCTCACACAGAGCCAATTTGCCTGTGGGTGGGATTGGACCCAAGAGTGAATTCCCCCAGGGGATTCCATCCTTGGGTTCCAACCCACATACGGGCGAGTTGGCCCTGTGGAATCAAAGATCGACGCTGTCCAACCGCTAGCATGGGGTGGGGCACTTGGTGGCGTCTCGCATCAGTGGCATTTAGGCATTCTCTCTGACATGCTGTTTTGCGGCTCTGGGCGGGTGCAGAGTAGTGGTGTTACAGGGCAGTGGGCGGTCAAGGGGCTGCTGGACGACCAAAGTTACGGGTGGAAAGGCAGCCGTTTCTGGCGTCAAAAGTGGTCATTTTCGGCGTCATCTTCACAGGTCGCTATATTCTATATGTAATCCACAATGCTTGGCCTGTGAATTTCAACATGTCCGTAGGGTCATTTGAGCCACAAATCCGAGGAGTACGTCACCTGGTTGACTTTTCCGCAAAGGAGACGAGAAAAGTCGTGCATTCAACGTTTATTTCCACTATTGGAACTGTAGAAAATTGGCCAGCTCCGGAAGTACCTGTACCCGAGAAGGCTCTTCCAGATTGGTCCCTCGCCATGCTTGGGTACGGCCAGTCAAAGCTCGCGAGCAGCATCATTCTTGACAAAGCCGCGAAGGAATCAGGCGTGCCAAGCGTTATAGTTCGAGTTGGTCAAATTGCGGGCCCGCGCGGGAAGAAAGGCAAATGGAATCCACAAGAGTGGCCTCCAAGCTTGGTCCGAAGCTCCCTATACCTAGGCCTCCTGCCTGACTCGCTTGGCACACTTGACAACATTGGGTGGGCACCAGTTGAAGATATTGCCAGTATGGTGTTGGACGTCTCCGGTGTGACTTGTCCTCGCCCAGCAGAAGAAGTGACCGGGTATTTCCATGCGCTCAATCCGAAACCAACAGACTGGTCTAGTCTCATACCCACGCTACGTGACTTTTACGGCGAAAGAATCCAAAAGCTCGTCTCGTTTAAAGAGTGGATATGTGCACTCGAAAAGAGTCAGGTTGATTCCTTGAGCATAGAAAAAAACCCAGCGGTCAAACTGCTTGATACATATCGATTGGCAGCGGAGGGTGTGAAGATGGGCTCGAAGGGAATTACAATGTCTACGACGCGTGCTGAGTCGTATAGTTTGGCGATGCGACAGGCGGAGGCAGTATCGCCGAAGTTGATAAAACATTGGTGTGAGCAGTGGAAATTTTGAAAGCCTTAGTGCTCCGCCAATAGAGAAAGCCATTTATAGGTCTGTATAATCCGATGGGTATCAAAGAATGACTTGAATTCAAATCTGAGGTAGCTCACCTGGGCAGCGACGAGCGAGAAAAGACTTCCCGGGTAGACTTTTGGCGATATTGAACTTTTCCAAGATTCATACAGCGCGCTGGATATGGCCCAATGCAGTGATTCTATGCCATTATACTAAAATCAAATTGTCCGATTGGTAAAGTATCTCCGATATTCTACTAGTCGTAAATCGGGCTCAAGTTGATATGGGCCCACTTCGTACCGCGCACCAATCAGTACGGCAGATCATCGTGAATGTAAATGAATCATCATGATCGGACCTCTGTCAGTTTTCATAGAACTACTACACGCAGTTCTCCTATAAATGGCTCTATATTCGCCTCATAAATCAAGGAGAAGTAGAATAAAAGACAGCGTCACTTGAATGAGCCTTATACATCACACTACCAGCAAAACTTACTCATCGACGAAAATGTATCACTACAAGACAAAAGAGGATGTCCTCAAAATGGGTATTATCGACCCAGAGCTTGAAGAGGTAAGTAAGATCGACATTTATTCCTCTACATGCCCTGACGGTGATGCTACAGGTCCTTAAACATACTCCAGCTCCCAAGTTTGACTTTTCGCTACCCGTTGAGCAATTGCGAGGAATGGTTGACGCCATGGCGAACAAGCTATACGAGACTTGCCCAACATTTGATACGCAGGAATCTGTGATCAATATCACAATGCGCGACGGACATCAAAGCGAACTAAACATAATCAAGCCGCTCAACTCATCTTCGGCCAATCCAGCGGTGGTCCTCATATTCGGTGGAGGGTTCATCATGGGATCCAACACCCAGTGCATCAACTGGGCCCGTGCGATCGCGCACTTATACAAAGCTACGGTTGTTCAACTCTCCTATCGCCTAGCGCCGGAGTACAAATTCCCATTTGCCCCGAACGATGTATGGGATACTGTGAAATGGGTATCAGGCAACCCGTCAGCTCTCGATGCAGACCTGTCCAAAGGATTTGTGATTGGTGGTGGATCGGCTGGTGGCAACCTTTCCATTATCACTGCTCATCGTGCTGCTAGAGAAAAGCTTTCTCCGCCGATCACCGGAGTTTTGACCAGTGTCCCAGTGTGCACCAGTGAAGAGACACTGCCGGCGAAATACAAAGCGCTGTGGCTATCTCGAGAGCAGAATGCGAATGCTCCTGGAAATCCAGGCCTTGACTCAAAGTCTATTGAAGGGTACGAGGCTTTGTACCAGCAAAACTTTCTGTCCGAGAATTTCACGCCCTTCACCACCCCACTTCCATGGTCTGACTTGGCTCTTCCTCGAACGTATGTTCAGATCGCTGGGTTGGACATTCTTCGCGATGACGGTCTGGTTTATGCAAAGGCCCTAGAAGAAAGCGGCGTCGAGGTCAAGCTTGATGCTTACCCTGGTATGCCGCACGGCCATTTCAATATTTGGCCTCACTTGAAGCAGTCGATTAAGTCTCAGGAGGATACTATCTGGCATATTGGATGGCTTTTGCGCCAAGAACTACCCAGAGAGAGAGTGAACGAACTAGTAGCTAGAATGATATAGGTGAAATATAATTATTCTTTTCTCGGAGCGTTATTAGAGGGTGCAAAACTGATCTATGAAAGTAACTGCTTTTTGTCATCCCACATCCTTGGAATGTCATTCGTTTGGTGGGGAAGAATTTCAATGGCAGATGTGATATAGCGGATATTTCGATTTCCCTCCTGAACTCCATTATAAATATCTGAAATGCCTCAGAAAGCTTCGATCCTCGCTCAAGTTCTTTCTATAATTCCAGAATATCATGCATCAAGCTAGCTCAGAGGGCGGCACTTCATTCGTCTTCTTGAATGCGTGGCCACTGGCAGCCAACTCCTGTCGTGATACTTTGTCGGCCTCAAGCTCGTTTCGTTTAGAAGCGGTGTCATTCAGTTCACCCAATGGTCTACCTTCTCCTTCAACTTCGGCTGGACTCTGCTCAAATTCGGAGCCTGTATGCGACTTGGAATTGCTGGATATTTTCGAGCGACGACGGCGACGGAGAAGAAGAAATATAACGACGGCAATTATGAGTATGCCGCAGACACCCCAACAACTCCGCCAGCTATCGCGCCTTTATTCGGACCATCGTTCGGGTCGTTATTCGAAAGCATATTTGCACCGTTAGGCGTACCGTTATTCGAAGTTTTAGTGGTGCTGTTATTCGTAGTGGAATTTCCAGAGTCAGGATCTTTGAATGAGTCAGTCAGATGTCAAGCAGTTATTGCGATGAAATAATGGGAATCGATGGGGGACAGTGGAACGGGAACCGCAAATGACATACAATCAGGAGTCGAGCGTGTGCCGCGTTCAATATTCAGCTTAGTGCCATTATTCTTGATATATGCATCTGTATTGCAACCAAAAGTCGATTTTCTGATGTCACCACCTGAATCTTTACTAAGATACCCGATCATGCCAGGTTCGCAGCACAAGAACCCCTCCGCGTACCACAAGTCCCAAGTTGAGTTCGCGCACACTTTATTGAAAGATTGTGTCTCCGAGGTTAAGCATAGCCAGTTCAAGTCGCTTGAACGTTGCTGAAGTGATAGCTCGTGTCCCTTTGGACAACAGACGACGTACTCGTTTGCACCCGCAGTTTGAGTTTCATCTTCATTGCAATCGCCAATCCGGCGAATGGAATAACCGGGCTCGATTTTGACAGACATCGAGGCGGGAAAAGACGACTGCTCGTCGAATGGACTTTTTAAGGGATGCGAATTCAGAAATTGAGAAAAAGTGGAGGCGATACGGAGAGGGTAGGGTCGCGGAGGGAAAATGATCTAAGACCCTTAAAAGGAGAGCCGCATGAAATGGTCTATGCAGAAGACAAGGACCGGCCAACTGGGCATGTTGATTGGGGCCGCCAAGTGGTAGTAGGCTGTACATAGTCCCAGCCTCGTTTGCAATTGTGGATCTCGAAAATGTCGTTGACCAGTGACATTGGCACAAGGAGAGTGTACCACATGTTTCACGAGAACAAGGCTCCGCAGTAGATTGAGAAGTAAATTGGATGAAAATATTGGATTGCGGACCAGAGCTTGCCTTATTTGGCCAAGACTTGCCGCGAAATGCCAACTTGGAGTGCTCCTCGATTCCGAGTTTGGACCATGGCATGGTTCATACACGAGGGTTGGAGGCTGACTTTAAGCTTACTCAATCTAAAACTACAAGGGCGAGCTGAGCCTTAAAACAAACCCCCTGGTTTCTGCCGGTCTACGGTCCACGGGACACAGTCAAGCGGACAGTTGCTGTAGATTCTCTGGTGATATGCGGGGTAGGTCCATCTTGTTGATATCAAGAACTCAACACGGGCTTCTAGCCTTGTCAGAATGCTAGTATGAAAAAATAGAAATAACCACGCTTGGCTCCATAAAGTGACGAGGTCCGACCAAGCCTCATAGAACCACGGCAGGACTGGGCGTTCCTTGTGGGGATTTGAATTTCAGATTTAGAATGGGCCCCAATTTTACCTTATTTACCTCTACTATATTGAGTTAGCATCTGGCCATAGCAGTTGTTGTGTGTGTGTGTGTGTGGTATTCTGCTAGCACTGCCGTGATTGATTAGCCCTGATCGTATCTTCCATGTTTTCTACCACTTTGACCTCCTGAACCTGGTTGAACTCTTTTTCACTATTCCCACCTCGGAACCCTTTCCTCCCAAGCTCCAGAAACCCGCTCCTATACGGTCCTTCTACCTGGATGAATCCAATTCCTCCGCTTCGCATACAATTTACGCTTTCTACACCGATAGCTACGCCGGTAGCTATGGGATGTCGATGGCAATCCCAACCTGAGCCGTGCGAGTATCTCAAATTCATCGAGTGAGCTTCCGGATTGCCCTGGCTTGTTGCAGTCCAGGATGACCAGAGCATGCAAACACTTCCCAAGTCAGCATTGGAGGTAACTGGAAAGAAATTTCTGTTATCGTGGTATGATCGTAGGCCCCAAAACGCCATTAGCATGGCCAGATGGATATTCCATTCTCTGTTGCCACGCAACTTTAGAATGAATCCATTATGGGCGATGGTCTAAATGGGCAGGGAGTGGTGGGAAGCACTCCAGACATTTGGGGAACTCGGTATTCTGCTCCAAGAGTATCAAAATCTGGCCTCTGAGCTTGTCAGCTGATTCCGCGATACAGAATACGAGGCATAGTAGTATGCTGTGGCCTTGCATGAGATGAAGATGATGGAGCATAAAGAACATATGTGTATTCGCATACGCTTCAAAATCGCTTTATACCAGTTTTTCGAAATTGCTATGTGGAGAAGATGGCCAATTTGGAAGCCGTAGAGTTGCTGATATCTATCCACCTGGGCATTGAACCCTTGGAACCCCCACTACTATCAGTCCATCATCACCAGAGTGGGGTGCGATTCCCCAATTTAGCCGTGCCGGATGAAACATCAACTGTCAAAAGACCCGCTACTCCACAAAATTCCCCATGAATGACACAAAAGAATTGTCACTCGATCGTCCACCACAATGTAACACGGGGCATCTCCGACCCCGCCTGAAAATACCGTCTCTTTCTCAATCTTTGCTTGGGAGTCATATTCCCCTCAACAACTCCCTACGAATCACCAAGCGAAACCCTACAACCCACCAAACAGCATGGACTCATTTCAGGACAAGGTCTATGTGGTGACAGGCCTTGGTGGAATCGGTCTCGCCGTCGCAAAGCAGCTCCACGCCCGCGGCGCAAGCCTCTCACTAGCCGACATCTCCGAGAAAACCCTCGCAACCGCAGTGCAAGAGATCACCAAAAACACCAGCAGCGGAACGAAGCCCAACGCCGAGAATATCATGACAACGGTCGTGGACATCGGAAGCGCGGCGGCCGTGAACGACTGGATCAGCGCGACTGTCTCACGGTTTGGCAAATTGGACGGTGCAGCGAACATGGCCGGGGCAATCGGTAAACAGCACGGGGTTGGCCGCTTTGTCGACCAAGAGGACGACGAGTGGGATATGTTGGTGCGGGTGAATCTTTCCGGAATGATGTATTGCCTGCGGGCGGAGCTGCGGGCAATCATGGCATGTGGGCCCGACGGTAAGGGGATGGGGAGTATTGTCAATGCGTCAAGTATTCAAGGACTTCGGGGATTTCCATTGCATGCGGCTTATTCGACAACGAAGCATGGGGTTGTTGGGTTGACGAGGTCTGTTGCAAAGGAGGTGGGCCCGCAGATTCGGATTAATGCTGTTGCTCCGTAAGTTTGTTCTATCGAAGGGAAACTACAGGCGATGTGACGCGACTTGATTTGATCTGACATCTTCATTAGTGGCTCGATCCAAACACCTTTGCTTGACCAGGCGGCTGTTATTCAGGGTGGTCCAGCAGTGCCTCCCTCTGTCATCCCCCGGGTTGGAACACCCGAGGAAGTTGCCCAGACAGTCGTGTTCCTATTGAGTGATGCGGCCTCGTATACGACCGGACAAGTCTACAGCGTGGATGGTGGATGGGATCCATGAAATACTAGGAGTGATGTGTACCGTGGAGCCAGATGGAGCATGTGAAAATGTTTCGCTGTATTGTATGTCCAAATCTAAACCATCTACCATGCAGAATGTAATGATCATGTACATGCAATCTAAAATCAAGAAATATAAAAGGATCCCAGGGTTGTTACCCAACGCCATCGCTCATGAGATATATGAATCGCTGAACACAATTTCAAATGAAAATGAACTTGAAGGCCTGTGGTCAGGTTCGCTAGGACCAGATACAGAGCCAGAACCCTGGGAAAATTAGCGAAAGGCCGTCCAAGGGAATACAAGACGAGGCTCACCCATTAGAGTCGTCAGATAGAGCCAGCTGGGAAGGCTGAATATGGAACCAGCACTCACGCTTGTAACTTCAGGCCAACCGTCCTCATATTTTAACACATTCCAGCCGAGACGGGCATCCTAGAAAGAGAGAAACAAAAACATTTAGCCCATTGTTCAAATTGCAAGAGGGTTGTTCAAACTTACTCCATCCTTGAACCCAATACTCGTGTTGAGGTAGTGGTAATAGAGAATATCCGGGGTCGAGTCATTCCCAGCCAACACTCCCAGACCACCAGGCGCATAAACGAGCCCATGATTTGAAGCATAGACAGCCGTGCCACCACCATCCACAAGTGAATCCCCATCTTTATCAACAAACGGACCGCGGACATTCCGCGACCGTCCAACATGAATATTATATTCCTGGCCCCGACTAGGGAACCCACCCTCCTTCTCACCAAACTTGCAACACTGGCCACGGCTAAACCAAGTATAATAATAACCATCATGATAGCTCATCCAAGACCCTTCCTCCGGCTTAACCTTCTGATCCGGCATAAAGGTCAACTGAACCGCATCAGGATGCTGCGGCTCCTCAATAGAGAGAAGATCATCGGCGAGCGGAATTTGCCAGATATTATGCCAGAAACTGCCATAATTGAGATATGACTTTCCAGTTTCCTGGTCGGTGATGAATGACGCATCGATGGCATTCGTCTGGGTGAATGGGAACACATCAGAGCCCTTCCCCTCACCCGTTCGAATCACAGCACCGTGATCCTTCCACGGAGTGCCGTCTAGCTTAGTGGTCGTCGCAACCCCAATCGCGCTATTGCGGCTCCCGTGGGTGCTGAGTGTATAATAGCAATAAAAGGTGCCATTTTTGAAGATTGTCGTCGGGGCCCAGGGTCGCGACCGGTTCCCGACGTCAATAATGCTATTATCGTCTAGCACGGTGCCGATCTGGGCCCAGGGTCCACTGAGATTGTCGGCTTTGAAGATCGGGACATGGTGTCCGCCCTTGAAGAGGTAGTAGTGGTCATCGTGCTGGACGATGTTTGGATCATGCGCGACAAGGTTACCAAGATTTGGTAATGGGAGTCGGTCGGTCGTCTCGAAGACTTGCGATAACGCGGATTTCCATGATCCTTGAGATGCCGGCGCTGCGCCCACTCCCTTGATGTCGACCAGGGCGGCTCCTAGGACTAGGACCAGGGTGCGCAATTTGTTGCTTAGCATTATGATTTCACGAATATGTACAGAATTTATTCCTGCTAGAGGGAGGCGATTCAATTGACAACTGGGCGCAGATAATGCGATGCGCCAGCGCTTAGTGAGACGGATTGCAGGCTATCAGGGTGCACGGCGCATGCTAAGGTGAGAAAGCTGAAAGAGGTTGAGAGTCGATTGGAGGTAAAATAGGCAAAGTAGATGATGGCGATGAAGGACATTTAAATATAGGGAGAAAGCAAATTCCACATGCGCAAGGGCAGCAAGAATAAAAAAAAGTGCACAGCCCAGGGTCCACCGATCGAGTCTAAACAAAAGCCAAGTGTTTTAGGCGTGGCCAACAGTGGGTACTTCCATATACTTTAGCCCCGGGGCTAGTGTGCATATAAAAATAAGTATTTTCCAGGTACTCCCCCCTGCTAGACGCGGGACAGCGAAGGCCCCGAGAGCGGGGAGCCTATAAAATCTTCGGCTGCAGGGTACGGAGGACTTGACGGGCGATATTAGCAGGTTATCCTTGGGTTCCAATAGGTGAATTGGCATACCCTAGTAGATAATCCAATGGAAGATGGCCACCTTGCCCCACTGGGAGAATCGTTTCATCGCTGCCTGGCTGTTATAATGGATGGACCCCGCCCCCACGGGCTCTACAGTAGACACTGCCATGCCGGCCCCAACAGGGTCTGAAAGTATGTATGACCTGGCTTCTTTGAATATGGATATCAACCCAACTGATTTATTTTTGTCCTTGTAGCCTCGCAAGCACAGACACAGGGTCCAATTCCCTGGCCCGTTGGGGCGATGTTTTCGGGGCCGCTAAGCGACCCATCGCTTCGCAAGGCCTCGCAGACTAGTGCTAGCCTTGTGCAGTGTAGCCACTAGTGATGACAATCGCTTGCATAATACACACGGATATCATAACTCACATTTTTACAAAAATAGAGAGAAGGAATGGTCGGAGCTTTCTGGAGCAATGATGATCGTGATCTACAACCCTTGCAGGGGTGACAGGATCGGCACCTGAACTCAGAGTGGATCAGGGCCGCCCCGAATCCCCGAGCTTGGAAGAGCAGGTTTACCACTTATGGCCAAGAACTGCGATAAAATCATTCGCAGTGGCATCCCTGAATCGGTAAGTATCAGGGGGTTGTTTCAAAGGCTATCAAAGCCTATCAATCCACCGAAGCCGGGCTACAATAATAACTCAACACTCCGGGTGCCCCTTTTGGCTGGGAGATCGTCTATATGAGTTGATATGGTACATGGATTGTATATACGTGTAATTGCGCGAGAAATACCTAGCCTGGTTAATTGCCCAGTGCAATTCCCGTTAAATCCTCCCAGTCGAAAACGTCGAGGAAGGGATCGAAAGCGTCAGGTGGCTGGGGTGGTCAGTCAGTACGGCTTGAAGAAAAAAAAAATCGGATCTAGATAGCAAAGTGAACTCACCGGTACGACCATATTCGACGGTGGGAGAATACCGTCAAAGTCGGATGGCATCACGGTCGCCATACCTGGCGTCGAAACAAAAGTAGCGACCTGGTTGTCTTTGAAACTGCCCATTCCGGGGTCCCCCAGATGTTCACAGGTAGCATGTCGGGTGAAGAGTGTCTGTGCGAAAGAGAGGACTCGCTCTACAACCTGTTGCTTATACATAATGGATTGAGCCGGCCAGACTTTGGACTTGACCAAGGCAACGATTGTTGAGAGGAAGAAGTAATCCTTTGCACCCTTGACGACAAGTAAGAAGCGGTTTTCAAGACATATGAGAGCTATCTCAACCAGTGAAATGAGAGAATCTGGAAGACCGGGTAGTGTATGGAGTGTAAACGTGGGGCTGGAAGGATCACAAGTGGCTAGAAAGTCAATATTAGTTTTGTCGTGTGGACATTAGAAGGTTGAGGTAGTACACACTCTTTTCCTTCGCCAAGTATAATAGCTGGCAAATCGAGATGTAGGCCTGAACGGTCCACTCCCCCAGCATGCAAAGTGACAATGGCTGTGAGATTTCATATAGTCTTTTTTGCGTTGTAAGAATCCTCACCGCTGCGTCAAGACGGGAGCGGGCTGAGGGTGCGAAGAGCGCCTCCCGGTGCGCCTCGATCGCAAATGGGGTATGGATAGAAAGAAGGCTTTGTGCTAGCCTTGTCTCGATCATGGCTTTCCAAAGGGTGACCTTGAGTTGGCTGGTATGATCGTTGGGTTCCGATATCGACCATACCGGAATCCGCGAAAAATGTCGACTAAGTTCCCAGTCCAACCGTTGGATTTCTTCGTAGCGGCAGCTGATTCGAGGAGAGTGCATGAGTTGACATGCCCTGAGACGAATGGGCAGCGACCGGTACATGATCGTTGCAAACGAAGAATCAGTAATCTCACTAGCAGGACGGCTCTGAGGGGCTTCCGTGGTTCCCTCGTGAATCTCATCATCATTGATATTTAGTGCAGGGAGAGTATCGTAGTCTGTACTTTGGATATTCGGAGGCATGCCTCGATCGATAGCCACTTGGAGATCAAGTTCCACAATGGTCATCCATATCCGCCGGCGCATCTCCTTATTGAAAACGGAGATACGGGCATACTTATTAGGATCACGATGATATCCTGATAGCATTGCCTGTTTAATGAGGGTACCCGTTGAAAGCCAAGCTTTGCTGCGCTTGGTTCCGAAGCAGTTTTGCGCAACTACCAGCAAGATGTATAGCCGCAAGGCTGTTATCTCTGGCCGCTTTATTTGCGCATTGTCGATCCACTTCTCTGCATGGAGCACCCACTCAACGGCAGTATAGCATTTGAGTGGGGTTGGGCTCTTCTCCTGCAAACTACCTACATCTGCAAGGTTCCACGCACACGCAAGAACGAGCAGAAGCTGCACTAGAAATCCGGTAGAAACATTGCTGGGATTATCCATCAGAGCAAAGAATTGGTCCACTTCCCGTAGAAACGACGGGGCGTGGAGGATGCGGTGTTGGCATTCGATGTATGTTAGATATAAACCAACGAGCTCGTCAACAACGCCACGTGCTGGCAAGAGATCGATCAATGATGCCGTCGTGGGCTCAGGGAAAGGCGTGTTGAGAGGTACCCGTTTCCAAAGTCCCTTCTTGACGCGAACTAAATCGGGGCGGACTTGAGAAAGGATCGGATTTGTTACTCTGATCTCTTCGGCAAAGGGCCTAATGTCGGGAAACTGTTCACAATTAACACCAATGGCTATTGAGGATAGGGCGAATTTTCCTTTTCACAAGAAATACGCAATGGTCGAACATACCTGAGCGATGAGGTTAGCATAGATGCCCGACCCACTATAACGTGTTTTCGTCTCGCGGCCCCTCATCATTATACGTGGCGAAAGATCCAATTGATGCGACGGCGACAATGTATCTTCCTCGTCTGCCTCGTCGATGTCTTCACTGTCGACCTGCGACGTGAACGGCAAGTCAGGCTCCGGCGCAGATCGTTTTTGCCGTTGCAACAAGCCCGTATTCACATACGGTTCCTGGTTAATCGCCGCCTTGGGTGCGCCGAGGACGGTCTCGAGAAATCCACGCTCACGCCCAGAGTGCTTTCCCCTAGGATGTGTGTGCAAATGTGGATGGCGATGATTATGTAGGTGATTTTGATGATGCTGAATATGATTCTCGGGCTCATGCTGGTGTGGGCCATCTCGAGGCGTAGCATCCAGCGTAGGGCCGAGGCCGAGGTTGGTGTTCGAAACGAGTGCGTCCGGCCGAGTCGACACCGTCAAACCCGAGTCTGTTGGCGTCTGAATGGTCTGTTCAGGTTGGGGAACGGTGGGCCCTTGATTAGATGTCTTCGAAGCGCCGACTGTGGCGGGAGCTTGCCATAGAAATCCATCTTCATAGACACACTTCCAGGGCGTCCTGCCTTTCGAGCACCGGGTACACGTGGGATACTCGCGATCACAGCGTAGCTTACGGCTGCGACACGGCTGACAAGCGTTTGTACGCCGTCTGCGCTTCTTTGGCCTCTCGGCTGGTGAATTTCCAAGACCCTGGATCTCCATTCTGGATCTGGAACTGAATCCTGGATCTTTTTCTGTTCAATTGAATATAGGAGGATCTACCCTAAAATTCCGGGGGCGATGCAGTTAAGCTGTCCCGCACCCGCGTGTCCGGCGGCAAGAGGACCCACTTTTCTCGTGAGTGACTCAGCGGACCCCCTTCCTAATCCGGAAAGCTCCTCCGATCTCGGACGCGTACTCTTTTCCAGTACTAGCCTCAACCTTGCACGCAGAGGCTTCTTTTTGCTTTTCTTTCAAGAGATTGTTACGGCCGTTAGAATATCATATCTCGGAGTGGAAAGCCTCATATCTCCGGTGGAAATCTGGAACACAAAGATACAGTCGTATACTCGACGGTTTGGTGGGATGTAACACCCAAATATCTTGGAGTCATCCAGACAGGTCCAATTGGAAACGAAAATATCCAATTCAAGTTAGAGCTAGTAAGTAAGCCCAGGCATTTCAAATGCTATTTTAATTTCCCTACAGTCTGTGATATATCAACAACTTGAAGGTTGAAAATAAAGAGCTTATCATTTCGACCAAACGACACGCGTACTAGCTTCAAGTTGATGAATTAATGCCTGAGGCTCAGTAGACCCCAGAGCAATTGCTCAGAGGTAAAAGGACCAAAATCAAGAATCATGATATTATACATATGTTCGAATTGCCGAAGGATCCATGAGAATGTTTTGCCTTCAACGCCTGTCATCCTCAAGTCCGTGGACTCAAGCCACAATACAACACGAGGCGCCACAAACCGGCCACGCCCGATCGACGACAGCCTTGCCCCTAAAAGCTTGGCCCCCTCGCACTTCCCCTCCATGACATCCCAAACACATTCAAGTTTCTGATCCTTTGCTGGAGCTTTCACAATAGAAATATCTTGAAAATAACCCCACCAAGTATCAACTTGACTGGCATCCTTGTGTTTGGCGACCCCAAGCTACACAACTTTGGATCAGCGAAAGCGCGAATAGCTCCACAAAGCATATTGAAAGTTGTCCTCGTCCTCGCGGCCCTGGACATCATGACGGATAATGAGAGCTTAGTATCACGCTCTAGTTCGACCTCCTCCACTTCATCGAAGTGGGCCAAAATGCAGAGCCAGCTGCATACCCCGATACCATCATCTTTATCCGGTGTGTACTTCACTCGAGTATCACGTAACCGAGGATTCGAATACTGATAAAAACCCCCCCTTTCAGGCGAATGCGCAAAGGCAGAGAAAATTCTTAGGTCATTCTTGTATCCTAAGTCAAAAAAGGCTCAGGATGAAGATACAGAACTCGGCATCCCACGCGCGATTCTATCACGCGCCAAGGCAAGCAACTCAAGTCCAAAAAGTTATTATAGCGAACCACGCTGACCGATACATCGCAGGGCTTAGCTGTCTTCACCGCCACAAAAGCAGGAATCGTAGGCTCATTTCGCTTCGGGTCGGGCCTCATTGTTGTCCGTCTTGAAGACGGCACATGGTCTGCACCGTCAGCCATGTCAACGGGAGGAATTGGATTAGGCACCCAGCTAGGCTTCGAAAAAACGGACTTCGTCTTCGTTCTGAATAGCGAGAAGGCAATCAAGACCTTCACAAAATCCGGATCAGTTACGCTAGGCAAGAACCTCTCCGTCGCACTAGGGCCTTATGGACGAAGTGCGGAATTTAGCGGTGTGTTGAGTTCAAAAGGACTGGCAGGTATGTTTGCCTACTCGAAATCACGAGGCATTTTCGGTGGCAAGTCATGGGAAGGTGGGATTATTGGGGAGCGACCAGAGGCTAATAAGAAGATGTATGGTATAACCATCTCCGCAAGTGAACTTTTGAGTGGCAAAGTTGAGCCACCACCAGAGGCTGGACCATTGATGGAGATCCTAAATTCAGAGAAGTTTCGAATCCCTGATTATGAAATCGATGTATCACCAATAGCATCGACAGAGCAGCTTGCTCGAGATAATCACGAAGGTGATTCAAAGACTTATCACGAGGAGCTCGCTAAGGATATCCATCAGGAAGTTACTGGATTTCCTGTTGAGCTATCTGCTGAACCCAAAGCTCAATATATTGCCGAACTACCCGCCAACACTCCCGCCGACATGCCCTTTGAGTTGCCGGCTGATGTTCCCAGTGATTCTTCTAAGAAGACCGGGGAAACTTCAGCCGAGAACCCAGCCAGATTTAATGAACTAGATGCGGGGCCTGTGAACGACGTTTTCGAGCTACCCGCTGAAGTCCCTTTCTTCCCCAACGAGCGACGGGCTGATGATGATATACCAAGCCCTATCGAACGAGATTCTCTCCAACCTCTTCCTCTGAGGATACAAAAACGAGGAGGAACCAGCTAGCAGCTGTAAAAGGCCCGGCTTGGGAGAATCCGTTCTAGATGCATAGATCGGTATCATCATATTGTCGATCAACTTGAACATTTCTCATAAGAACTGTCCGAATATTGTGGCTTATAATCTACTAGTGGAGGACAAATGATAGACGCCCAAATCACCATCTTAGCTTTGATCAGCTTTCGTCCCATTTGGTGCTTTTGTATCCTAGCATTGGACATGTTAATAACCCCTCTTTATCGAGGCTGAGGGCGTTTCGTCAACACGTAAAGCAACAACAATTTTAGGATAATGAGGACATCCATATTCGCTCAAAGTGAAAGATTTGCAGCATCATCCATCCTGGAATTTTCAAATCTAAAACGGAGTTCAGGTCAATCCATATTGCTTGCAAGTATGCATTAGTTTCTGATCTAAGTATCCTGTTAAGTACAGACCAGCATGTCAGACTTGGCGTTGGAATACCAGTTGGTAAAAAGTCTCGAATATTTTAAAGGCGAATACGGCGCCCCATAAGCGCAGGGTGGTCAGTAGTTGTATATGTACTCATATAGCGGTATTTTACGATGGCACCGCAAAATCCAAGCCCTTGTTGACCGGCCTGGCCTCCGCCTTCTCATGGCGGACTAGTAGCTACCTGAGATGGAATAAATTGGCAAATATATTCCATCCCAGGTAGCTACTAGTCTGCGATTAGAACCTTGGAAGTGGTCAAAAATGGAGGCCAATAGGAAGTTTCAAACTTTTGCAACACCACTGTAAAATACCCCTGTATACAACTACTGACCACCCTGTGCTTATGGAGCGCCGTAGGCGAACCGGCTCTGGGCGCCAATGGTATACTTTATGCCTGTATTTTAATTTCCCAATGACAATATCTGTCTCTGGGGCTGTAGTTGCCCTAGTTGCTGTCGTTGTTTACGTGCGCCCGGAGGAAGGTGCGATGGTTGCCAGCCCAAGTAGAACAAAACAACTCTCCCCCTTCGCTCACCATCTTCTTCGAAACAACATCTCTCGTCAAACTCCAAGGTGGATCCAGTACAGGACCAGGAGTCGCCAGACTCTGGATCTTCTGTGAATCTGGATGAAATACCAACAGGACTCCCATAACCTCATTCCGCAGCCGAGGACCGCCTGGATAAGGCCATTTCCGGAGACCTCGATGAACAAGCGGTAATCTTCATCCTTATGAATTACGTCAAGGCCATGACTTCCAACATCCCGGATAACCCCATAGTCTGGAGCCTCTTTCAAAGCGCGTTTCAACCAGCGAAACTCTTCAAAGGCACATGGTTGCCGAAATCGATGGATACCTCATCGCAGAGGAGCTCAACTGGGAGAGATTTAAAATCGTTGAAGTCAAGCAAGGAATCCGGGCTCGCAACAAAAATCCCAAGTTTCACTGGCAGCGGGCTGCCGAAATGGTTACCCGGATTAAGGGTGTTAATCTTCAGGAGAGGAACGCCAGTGCGCTTCCTAAAGGCCAGTGAGTGAAGCTGAGATTTGTTTGGTTTCTGCAGGAAGAAGCTAATGTCATACCGTAGCAGAATGCTCAAGGCCTGGCTCCCTGCGAAGACCAGCGAGCTCAGGGCGGCGGTCCGGGTGGTCACCGCCATGTATGTTTATACCTATCATGTTGCGTGAAGACGTAGTATGGTATCAGCTAACTGAGGTCAAATACAGTCCCCAAAGACTTGCCAGAAGTGTGGTGTCGTCTTCCCCAGTAAATTAATACTTCAGGGTCAGAAACTTTGCACCGGGATGTATAGCTGACCCAGATCGGATTCTTCTCTTCCGGCCGCTTCTTCTTTACGCTGCTTCTCGAAGAACTCGTTCAGATCAAGTGTCGATCCCGTACGAGGAAACATTTGAAGGGCACAGTATCGCAAAATGCGGCTCGTTGTGCCTTATTTCCACCCACGAACTGATCAATCATATACATACCTATCTGGTACTCCCTCCCAATATGGCAGCGGGGAGAGAGGTTCATTGTGAGTGATATTCCCCAATATAGCTAATACTCCTATCTACTAACATTGGGGAAAAGATGCTTGCATTTGTGCAATTGTTCTTATCTGCGCGCGTTTGTGTAAGAGTAAAGATCTAGCCTTCGAGCCTTCGACGATAAATGAATCATCGCATCGATGTCTCGCTGTGATTCATCATTTTCGAGAGCATGCCGAATCAGCCGATCGAGTAGAGAAGGTCTTAAAAATTATGGAGACCCGGGTCAATGATATGGGCGACCTTGCTGCGTGGACTAATAGTGGGCTTGTTCATTCGGAGGGCTTGGCCGCCAACCATCAGCCTACAGTGGGAAATGCGGCTGTCTTTCCTTGGGATGAATTACAATGAGCCTTCAAATTTGCCTATTGATGACATATTCGGTTTTCCGTCGTCGGAGCTATTCCATGATGAGTTCCCTTTCGATAACAATCTTGAATTCGGAATATTGGATGATCTTAGGAGCAATATCCAAACCGATATGAATTTCAATGATTGAGAACCTCCGAATGATCATTTCTATCGAATGGCCCCGATATGAGCGTATAAAAATTCCCCGAGTTATTTTTGCTGGTCGGCCTTGTGATATATTTCCTGCGGCGTTTACTAAGTGACTAGTATGAGATATCCGACACCAACATGTTAGTTACTAAGTAATTTGAAAGTAAATAGATATAGCCAGGAGGGTGATTAAATTCTATCCAATTCCCCGATCGCTTTATTGTGGAGAATGAAAGGAGTCAAACCTTGAACCTTGTCATGATAGACTCGGGCTTCGGGGTTAACCACGGCCGGGGACGTTTTAGCTCGGACATACTCCATCCAGGCAACCATGACCGACCGCGATATTTAAGCCCGATTTAAAACCCGACTGTATCCTCAACGATATTCTGTAGAATTCCGAGAGACACAAAAATCCAATCCTCCGAGTCACCGCAATGCTACGCTCACTACTCTCTCTAGGTCGGACTTCGGACAACTACTTCGTGCCTCAGGTGGATCCAGCGCAAGATGGGGCCGATTGTCTAAAGGACTGCGCCGATTGCACAATCCAATTCCCTTCTAAGGTGAAGGTGGAAAATTCGAGGCCCCTTTATGGCCACATTAAAGCGTTCAACGCACACGTCCTCGTTGCGACGGGGCAATCCGACTGGAAAGAGAAGGTCGAGCATGAAAAGGGTAGTTTGATGGAGGCGTTTGATCAGCCCTCGCGAACTCGGGGCTCGGGGTAAGTTTGACCAATTAGTTAGCCCCGATTTGATCTCTTCATGCTAATGGATTCCAGCGAATTATGGTTTCCGCATCGAATCTACACATCCCGGAGCAGGAAGCTGGCGAACAATCAAAGCGCACATCAGTGCTTATTCTCCCGTCTTTCACATTTGTGGACTCCGTCTCCCAAGCCGACGTGCCCAGCCTCGTCCGTAGATATATCGATAACGCAAGCGACGAGAAAAACGGTCACAATGGTTCTGCTATTCCAGATAGCGGGATGAGTGCTCGACCGTGCGAACTAGACTACGTGGTTTTGCTCTGTTCACACCGAAGACGAGATGCGCGCTGTGGAATTACGGCTCCACTAATCAAGCGCGAGTTAGAGAGGCATCTTCGGCCCTTGGGATTGGATCGCGACGCAGACGATTCTCGGCCTGGTGGTGCAGGAATCTTCTTCGTCTCGCATGTTGGCGGCCACAAGTTTTCTGCAAATGTACTTGTGTACCGGAAGAAAGATCAGCAAATGATCTGGCTGGCGCGCGTACGGCCGGAACATTGCGAGGGAATTGTCAAATATACTATTCTTCAAGGGAAGGTGGTTCACCCCGATACACAACTTAGGGGCGGGTTTGACCGCGTAAAAGGGCTGACGAGTTGGTGATGGAGGTCGCAGTATTTGCAACACTTCATCGTTATGGCAAGAACACCATGGCAGCTTTTTTGAGTGCATGTCTCCAAGCTTTTTTTGCAAGTTATAGAATACCCATGGCTATATGTTACTCTGGATAATTTAATCGCTGTCAGAACACATTCCCCGAGCACATCGGTCCCCTCCAACAACACCGTTATGAAAGGCTTCGCTGGAACCAAATCTTCTCTCCTTTCATAGCCGGCTCAAGAAGCATTCCGATTTTGGTGACTACCCCCGTAGAGTCAATGTAAAATTCCACAGCAAACGGCTGCAGTGAAACAAGATTCAATACTTTCGACTGTCCTATGAAGAACTCGCCGCTTGCATGTGTAAGACTTAGCTGAGATGGTAGCGTTCCTTGAGACACATCGGCAGTCAATTGGCCATCAGTACACTCGAGCGTAATCCAAGCATTTGCCGGATATCTGTACATTCCAGTGTACTTCTCCAATGGTAAAGAGTGCGGGATTGGAGGATCGGGCAAATTAGGGAAAACCTTTTGCTTGGTATCTTCCAAATCCTTCGGCTTAAATACCTCGTTCACCACCTCACGCTGCTTTGCCAGACAGGCTGACATCTGCTCTGTATGGTGCGGGCTAGTTGGGCCTAATAGCCTATCCATTAAGTAAACAGCCAACTGGAAGCAAGCAAGTCTTGCAGGGTCCGAGTTGCCCATAATGACGAGGCCAAACTTCCTCTTTGGGAGAAAGCCGACATAGGTACTGAAACCCGGCCATCCACCGGTGTGCCAATAAAGGTTTTCGCCGCGGTAGTTGTCGACGTACCACCCCAGGGCATAGCCATGATACGGAGAAGGCAAATTGACGTCGCCTGTCTCGAAATGAAAGATTCTCGGTTTGATCAAAGAATCATGGCCCTTTAACGGGCCACTCTTTTCTATCAATGCGCGCAACCAGTGGGTGTAGTCGAGAACCGTGCTGACCATGGCCCCTGCTCCTTTATTGGGCATCCAGCTTAGTGCTTTTTGAAGATGATAGTAGTAGCCGCCTTTTCCATCGGCCAACCAAGTATATCCATGGACGAGCCGTCTCGCGGTCGAAGGATTATCCTTGACCTCTTGAGTGGAGAAGTATGTGTCATGCATGCCCAGGGGATCCCATATCCGTTTCTTCATGTAGGACCCCAGTTTCTCACCTGTCAGCTGCTCCAGAGCATAGGATACCGAGGCGTACATTTGATTAGAGTACTGGTAAGTGGTTCTTGGCGGGTCGGTCAAAGGCAGGTGTCTAAGGGACCGAACGAGGGTTTTTGAATCCATGTTATTCGGCGTAAACGTGAACATCCATCCATGATCTGGGAGACCAGAACGATGGGAGAGGGCATCTTCGAGTGTCGTATGCTGTGTCGCATAATCATCCGCCAGAACGAAGTCTTCTGGGATGATGGCAGATATTGGCGTGTTCCAGTCAATTGGGTTATCTGTATCTTTGCTATCTTGAATGGCTGTTGAAGCAGCCAAAGCGGCAAATGCTTTGGTGGTGCTGCATGTTGGAAATAGAGTGTCGGTTGTCATTTTTTTGTCTGGCAACTCGGATATGCCGTAGGCCTGTGGAGGTCAGCGGCGTATACATTAGCAACAGCTTCTTGGTTCTTGTAGGACCTTTGAATAGGTTTTATCTCCATGAACCACAGCAATCGACAAGCCTGGAACCTTCCACTCATCGAGTAGCTTGCTGACCAGAGCGTCAAAATCGGGATCAAAGGGTGATTCAGGCATCCCGACGGTGATTTGCATTTCAAAATGAGCTTGAAGCTCAATGAAAGGTCAGTGTAATGAAGTCAGCAGCAGGTGTCTGTAGTTGTACAACCCGGAATAAAAAGATTTAGTCCTTTTGAGGGTCCATGGGGATTCTGGGGTAGTATTATATTGAGGTACCGCGTGAATTTATGTGTAGACAAGGCATCATTGGTGGAAGAGGCAAGCCACCACAAAAGATCCGAGTGCTGCTATTTAGACCGCCCTTCTTACTAATTGGACCACATTTTTGCTAACTATTTGGACCATGGCCCATTTAATCTAGATTAGTATGTATCTCTAATACAAATTTAGATACACCTCTGTTATACAGTAGCTACCTGAGATAGAATAGATTGGCCTATTTATTATATCTTAGATAGCTACTAGTCTACTATTTATCCAAATATTGTCAGTAATAGTAGGCAATAGAGGGTTGCAAACTTTAGTTGTATCACTGTATATCGAAATTTGTATGGGGTTCATATACTAATCTGAATTCAGAACGACCATGGTCCATTTAGCAAAAAGGGTGGTCCAACTAGCAGCACTCAAGGATCCGAGCGGTCAAATTCGGTAGCCTTATCAGGCATCTGAGTTCCTAGTGGCTGAGCAGAGTGAGTCTAGGCTAAACTTGAGCTGATGTACCGATGGGCTGCGGAGGGGGCGGAGGAAACTAAGAAGAGAAGTGGAGGAGGAGGTGCAGGCGGGCCCCGACGCGACAGTCCCGCGTTGAGTGGTTTTCGCGTTTCCCGCGTTGCTCTCGTTTGCATTTGCAACCTCCCACCACCTCCAATTCCAATTCAACCATGCAATAATGGCAGACCACCCAGATGCTCTCTGCTCTCGTGAAGAGGCTGCGGAAAAGGCCACCGCAGTTCGTCAGGAATTGAAGGTCTGGGAAAAAGAATTCGCCGCTGCCAACGGTGGGCGCAAAGCCGGTCGCGACGATATCAAGCAAAACCCGCATATTGGTAAGTATACCAAGTGGATTGAATCATGAGTGGTTCCCTTTGAAATGTGCTAATATTTCGCTTCCTTCCTCTTCTAGCCCAGAAATACAAGGAGTATGGCCAATTAAAGAACCTCGAAGCCAAGCTCAATCGTCACGCAAACAGACAAGCAGAAGCAAAACTGCCAGAGTCGCAGTCCAAGAAGCGAAAACATGCGTCCCCATCAGGTCCAGCAAATGCGCCCCCCAATTCAACGACGCCGCGCAAATCATCCAAGGGTCTCTTTGCGACCCCTCGCCACTCTCGCAGCGAGATGACCCATCCCTCCAATCTAGACCCTTACGACTCCCCATCTACCTTTCGCAAGCTGTTCAGCCCGAGTACACATGCACAGAATATGCCGGCACCATCACCACTCAAGGCTGCGATTGGACCTACACCTCAGCGGGATGGCAAAACTCTTGGACTCTTCGATCTTCTTTCCGAGTCTGGTGGAAGCAACAATGCCACCCCCTCCGTGAATAGGCAGAAGGACGCCCTCGCCGCTGGGTTTCAAACACCATCCAAACCAAAAACCTTTGATCCCATCAAGGAAGCCCCCGAAGAAGAAGAGGAAGAATCGTCCCGAATCACGAGAACCCCGGCATCGTCCACCAAACAGTTCTATCTTGCCAATCTGTTCGCGACACCCACGACAATGCGCTACGCGGCCATGGTCGAGGCAGATGATGAGAAGGAAGTGCAAGCAAGTGCGAATCAGAAGTCTAACGCGCACTCCCCGGAGACCAATCACTCAGCCACACCGTCGTTTTTGCGCCGCTCGAATTCCGGACGTTACCCGGCTCCATCAAATAAAGATGGATCTGGATTAAGTCCCATCAAATCCAGACAGCCGGGTCGATTTCATGGCAAGGGCCTATCAACAATTGTGCAAGGTCTGCGAGACATGGAGGAGGAACGCTTGGATGCGGAAGAGGGACAAATGGATGATGATTGGGAGCTGATGCGCGAACTGGAGGGCGAGGCAGACGGCTTTAGTTACCCCGTTCCAGAGGCCCACCCTCCACAAGACGCGCAACGACCTTATAAGAAGAAGGGCCAGAAACGAACCACCCGGCGAGTCATCATGCGACCAGTGATTCGTCAAGCGAAACCACGGCAAGCAAGCAATGCGGCTCCTCAAGCGGAAGAAGAGAGTGACGACGAGCTGGCTGCGGACGTTGTCCCGGAGACACTAGTACAAGCTCATTCGGATGAAATTCCCCAGGACGTCTTGGACGCCGATGAGGAGGGGGATGAGGTCGCCTCATTGCATAACATGTCCGAGCCCGATCCAGATTCCGACGGCGACCCTGAATATGGCGAACAGACGAAGCCTGTGCCAAAGCCCAAGAGCTTTTCTGATCGCCTGAAAGAAGCGGTCTCTAAGGTCAAGCCAACATCTAAGGAGCCCGCGCCGGTTCCTGTCAAGTCCGCTCCAGCAACGGAAGAGAAGAAGCCGAAGGAACGAAAGGTCAACCCTCAAACCCACGCAAACTATCGGTCATTGAAAATCCACAGGGGGTCTCGGGGTGGTGGGCGCTTCCGCCGCAAATAGAGGGTGATGCGACTCCGGATGTCTGTATTCCTGCTTTCATGAAATAACGACTATTTTGATATTCAACAATTGGGCATGGGCATAAGCATGGGCATTTTTCATAGGAGGAATTATTTGTTATGCATTTTAGCAATTTCTCTATCATAATTCGTTAGTTCTAGAATACTATCTTCGGATAATGACCTGCATTTAGTCGAGATCTATCAATCAAGTAACTCTCTGTTCCGCGGTCTGGGATAACGCCCCCGTCGCCTAGATTGTACTTCGTTCTGAGTAGATGTAGATGTTTCGGACCCATCAGGTCTCGAGATGCGATCAAACAAGCTTCTATCTCGACCACGTATCGGAGACGCACTACGTCCGCGGGCCGGAGGTGGGTTGCGAGGCCGTCGACGCCCGCGATAGTTGGAATCTATTTCCTGGGACTCTCTGTCCCGAGAAGTATGTGTTGATGTTGGATATTGGACATGGCGATCCCAGTCTTCAAGTGAGGTATAAGGGCTTCGCAACCATGCCAGCATTTCATGGAGAAAAAGTCGGGCATTATCCCGTCCAATGAAGTCGCGCAGCAGCTCTTCCGCTTGTCCAGAGCTGCCCTTGATGTCGATAGTCCGCAAGATAGCAATGACATACTCGAGCAAGAACTCGGCATTATTTGCCCTGCGATCCTCTAGCCTCTGGTGTCCGGCGTGAGGCACAGGACCCCGGCCTTGTTCTTCGCCTTCGGGGCCTGGGGTCAAGAAGCTGAAGACTTGTAGTTCTCGGCGGATCCATTTTCGCGCTCGTGAGAGTAAGGCTTCGTCGCGATTGAAATTTTCTGGTGCTACCTCGCTGTACTGAGAGAGACGATTCGATCCCACCCGTAGCGAGTATAGATTGTTGCGATAGACGTTGCGCCTGGCCGAGAGAGGATCGTCAGATACAGGTGGACGCTGGTATGTACGGGAACGCGGTCCTCGCCGACGTGATCGCGCATCTCCTATATCCAAGCCACCTGCCAAGGCTCGCCGTTGTGTGTAACTCCGAGACGAAGTCTCGGGATTAGCTTTGGGCCGTTCGCGGGTGGGTACATTGTAGATTTTCGGTCCGCGGGGAGCATTCAACTCATATTTGACCGCAGTCAGGCCGACCTTACCTGTTATTGTAGAATCAGCTCGGGCACTACCAGCTTAAAGTGAGCCTTTTGGACATACATAGAGGACATGAGGGCTGCTGTTCCAGCCAGCTGAGGAGACATAAGTAGTCGAAGTTCGAGTGGTTGCATGGTACGGCGACAGTACGCTCCGTGATTGAATCCAGGCAGATCACACAAGGGTCGTTCGTTTCTCCGGTCAGCCCCTCATCTGCCACTTCCCTCAGTGTTTTCTGCAAGACCTCGTGTCGCACATCTGCCTCGTCTGCCATTGTCCGCCATGGGAGTTTCAGCAGTAATCAAGAAGCATCGCGAGCGGCGACTGTCAACGACTGTCAACGCTGCTAAGGTTAGGAAGACGCGATGGTCTTATCGCCCCATCCATATCACGTGTGTCCTCACGTGGTGATAAGGGCCCGCAGCTTTCTTTGAAGGTGCGCAGTCGCTTTGAACGAAATGATTTACTGGCAATGTACACTTCCTCGACTTCTGTTTTCGACTTATAAATAGACTAATCAAATACAGACGAAACCTCACTCTTTCACCACCCCAAAAAAACACGCAGATGCGGTCAGCTAAAGCTGTTGTGTCCGAGAAACTTGCGCGCATCGTTCCTGCGGCCACAATGTCAACTGCACAGCGCCAACCAGCTTACACAACAACCTCGCTGAAGCGATGGTCAGTGGCTACGAAGGCTCTCCCAGGTGTGCTTTCAGTTCTCCCGCATTTTGATCACCTTGGAAGCTACGAAACTAACTATATACAATCTCCACAGCTATTTCTCAAATCCGTTCTATTCATGTCTATGATTTCGATAATACCCGTGAGCCTCGTTACATTCGCTACCGATAAAGAACTACAAATACTGACTATGGTCTTTGACAGTATTCCTAAGCCCTCTACCCAACCCGCAGCTCTGGAATGGGCAAACAATCGGCCTGCTGCAGACCGAAGAGAGCTTTGCCAACGGCGGTTGGTGGCATGATCCCAATCTTTTGGCAGCTACCGGACAAGGGATAGACATCGAGGAACCAAAGGGATGGAAAGGATGGTGGAATGAGAATATCGTGCGATAATCATGATTCTTTATGTCCCGACTCGCCGTTACTAACGATCACCAGCTTCGTCTTGTCCAACTCAGTATGCAACAAAAGGATGCACTCACGGTCCTCTTGACTGGCCGAGGCGAAGATCGGTTTGCCGATATCGTCAAACGCATGGTTGCGAGCCAAAACTTGGAATTCGATATGATCGGCCTCAAGCCGGAAGTTAGTCCTAACGGACATAAGTTCCCTTCGACTGCGCAATTCAAGCAGAAATTTCTCGAAGATCTCATTTTCACTTACGAACAGGCCGAGGATATTCGAGTTTACGAAGACCGTGTTAAGCAGTAAGTTGTGATTGGTCTGGAGAGTTCTTTGTCTGGACTCGATTCTGATTTCTTTCATAGCGTGAAAATGTTCCGCGATTACTTTGAAGGCATGAATATGAGCTTGCAAACCGGACAAACTCCCGTACCCAGGAGACCCATCACTGCTGAAGTCATTCAGGTATCTGAGGGCGTCACGTATTTGGATCCAACGGCAGAGATTGCCGAGGTGCAGCGCATGATCAATTCTCACCATCTAGCCTTGCGCACTTCAGGCCCACGAAAGATGAGGTCAGGCTATGGAGGGTTCCGCATTAGGAAAACGGTGCTCTACACAGGATACTTGATCTCTAAAGAAGACCAAATGCGTCTGATTCAGGAAGTCCTGGGTCCAATCCTACCTCAAGGACTCGCCGAGTCAAAGGATATAAAGTACACGGCTAACAACATCATGATTGCTCCCCGTCCCGCCTCCAAGCAGATTTTAGACAGAATCGGTGGCGCCGGCAAGAAAGTAAAATGGCAGGTTACCGGCACCGCAAACTTCGAGAACAAGGTATGGGCCGCACGGGTACAACCCATTCCCGGAAATACCCCAATCCATTCCGAAAATGCGGTGCCACTCGTCGTTCTGGCCTGCCGCAAGCCTGCCCGCCCTGTGGATGCAAGTTTAATTCAAAATTGGCACCCTGTGCCAGCAGAAATGGCGATCACTTTCCAGACAGAAATCGGGGAGAAAGAGGTCCTTTCAGTCGATGAGACCAATCAAAATGGTGATCGGATTAACCCATCCGGCAAGAACAACAAGAAACGCCAGCGTCAGCAATATGAAGACGGTTACTCCTATGCTCAGTCAGGTCACCACGCTAGCTACGACGGACCCGCACCTTCACACGACCATCCACATGGCCATCATTCCAAACAGTACCATTATGACGATGGTCCTCGTCGGGGCTCTCAGCGTGGCCGTGGCCGTGGTAGCCAGAGAGGCCGAGGGAATAATGGTCGTGGTGGTCGCGGCCGTGGCCGCGGCGGTGGTACGGGTCCTGCAAATCCGTACTACAAGTCTCTGGATGACTCTGCTAGTGGTTTTGATGGCACACATTCCGGCGGAAACCAAAATGGAGGGTATCCCATGGACTACTAAACCCGTCGTCATTCAACCAAGATTCTCATTGAAAACGTCAGCGCCTTATTCTTATCTGAACACATTCATTTTATCCGTCGTACCCTCACTCCTGCGGCCGGGGTTTCGCGCAAGGAATATCTTTCTAAGCCTCTTCCAGTTTCCATACCCTAGATCAATGGCATTATCAGCTTTACTTCTCAACTTCTATTTTCAATTGCCGGGACTGAATATACTACTAGTACGGGCGTTCAGCGTCTACGGGTATTTGTTTCGTCCGATACGCTGAACTTGAACCTTCAACTTGCTTTTCGTATTTGAAGAAATGGGTTTGAATCCTGAGAGGAGACTTCTGTTGCAAAGTCAATTTGTGCGTAGTCTGCCCACGGCTTGCTACTAGTAATTACTATCAATACCCCCATCCTTTGTCTGAAGGACTCGGGATCCTTTGATTAGTATATACACTCAATTAAATATCATGGCGAGCATATTTACTCGCCATCCGAATTCTCCGTCCCCTCGACAAAAGAATAAAAGGGAAAGGTACAAAGACAATCGTCAAACATCCAAGCAGAGTACACGCCCAACCAATCCCCAAATTATGGAACATCGCCGTTGCAAAAAGCGGGAAGCCAGCTCCAAATGATGATCGCATAAAGTCATTCCCAGCAAGAACAGAAGCCGCATATTTTGGATAAGCATGTGCAAGATAGCAAAAGATGCAGTTGAAAATTAAACAGCCACCAACTGCGAAGAGCATAGAAGCAATGATCGGTACAATCCAATGCACGCTCTCAAAGTTTCCTGTCCAGCCAAACCAAAATAGTGAAATTGGTAGGGCGAAGGCACCAACGCAGGCTGGCGGCATTTGCATTTCGGGCGCGATATTTCCGTTCTTATCGAAATGTTGCGATTGGTATCGATATTTCCAGTAGAAGTAGCCCGGGATGGTGATGCAGCAGGTTGAGACTAGAATTCCCATGAAGGCCAGCCCGGTTTCGCCGGGGTTAAAGCCGTGGGTTTCTCCGAAAATAATTGGGAAAGCTTCAAACCACATGTACAGGATACCATATATGAGCGATATGTAGAGGTTGAGGAGAAGGACTATCGGTTCCAGGAAGCAGAGTTGGAAAGGTCGAACGAGGGATTCAAAAATAACATCCTAGAATCAGTGGTCAGCTAGCAATATCGCAACCGTTTCTCATTAAATAATACGCACCATCGGTTTGACTTCTTTAATCTCGATCTCGGACTCGGACATATACTGCGAGTTTCCCGTGATACGACGTACTCGCCGGGCCCGCCGAGCAAGGATATTAGGTGCGAAGGTTTCCGGGAGAAAGAAAAATAACAAAACAAAGGTGAAGGCCGAAACCCACATCAGTTGCCAGATAGTCCACGTCCAGCCCTTTGCTGAAGAAGCGAAACCACCCAGCATTGGACCCAAGACTGGTGCGGAAATGGCGAACATGCCCCAGACTCCTATCATATAGTCGCGCGTTCTGGAGCTCCACATGTCGCCCATGGAGGCTGCACCGGTGGCTAAAGCTGGCGATCCAATGAAGCCTGTGAGGAATCGGAATGCGAGAAACATCCCGAAATTCTTTGCGTATATGACACCAAAATTGAAGAAGACGAAGACGAAAAGCGTCAAAACGTATGTCGGGCTCCGGCCGATCATCGGGATTTCAGAAAGGGGTGACCAAATCATGGGTCCTGCTTCAAGTCAGTACTTCTGGCTCCGTCTGGGATGGACGCTGAGATACAGACCTAGGCCGTAACCTGCCACGAATAGTGTCAGACCGAGGGTTGCGGCAACATTGCTTACGCCAAATTGTTCGGCGACGCCTGGTATTCCAGGTGTATATATAGCGGAGCCCACATATATAGCGAAAGTGAGTAGCCAAATTAAGCTGCTGACGAACATCTTCTTCTTTTTGGTCCAGTTTTGTGGGTTCTATTCGATATCAGTACACCATTTGCTTTGCACCATGCAATGGGAGGCTTACCTCGGGATCGTCGGATCCTCGCCAGCTAATAACCAAAGATTGATTGTTTGGTAAAGAGCTATTTCTCCCGCCATCAAGGGTAGATGCAGTAGACATGCGTCTTGATCGATTCGAGCACTGAGACATTACTGTATAGAGGCCAAAAGCCTCCAGATCTTCGGGGTTTTCGTTCTCAGTCGTCGGCGTGGAAGCTTCTTCCTCTTCTTTTGTGTCCGGCTCTGTCTTCAGGTACTCAGGCCATACGGAGGCATCGCGCTCTTCTGGATATTGCATCCATCTGTAACGGGTGCAGAGCCGGACTAGCTTGCCAAAAGCTGTGTCTCGAATTGTCTCCATCGTAGTTAGCAATTGGTACCTTGAACGGGAATGTTTTCAGGTCCTTTGCTGGAAGCAGCTTGATAAAATGAAATATTTTGGCGGGGAATCTGCTCTTCAAGACACATTATATGTGTAAATGAACTCGGTCTGGAGCCACAGCGTCGACGGATATCTTTTTGTCCGTAAAGCCGTACATCCGAAGTCGTGGCAATATTTGGTTTGGCACCATCGCGGGACCTTTTTACTACATTTTGTGTGGAAATAACAGCCTTCCGGGCGTGTGTATAATCATCCAGCGGAACTATTAAATAAAGTACCGACGGGACTGAGTTTGTAGTATTGCGTCACCACTACAAAACTCTTAAGCTTTTCGAATTAATAATATGTAGTGTCTCGTAGTAAAAATGAGTGTAAAGCTCTAATCCGAAACCTATAGAGCTTCCAGGTTTTCTTTCGAGTTCGGTTGGCTACTAGCAAGCTACTAGCCAGCTACTCCTGTAGCTGATCATGCACAATATCGCTAACAGGTCGAATCAAAACTCTGTTCATAAGACATACTGAACAGAATTTGGCAAATTGGGGGTCATCGACCTTTTGACTACTGACAGTGATCACATACTACATTTGGGAGTACTAAGCCGACCCGAGGAATACTCGAAATCAACGTAAAAGGAACCATCCCGAAGATCACCCCAGATCAAGCTGAATTCTTTCCTTGTTCATCGGCTCACAAATTCCATCAGGATGATAATATTCGTCTCCATGGCCACCCATGAGGTTCCACAGCCTGTATAGAAGTCTCAAGAGGCTTACGGAACAAGGAACTTCATTTTCCATGCTCAAGGCCGTGGAAGCATAATCTTCTTGTTCCTCTTGGGATCTAATGCACGATCCGATATGAAGCATTGACAACAAGAGTAATACCCATGTCTTTCTTGAAAGTGATATTCTTATCTCCTTCTAGAACCCAGGCTATTTCAAAAGGAGAGAGGCCACTCGGTGACTTTCCCGAGCTTAACTCTCCGAGGCTCGCAGCAGAAAGACCTCGAAGAACCTATCACAGTCATCTCTCGCATCCACTGCCCTGAAGGGTAGGAAATGCGTCGCTAAGGTACTCATATTATTCCATATGTCTTCAGGCTATAAAAGGCCAGGCCGTTTCCTGATTTTATGGAAATTTACCATCGATATTCAAACTCTCGTTCCTAGCAACCATCATGGCAAACATGCTCAAAACTTATGACGTTCTCATCATCGGAGGTGGTCCAGCAGGACTGTCCATTGCCACTGGTCTTGCCCGACAGCTCTATACATCTCTGGTGCTTGACTCTGGTGTCTACCGCAATGAGCGAGGAACCCACATGCACAACGTTGCTGGCTTTGACCACGTCAACCCAGCCATCTATCGTGCTAAGGCAAGGCAGGACCTCCAAAAGAGATATGACACAATTGAATTTGTGTCTGCCAAAATCCAAAGGGTCCGAAAAGTCGCCGACCTGTTCGAAGCGGTAGATGACCAGGGAAAGACCTACCGGGGACGCAAGTTAGCGTTAGGGACAGGTGTGAGAGACGTCGTTGAGGAGCAGGTTGAGGGGTACGCGGAGTGTTGGGGGCGCAGCATGTAAGATTTCCTAAGTCTTTTCCCTTCTCTCTTCATTTTGATGCACGAAGCTAATAATTCGAAGCTTTCACTGCCTCTTCTGCCATGGCTACGAAGAACGTGGTGCAGACTCTGTCGGCGCTCTCGCTACGGGCACTCTGTCTTCCCCCGAGACGCTCGCCCATATCGCCAGGATGGCTAAGCGACTCTCCAAGCATGTTAATATATATACCAATGGAAACTCTGAGCTCATCACCTCGACAAAGGCAATCATCCACAGCAATAAGATTGCATACGACGACCGCAAAATAATCAAGTTCGAACACCAAGATGGTTCCGAGGACAAGCCACCCTTGGTGGTTTTGCATTTTGAAGATGGCACCTCGAAAAATGAAGGATTCATTGTGAGCCATCCTCGCGCGGAGCAGCGTGCACCATTTGCGGCCCAACTGGGCCTGGAGATGACGCCGGCGGGGCACATTAAGTTATCGACGCCGTTCAATGAGACAAGCCTTCCTGGTTGTGTGGCTGCTGGGGATGCAGGAACACCGATGCAGGCAGTTGTTCAAGCTGCCCAGATGGGAGCATTTGCTGCAGTTGGACTGGTAGCTCAGTTACAGAGGGAGCTGGATGAAAAGGATGAGCTGTGAGGAACAGCCATTGTGTTGCAGCCGAGACCTCTGGAGCAGACAATGAGCCGATGGTCGCAAGTCTCATTTGACTGTGCATTCTTATTTCCTAGTTTATACTACTCCAGATCTACTCCTGAGAGGGTGTCTAAGCTTTTTTCTCCTGTCTGTTGCATGGATTCATATGATGTATTACTTCGGTCTTTACTAATAGCTCGAAAGGCCTAAATACTAGTACTGTACATATGCTCTACAGTAATAAACCTTGGAATGGTACTTTTTGGTGATTCTCTTCCCGAGGTCGGTCTGGCTAGGAATTCGGACTCCACAGGGCTCCAGGGCCCATACATAGTAGTAGGAAATCTAGCTGGTTTACTGAATTATGGAGGCTGTTGCCTAGTACATAGTACTCATATGGAGTACTAAATTATATGGAGGGGTATAGCAAAAGATTTCTCGTCAAACTTGGAATTTGAATTCCGGGTACCATTCTTATTATAAATATTTCATGTTGAAAGCAATAGCTATATATGATACTTTCGTTTCCCTAGGTAATATTGGTCGGCAAAAGGTTCCGAAATCTGCCCCATCCCCGCCAGGAACTCTCGGGTACCTTTGATAACTATGGCTTGTATGTACTCGTACTTGGAGTATGATTCCGTCGAGTAGTATTGGTCGGCAAAAGGTTCCGAAGTCTGCCCCATTCCCGCCAGGAACGCTCGGGGACCTTTGATAATTATGGCTTGTATGTACTCGTACTTGGAGTATGATTCCGTCGAGTAGTATTGGTCGGCAAAGATCCCGAGATCTACCCCATTTCCACCAAAAGAACATTTGATATTCGTTTCCCTGTCGAAGCGACACAGTGAACCTAAGTTTTAAACTTGCGTGGGGCTTCTTAACATAAAAGTTTGTCTGTGGACCCTTGAATCGAAGGGATGTTCTCAATGTACGTGGACTAGGCTTACCTAGAGTGGTATAAGTACGTTACGTCTTCAGAGTATCGCGCGTGATGAAACATTTCAGATTTGACGTTCAATCTTTTGGAATATTTTATGCCGGGCTTTGGAAATTCGGGATTTGGTGGTGTTTGGGTTCTGAAATCCATATACGTCATCTTAAAAAAGTCTCCGAGGCATCGAAAGTCAGAGGTCCGATTAAAGTCGGGAATTGAATTCTTATATCAAGCCAACCATATACAAAACGGAATGTACCTTGTAAAATACACAGGTGAGCCTTTTGTGCAACGTATTTGGTCATGACACGGCGGCTTCCGCCAGTGTCAGTGCGGCTCAGAACATGACGCTAAAGGTACGCTAAACAGAAGCTACGTATGTATGTACATACAGTATCGAGAAATTTTTGACTTTGCAGTAATCGACACCAAATTTTGAAGCTGAGGCCCTTTCAATGCCCCAATGAGAGAGGTGGAAGGTGGCGTCGGTGGTTCTGTCGATCCTTCCATTCAATTCTACGGGCGGTACGGAGTGGATGGAGTAAATGTTGAGGTTAGCGGGAAGGTTTCGGTCGGAAACATAAAGTCAGAAACCCGTAGGGTACAGTGATACAGTATGTATGCACCCTCTCGATAATGTGGGGCAGTCAGAGCAGTCTCTCCAATAGCTATAAAATGCTATGGCTTCTTTTCATATCAGCTTTTAAAATTGCTGGTCACATTGAGTGGAGCCAAGTCTCCACATGTTGGGAGGCGATCATCTCCGGCAAATTTTACCGACCAATGAAATCTAACAAACCGTTGTGGTTCGACGCATGCGTGGCTACGAGAATGTACCATCCCTCCTGTTGGTTCTGGCAAAGCGCCACATACGAGAAGTACTACTGTACTAACAAAGAACATTCTACTAGTAACAAAATGGGAAGGGAGCTGGTATGGATCACCCAATGCCTGGAGGTGAGATTTCATTCGCAGAATTATTAACACCAGTCATCAATCGGAATCAAAGGAGACGAGGATCTGCAATGACGCAAGAAAGCCCTGGAGGAGGGGGCGGATGAATGATCCCTTGCTAACACGGGGCAACCCAACAAAAGCTCAATCCATACATACAAGATGGCACGCAACTGGGCTCGGGAACGGAAAATTCATCCACTTCGAAGGTTTGATCCATGTGTGGTACGGGGTAGCCCGTTGTGTTTGCCGTACAGTATTGTATCCCCCTACGACGCACTGCGCAGTATCTCGTCCTTTTATCTCCACCTTTTTCAAAGGTACTCTATCAGATATGAAAGCTATGATTTCATCGTTCATGTGGGACGTCATAGAAGGACTGTGATTCTTCGATTTGCACCCGATCCCGTTATAAGTAGCTTGGCCCCCGGCAGAAAGCTATTTCCAGAAAATAAAGCCTTTTTGTTGTATCTGTTTGATTTCCCAAATTTAATATTGAAGCTTTCAAATCAAATTCGTGTTTACTTCCGCTCCGCCCTAGACAAATCCAACAGAGATTATTTCCAAAGGGTCCTCCTATTTCCTTCTCGTCAATGTTCTGTCACAGGTAAGTCTACTACTCAATATATTAATTTCGAATTCCAATTTTTAATATCGAATGATCCGATCATGCAGAACGGGATCTCATAGACCAGATGGCGAGCTTATAGGCCGCTTTCAAAAGCTCTGTGGGAAATCATTTTTTAACGAGGGCACCAATAACAATCTCGAACCGGGGAACCCTTTTATTGAGGGAGACAATAAGATGACACCATCGGAAGGGTAAGCCACTATTCAAGTTTCCTATCAAGTACCCTGTGAACAGAATTCTCATACCTAGCCAGCGCCTGTAAGAAGGTGAAGGGAAGCCTCCAATTGTCCGACCCTTCCTTCTCATTCGACGGGGTTGCACCTTCAGATTCATTTACCTCAACAATGTCCGAGCAGCGCATGGTGCCCCAAAGTCAAAATCTCGACCTTTATACATCGCAATTAAAAGTCCCTACTACCTTCCATGACTTGGTAGAAGGGTGCCAACCTTCGAAGAACATTTATCCTCAAGATAATGTTAAACTTGCTTTTAGAGATCAATTCGAAGATCCGGCCGACTCAAACTCGCTGGGTGGTGTCAATCCCGCAGTTACATGGAACAGCATGGATCCTTTTTCCACACAAGATGCATATGGATCGAATCAGTTCCCCCGACCAAATTTGGACTTGGAGAGCATGGCACTTCCAGCTGAGCCGCTTAATTTCGATCACATCCCAGATAACGAGCTGTCATGGAATCCAACGGGAGGGGCCCAACGAATGGGTGACAATGTTCGCCACTCGCAAAACATGTCCTACCCCGAGGGCAACCAGTAAGTTCGTCCACAACTTCACCAATGTTCAAGACCTTAACCTTGCACCTTCAGGTTCCGTTACCCCGCCACTCTTCGAGCATCCACTGCGATAGTAAATGACTCGAGTGAAACTCCTGTTTCGTATCTCAACAAGGGCCAGGTGTATCATCTTAGGGTGGTAGACCCAGTCCCGTCTGTGGCATATACTACCGAATCCACACAGTACCGAACATTTGTCCGGATTTCATTCGATGAAGAACAACAACGATCTGACCCAGCTGCCTATTGGCAATTATGGAAATCAGCGCGAGGACTAAACAAGAGCGACGATAAAATTAAAGCTGTCGAATACGTGGGCGAAAATAACCCCTTCATGCACGTTGAGCAAGTCTCTCTCGATGGATTTTCTGTCACCTGGACTGGCAACCCGACCGATAGAATGCCCCAATGCAGTATCCCAGTCCGATTCAACTTCTTATCCACAGACTTCACACTCTCGAAGGGAGTGAAAGGAATTCAGGTCAGGCTTTGCGTCAAGACAAAACAACTCGGCGAACTTGATATCCAAGAACCAGAAGTAAGCTTTTGCAATGTGAAGCTCTTCCGCGACCATGGCGCCGAGCGGAAACTATCGAATGACGCTGCGAGCATCCGAAAAAGGATTGAAAAGCTACAGCTCCAAATGAACGATCCAGCGCCGCCCGACTGTTCAAATAAGAGGAAGCGAGGCAACATTTCCGGAAAATCCAATCCGGATCTCAGTTACTCGAAGAACAACCTGCAACGTCAAGGCGATATGTCAATAGATCTTGACAACGCCCCACAGCAAGCAAACTTTCAGCAGCAACTGCAGAAGAGACTAGATGCTCTCGAACGATGCTTCTACTCTAGCCGTCCGGAAAGCGCTCTAAGCCTTCGTGCCGAGCCTCAAGATGATCCCGAGTTGCATCCGATTGCTTCATTAAACGCAGATGACCCGCAGCACTCGGCTACCATGGGCCGCAGGGAATCATCAAATGGCGACGCTTCATCTGTTAAATCTGATTTGGCCGGATTCAACGAGATGGAAACGCCGAGCTCTATGAGTAGTCTCCACGACGCGGGAAATCATAGAATATCGCCCACATCATCGAAGTTGGAGAATTTGCCTACTATGCCAGGTAAGTCTCGTCTAGCAATGATGTCTTTTATGGCCAAAAACTTGAAAACTCGTCAAACTAACTATTTCCTCACAATTTAGCCGCATGCTTTTACATTCGAATTATCACAAACGACCAGCCTCCGAGTGAGCACTATCGCGCAATTTATCCTAAATCACGAACAGTTCAAGATCTAAAGTCGAAAATCTTGGAGAAGAGTTCTGCCCAAAACAGCCTAGAAATTTCTAGCATTCTACATATAAACGACACCGGGCTCAAGATTGTGGTGGATGATGAATTTGTCCATGAGATGGCCGAAGGACAGAGTATGACTGTCAGAATCGTTGAGACCCCCGCGCCTTCCCTTGATGCTAGCAACGTATTTGGAAATAACGTTCAACATGAACTTTGGTTGGAGTACTAGGCTGGTGAGGGTATATGGTATATGGCTAAAAGGATTCTTTTCCATTTGAAAAGGCATTCATTAATGAGTTATGATTTTATGAGTTCAGGAGAGGTACTCGTTGGAGTCACTGTACATAGGAACCTTTGAAGATACCCCTATTTGAACATTTTATAACCATGACTACACTGCTGCCTGCCTCCTGGGCATGCCCCGTTTCCAGGGTTGACTTGGCCCTTCGTCTGGTTGGAGCTGGACTGGGTGGCCAACATTGACTTCAACTTTGAATTTTCTACTTGCCAGGCGGTAGTAGGTCTGTGTGGAAAACAACAGCTTGAAGTTGGCCATGAGACCAACTTAAACTCGACGTTAGTAGTACTAGTGCTAGTATATTTTGTGCGGCCGCCAAGGAATTTGGAAGTCCTACATTGATGCATGAAGGGGTTTGAGATAGGTATTTAGTTATCATTTTTCAAAAAAAGCTATCTAGGCGCGATTCTCGCATCGACAACTTTATGCAAGGAGGAAAAGTCAAGGTAATCAGGCAAAGCCGGAGATAAGACTCCAAGCTGAAAATTTCAAAGCATGTTTTATACATGAAGTAAAGAAACGCCGGAGAATCGAAAAGTATGATTTCCCCAGTACATGACGAGTAAAAAAAAAGAGATTCCATAACACCGGCCACGAGGCTGTACAAAGATTTGGTTTGAGGGAAGACCCTTTATGATACCCCCCCAAGCTTTTCCTGAAACTTGCAAGAAAAGCCAGCGTCAACCTTGCCTGAGGAAGGCAGGTTCGGGTAGTGAGGGCCTCGGCCCTCGATATGTTCGTGTATCAAATTGTTCAAATCCAACCGTTTCCCATGGTGACAAAGTGTCCCCGATCGTATTCCCATTCCGTGTGTTAAGCCATTTCCATTTGGCATATTATTCATTTCCCATTCGTGTCGTCGGTGGTAAGAGGTAGTAAGAGGTGTGTCGTAGCGAAGTAATAAAAGGGGAGGCGTAAAAATCGAAAAAAGAAAAGCATAAACGACATATTGCGGAGGCTTGATCAGCGTGATCATTCCTCATCGTCTGTCAGTTTCCTGATAAGACTGATGCTGAGTATCATGACGAGCAATCCGATCGTTACGACGACTAGTAGCACGAATCCGAACCAACCGAGCACCATGGCGGAAGTGCCGACACCGCTCTTCACACTGCCGTTACCCATATCTTGCGCAATCGTACTCGCTGCAACCGAGGCTGTATGTTGCCACAACACTGACACGAGGACGAACACGGTCGAAACAAAGATCAGGGCCAGAGCTGCTTGTGAGACGGGGCGCGACGGGAAGGGCTTGATCTCGACGTCTGAGCCAGATTCATCGCGCTCCTCGTGCCAGCCGGGGAATGTTGCGAGGAGGATAAAGCAGAAGAAGGCGAGGATGATGGCAACGATACTGGATAGCGGTTAGGATTTGAAAGTAAAAACGGGTATATAATATCATCAACTTACAGGAGGTATGGGAACACGACCGCGTCTTTGAATGTGGAGGCGACCCAGATCAGGTTGAGTGGATCTTGGTCCACAGTGACAATCTCCGCCAGGGCGGTAGCATTGGAGTTGCAAATGAAAGACCCACGATCAGGCTGGACACAGATACCGAAGTATCCAACGCGGACTTCCAGTTCAGCGGTGCCAACGATATTTGCCATCGCGCTCGTGACTCCTGGGTCGACTTGTGACAAGTCGAAGGTGGGTTTATAGCTTTCATAGTACATGGATATGAGGAAGATGTTTGGGATCTCTGGGGACGATGAAGAGCATCCAGCCAGCAATAATGCTGTGAAAGGTTAGCCACATTCCAAAGGCACACGTGGGATGCTGCCCATAGGGCCAGCGGATACATACATAGAAGGATGATTGCGATTGCAATGATTATCATCAACACATGGTGGTACCCGATCATAGGAATGAAACCTGTGTTCTTTGTTAGCATACTTGTTCTCTTTTTCGCTTTCCTTTGATTGCTGTTTGTCACATACGGGCCCATGATTCTGCGACTCGAAACGCCATTGCGACCAGCTATGGGGGGTGCAAATGAGCGGTCTCGATCTCTCACGTCAATAGACTCGCTTCTCGGGTCTCCGAGAAGGAGTGTTCGAAGCCGTGCTCGGAGTCAGAACTCTGATGGCTACCGCGTGGCGGTCGAGGGCGTGATTGTAGAGGAAGTAATTCCACTCGTCAACGATAGTCGTAAGTGGAATGTGGAGGAGGAATGCGGGAGATGAGATGCGATAAAAAGGTCGGGATGGTGTCCAATCGGTTCGCGTCGAAGCTTCAAGGTCCTGCAAAGACAATTGAAGGTGCTGCGGCGTATCGTCGGGTCCGGATCGCACCTATATGCAAGTCTCGACAATGGTCAGAGGTCTTGAAGTCTTCTGGACAGCAAGTGTAGCACAAGGATGAAGAAGGAGAGGAATGTGTAGAAGGAATGGAAGGGGGGGGGGAGGGGGAGGAAAGATCGTAGCTGCAATAGAAAACCACGTCAGGCGCAAATCTTGAAGCCCTTGGAGGCTGGGGATGGAGACGATGTATGGGAATATCGAGAGGCTGGGCCAACCGTCTTTGTTTACTCTGCCGCTTCCCGGGAAACCAAGTTGCACCGCCTCCTTTTTTGGGGATTCTGCCGGGGGCCTGTTGCTGGGTGGTTGCACGCTAAACTACGATAGGACTAGTGTTATCCCCGATAAGGTTAGGCCCCACCATTAACCCGCGGGTCGCCGCCTCCAGCCTCCGGTTTACTACGACGGTCTACGTGGACAGACCGCTGATCAATGAAATAGTATGCGCTGGATTGACTAGATGCTAAAACACCAATGATAATAACACTCATGATAATATCCCACACACCGCAAGAAAATAATTGATGCCTAACCCGTGTCTGCAAATGCATGTCCCAGATTGATATGCCTGTTCCCATACTCCAACACCCGAAACCGATACCGAAATATGCTTGTAATTGATTAATGGGCGGCGAACGAGAAGCGCTTGAGATCCAAAGGCTTAGGTCGTGCCGACATGCTTGTTTCTCCTCCTCCTCCTCCTTCTTCTTCTTCATCCTCCTCTTCATCTTCACTGTCGGGAATGATGAGATCTTCGCTGCCTTGAGCGCCGCTGCTCCCGGTGACAGGAGACTCTGCAGTGATGGGGCTAGCATCATATTGAGATTCCATACTATCAGCCTGTCGAAGCTTGGTTGGGAAGTTGATACTGTGGGACCGAGTCAATGCAGCATGCCCCATACGCTGGAGTGGAGTCAAGCGTCTGCGCTGCGGGGATCGATTCTGAGGGTTCCCGACGGGTGTCCTGGGGGAACCAAGAGGCGCAGGCCGATTGCGGGGCTGCATCACAGGGAGTCTAGTAGCCGGGGAGCGAGTCGGGACAGACTCTGTCTGTGGACTTGATTTGAAGGTAAACTTGGAAAGGATGGCCGTATTCTGCCGCTGTACATGATAGTCCAAGGCTTGCTTAAAGTCATCATCTTTGGCAGATTTGGTGGCCGGGGTGAGTGTAGCTTTCGTTGCGCTATTGGCCGAGGAGGTATCGACAGTCTGCTTGTCATGCTCACTACCAGCCGATTCCTGACTCGTCGATTCTTGCGGTTCGCCAGCCTCGGCGCTTGAAGCTGGATCGGGAATACTGGAGAAAATATCTTCAGCTACTTCATCGGAGAAAACATCCATCATCGATTTCCGCTGCTTCTTGCTCCGGGACACTTTCTGGCCCGTCGGACTCGCTTGATCTGCCTTGGGACTACTAAAGAACCGACTGTGGGAATCAGGACGTGTCGGAAGAGAGTCGTCCTCTGCTTCAGAGCAAAGTCTTTGCCGCTTGATAGACTGTATGGTTGCCGCTCGCTGCAGTGTCGATGTCCGGGCAGATTGAGACGAGAGTGAGCTCCGTTCAACACTACGGACCATAGGACTGAGGCCAGCTTGGTCGGAGAAGGCCCGCAGAGGGGTATTGCGTGCCGAGTTAGAGCGCAAGGGAGCCGAGTTGGCTTGCCAAGAGTTGTTCGCATTCCGCTCCAGAAGTCGTTGCTGGCTTGGAGATGGGGTGAGGCTGTTCGGGTCCAGCTCCCCCAGAGGCGTGCGCTTCGGCGTAAAGAACGAGTTGATTGGCTTGCTGGGCTTCAGCTCTGAAGATGAACCAAGCGTCTGGCGACGGCTGATACCCAGGGGTAATTTACCTGTGGCCAAAAGTTTCAATTCAATCGGTTCCTTCGTCGATGGATCTAGATCTCCGCGAGCAACCCCGGCCGCGATCATTGCCTCCACATCGGCTCCAATGAAGGGAAGCTCGTCGATATTTATCCCATCTTCGGGCACCGTCAAGGTGACAAGCTTTTGGGCGGTGGTGCAGAAGACTCGTTGATATAAGAATGTCAGTTCAGCCTGCCTGAAGTTAGACAAGTAGTCGGCCGGCACTTTAAATTGGCCGTCAAATTGTATCATGCGAAGCGCTTTCTCCACAGTCTTGTGCTTTCGAATACTGCGATAAGCAGTCTTCAATCCCATCTTGGGGATGTTCGCCAGATAATCACAACCACTCAATATGCACATGCGACGGAAATCCGCATCGCTCCAACCAACCAAGCTGACCTCGCGACATGCTGTGAAATCCGCTCGGTTAATCTCAATGCATTCGCCATGCTGATCCAATTTAGACAACAATCTTTTCGCTCCAAAAACGAGGAGGTCAGAATCCTCTGAAATGATTCCTTGAATGTGACCCTGCTGCTCCAAGTACACCAATTGGGAATCCGCTTCATACGGAGCCACCACATACTGTACATCCATCTGTTTCAGTTCCTCGATAAGCTGTCGGGCCATGTAGGGGGTGACGTCGACGGCTTTTTGGAACTCCTGGTAAGCCTCTGGCATTCTGCCTTTCCGTTGTAGTTCAAGCCCGAGTGCCTTGCTCTCTTGGCGTCTTCGAAGCCGGTCTTGTTCGGTCCCTGCTTTGCTGGGCAGGTTGTCGCCATCGAATACGAGGTAGGGTTTCACTCCGAAGTAGATGAGCATGCGAACACGATTTAGGACGAAATCGAGGTGTCTAGATCGAAGTTAGCCGCCTGTGCAATGTCCGGAAGAAACGAGCAAAAGGGTACGCACTTCCTAGTCGGCCTATCCAAAACCAGGTCGACAGAGCAGGCCACCGTCCCGCGGTGTAGCCATCCATAGGCGTCAACTCCAAGCGTCTGGCCACTGAACTTCTTCAGATGGCATGGCTTTTGGATAGATTTGAGTAGACCATGTAATCCTGTATTCAAAATCAGCCCAAACCCATCTCCCTTCGTCCATGAGGAGCACAGGAACCACAGAAACCACAGGAACTTACCTTTGATACCCATGGTGGGCACCGATCGAGGCACAAGCGGGTCCTCGTATTTACTCGAGAGACAATAACATGCGATTTGATATTTTCAAGGCTCAACGCGTGGGAACGGAAGCAACAAGATGAACAGAAAAACGCAAGTCAAATCATAGAGGAAATACCCCCATGGCTGGTGCTGGAATGTTTGTTCTCGTTTGTTCCTCTCGACGCGCAGACGCGATGTGATACTTTCTGATTATGGCAGGCGGTATGGTAAAGTTACCGCCCGATTCTGCAGGCAGAGACGAAAATTAATTTGATGCGGGACAAGCAGAGAATCCAAAGGTAGAGTTGTTCCCTCCCATCCATTCACCATGCCAGTCACCTTGCAAAAAGTGCACAAGCACATCTCCAAGAAACGAGGTGTTGTTAACGCCCTACACGAGTTCAGCCGCGATGCTCGTCGGCTCCGTCGGGCCGGTCATCGGGACGACCGCTTGGTCAAACATACCTCGATCTCCATGAAGGCCCGCCAACCATACAGTTAGTACTCTACATGAGGGGTTTTAAGGTCTACCACATACTAATGCACTGCAGCGGACCGCATTGACCATTTTTACGAAGCAATTCAACCCATCTCCGAGCCCCTCTCCGAGGCTGAACTTGCCGAGATGATCACCAAGTAGGGTCCCCGGAACATTACCGGTGCATCTGTCTGCCAATACTGTACTAACCGCTTCTAGGTACATATATCGCGATGCAGAGGAACTTGCGCAACTCAAACAAGAACGCCGCAAGGGCCGTCCACCCACCAAGCGGGAAGAAGTGCTCGGACAGCGGACAGAGACAGAGGAGAAGGAATTCAAGATAGGATTCTGGGTACCGGACCTGACCGAGATGGATGTCCTGGTGGCATTGAAGAAATGGAATGGAAAGTGGTCTGGCCTCAGTCCTGTGAAATTTGTTCGCCTCGTGCAGGGTGGAGAGAAGAAGGATTCGACCTTCCCTCCCAATGGCATGTCATGATACGAATATCCTCATTTTCTTTTCTTTCGTGGGCTATTGGGCGTACATGGAGCACAAAATTGGAGACTAGTAAATACAATACCACTGTTTCAATGACTATAGCATGCAAAACACCACATGTAATATGCCTATCAACTAGTATGTACTGTAGAATGGAAAACGGCAGATCTGCAGGCGGTGCCGGGCTCAACCATGGAAAAGGCTTGGCGTGGCCTCCAGCTTCACTCCGCAACCCGCAACTTTTTCTTGTCCTTTTCATCAACCACACATCCCCCATCTTCACAATGCTTTCTCTCCGTGCTTTCTCCCGTGCCGCCCCGCGCTTCACGCGCTCTGTCGCCCGCACTTCTCTGCGTCCGGCTGTCCTTCCCAAGACTTCCTTCGTCCAGCCTTGGAAGCAGGTTGCTAAGCCCGCCTACGCCAGCTTTTCCACAACCAGCGTCTTCCGCGAGCCCGCAGCTGAGGGTAAGTTAATTGTGATTGGTCGCTCTGATGGAATTGTGATGATTCCAGGTGTTTCCGGTTCGGGGTTGCGAAGAAAGTTGCTGATCATACGATGTTTACTTGATAGGCGATGTGGAGCTGATCGCGAAGCTCGACGAGGAGCTCAAGCACGAGAAGGCCTCTGGTGTCGAGGATGCCCGTGAGCAGAAGGCCAGCATCGATTACGTTCTCGATGCCGGCGAGTGGAAGGTCAAGGATGTTGAGGGCGAGCAGGAGGTTGTCCTGACCAAGAAGTTTGGCAACGAGACGTAAGCATATCCGTTTCTGAGCCCTAGTCGTTTCATAGCTAACATAAATCCCAACTTAGTATCAAGGTTACTTTCACCGTCGCCGATATCAACAACCTCGCCGAGGACCCTATGGATGAGCTGGCCGATGAGACCCTCGGTGATGAGGGCGAATACCAGGCCCAGCAGAACAAGGACGTTGAGGGTGAGGACGAGATCCTCCCCCCCTACCTTCCCTGCCCGCATCAACGTTGCTGTTGAGAAGCCTAGCAACGGTGCCCTCCTGGTCCAGGCCGTCATTCAGGACGGTGACCTCCAGATCGAGGAGATCGCCCACTACAGCAACGCCGAGGTTGCTAACGCCCAGACCGCTGAGAAGGACTGGACCCGCCAGAGCCTCTACGCCGGACCCCCGGCTGAGAACCCTCGACCCCGAGCTGCTCGCTTTCTGGGGCCGCTACCTCGAGGAGCGTGGCCTCAACCTGGAGTTCCAGAACATGGTCACCGACTTCATTGCGTACAAGGAGCAGAAGGAGTACATGCGGTGGTTGGAGAGTGCGTATTCCTTTTTTCCATCATTGATTTCCAAGCGCTAACATCTTTGTTCCTAGACGTCCGCAAGTTCGTTTCTGCTTAAGCGATGAACTCACTCAAGTTGCCCCTTCTTAATTGCTCTTCTGAGAAGCTCCTAGGCCATGTTGTCCAGGACCAGCGTCCCTGTTTTCCTTTGTGCTGTACCAACTCCCATCAACCAAACTGTTCGTGAATGTGCTTTGAGCGCATCTGACCGTATCTGTACCAATAATTTACCCCATATATGAACAATCAACTTTCAAGTTTATCTTCGAATTGATACTAGAGTCTAGTTTCACGTAGCCAATCAATGCTCATCTCCAATTCTGAAACCCCAAATAGATCATCTTGCAGGTCTTGAACAGATCTTTTCTGGTGGGAATGCTGGCTCGCTAGTTTCGCGGCTCGCACGGCAGCAGTGCGCTCTACCAATTCGCCGAAGGGTTTCTCAAAGGCAGTATGATGCTGCACATTCTGTTGCCACTGGACCAGCATCTTCGTCACGACATCCCAAGCATGGTCAGTCTCGGCGCACAATGGACGAGCACATAGTTCCGTAAGCAAATAGGCCATAATATACCACTGCTTGTAACTTTTGCATAGCCAGGTCCACTGCGTGGTGACTGGATTCGTCTGTAACAAGTATGAAAAATTAACACTCTCGACAGCAGTCTCAAAAGCCGTATCGTTGCGAGGTGAATTTGAGCTCGGCGGCTGTTCGCAGGGCTTCTGGACAACCAGCCATGCTCTTGCCAGTTGGAGCCGGATAATAGTGGCAGATATCCATTGTAAAGGCATATCCAGATCAAAATGGCTTAAATACTTATCGTGTAGCATTTTGCCAACCTTTGTTACTATAATCTCCTGGTCGGTCTGGGGAATTGGAACACTCTTTTCGAGTATCGTCGGAGACCAGTATACATCATTGAGTACCGTCGAGCACATGATGCAGTGTGTGATATCAGTGAAAAGTTTGCTTTCATGCGGGAGACTGGTCATTTCTGGGAAGAGATCTTCTCCATCAATATTGGACGGGTACTTTGTGTCAAACATTCCGGGTCTGATTTGCGTATCAACAGCCTGCTCCTCGGAGGAAAGCATATCCAGGATACAGATATACCACCACAACCGACGTCGCATTTCTGTCTCGAATGGACTGAGGTCTAGCTTCTCTCCATCTACATGGAGCTGCAAGCTCTGAGCAAGTCGAATTATCACAGCAGTCTTCGCCCAGACTAGTCTTGTGTTTCCGCCCGCTCGAGAGCAGAGCAGGAATAATACCGCAGCTTGGAGAATGACGATATTCTTAGCCTTGAGGATGTCCGCTGAGTCAAGAGCCCTTTCAAAGGCGATCTCGTAGTTTTCTCTGACAACATCATATTCCTGGTCGATTTCGGACTGGCATTGCCCTGGGACCATGCTGATGACACCGGAGAAACAGATGGCGAGTACTAGTGACTCATGTGCGGCGTCTAATTCGACACCATTCGCTGCATTATTGATTATTTGTTGCGTTGATGGAAGATGTAGAATGGCGATGAGAGGTGCAACATTTTCTTCGTGCAAATGCCATAGTCTCTGGATCTGTCCAGGCTGAAAATATTGAAGGCGAAATTCATCTACCAAGAAGCCATCACGAATGTTACAGGACTGGCCTGGTAGGCTAAGCGCGTTCAAGTTGGGAGTAATAGACCTCTGGGGCGTGTGGCTTGGTTGCGAAAGAGATTCCGCTGGGTAACTTGAAGTTATATTTAAATTGCCAGTGGTCGATCGCAGCTTGTCTACCTCTGATTCCAACTCTTTGAGACGCGTAAGCAGCTCGCCAACGGGGGGTCGATTTAACTGTCGCGGTGCGCGTTTATCCCCAGGGAAGATGCATTCTTCTCCATTTTTGATACATGCGGCGCAAGGACTTTTCCGACTGCATTTCACTTTTCTTTGATTGCATCTTGTACAGCTGCGTTTGTGCAATGGGATCTCCACGCCGTCGGGTTTCGTAGCCTTATGGACCATCACGCTGAGATATGGCCTTTCACGCAGAGCAGAAAGAAACGTGGTGTATTCATGAGCTAACTCATGTAGGAAAGACAGAGATTTTATTTCAGATCTGTAATCAAGCGATCGATTATCTGACCTGCGGTGAAATTGAGGGGGGGATGGATGTGGGTCCGTGGTGAATTCGGGATTGAAGTCGATGCCGAGATTATCAATGGATGACGTGCATATCTAAGCCGAAGACCGACTTACTCAACTCTGAAATTTGCCATAAATATGTGATTTTCCGTGGGAAAAAGTAAACTTCTAATTTATCACAACCTCAAATTTAATTTCTCACGCCCAGAATGCCTCGAACTGTCCTCGTCACCGGTGCCACCGGAAAACAAGGTGGCAGTGTGATACAAGCACTTCTCGATCAAAATGCAGACTTTGAAATCTTGGCCGTAACCCGAGATGCCTCTTCCAAGAGTGCCCAGAAACTTGAGAACAAATCCTCAAACATCAAACTTGTTCAAGGCAATCTTGACCAAGCAGAAGATATCTTCATCTGTGCTAAGAGGGTCACATCGAATCCTATCTGGGGTGTTTTCAGCGTACAGGTAACTATGATGAACGATCCTTGAATTGAATATTATGCATCGTCTAACATATTCTTAGGTCCCGGTCCCGGGTGGATCAAATCATGATGCAGAAGAGAAACAGGGAAAGGGGCTGATTGACGCTGCCCTTAAGCATGGCGTGAAGTTTTTCTTATACTCATCCGTTGATAGAGGTGGCGAAGCCTCATTTGACAGCCCTACACCGATCCCACACTTTATCAGCAAGCACAACATCGAGCATCACCTTGTTCGAAGGGCAAAAGACTCCGGAATGGACTGGACGATTTTGCGCCCGGTCGCCTTTATGGAAAACTTCACTCCAGACTTTTTCGGCAAAGTCTTCACGACGTCTTGGAAAATTGCTGTCAAAGATAAGCCTTTGCAGTTAGTTTCAACTAAAGACATCGGGTTCTTTGGCGCGAAGGCTTTCCTCTCGCCTGACCAGTACAAGGGAAAGACCCTCTCGCTTGCGGGCGATGAGCTCACCTTCAATCAAATGACTGAGACTTTCAAGTCCAAAACTGGAAAGAATGTCCCGATGACTTTTGAGTTTGTTGGTAAATTGTTGATGTCGATGATGAAAGATCTGGGCTATATGTTCCAATGGTTCTACGATGTTGGATATGGTGCGGACATTTCTGCGCTCAAAGAAATAAATCCTAACCTGAAGGATTTTAAGACATGGCTCGGGGAAGAGAGTGGGTTTGAAACAAAATAGACAGTTCCTTATTTCTGGCTGTATATTCTTCTCTATTGGCTGGGATGTCGGTACCCCTAATTATAGACAAACTATATTTTTCAAGTTCTCATTTCAATGCACGCATCTAAGAAGGATAACTCAAATTCAACACGAAGTCACTCATAATCCGACTCAAGACCGGACCAGGCTCCACTAATGGCCGGCTGTGTTTTCCTCCTTTGTGATTTAGTCTTCGAATCTGAGTCAGATGGCCATCCTGGTCGCAATGCTTCTGGGTGAGGGCGGCCTGGAGAGGCATTTAAAGTATCCTTAGGCAAGTGAAGACTCTCGGACCTGTCATGACGCTTAAATGACAAGAAAGCTTCCGATGAACTGGATCTAGTCATTTCAGGTCGGGTTCCTAAGGATATTGAAGCATCCACGCCTTGTCGCAAAGTCGTGTATCCCTGAGACCCCCATCCTGTGGTATTCGAAGACCTAGGTAGAGACCGACCCTCTCGATAATTGTTTTGACCCCCAGAGTGGCCCTCATAGTAATCAAAATCCAGATGCTCCTGTATCACGGGCTTTTCGGTCATTTTTTGTTTGAGCCGACTGACATGATCAGCGCGGTTCCCCTGTTCCAGCGCAATTTCGGCATCCGTCTTTCCCATAGTTTCGTTCATGTACATCTCAAAGTGGTGGCTTGTTTCTGCGACAGCTTTGAAATGCCTTGCCTTTAGCTCACCTTGTAACGCCTCGGAGGGGGTGTTGGGGGGTTTCTCCATCTCGCGCTTTTTCGCGACAGTGCGCATTTCGAATCGTGCCAGCGCCGCCGCAATTTGAAAAGCATTCCGAATCTGTCTTCCGTTCCATCTTCCCTTGCCATATTGATGCTGCTGCCAGTGACTGAGTGCAAAATCCAGAATCTCTTCTTCGTCGACTTTCAATGGTAATTCGGGAAGTTCATCCGAGTCACTGCCGGTATCGAGTATGATGTGCCGTTCTTCCTCAATCTGTTTCAGTTTCCTTATATTGATTCGCCATATTCCCTCTGTCTGGTTCTTGCTCAGTGGCGGGTAATAGAGGATGACATGGATTCTAGACTTGAAAGCTTCGTCAAGCGTTCCGACTCTGTTCGTTGTCAAGAATAGGATACCGTTGTAATACTCCAGGATACGAAGAAAGACTGTTTGCCTGTAATTAGCTCAAAGCTCTTGAAATTTGGGACTTGCAAATCGCACCTGATACCAGAGCATTCCGCTTCAAATCCCAGGTCGACCGTTGTGACAGAAACACATCTGCTTCATCCATCAACAGAACACAATCCCATAGATGGGCCAGTCGAAAGATTTCTTTCAGTGACGATTCCACCTCAGACGGAGAGAATCCAAGATCACCGCATGTAATAATGAAGAGGGGTTTTCTCTTTGCATTGGCGACAGCCTCCGCCGTGGAAGTCTTTCCAACCCCTGGAACACCATGCAGTAAGATGACGAGTCCCCTTCCCTTGTTCTGAATAATATCCTGACTCATATTTGCCATCTTCGGGTCTCTCTCGATCTTCTTCCTTTCAAAGTGTGAATCAACCACCGCATTGATCATCTTCTTGTGCTCCTTCGCAATGAATACATTCTTAAATTGCTCGCCTTGATCTACCACAAGTCTGAGTTTTCGAATATCCACTGGGACGAACTTACGGTCTTGAAGGGAATAAGCAAAGAGTCTTCGAGGGGAATAAAACAAAGTCCTCATCCTCGAGCTCACCACTCGAGATTCCATCGGGATTCCTGCGTCTCTCCCTTTGCCCACTAAGGAATTTGTCGGTTTTGAGGTTCACATTTCTTTCTTTCGTGTCAATGGGTGCGCCCGAATATATTGCATCTTGGAAGTTTGCTGCGACCTGTGTCCGCTCTTTATCGGTCCAGATAGTTCCAAGAACATCGTCAGCCATAACCGAATGGTTATCCTCGCCATCGTGCAAAGCTGGTATATGCGAAATGGTCGACCAGCGGGGATGTGCTTTCAATGCCTCGACAAAATCGACGATCACATCACTGTCAATGTATTCCGGATAGTCATAGTCTCCAATAGTCCAGCCCTTGTAAGACAAATACTTTTCGGAAATGCACTTCTGAAAGAGTCTCCCTTGGTCATCCAACTCTTGCAGTATCCGTTGATGGTCCTGGGCAAATCTAACAGGATAAATGTCCAGCGACTGTATATCTTTCTCTCCTTCAAAGTACGGGATCGTCACTTTCCCCTTCACTGGGATGTATGATTCACCGTTGTGATCGATCGAGTAACACCTGATCAATACTTTGTCATTTTGGGAATACCCATCCGTACCATGGTCAGGGTAAGTGATCGAATATACTCTCATCACCCGTCGGCTTCGAAAAGATCTACCCCTTGCCTTGCCATTTGTGGGGTCCGCGGCATTGGCATTGAAAAGGAGCCCTCCCAGGCGAAATAGATACCACAGATCGTCGAACCTGACTCTGTGCGGAGTAACTTTGCCGTTTTGCTCATCAAATTGATGATAAAGAGGAATCACTTCGCTCTCAACAAATTCGACGTAGACCCTCATGGCCCGTAGAGCCTCGACACTATCCATCATGTCCGCGGACACGGTAGATGAATTTCTCTTTCTCGTGCTCCCTGGCTCCAATGCACTCTGGTCTGTTTTTTCTCCTCTCAAAATAGACCAGTGTTCGGCCGGTTGGTTGCGCTCCGTTTCGCCCCATTTTGCTTCCAGGTCAGAAAGATTAGTTTTCATGGCATCATGGTAAAATATCAATGGCTTGAAAGGGCGTGCAAATGTTGTCCAGTCCATTCTGCCGTATCCGATGACTTTATTAAGAACGAGGAGAAGAGATGGAGATCGGATTCGCACTCTATATGCAGATCTCACGCTTGAGGGCGTAGATCTTTCTGATCGCCTCGGTTTGCCACGATTGATTGGGAGCGTGGGATTATTGGTTGGGTCAAAAGAGATCTGTGGACCAATTTCTTCAATCTCTTGCTTCAGATCAAACCCTGCGCTGAGCACTTCGATTGCGCATTGATACTCATCGTCTCTAAAATTGTTTTTGAACGCATCATAACTGAGCCATGCGACCTGGGAAAGCGTTGGTAGAGAAGAGGGGTTCGATATGCGGCGGGCTTTCTTTCGTATGACTGATCGGCTGCTAGCCATTTCCTTGTCGGTTAGTTGCCTTTTATCTTTCGAGTTCTCCAAAAGCTTTGCTTCGACGGCAGCTAGTCGTTTCTCCAGAACATAGATATGAAGTCTCTCCTGTGAAACGCTTTGAGATTGTACAACTTCCCACGGTTTCAAATTACTTGGAAATTGACCAGCATTTTCAACCTCGGATTCAGAGTCGGAAGCTAGACTTTCTTCTTCTGGCATCGTGGAATCGGAATCAGCCTACCGGATTAAAAAGGTTAGCTTTTTATAATAATTTCCTCTACGAGAAAACTCGCCCCTGTCACCATTTTCCCAAAGAATCTTCCTGTCGAATTTCCTTTATGGTTAGGTTGCATTTGGATAGGCATGGCTGCCCTTGTCCGCGACCAGGAGAACAGAGGGAGGTTTTTGCAAGCTAGAATTGTCGCGAAAGATGTCGATAATACGACGTCAAATAGAATTTCTCAGAGGAAGGCTTTGCTGAAGCCCCAGGGATTCGAGCCAGACGATATGCTTTTGATTTCTAATAGTTGGCCCGGGAATTACATGGGTTTAAGCGCCGCCGCCATGCAGCCTACCACACAATCACCTGTCAGCACACAAGAAAAAGCAAGGCCGCTCAATTAGATTGCCTTCTCGTATCAATTTAAGCTTGCGAGCCCAGCTAATTTCTGAGAAAATGAACAAGTCTGCGGGTAGGGCCTCTTCTATCGAGCTTACTGCGTAGGGGCTGGGGGCATTGGATGATGATTGGCCCCATGCGCATGGCTTTTGCCCGGGCGATGCATGCGAATGGCCGGCCTTGGAAATGATTTCTGTGAGTAAGATGGGGCTGATCCGGCTGAATGCGTGTTCTGTTCTGATTAGTCTCCGAGTCAGTTGGCTTGGCTGTTTCTTTTGATTACCAGCCCCTCGTGGTGGCAGAACGAAGTAGAATCTGACAATCAGCCTCATCGAAAGCCTTTCACCAGGGCGTCTGCAGGGATGTGGGAATAGCAGTACTCAAATCATCAGACACCCTCTGCCTGCTTGCTTTATATTCTGTATCTTGTTTCCCCTTCTTTCAAGTCTACATTTGTTGCCCAGATATAACAATTTTGTAACAAATAACAATAAAGAACTAGATGAACTCAATACGAAAGGCCGAATCGTCTCCAAAGGGAAAATTCGCGCGAGATTTCATATCCACTCATGCATCGGAGCATCATGAAGCGTTTCAGAGGCGCGCCTACTTCGATGCCCAACGACAAGAGTATGTAGAATATGCCCCGCATCGGTAAGTGTACTCGCATGCGACACTCAGAAATTCATGCTCATCAAGCTGAACGCAGTGACTTGGCAGCGGCACTCGAACGACGTAGGGAGAATGGAGATTCATGCTTCGACGCCGTGGGGAAATGCACATGGGCTGATGTGCTTGATGAGATGAGCAGGGCTGAAGAAGAGTACTTTTCTAAAGGCCGAGGCTCAAAGAACATTGGTCGGAGAGCATTGAGGAAAGCTGGAGACTATGCTTCCGCTATCAGCCCGTGGTTTAACTTAGTTCCCGATGACGATGGCATGAATGTCCTGAGTGGCGGTCTTAGACTTGTCTTTTACGTGAGCAGCTGGCTACCTTGTCAATTGAAAGAAGCCGGAGCTTAATATTTTTGCAGATTGCCAGGAAACAGGCCGAAGCCCGAGAAAAGATCCTGAACACATTTCGGGATTTTGTAACAATTCTCGACGCAACGCAAATCAAACGGCAAATGTTTAGGTCCAACGAAAAACTCCGATCATGTGCATTAGACTTGTATGAGGCCGCTCTGACTGCTATTACGAAACTGATCCATCGATTGAACCGCTATCATTGGTGTAAGTTTCAAAGGCTACTACTGTGCAGGATCTCAAATGAGTCAGCTTATGCTGAGTACCGGCTAGGGGATCAAGCTCCAGCATTCGCCTCGGCGCCTATCTTTTCCGCAGCAATTGACGATATATTATTCGACGTTAATAAAAGACTAAATGACCTGCACCGGTGTCTCGACGATATACGTGACCAAAAACTCAATACTATTCACCAAAATGTTATCTCAAGTCAAACAGAGTTGCATGCAGTACGCCTGAATACCAAAACAATTGAAATTGATGTTCGAAACTTGAACGACGATTTTAATCATTTTGCGCAGCAGGCTCAAGTTGACCAGGAGAAAATTGATAGTATACAGAGTGGGGTTGAACGGATTAACGAAAATATCGATCGCTTGCTGACGGAACATGCACTTGACGCGAAGACCGGGCTATACCATATGCTTTTGGATACCATTCGAGGTACAGCACCGATTTGTATGGGTCTCTTGGTTTTTAGTATCGAACTGACACCTGTGGACATGATTAGCATACGAGCAGCATAAGACCGCATCCCAGAGACCTAATTCCCCCAAATATCGCATGCTGCAACTACCCCAACTGTTAGAAGCATTACAAATATTTTATATGAGACCGACGCAAGACCTCGAATATGTGGCTCGACAGGGGCATACCTTTGATTCGAGAGCCCAAATGCAGGCTCAGAGTCTAACAAAAACACCTGAGTTCGAACGTTGGCTTACCTCACATCGGCCGGACCTGCTTCTTGTTGACGGGAACGCATATATCCCGGGCCCGGGCCGTATTTCGGCCATGTCAGTATTTTGCGCAGTCTTGGTGCTTGGTCTGATGAAAAGTAAGAAACACATAGTGCTACACTTTTTCTGTGGCCAGCACACAACCTCCCAAGACAATATGAGCGGACCGAAGGGACTCATGCGAAGTATAATCACGCAATTGCTATATTGTGGAAAACAATTCGATATCGACTTCATCGATTCCCGGACTTATCGCGAGTCACTGGAAGCACAATCTCTTCCGCATCTTTGCGACATATTCTGTAAACTCATTGAGCAACTTCAACTCGACACGAGTGTGTTCTGTGTCGTTGACGGGGTCTCCCTATATGAAGGAGACCACTGGCTCGATGAGCTTTGCTGCGTATTTGAGACATTAAATGCGCTTGTCGAAAACGAGCACCTGCAGCCGATATTCAAATTATTACTCACGAGCCCCTTTGCTAGCCGGCAGCTTGGACACCAAACCGCGGCCTCTCGGAAGGTAGTTCTCCGGAAAAGCACTGTGAATGGTAGACTTATCTCCGAAGCATCCGTTTGCAAGAACTGGGGAGGTCGAGAGCGATGCAGAGCCCCCTCATCGGATGTACAAGTAGAACATGGCGAGACTTCGGATGAAGATGAGTATGAATGAAAATACTGGGTGCAGTTCAATAGGTGGAAGGAGGTAGTATGATATGTATAAGACTAAATTCGTTGTAACACCAGAAAAACGCCTGAAGAGCTTGCCGAACAGCGGGGGAAATATGCACAGCTCTTCCAGGATGATAATCACAGAGCGTAAGATCGTAAAATGCCAAGTGGCTCAGAACTCCATCGGGTCAGCCTTCACTGCCGTTTTGGTGTCCTCGCGTTCTCGCTTAACTACCCGTTCCTCCTTGAGAAGACCAGCAATAAATGAACGGAAGAATTCAATATATGGCTTGAGACTAGTCTTTTCATAGTCCTGCAGTTTGCGACCACTGCCCTTGATGTCCGAGCCATTCATCGCGCTGCCGTCCGCATCGGGCATATCCGCCTCCGTGGTGCCGGCGGGGTGTTTTGCATCATATTCGTCAATCTCTGCCAGTAGCTCCATGACAGTTGGAACGGAAAGAGGATCAAACTCTTCTGCCTTGCGAGGGTCGATAGGAACACAAATTCGGCCCGTGCCAGGATGAATGACGAAGGGACTTTTCAACAAGTGAATCATCTTCTTACTGACCTCGGCATCAAGGCGCGGGTAGGTGTATTCCAGGACAATATCTTGCTTTGCGTCGCGAAGAGTGGCAGTGTTCAATGTGCTGCTCTTTCCGGTCTTCGCCAGGGAATCTATATCGGCCCATTTGCTAACGCTAGGACGATCCGGGGACGAGTCCCATTTCCTTCGCAAAGCGTCATTTAATGACTTATCGGGCAGCAATCCCAGGAGTCGATCTGCCTGCTCCGAGCCTGCGAAGGTATCCTGGTCGACCAGTGTCGTCTGCGCAAAATGATTCTTCAAAATGTCAAGACTGCGCGTAATGTGAGGGTGCAGCGGCCTCTTGAGGTTCACTCGTTTGCCGCTCTGCGATCCTCCTCGCAGAATCTCGAGATAACCAGCGATCGCTCGGCGTCTATCGTCCGACAAATTGCGCGCCCGTGGGTCGCAAACCCAGGCGTGGGCACCACGACGACCGGAGTAAACCCAGAGAATATGCTCGAATCCAAAGTCGTCGCGTAAGGCGGCATCAATAACCTTGATTGCCATTGTAACAAAAGCCCAGCACTTGGCGCAAATCGTGGCCTTTTGACAACATGTTCGAATGTCGTCGTAATCGGTCATATCGATATCGAAAACGAGCTCTTTGGAAACCGGTTTCATCTGGCCTCCTCGAAGGGTTTTGCGATCGCGGGGGTTGGTGCTGTACACGGGGCCAATTTCGAATCGAGAGGGGTTCATTTTGAGAATGTCCTTTCGGAATCTGCAATCGATTCAATCAGATCCATGCTCACATTGCATTGCAGTTATGAGAGGTCAGTGCAAGTAAACTCACAGATCAGCGGTAGGATATGACTGGTATCGGAGGTAGGCATCATTCTGGAGGGTCAAGGCGAACTCTCGGTTTCCAAAGTCTCGGGTTGGGACAATTCCATGGTTGAGCCATTGGAACAGGTATCGGAAGGGAAAGAGTCGTTGATAGAAAGCGAGCATGACATCCGAGTCGACACCAGATGGAGCCGGTGCAGGTTCAGGCGCAGGGGCCGGGGATGACTCCATCTTCACGTCTTGCGCGGTGGAAGCTGGAAACTCCTCGTCCGAGTCGTCGTTGAAAAGATCCTCCACCTTCACGCCATTCTCGGTGGGCCCCTCCACGGGGGCATCCGGAAGCTCCTCATCGTCCTTTCGGGGCGAGCCAGCAGGCGACACTGGGTGTGGCATGGCGGGCAGTGAAGTCAAGTCTCAAGTTGAAGATGTGATGCGATGCGATGTGATGATACGTTCGAGATCATGGGCGACGCGTTGAGACGCGTCGTGCCCTAAACCCTAGGTCACGTGAGTGTGATCTATATGCCCGCAAACGGACGACGCGTCTCTAACTCTACTCTACTCTACTCTACTGGACTGGACTGCATGGCTATAGACATGGCCAGTCGACTCAAGACTCGCCGCATGTCTGGAACTTGCAAGGCCGGAGGAGCACTTGGCCTTCACTCAACACCCTTGGAGTCAGGGTTTTTTCCCCATCGCCTTCCCCTTGCCGTTTGCGGCCGTTTTGTCACGGTGCCTGCCAACACCTGGAGCTCCCCTGGATGACAACAAGACTTCCACCCTGTGTTGCTCAATAGCAAGAAACATGTCCGCCAATCATATTAACAGAGCAGCTGTTTTTTGTTTCAGCGGGGTCAAGGGTAGAATTTTCATCGTCTTATTCGGGAACTCCTCCACGCTTCGCCAGTGGGGATCAAAGTCCAATCCGGTCAGTCGAGTCATTATCGCCTCGTCATGGACTGAGAACGGTCCAAATCCCACCATCACTGCCAACTTTTCTTGCCATGCCTCACCTGCGAGAACGATCGCTTCCTATACGGGATCTCCTTTGGCGGCCAAATGGCCAGGTATCCGCTCCACATTCCGATCATCGGGAATTGCCAATGAGAAGAGGGCTACAACTCTCAAGGCCATGGTCTACATTCCTGGACGCTCCAGGAAACCCTCCGATTAGTCCACTCGCGCTCTGTCTTCCCTTGAACGGCGTGGGCATGGTTGGCACCTCCCGCACCTTCCAGCTCGTAAGGAGACAATGCCTACTAAACAATTGATTGGAGCTCGCTACTCTTCACCAGTTGACACTGATCCACCGACGGTTGATCCCGAATTGAGGCTTTTGGAAGATTCCGCATTCGTCCTCTGGTCACCTTAGCTGGATGGACAGCTCTTGTTTTGATTTGAACGCTTCTTGGCGCCGGGACATGCCTTCAGTTCACCTACCAAATTAATCCCCTTTTCAGATCTGTACAACGAAACCTCTCGTCAATCTTGAATGATCAGCATAGATCAAATCTCTGCTTACCAATTTGACATGGGGACTGACATTGCAGATCCACTTCGCCGATCACAGCTCTTCTACTCGATCTACTTCCGCATTGGGAGGTCTGGTGGATCCTCAATGGACTACTGGCCAAAATGATACTGCAAGATGTCACGTTCGCATCTCAATCCACCATAGAGACGTATCATCGCCCACTATTATCACCCTATAGCCGTCCATTGGTGCCTCTGACAGCCATGGTTCTACTGTCGCTGTTCCTGCTTTCAGCCAAAGACAAGAGGGTGTGGATCAGGACAATTTTTGCTCTCCTATGCGAAAACATGGAAGTTGGATCCATCATGACTTGACATAGATATAATCTCCTTTCGAAAACAGCATAAAAGGCCCCATCTCCTGCCTCCTCCTCGACATTTCTTTCTTACTTTTTCCACCTCATCTTCATTCGTTACCATCTCTTTTCAAGCAAGTTCTCAAGGAAAAACCTTCAATTTCTCGAAATGATCCCCTCCATTGCTCTTGTGGCCCTTGCTGCCAGCCCGGCCTTCGCCGGTGTGATGCAGGCTCGTGGTGAGGACTTTGTCCGTCCCGTCGAGAACCACTCTTCGGAGCACCACCAGGTGTCGACCACCCCGTGCACCACCTCGACCACGTCGACCACCACTCACCACAGCACCACCCCGTGCACCACCACCAAGTCGACCACCACCCCGACTACCACTCACCACAGTACCACCCCGTGCACCACTAGCACCAAGTCGACCACCACCCCAACGACCACTCACCACAGTACCACCACTCCTGTGAAGCCCACCACCAAGATCATCACTGTTGTGACCACCTCTTGCCCTGGTATGTCTTGATAAATCATATGGCCATACATCTTGGGTATATCTCTAACTCCCCATCTAGTCACCTCCACTGTTGTCAGCTCTGGCTCCGTCACCTTCACTGTCCCTGTCACCGAGACTAGCACCATCACCCAGACCAGCACTGTTGTCTGCACCGAGTGCGAGAACATCCCCACTATCATCAACCAGGTCTCCAGCTCGGTCCCCAGCAAGGCCCAGTCCATCCCGGTCATCCCTGCTCAGCAGACCACCGCCCCCGCTCAGCAGGCCTCTGTTCAGCCCTCCCAGCCTGCTGCTGCCTCCCCCGCTCAGCCCGAGCAGCCCGCTGTCTCTCCTGCCCAGCCTGAGACTCCTGCTGCCTCTCCTGCTCAGCCCGAGACTCCTGCTGCCTCCCCCGCTCAGCCCCAGACTCCTGCTGCCTCTCCCGCTCAGCCCCAGACTCCTGCTCAGCCCGAGTCCCCTGCTCAGCCCGAGTCCCCTGCTCAGCCCGAGTCCCCTGCTCAGCCCCAGACCCCTGAGACCCAGCCCTCCACCCCCGCTCAGCAGAACCCCAGCACCAGCTCCGTCCCCTTTAAGGGCGCTGCTTCCAACACCAAGCCCGTTGCTGGCCTCTTGGCCGGTGTCGTCGGCCTGATGGCTCTTCTGTAAACGCGCCCTAGGGCTGAGTACAGTTTCAACATTTCCTTGTTCACTTGTACCTGAAATCCCCGGACTTTTTCATGATTTCTCGCTCGATCTTTGTGGTGGAGATCTGAGGATCTGAAATTCCGGGATGTTGTTGTTCCTCGCCTGACATTCATGTCATACTACGACCCGCTTGATCTCTCCCTTGCAAGGGCGGAAAAAGAGTTGCTTGGTCATTTCGAGATCTTGTTTGTTTATTCTTTTGTTTGATTTAGATAATACATAATAATAATACTAAAATTTGTTTTGTGAATCTTCAACTCCATCTCTACTACTAGTGATGATAATAACTCCATATCGCTAAGACAGTAGACAATTTTCCCTGGTATCTTTCTCAGTGGCTTCCAAGATTTATGTTTTCTTTCCAGAAGCATTCCAGGGCGAGCTTCCAGGGGAAAGTTCACTGGGCTCCACGATGCGGCGTTCTACAACACCTACGACCTCGGAACTGCGCCGAATGGATGAGAGTAAACAAGACTCTTTTGCGATGCCGTGAGCAGCATCGCTCGTTGAGGAACGTAAGCTAGAAACCATCATTCAATCCTCTACAATGTTTGCCCTATTCAAGTAGATCACCAGGCTCGCTTGGCCGTCTCTCCTCTCCAAGGTCCTCTCCAAGGATGTAGCAGATCAACCCGGAAGCAACCCGCTGAGCAATTTATATTTAGCAGGCGAGATGATATTGTCTCTGCTCCAAGTGAACCAAAGATTGGCGTTGCATAACTATAACCCTATTACTAGACGCAACCAAGATTTGTTGTCCAATCCATGTGAGCCAGGACTGATTCTATTTGTTTGTCCAGGTACTCCATACTTTGGCCACTACTCAAGGTGCAGGCAAGGACAACATGGATAGCAGCCTTCTCCGGAGAACAGACTTCCAACAGTCCAGTTCGCTTGGAATAACATGAGCGTCGAGACATGCGGTGCTATTGAAAGTTTCTCTTAATCCTGAAAGTATTTGGAACTCAACCAAAAGGGCTAGATATTGTGCGATTCTTTACGACCGCCTTACTTCCGTCACGTCGTAGCGCGTCAATACATGATATCGAAATACAGGATTCTGAGTGCAGACGCATAGGTATAGCATAGTAGAGTAGAACACCCAATCTTCTCCAAGCAGTCAGACAAGCCGACAAGATTGATGAAAAGGGGTGTTCGCGTCGATCGGAGGTAGTGTAGGCCCAATGACACGGTGCGGCGAGGCATGCGCAAGCACAGAGACCAAGCCGCGGGATCCAAAAATGAGAATAATCATTGATGTTTTCCGGAGAAAACTTTCAGAGATTAAACTGAAAAGAACAGATACTACACTTGATCTAAGCCAATTGGCAAAGAGAGCTGGAAAAGAAAAGAAAGAAGAGGAAGGAGGCGGGAGGGAGGAAGTACTTATACCTTTGGTGGGCAGGGCGGTGAGTCATCAACCGGCGCTAAGCTTTAGCGACAGCCCGTTCTAACAGGCGGCGTCTACTTTGGGTTAAGATCGATGGGTATCTAAACATTCACAGCTTGCCATACTTCACAGTTCACAGTTGATGGTCACAATGTGGAAGTTAATGCAAGTGCTAGTTATTCCTTCGCAGTTCGAAGTGCTTCGGATGTGATAGTTTCCTCTGCCTGGTTTGCACGAAGGACACCCGCAATCATCGGATGATGAAGTTCGATTCTCCCATCAACGATGGTAATGAAGCCTTTTGAATGAGCTTGGAAGCCCGATTTCACGAAATCGGAGTTCCAGGTATTCATGAATGCCCCAGCCCTAGAATCGATGAATAAGTATATGAGTACTTGATATACCCAGGAGAAGGTCTTAGCAAAGCAGCGTCTAGAATGTAAAACACGCACCACGCAGTAAATCCACAGCTTCTGGCTGCGAGTGTATGATCCTGCTTGAGAACAAGCCAATCCTTGAACAACTCCGTATTCGAAATCATCACCTTCTTGCTCAATGCAGTTGTATACCGTTCCAGGACCTCATCAACAACAGTCGTTTTGTCACGAACATCATTATATCTCATCGCAATCAACTAATCAGTTGGGGAAAACCCCCCTTCCCCGGTCAGCAGCAGTCCAAATTCATAAATAACATCCATCAAAACTCAAAACTTACTGGAAACTGATTACAAACGACAAAAGCTAGATTCGGCTCACAACAAACACCAACCCACCCATTCCTCTCCATCTCATCCACAATAGCACCCTGCAAACTTCGATTATCATACTCAAACCTCTCAGGTCCCAATCCCCAAAACAACGGATCCCAACTAAAACCAAACTCCCCTTCTCCACAACTCCCCATCATCGAACAAAATCTCAAAAAGACTAGTCATAAGCAAAAGATGCCCACTATACATACTATTCTCTCTCTCAATCGGATCAGCCCACGGTTTCCGAAGCTCCCTGATATCGGGATCGACCCTAACCCCGACTGAGAAGCTAAATACCAGTAACCCCAGACCTCGCGACGGAGCATTTTGCGAATTAGCCGCCGGATTAGCTGTTTGAAGAGACTGCGCATTAGGGGGAGTCGGTGGTAGTGGGCTGCCCCGGCTGCGTAGGCCATTGTTGCTAGTTGGTACCGGTATGCGTCGAGGAATTCTTGCATGGGTTCTTGCGTGCCCATGTGTGGCTATTCTCCGTCTGGTGCGGTGCTGAGGTTGTGGATGTGTCGGAGGTGGCCTGCTTGTTTCTGGGTGAGCTTTTCATAGTTGTTGATTTGTATGGGGAGGGTGGTTTGAGGGTTGGTGCCAGTGGTGGTGGTGGTTGCTGCTGTCATGGTTGAATGTGAGTATCGGTAATACTACTAGTAATTGTTGCTTGTTAAGAGAATGGAGAGGAAATCTGGGGTAGGCAAAGAAGTCCAAGGAAGGCAGTCAATTCTATTTGAGTCCCGAGTCTCTTCCCCTGTTAGGTATGGTACGCCTCGGTGAGGTCACTCACCTTCTTGGCTTGGATTTCAAGAACTAGTGCTGACATTTGCAGGCGACCAACCCAGCCTTGCGCCACGTTTATCCTATTGTGATGCAAGTTGAGGCCCGAGGTGAGGGTTTCCCCTCCATTCTTAAGGTCTTCTTTCTCCTTGGTCAGAAATAGATAGGTTCCAAAAATGGTCAAATGCCAGCTGCGCAGGCGCGACATCTCTCTTGTTCGATTGTAGAAAGATCTATATAACATGAATGCAAGCATCGTACCATTTTCTGTCATCAAACAACTTTTGATAAAGTGCCAATAGCATGGAGATGAAAATGAAAAATGAAATCAAATAAATGCGGAAGGGGTCTATGCATAATCAACAGAACGATCAACGATTTACCGTTGACCCTGCAGCTCTTGTTCAACCTCAGCCTTCACGATTTCACGAACACCCTCCCAGCCAGCACCGGCGGGGACCGGGGTGACGCGGCTCTCGCGCTGCTCAAGGCCGATAAACTCCTTGGGCAGAATCTCCTGGAAGACATAGCCGTCCTCAGAACGCAAGGCCAGGTCAACCGAACCAGCAAACTTGGCGGGGTGGGCGGTGGACAGGGAGATGTGGTAGGCGCCGGGGTATTGCTCAATGGAGCGCTTGGAGGCAGCAATACCAACGGCAGAGTGGGGGTCGAGGATGTATCCACCAGTCTTGGAGCTCTTAGCACTGCTAGGTCCGTTCTTGGGGAAGCAGGTCTTGTAAACGCTGCGGATGGTGGAGATGGTGTCCTCGTTGCTGACACGGTGGCTCTCAAAGTCCACCTTGGCAGCCTCGAGCACAGCAGCGGGAACTTGGAACCCGCCTTGAGACTTGAGCTGATTCAACCAAGTGGTGACGCTCTCACAGGCGTGTTGGCGACGCTCCTCCGCGGTGCTGGCGCTGTCGGTCTGGAAAGCCAGGAACCACAGCAGACGCTCGAAGTTGCTTGACACTAGAATATCCATCGCAGGGCTGTGGGTCTCCTTGACGGCCTCGGAGGATGCATCCAGGGCCTTCTTAGTGTAGTGGCCACCACTGCGGAAGAAGCGGTCCAAGATGTCGTTCTCGTTAGTGGCGATGGTGAGCTTCTCGACGGGGAGGCCGATGCTCTTGGCGAAATATCCGGCAAGGATATCACCGAAGTTTCCAGATGGCACCACAACGTGGACCTTCTTGTCCTTGTTGAAGCTGGTGGCCTTCTTCTTCAAAGAGAAGTAAGAGTAGAAGTAGTAGGTGATCTGAGCGAGGATACGGGCCCAGTTAATACTGTTGACGGCTCCGAGGCTGTGGGTGGAGTTGATATCTGGGTCGGCGAATAGGGCCTTGACGATGTCCTGGCAGTCATCGAATGATCCCTCCACAGTCAAGTTGTGCACGTTGGGGTCGAGGACGGTGGTCATCTGCTTCTCTTGAATGGGAGACACCTTTCCGTTAGGGAAGAGGATGAAGACACTAGTGTCCTTCTTATTGCGGAGGCCGTAAATGGCTGCAGAGCCAGTGTCGCCGGAAGTCGCACCAACGACAGTAAGGTGGTGGCGGTCCTTGCCGACCTTACCCTCGTTCTCACGCTTCAGGAAGTATTCGAACAGGTTTCCGAGAAATTGAAGAGCGACACTTTGTGATGTTAGTTGAGACGCAAGTCCATGTAACATCGGGTCCTGGAAAGACATAGACATACTCCTTGAACGCCCGGGTAGGCCCGTGCCAAAGTTCCAGCAGGAAGAGGTTTTGCTCGGGGTCGAGTTCGACCAGGGGGGTCCGTTCGGGGTGGTCGAATGTAGAGTAGGAACGCTTGATGATATCCTTGAGATCGTCGGAGGGAACCTCATCGGGCGAGACGAAGAGGGACATGATATTGAAGGCGAGGTCCTCGAAGCTGGCGTCGGCCCAGCTCTCCCAGTTCTCGGGCAGAGAGGGGATCTCCTCAGGGATGAACAGACCACCATCGCTGGCAAGGCCCTTCATCACAACATCCTCGAAGGATTTCTGCACGATAAGAATTGGATCAGCGAATCTGTTGCTGCGCATCGAGACACCCCACTTATTTTTTAAAGCGCAAACGTACTCCGGACTCAGCACCCCGAGTGCTGAGGTATTTCTGTGACAGTGTTGGCGACATGATGTAAAAGACAGCGAATCAGTCAATTGACTCGAAATCAACGGGAATGCAGAAGAAAGCAAAGATCGGAAGAGGCAAGGCGGGCAAATGTGAATCATCGCGTGTTCCGCGGGGACTTTGGAGGGGCCCAATCAATCGGGTTTAGCGCGGCCGAAAACGGAGACCCGTGGCGATTCGAGCCTTCTCATTGGAACTACACTGACCATCTACATCTACTACAGTAGTACGGTACACTGCAATCTTATATCTGGTCTATTGACATTGTCTATCATCTATCGTCTATCATATGATCACATCTATACTTCGTACTTCGTATCCTCATCATCAACATTACTCGTTCGCCAGCACATAGCGGTAACGGGCCTTGCCAGCCTCCATCTCCACAATCGCACGGTTGGCATCCTTCATGGGGATCTCCTCGATCCAAGGGTGGACACCGTTGTCGGCGACCAGCTGAAGCATCTCGCGGATCTCATCGGGGCTACCAACCAGAGAGCTCTCCACCTTCAAGCGGCGCATCAAAGGACGAATGGGAGCAGACAAGGTGCCATCGTCAGGAAGACCAACCTGAACCAGACTGCCGTTGGTGCGAAGGAGACCCAGGTACTCAGTCATGGGCATCTAAATTTCAGAATTAGCCTCTCATTCGGTCTTTCGGTCATTCACCCCATGAAAACTTAGAAGCACTCACCTTGGTAGAAGACACAGTGGAAACAATCAAATCCAAAGACCGAGCATGCTTAGTAGCCCAGTCAGGCTCATCCTCAGTCGCAATGTAAAGATCGGCACCCATCTTCAACGAATCCTCGCGCTTGTTCAATCGGCGCGAGATGGCAACGACCTTATCAGCCCCCATAGCCTTGGCAAAGAGAACGCCAAAGTGACCCAATCCACCAACACCAATGATACCAACCCGCTTGCCGGGTCCGCAACCATTGTGCTTCAGGGGACTGTACAGGGTAACACCACCGCACAGCATGGGCGCCGCCTCAGCCGAGGAAATCTCATCGGGGATTCTGATGGCAAAGTGGGCTGGTACGCGGTTGTACAGAGCATAACCACCGTAAGACTTGTCGCCATTCTGGTGGGTGCTGTTATAGGTGCCGGTGAACTTCTTCGAGCAGTATTGCTCTGAGCCCATGGCGCACTCTTCACAATCGCCCTGGCGACCCTGGCACGAGTCACTCTGGGCACCCACACCAACACGGTCTCCAAGTGCAATACCCTTGACTTGAGATCCGACACGCACGGCCGTGCCGACGATCTCGTGGCCGACGCAGCAGGGGTACATGGTAGGTCTCTGTATAAGGTTAGTTGGAGTTATATGGACGAGACTACTATAGGATAGAATAGATGAACTCACCCAGCCGCTGCGAAGAGTATGAATATCGGAACCACAGATACCGCAGTGAGTGATCTTGATATCGACATCAGTCTCCTCCCACTCCTTGGGGGTAAACTCCTGCCATTTCATGTTTCCCTCGCTAGAGCTGGAATCCAGGCCCATCCAGCCCTCAAACTTGTAGTCTGTTTGCGTCATTGTTCAAGTTGTTCTTTTCCCTCGTGAATACAGATTGATCTGTTTAAAATCGGACTCGATTGCTGGGGCCACAGCCCCATTTATCCCAAAAACAGCGGGTCCCAGTTTCCTTCCCTCCCCACAGAGACCGATGGAAAACTCAGTCGGGAGGGAATTGAATTGGTCAGCAATGGCAAGGTGCGGTTTCCGACGGAAATGATAATCCTTTTTTCTTCTTGAGGAGTCCTTGGCCCCGGAGATATTGCACTTTTGGGGCAATTAGAGCCTGGAGGCGTGAAGCTTAATTTGGTGGTCAGATTGTTGTTTTTACTACAAGTACGAGTAGTACTACTGTACTAGTACGAGTACTCCGTACCTTGGGGAATGGAACCCACTTCTTTTTCCACTGCTTGCCAATGCTTTTCTATGTATA